TTTTAATATTGGCCATTAATAAAATGGTAATGGGTTTTCGCCATACCCAAACCCAAACCCAAACCCCGAGGTAAACTATAACTTTTGAGTTTATCATCAAAACATATTGAATCCTGACATGAAAATGTTCCATTTGATGAGTATACATCGAATATCAAATTTATTTTAACTTTCATATTTACAGATTTCTTCCCTCAACCATCAAGGTCAACTAGGGATGAAAAGGAGGAAATCTGGAAAAAGGACCACCTATTGAAACTTTACCAAAATGATTTATATGATCTATAGTGATATAGATTTCAATTTCATATCATAAGAATTAGAAATGGTACCATGGGAAAGTAAATGTTGATTTTCCAAAGTTGACTGAAAGGAAAGACAAGTCAGACCAAGTCTATCAAATATATCACTTCAATCAACAAATTATATATGAAAATGCTCCATTAGATGTGTAGAGATTGAATATCAAGTTTATTTTAACTTTCATATTCAAGATTTCATCCCTTTCATACCATCTAGTCAACTGAGTAACACGGATGAAAATCTGGAAAATGACCTCTCTATGAAACACTTCCATCATGTTTAACAACTCAAATAATGTTGTAGAATTCAATTTTAGAGTTTTAAAATGTAATTTGACAATATAGTAAGGTAAAGGTTGATTTTTTAATGTTGACTTTAAGGATGGAAAGGTGAAAATCATGATATCAAAAACATCACTCCAGTCAATAAAACACATATGTAAATGTTGCAAATGATGAGTAGACACCGAATTTATCATTTATTCTAACTGGAAATATATCTAATATATACTTGGAAGTCAACTCTCGCTATAATGTACAAGCTGTTCGGCCAAGTTACCTCTCTCAAATTAAATCATATAATCATGCTATAAATCTCTAATAATGTATATACTTCAGTTTTCAGACGTTATAGTGAACATTCCATCATATAGTAAGGTAAGGAGTGATTTATCAACGTGGACTTTGAAGGATAGGGTTATATTCAATAAGAGAACTACATCCTCAATCAGAAAAATACATATCAATCGATTGTAAATCGATAGTACATCTCGAAAATATCATTTATTTTATGATTTGAAATCTCTCCTTGACTTCTTTTAGTCAATTAAGACAATTAAGGATGTAACAATAGAAAAAGTTGACAATCTCAAAATAAACTTTATTATCATGTAGTACATCTCAAATAAAGTGGACTTTATTCAAATTATATACTTTTATTTCAAGAAATGCATCCAGTAGATAGTACTTGGTGATCTGTCAAAGTGGCTAGAAATCTGAAAGGTCCAGAAGCAAGTCTGTTTTCAAAGAAATTGATATAATGACATATAATCACTCTAATTAGTCATGTGGTATCAATTTACTGAATACCTTAATGTCGACTCAACTTTTAACAAGATGGCACTCCATCTCATCCAATTCAATATATGTATTACAAATATCATATATGAATAGAATCCTGAATCGAATACTCTTGATGCGTAGAACAATCTGAGAAAGTATCATACTCATGACTCAATTCCTCTTGATCATTGTTGTACTTTTCATTCATGCGTAGATAAAAAATAACGTACATTCAAAAATACTCTCAAAAATTCTACGCATCAATATGAATGACAACCAAATTGATTGAATGTAAGTCCGTCCGCAAAGTGACGCAAAGTAACGGAATATCGAAATCGTTACTACTTTCGAATAGCTTGAAAACAACACATTTACACCACAACTCGATAACTAGATAAGAACTATATACTTTTTTTAAAACTTTACTAAAAAAACCAACAAAATACCCAAACGGCGCTTAATAACCCTATATCAGATCATAAAGACCATGGAGCCACAGAAGAAACAAATCAAAACAACACGTTTCCAAACCCTTCAACCCAACCATCATAACTTGATATATATAAATATTTAACAATTTCACATCAGCCGTATATTGTGCCCCATTACCATCACCATCTTTTGACATCATTTGTGATATATATTGTTAATGTATTTAAGGAGAAAAGCTTAATAAATAGGGGTTGACATGGGATCCAAACCCTAAGGAAATATAAGGAAAGTTACCACTCTCAAAATAAATGATAATATCGTGTTCTACATCTCAAATAAGGTGGACTTTCATCAAATTATATGTTTTCATTTCAAGAAATGTATCCAGTAGATAGTACATGGTGATTTGTCAGGGTGGATTGATGGAAATCTGAAGGGTCCAGAAACAACTCCATTTTCACTGAAATTGATATCATGATATGTAGACACTCTAATTAGCATATAATATCAATTTCATGAATATTGGCTCAGTAGATATTGAGTTGTCAACTCTATCACTATACTATAAAACTTTGACATAAATTCAAAGATTATGCTCTAAATCACTTATTTTATATGAAACTAGTCTAGAATTGATAACACAAATTCTGTACACCATTTATATACATCTATACAAGTTTAGAAACAATTCATGATACTTTCATTCAGTCAATCAGTAAATGTTCAATGTCAATAGTGATTATATCCAATTGTACACACTGTCTCAATGAAAGTATATCCAAACATCATGTAACTTTACCAGATACATTTAGTCACACTGATATACATCTGGTATCAATTTTAGTCTGTTAGAATTGAATTCAATATGATAATAATAACAATCTGTCAAATTGTCACATTTCAACATATAGAATGAATACCATCTCAGTCAATTTACAAAATATCATACTAGTATCAAAAATGAATACACTTCCCTTGATGAGGAGAACAATCTGAGAAAGTTTTATATTCATGGCTCAATATCTTCAAGTCAACTAAGGAACATCTAAGGTAATCAAAAGGGAAGAATCTTAATTCCAAAATTAAATTTTACCATCATGTCAAAATCATTGAATAATGCATTAATTATACAAGAATAATATATTCAATTGTTATATTCATGTCAGTAATCAGTGATGGTGACACTTCTTTAACCTTAGTATGCACATCTCAATATGTAGACAGTCAATTCCACTGAAACTTGAAATATTACCTGTCTAGATGATATAATGATGATTCTCCATAGTAACATGCATGTGAAATTGAATGTTGACTCTTTTCATCTGGTTATATTTATAGAGATGGTATCCAACAGAGTCAGTTCATAATATTAAATATTGAAACTCATTCTGTATGACATATTTGATGTATAGAATTGTTTTTATATTGATGGAAATCAGTTTGAAATAATACGATGAAATTGACACGGTCTAGTCGCCATTACATGACAAATAGACCATAGTTTACATTCCATCTCAGTCATTTCAGCGATTTATTGGTTAATTCCACCACCATTATATTTCTCATACATTTTAGTACAGTTTATATTTGAAGAGTGATTTCTGTGTAGATTATTATAATCGTAATACCTTGCAATACCAATAAAACTCAATAGAAGTGTTAATTCTTCTCATTTTCAAATAGATTATTCAATATAGAACACATCTAGATAGTTTCCAGATCATAAAAGTCAAGCTACTATATATGGTCTTTGATTAAATTTAAAAATAGACTGCCGTTAATTACTGGAATCTTGATTCAAAGCTTGATGAGCAAGCTATTGATTGAAATCAAACCGATTATTGAATATTGATTATTGAATAAGTGAATAATCACTCTTGATAATGTTACTTATTCATATTGCATGCAAATCAACCTGATTCAATCTACAAAGGTTGGTAGTTGCACCACTTCGTGGCGAAACTACCATTCCACGATGAATCAACAAAGAATCACTTACATTCAACTCAATTTGACCGTTATAATCAATAAATCAATGAAATGTTCCTTTATTAGCAATACCTATTCAATCTAATGAGTAGATTCACGTCCCAAACATTTGGCTTCTCAAAGTCCATATTTCAAAAGTTGATACTGACCTGACCTTTATATATCTATCAATATAAGAAATGAAACCATCAAATTTACATCATTAATAGATGATAAGAAATATAATCAATGATATGAATCTTCACTAAGTAATCTCTTAAATAACCCAAATAAATCAACTCTGAATCCTAACCAAACCCACAAGAATAACAGAATATTGCTTCATGGATTTGGAAACTGGTGAATATGTTAGCAGCTTGGTTAAACCAAGTTGTCCAATTACAATGAATGCACGTCAATTAACTGGTATTACATCTGAATTATTCTCTGATTGTTTAGAATTCAATCAGCATATCCAAAGAATTAAGGAATTTATTGGAAATGATGATGTGTTGTTAATTGCTCATAATGGAAAGAAATTTGATGAAAGAGTATTGAAATATCATTTTACAGATAATCTGAGTCAGTTTGAAAATTGTACTTTAGTAGATAGTTTGCAAATGATTACGAAATTCAATGATGATTTACCAACTGTAACGAGATTTTCAAAAAAACAACAAAAATTGGTTGAGAAGAAAGATAAAAAGTTAGTATCAATTTACAAACACATATTTGGGAGTGAAATTGAAGATGCACACTTCGCTTTGTCTGATGTGAAAGCATTAGCATTAATATCTGTGGTCAGGTTCTCGGCGCATTTTTGTGATGCTCCCAAAAAACATGGAATGCTCCCAAAGCTGATTTACTTGTAGGGGTAATTGGATGCGCTAATAACACCGATTTATTACTTAAGCAAATTCACTCAACTTCAACAAAGCATATCTCTATAACAACACTGGATGTTAGAGAAACATACCGTATGGTCATTATTAATTATGTTAACAATCATAATATCAAGTTTGTTACGGATTTGGCTCTTTACTTATCGAGAAAAGTGATTTCAAAATTTTCATATGTGGTAGTAAGACGAGCATGTTTTCTTGGTTAATACAAATAACTGATATTCAATAAAACAGAATCTTGTAGAAAACATCAATTAGAACAAGAATAATAAATAATATTTTTATTTCACTAAGTATTAAATTTAATATTTCCTTTTTTGTAAGGAGCATTGCAAAAATACGGGAAAAACATTTCCACAGATATTGAGAAGATAAATGTGGCTGTCTTACCAATAAATGTAGCTGTACAAAGAATAATAGTAGTTGTTCAGAACTTTGTGTAAATTGTAAAGGAAGATGCATTCGTATTAAACTTTGAGTAGACTGACTTGTAATTTTTTTAAAAAATTTGGGGCCTGAAGGAGACTTGTAAAAAAATCGCTGGAGTCGGCCACCCGTGTTAAATTTGGGTTATCGATTGAGAAATGGTAGCTATTTTGATTTGGTTGAATGGCTTCAAGCTATTGAAAATTGCTGACTTGAATTGTATTGCCATTAAATTGGTACCATGGCACTGTCCTAAATATCTGTTAAATTAATGGAGATAGAAGGTATTTCATCAGCTCATATCAAAATAGCTGGGGTTGTGCAAGCTTGAACAAGTTCATGGAATTCTCCTCTACAATGACATATTAATCTTGTTTTGATTTGAACCACCAAATATGGAAGAACTATATAAGAATTCAGTCGAATTTATTCTACAAAACTCTAAACCACAAACAAGCAGTGAAGAACAAAGTAAAACAAACACAAGTGATGATCTTCGTGGAAGAAGGTGGTTGATGCTGTTGATGCTGCAGAGAAATCTGTGGGACTGCAACATGAACCACACCAACTTTGGTTGTATATGTTAGAAGACATATACAACCAAAGTTTTTGTATAGTGTAATAATGGGAGGATAAATTTTGGTAAGTTATGATAAGGCTAGGTAAATCGTTGTGTCTAAAGATCCTTCTCAATTTCATCTTTCAACCTCTTTTTATGAAAATATTTTCATCCAAATAAACTTTATTGTAAAGCCAGTATGGATAGGGTAGAGATGAAGAAATACTCTCAATAATCAGAACCTCTACTCAATACTTCCTTACAGGTTGGTCTCAAGAAGATGGTATGTTCAAATTGAGCAGTATAACATCCTTTAACATCTACAAATGGTGGATATTCATTGACTATTCCATTGTTAACCAAATCACGAAGAGCAGTGAGATATTTTTTTTGACCAGTTCTGTCCAAGTATCTACGACAAAATGGAATGGATCCAAAATGGTCATTGATGACTTTAAGTAGCTCTCTAGATTCCTTATTTTTCAATTCAGAACCGTCACCATTGTAGGTAAATTTTCTTCCATAATGTGAGCATACACCTTCTTCAATGACATATCCTTTTCCAGTGGAACCAAAAGTTTCAATTGCAAAGAATTCATTTTCTTCCATTTTGGTGTTATTAGAAGAAGCAACAATTGGAACTGATTTACCTGCATGAACATGATATCTTTCAATAGAATGTCCACACAAGTTTTGAATGCTTTTAACTCTGTGAGTTTTTCCATTAATAATCTATTAGTGGTAGTTCAATAAACAATTAACATTGTAAATAAATCAATTAATTCAAAATAAATACGTACAACTTCATAAGATTCCATTACTTCTTGAATAGCAGCTCCAACATCTCCTAATCTAACATCAATGCCAGCTGTTCTGACACCCATGTTTGTTGCTTCCTTGACAGCATCCAACAATGGCTGATATTGATCATTCCAACACATGGTAAATGCAGAATCAATAATGGTTCCATTTACATGAGTTCCCAAATCAAACTTGATCACATCATCCTTTCCAATAAGAGTTTCATCTCCACCATTTGGTGAATAATGAGCAGCAACATGATTGATGGAACAACCCAATGGAAATGCGAGTCCACTCTTCTTCTTGTCAGCTTCCAACAATTCTCTAACCTTTGCTTCATACATTTCAGCTGCATCAATAACCTTCATTCCAGGTTTAACAACTGAATCCTTGAACCATTTTCTGGCAGTTCTATGAACCTCAGCTGCTTGTCTTGCTTCCATGAGCTGTTCTTGTAACTTTTCCTCTCTTTCTTCAGTATTAGGTTTCAATTCGGAAGGATGAAATCTCTTGGTCTTGTAATCATATTGTCCCAATTCACAGATTTCTCCCTCTGGAAACTTTCCGTCCTTATACAAATGCTTGATTGGTACAGTTGGTTCAGGTTGAGTTTGTTCAGTTGGCCATACTTTTTGTTTGTTTGAATGATTGTTAACTGATGGAATTGGCTTTGAGCTTTCCTTTTCATTCTTCTTGCTCATTTCCATCAAAAACTTCATCTCATCATCAAAATGGGTGTTTACATTCTTCTTCTTGGAAGTAGTTGAGCCGCCGCCTCTGGTAGATAGAGTTTGTGCTGATAAAGTGCTCTTCTTGATGGACATTATTTTACTATTGTTTTAAATATATTTAATATTTATATTGTTGTCGCTGTGATCCGTGTGATCCGAGGGTTGTTGTTATTACTATTGTTTTGACTTGTGGTTAAAACAAATATTTTGAATTAAAGGTGAAAGATAAGTAGAAGCTTTTTTTTCTTTCAAGTTTTAAATATTAAAAATTGTAAAGTTAGAATTATTATAAAAAATATTCAATAACAATGGACAATGGATTAAAAGAGGACTTACTGATTGGTGGAGTGGTTTTGAGTGATGAAACGCTAAGAATTTCCGAGTATCACCACGACATTATCTAAATGGTAGAAATTGCAATTTTAATAATTATTGAATTGTCATCATCATACTATTAATTAATTTTCATCACAACCCGATAATTCTCCAACACCATCACCATTTCTTTTCCATCATTACTAATATTTCCAAAAAATTTTATCATCTCGGAATAAAATTTAATTTACCGTGAACACTTTCATGAAATGCACTACACAACATCTCCATAATCATTTGGTATAATAATCAGAGATATTTTCGAAATCAATCACCATCCTCGATCAAAAACTTCACCCTGTCATGCATCAACTCAAATTGCACAAGTATTGTGAAACCATTCCAAATTCAATCTAAGGCGAAACTGTCACCGGTTAAAATCAACACATTATTTAGGAACCATTTTACATTTTCATTGGACCATTGTATTCAAAACTTTCTAATAAGAACAACAAAAAATGTCTCTACATCAAACACCACGAAAACAATCAACAGTTTCTTCATCCTCCTCCAACAACATTCACGTGGTGTTGCCATTCAATATCTTGATCAATCCATCAATAATCTATGACAATTCAAATGTCAATCGGTCAAACACACCAACCACAAATCACAGTACTGGCAATAGTAGTTTTCATAACCATAAATTCAACGCCTCTCCTTCATCCTCACCATCAATACAAAGTGTGAATAGTGATAATTCCAGTATTGATAGCTCATCAAATTTTACTCAAAGTTCAACACGTAAAATGACAACTGGCATTTCGACAATGGGAGAAAAACAAATTGAAATGCAATTACAATGGCTTCATATTATGAAAGAAGAGTTTCTGAAATATATTGAAAAGAAGTCAAAACTTTCGAATGAAATGGAATTGAAAATGCTTTTTCTCGAACATTTCTATGATCCAATAAGTGATAAAGTTCATGTAAAGAGTTTTAGGTCAATTGAGGATGTTTTACAGAGATTAGACTTGTTTTGTTCGAAAGTTCTGAAATGGTTAATGCCTGAAGATTGGATAGAAGTTGAAAAGATAAGAAATGAGCAGAAAGAACATTCAATTGTGTTTTATTTGAGACAATTGGCGGGAAAACTGAAAACTATCAAGTTATTTCAACATGAATATTTGAGAGAATTTATTGACGAACAAGCTAGATATGAAATTGCAAAGGAAACCGATGGAAACAAGACGAATATTTCGAGTGTTGCATCAGAAGAGGAAATTACTGTTGTAATTAATGTTTCTCCAAAAAATTCTACAACAGATGCGCCTTCAGATCAGGAAACTAATAAGGAAATTACTGAAGATCCATTCAAATTTTTACTGGAACAGATCAAATTGATTTGTTCCATGTTTTCAATAGAATTGGGAGATTGGTTCAATTTTTTCGAATTTAAAAAGAGAAAAAAGTTTAAGAAATGGTTTGAAACTGGATTAAAGGATCAATGCATTCCAAAATATGTTTTGGAAATTTACAAAAGAAAAAAGGAATCTGCAGAAAAGGCAAACAAGGAATTCATGTTCAAGAATGAAGATTTAAATCAAAAGTACATTATTGAATCGGATTGGTATTATACTCATTGGATTTCCAAGCAACATACAGATGATTGGTATGTTACCTATTCAGACATGCCAAATGTAGTGCAATGGAATTCAGACATTGATCGTTCAGTAGAAAAACTAGGATTGAAAAATACCAAAATCATTGGCTATGCAAATTATCCAGTTTCTCAAGTTGTGAAATCAAACTCTAACGATGAGCATTTGAGATATCTATTTGGAGATGTCAACTGGTACAGTTTCACACCAATTAATATGGCACATTCCATACAGAAATATCCACACGCTTTAATGGTTACCACTTTCAAGTTTGGTCCATTGTTTGCAGCACGCGAAATTCAAAATGTCTTTTCTGCAAAGTCATCATTTTTGGGTAGTAGAATGACTGAGAGTTCAATTATATTCAAATCAAGCGATTATTTCAATGTAAGTACACAATTGGTAATTTTTGTAAATTAATCACAAACTCTTAGAATAAGGAAACGAAAGATTTAATTAAGGTTCCATTCATTGGTGGCAGAATTTTCAATATGGTCGACAAGAATCGAACCAGATATATTGAAATCAGAACACTCAACATTGGTGGATTGTTGGGAACAAAGATTCTCTATTCGAATCCACTCACCTCCAAGAAATTATGCCTGCAGAATTATCATGGCATTCTGAAGGCAGTGAAGGATAATGAGGCAAGGGGACATAAACTCCCATCTCCAGACGAAAATTATTTGGCCAGATTGTTTAATAATTATTGTACCGTTTATTGTAAATTTGATTTGAGTAAGGACGCAATTTTGTAAATAAATTTAACTCATCCTAAGACATCTAACTATTTAGATGAGCAATTCTTCATCACATTTGTGCCGGTTTCTTGAAATGCTGATTAAAACTCAGTTTTATTAAGTGGTGTTGATCTGTCCCGTTATTATTACAATCCTCTCTATTCCAATTGAAAAGTCTTGTGAAGATGTTGTTGTAATGTGGTTGGATTCTAATTTGAAATAGAGTGGCGCTGTTGACTAAAGTCGGGATACACAATAAACAACAAATAATATAAAGTATCTAAACATAGTTTGCTAACCAACTTTAACTTACAAAAAAACAACAACAATATGAAGTACATCACTCTACTACTGTTAATCCTTTCTATTACCATTGTTGTTGACAATCGTCCAATTCAAACTCATACAAGTACAAGACACCAAGAAGAAATTGGAAACTTATTTGATTTATTTAGACCTGGTTTTCAATACACTGGCAATCATTCCATCAATAATGTTAAAATCAATACTAAAAGTAATATCCAATATTCACCAATCATACTAGTTGGTGGATTGGGTGGTTCTGCACTCATGTCACAGAGAAATCAATCGACCAGTGAACCTCATTGGTGGTGTGAAAAAACTACTGATCCATTTCAAATCTGGTTATCTGTTAAAGAGATGGTTCCCTTCTTTACAGAAGATTGCTTTGTCAATGACATGTCGCTTATATTGAAGGATGGATTAGTTCGCCAAAAAGATTCACGTGTGAAGATTTTCGGAAAGGATGTTGGGGGATTGGATGGATTGAATTCAATTCTCTCTGAATTTCAAAGCAAGTTTTACTACATGAAGCCAATAGCAGATTTCCTCGTTGCAAATGGAAATTATCAAGTTGGAAAGAGTTTGAGAGGTTTCACATACGATTGGAGATTGAGTGTGAGAGAGTGGGCAAATAATACCAATTCTGTTGGTGGAGATTTCTTCATTTTGAAAAAACTGATTGAGGATACTTATACCATTAATGGAAATGTGAAGGTTTCACTATTGGGACATTCAATGGGAGCACCTTTCTTACAATATTTCCTTGCCAACTTTGTAAATCAAGCATGGAAAGATCAGTATATTTATAATTACATTCCAGTGGCTGGTCCTTTCGATGGAAGTCCATTTTCATTGGTAAGTATAATTGTTTAAAATGATTGTAAACGTGTAAAGATACTATTCGCACTTGGAACTAATTGGCAAATTCCAACATTCGAATTTGAAAAGGCAAGAAAAATTGTCAGAGAATTTCCTTCAGTATTATTCATGTCTCCAAACAAATTTCCTTACAATTATCCATTTTTCACCTATGGAACTCAAAATTATCATGTTGAGCTTTCGGATATTGAAAATTTCTTTTCAAATGCTCAAGTTCCAAATGGATACAAACTCTACCAACATGAATACAGCCAATACAAGAATAATCGATATAATGCACCTAATGTAACCACCCATTGCATCTATGGTTATGGAATTCCAACAGTAACTCACATTGAATATTCAGGCAGCAAGGAATTGAAAGACTTGACCTATAAAGACGTCCTCAACAATATGAATACAGTGAATAGAGAAGATGGTGATGGAACTGTGCCATTATATTCAATGCAAATTTGTGATGAGTTTGCCAAATATCAACAACAGCAAGTTCATGTCCATCGATTTTTCAATTCCACTCACGGAAGTATCATGAATGAAGAGAGGGTCTTCCGAACCATTCTGAATATTCTCCAATTTAATTAATAATAATTAATTTAATATCAAATTCTTCTTGTAACAATAATCCACCACATTTAATAATACCTTTCCAACTCCAATTTTTAATCAATTCAATACATCTAGTCTTTAGAAGGCTTTGAAAACTTCATCTAATTCGTCATCACCACCCGAAGCCAATTTTTTTTAATTAAAAAAAAAATAAAAAATATTTGTGATGATGCAAACGCCAAGTCATCAAAAAGATTACAAAAACAACAAATATTATTTTTCCCAAGTTCATCCCTGTTCTAGAGAGATTGACACAAGATATTAATAATTTAAATATTTCGTCATCATAAAAAAATGCTCTCACTTTCAAACTCGGAAAATCAAACACGATCTTTGGAAAAAATTCTTGATCAGGTTGATGATATTGATGACGATAAGAATAATGATCGCGGAATAATAGAAGGCTATACACCATTTATTATTGATTGTTCTAAATTTTCATCACTTCCTGATGAGTTGTTGATTGAAATTTTTCAATATGTTGGAGTGAATCCGTTCGAGATGATGTCACTCTCGCATACTTGTAGACAATGGAAGGAATTGATTAATTCGCAATTTAGAGTTTGGCAATATGTTCCATTGACTATTTCTAGATCAAAAATTGTTCGTGGAACAAAGGATGAAGTTGGACACTTGTTGTTGAAATATTTTGATCGTTTTAGTCCTGTATATTACAAAAATCCAAAATATGCAAAAGTTTACAAGCAATTTGATGTACAATATGAGAAATATATTAGAGATAAGGTTTATGAAAATAAGATTAAGGAGAGTGAAGTTCCAGCTCTTTTGAAAGCATTCAAAAAGCCAATTATTGTTTCTACTGATCAATTTATTGACTTTCTCAAACATGTAAAGAAGGAAAAACTTTCAGCTGAACGTTTGAGAAAAACTAGAGATTATTTCGATTCAATTTCTTCAAATGTGTCAAAATGGACAGTTAGAGGCTACTTGCTCCTTTTAATGGCATTGCTTATCAATATTTGTGTGAGTATGGGACTTTTTGGAGAAACACCAGAGGCAGACAGATCACTAGATAAGGGACTATGGTGGTTACCATGGTCTTTTGTTCCAATGCATGCCATTATCATTTATTCATACATTGTTGTTGCTGGTCTCGCAGTTAATGAGTCCTTTAAATTCAAGAGTAGATCAGAAATTGGAGTGATGGCCATTTTCTTTTTGGTATTATCAGTCTTGACCTGGATCTTTACCAGCTTCAAGTATGACATGTATGAGAAAGCAGGTGTAGAGCTTTCATATTGGCAAAATAGATTATTTCCCCAAGTCCACCTTCTATACCTCTTACCTTTCATTATCATATCAGGTATTGGTACCATAATTCCTGCCTCTGAAACATTCTTCCAACATTTTTATAGGACCAACAAGTTCCCATTCTTCTCAGCCAACATTCCTTGGGCATCATTGGATAGAGACAAACTTACTGTATTTGCTACCTTCTTGTTATGTGAATTTTCACTCCTTGGCTTTTCATTCTTTGGTGAGAAATTGGGATCTAAATATTCATTTATTCCAATGATTCTTGGAGGTATTTTAGGAGGAATTCAAGCCATAAAATACAACTATAATAGAAGTGACACGACCAGTCAAATGTTTAGTGTGCTACCAATTTTTGGTTCGATTGCTGTTGGATGTTTGGCTTACCAATCATTCAATTATTGGTCATTTATTCCATTAACACTTGGAGTTGGAGCCATTATTGGATATGGATTAATTAAGAAGGATTTGTAAATGAGAATGATTATAAATTTATAATCAAATTAATTATTAATATTGCTTATTAGTAGATTAGACATTTTTCAATTCTTCATCCTTTTTCTTGGAAGATCCTTTTGTTTCAACTTGTTCATCATCTCCTTCATCTGGTTTCTCATCGAAACAACTCTTCATTGATCCGCAACAAGATAGGAAGTTACCAATTTTCATCAATAATTTACCAAAACAACCTGGTTCCTTCTCATGATTAATATCATCTCCCAACTTGTCTTCCATTTGTTCTAGTGGTTTGTAAATATATTTCAATGCTGCTGTAAAACCAAAAATTACAGCTCTCTGAACTGTATAAGCAGCAATGAAGAGGAATGAGTCCACAAAAATGGAAACTGAGGCTAGAATTAACATGATCACAATGAGTTGAGCCAACACTGTTTGAACCACAATGACAACAGGAATATACTTGGCAGCTGTCTTTCTTTTCTTTGTAATTTTTCCATAATGTGAATTGAGCAATTCATTTCTCAATCTATTTGACAAGATCAAGTTGACTATTCCAGTAATGAATGAAAGAATTAATGTGACTCCAGCCACAGCAATGGATGCATAGAAAATACCATACGAGGCTTGATAAGCTCTCTCAGCATCAACTGAGGAAGAGAATGGAACACTCAAACAAATGATAATTGCTGGAACCAGCAAACACATCATGAAAATTTCACATCCAGTTGCGAACCATGTATAATACTTGACCAATTTGGATTGCGTAGCCTTTTGCTCACCTTCCTTTCCTTGCATCCAGTATCTCTTTGGATTGTAGTATAATTCGTGCAATTTAATCGAAATGACACATTGAGAGAGGAAGAATAAACTTGCACTCAGAACAATACATTCATAGTTGAGCATTTGGAGTGTCTTTCCAACTGCCTGATTCTTTTGTGCTAAATTAGATGTTGCAGATGCAATACCAGTTGTTGAACCGAATAGTTGAAGAGCTGCTAATCCAATAGCAACAGCTTGGAACAATCTTTTGTTTTTCACATTCTTTACCCACTGAACCAAATAGCTGATAATCTTGAATGCCAAGAGAATGGAGAAGGTAGGAAGAGAAACACCATCCACGATCAGTGTCATTACATTTTGTCCCGTAGAATAGGTGGCAAGAGATGTGTTATTGTTCGGAAAGACATAATTTGAGTCTATTGTTCCATTTGAATTTGATGAAGAAGAATTTGATTGCAAAGTGTTAGCAGTTTCCAACAGTGAGTAAACAATATCAATCAATGGAAAGGTTGCAATGGACTGCATGTTTTTTTGAAAGATTCTGCAACATGTCAAACAAGAAGACGCAAAGTGACAGCAGGGAGTTTACACTTCGATATTTGGAGAGGTGTAGCAGTCAGGATCTCCTTCATCCCATATTTGGGTCGGTTGAACTTTTTGAAATTTGGCATGTTTTCCAAAAGTGAATCTGGTTATGTGTTTATTATACAGTAAAATTGTGTAAAGAACAAGGACTCTGAAAATATATAAGCAGCTCTCTAGTTTTGAACCTCCTTTTCATACACAAAAGAGAACAGAGTTATTGGGTCCTTATCCTTTGATTCATAGACGATGGATACTATCTTTACAATATTGGTTGAAAATAGGGGCATTGAAATATCAACTCCTTTAGAAACAACTCTCTTGACAAACTTGGCCCTCTTGATGACCAGCTGACCAGAATAACACAACGGCCACCAACCATAAATTAAGGCTTTCAAGAAGGTGATGAACTGCTCTCTAAAGTGTTTGAAAATTGGAGCTGGAAGAGGTTGCACTCTCGTCTTTCTGTAGTCTCCCTCTTGCTCAAAAGCATTACTCAATTGTCTGTTAATTTCCTTAATAAACTCGCCATTTGCCACTCCTGCTCTTCCACTTGCACTATATCTCAATGATTTTATCAAATCACCTAGTATTCCCTTTATGGAGAATAATTTTGTTGCACTCGAAACGAATGAAGTTGAATCAGTGTGATTCGATTGTAAAACTTCATACAAAATTGGATCCTTCTCCAATCTAACTTCTGCTTGATTTGCCTTATATTCATTCTTTCTCAATTTACTCTCGTACATGTCAATAATTTGCTCAAACGAAACCTTGAAGGCATGGAAGGATTTATATTTACAGCTGCCCTCTGTGTGTTGATCTACAAAACCAATTAATACTCTATCTGGAACCATAGATGGTTCATTTCTCTTGTGTTTGTTTCTTCTCTTCAGTCTTCCATTAATGATTCGAGGACGATCGTGGGCTGGTGTTGAGAAACTAGTCATTATACTACTGCTACTAGAAGAATTACTTAATGGACTCGGTGATGGACACGAACTCAATGGAACACCATATGAAAATAATGACCTCGTATAGAAAATAGAATCGTGTGGATTGGAAAAGTATGTCCACAACCATTGTTGTGCCCACCACTGAGCTTGTCTACTTCCCACAAAATTTGTAACCATTGATTTGAGTTGAAAACATGATTTGGCCACTCGATTACTCAAATCCATTAATGGGACATACTCGAAAATAGTATCCTTAAGTAAATCAATCACTTCAAACCATTTGTTTGGATTACTCAATTTGATTGGTTTGAGATCATGAGTTGATTTTGAATATCGGATGGAATGAGAACTCTTTCGATTCTCTGAATGTAAATCCAAGTCTTCAAGCCCTAAATGTTGACCAATCACAATATCATCATCAATACGATGGATGGTTTTGGACATGAGCGAGTAAGATGAACCTCCTTCAGGAAGAGAAGTAAAATTATCACTCCTTTGCTTCTTATTGGTAAGGAAAAATCCTAAAACCATTGTTATATATTGTTGTTATATGAATTCGCTTCAGAGAATATGTTGGGTATATTCTTCCCCGAGAAGAGTCAACAAGGTTGTACCAATAAAAAGTTTGGTCCACTCACTAGTCAGCTTAATGAGAAAGTTGCGTGTGGGGTGTTGTGTGTTTTTTTTGAGGTTTGTTGGTTATTGATGGGAGGTGATATGGGGTTATCTAATAACCGAAGATTACTGTTTTGAATTACGGTACTGTAATCGTCTTTATTAGTCAAAACCAGACATTTATGGTGGTGGATCAATACGTATTTGAATGTCCTTAATAGATTGAGAATGCGAACCAGGGCTTAATAAATCTCATCAGCACAGAAATGAACGATGTTTACCATTTACTACCAACAAGCTTTGTTTCTTAACAGAAAACAGAAAACGCCAACAACTGATACATGATGAACTTGTTGTACACCAAAACACATGCCACGTATTTTGTTGAAAAACTCTTTACTACAAAGCGAGATGATTCGCAAAGTTATTGGATAGTAGCTAAGCATGTGCTACCTCATTTGCCCTCTTGAAGATTACTGCTCGTATCCATTACAATTGTGATTGCCCGCTTATTACCAAGCAACCAATAGGAATTTTTGAAGGAGTTTTGCAATGATTACCAAATAAAACCATAAAATTCAGAAAAAGCCAACAAGATGTTTCAAGTACATAATAATTTATACAATGATGTAATGTATTAATATTATCTGTGTGTAGTTAAGTACTAAGAGATTGAAGAATAGCAACTAGAAAAAATGTTTGAAAATCTCCCACCAGAGATCCAGATGGAAATTTTCAGTTTTTTATCATTGAAACATCTGGGAAGTATTCAATTATTGAATAAGAAGATTTCTCAGCAAATAATTGATTCGAAACAATTCTGGATTGCATTGTTGCATAATTACTCAAGAATTGTAAAACCCGATCATCAGAAAATTAAGAATAATCAAAATAATAAGGAGGAAATTAATCATTCAGAAATTATTGAAACTTTGAAAGAATTAATTAGAGAACAATGCGAAAAAACAACCAAAATTCGATATGAAATTGAACATACTAAAACAATGATCATTTCATTTAAATGTGCTAAAGAACAGAAAATGAATTACGTAAATTATTTAAACAAACAATCATCAAAAGCTGATTTGAAAATGGAGGGAATTGAGAATGAAGAAATGAAGGAGAAAGTTGTTTCAGAACTGCTAGCTAGATGTGAACTGTTTGAAGAACATAAGAATGACCTTGAGGAACAAACTCAAGCATTGCAAATCGAATTGGAAACTAACCTTGTCGATTGACCTTTCAACTTTGACAATAAATATTAAAACAAATCAGAACTGAAAAGAAGCAAATATGGTAATTCAAAATGTTTGGAAATATTGTCCACAAGTCTTCAAAAAAACCTTAACTGACTTTAAAGGAGAACAAAATGGTTAGCAAATCTAGGTTTCGATCCTAGGACCTATGGGTTATGAGCCCATCGCGCTTCCACTGCGCCAATTTGCTTGATGGTGATAAAACTAAAATATTAATTTTATTCAATTCTCAATTTCAAAATTGTAAACAAAGTTAAAATTAAAAAATAAATTTAATGAACACTTCCAAACGATGAAGATCTTACACACTGATTAGATACTCTCCTTTTCTCATTTCTTTCCTTCTCAACTCCTCCTGCCCATTTTAATCTATAATAATTGGCATGATCCAAATTTTCACAAAAGGAAACTGGAATCCTCACTTGGTTCAAAGACGGTGGCAGCTTACTGAAATCATGATTAAGAAAATTGAAAGAATCACTCCTCTTTGCCATTGAAAACAACTCCTTATACCATATTGATAGTATTTCATTGGAACTCTTTATCGAAAGATTCAGTGGTTTGGAAATGAGTAGTAAATTTGATAAATCTCTGAGTGGAAGAAATGATAGTGCGTGAATTTTAACCTCTGTAGACACACGTTTGTAAAAATCAGATAAATCCATCTTGTAGAACTGATCAAATATGGCTTGTCTTGCAGGTTCAATATAATTTCCCATTTTTTTCTATTGATTTCACAATGAAATTGTCTTGATTTTGTAAAAATAGAAATTGCTACGTCAAGATTACGTCACATTTGTGTAATATGCTAATTTATATATTAATTAATTTCAAAATACCCAACAAATCAATATATTTTGATGACCTATTATAATTCACGTTTTTTGGCCTTATTCAATTCATTATAAAACATCATGGCATAATCTTGATTCAAGACACTGAAAGGAACAGCACGACCAAGGATTGGATTGAAAGTCTTATTCATATCAAGACCATTCTTAATTTGAAGGAATGGATGTGGATTTCTACGATTAACTACAACTTGAGAGTCACGAGTCGTGTAGGAGAAGAGGCAAAAGAAGGCCCACAATATTCCAAAAGCTGTTGGAACAGCAACAATGGCAGTTCCTAGGAAACCAATGTAATATCTGAATCTTCCATCCCTAAATTCTAATGGTTTACCTTCTAAATGTTGTCCATTTTCATACATTCCAGAAATTTGGTCAAAGAAACCAGGTTTCTCCCTTCTTTCGTATATTTGAAGATTTCTAACAGAGGATGATGAAGATTTGAATTGAGATACAAGTAAGGCATTGGATGAAATTCTAGTCAATCTATTTGACCTTGAAGCAATCATTGAAGTGAGTTGTTTGTTGAGCATGTTCATTTTCTAATGAAATATTAAGTTATTGTTATTCTTTTTGTTTTTTTGATGTTATTGACTAGCATTGTATGCAAACTTGTCACAATTTAAACATTTCCAAATATTCCAAATTAAAAAACTGTGGCGATTCGCAATCTAGACGGCCCGTGTTTAATTGACCAAGTCGGCCCGTAAGATACTCATAGTATCATATTATATTGATAGAATGTAGTTAATGATATGAAGAACACTTGTAAATGTAAATTGATAGAGAAGGTGTTATGGGACTTTCCAAAGTCCGTATTGTAATTTCAATATCATTCCCCTAATATTCTCAAAAAGAATCACCAAATCGGCGACATTCTTATTGTCATTACCAAATAAAACAATTTGAAAAAAGTTCTATTCAACACCTGCATATTTATACGGCGACTGATAATTTGCCGATGTGTGATTCTCCTGTGGATGAACCTAGGTTTAGAATATCTTCATGTAGCTTTACTTCATGAAAAATTCATCATGACATCTAATTGTCATGTTGGCTAGAGTAATAATAATAATACTTGCAATAGTTTGCTTGGTTATTTAAATATTGTTACTTGTTGTTCTTCATAATAATTGTAGGAAGAAAATAGTAATATTACTAACTAGATATCCAATTAATTGTTGTTGAATACTAAATAGTTATTAAATAGTTTGTTATTAGGAGGTATAAAGAATTAATGTTTTTTATATCTGGCAAATCTAGAAATGTTTCCAAGTGTACCAGCATTCAATACATTAGAATATCCAATTCCATTCAAAACACCCAATGCTGTTGAACTTCTCATACCACTTGCACAAAAGACAATCATTTTGTGAGACTTGTCCTTTGGAAGAGAAGGATGATTTGGTGTAATTTCATTGTGAGGAATATTGATGGCACCTGGGAAACTTCCACCAGCATATTCAGCTCTCGAACGTACATCAATAACAAGTGTATTACCTTCTATAATGTACTTTCTAATGTCATCATCACTGGCTGTGCTCATCATTTTACGTATCATGGTGAAAGCCAAGACACCAATAACAATAAACATTATAATATTAGTGCCATTATTTTGCACTTGTTGTTTAATAGTTTCAAACATGTTGTTGTTAGGGATTTAGGACGTGAAATTAGAGAGAGTTTGATGTTGTTAGAGAGTGTGTTAGTAGTAAAAAACCACAAATAATTAATGTGCGTTTTTTTTTCGATTTGTGTTCTTCTAAATTCTTTTGGCCGTTCTTCTTATTGGCCACTTCTTCATCATTAGAGCAGCAACCAAAGACACAATTCTTGAAATAATAGTTCTGTGAAGGGAAGCGGCGAAAACGAAAAGGGAGAATTATACAAGGATAATTGTTGACAAGGTTGGCTTGTAATAGTATTATTGATCATGTTGAATACAACAATAACATCTTGAGGTATTTACCCATCATTACAAGTGGAGGCGAAATAACTTCGTTGTTTTGCTCGCTGAATTTTCTCTTCTGTATTACAATTTAAATATTAAATAATAATTAATATTTAACGGATGATGTGGGTGGTTAGCTTTCAAAATCATCATCCATAACATCGAGAGAATTATCGTCCATGGAAATATTATTACTATTACATTCGGTAGTATTGTTGTTCATAATTGAATAATTATTCATGATGACTGAAGTGTAATTCCTTGTACGTTCGATAAAAGCTTCAAAGTTAGTTCTTGCCAATTTAGAGGCTTCATAATTGATGAAACATGTGGCAGAGGAGAGCATTGGATAGCTACCATCTGACTCTGGACATAAGAGTGCCCGAATGGACATGAGGATGGTTGAGATGACAAAACAAGACTTCCACTCGTTTTGAAGTAAAATTGGCAAACAAACCTCTCCACTATTTGGATGAATAGCTGGATGGAAGAGAGGTGTGAGACACTTGACTTTTGGTGGTTCGACTGGATAGGTGTGAGGGAATTTAATTAGAAAATTATAAACACGTCCATCCCAAATGCCTTCTTGTGGTTCTACTCGGAAATAAATTGTATCCTGTATCGAATTGTTGGTTGATGATGTGAGGGAAATGAAGGGGAAAAATCGTTCATCCAAATTTTCATAATCAACTCCCATCCTCTTTGAAATAAAACATGTTTTACCTGTTGTTTGTTCCGACACTCCAAACATGTACTCATCATCGTGAAGGAGAGCCCTAGTAAGAGAAGGTGGCTCGAACAATAACTTCTCTCTGTAAATTTCCAATCTTTGAGGGCTGAACATTGTGTATGATATTTTTTGAAATTATTGTGTTGGTTCTATTTTTAAAAGTTGGAAATGAAGAAAATTGAAATTGATCTTTAAGACAAACTAAGAATAATATCAGTTGAACTTGATTACAAAGTTGTTCGAATCTGGGGTTGAATTGATTTCTGTAAACTTCAAGTTTATTCAGCTTATTTCTTCTTCTTCTTGTTATTGTTTCTATTGTTCTTCTTGGATTGTTGAGGTGAGTTTTCTTTTTTTGCTTCAGTAGTGGATGATTGCTTGGTTGCTGGTGAAGAAACGCTTTCAGTACTTTCTGAAACCTTTTTTTCTGGGGTGGATGATGGAACTTCATTTGTTTGAGGAACTGATTCTGGTGTTGGTTCAACACTTACTTTTTCAATAGTTGTTTCAGGCTCTTTTGTTTGTTCTTCGACTGTTGGTTCTGAGCTTTCCTTTTCTGTTGGTTCATTAGTGACATTTTGGTTAATGTTTTCTGTTGTAATTTCAGTTTCTGTTTTTTCTTCGATTTGTGATTCAGAGCTTTCCTTCTTTTCTGTTTCAGCTGGCTCATTTTCTGTTTGCTCTATAGACACTTCAACCGTTTGTTCTTGTGTAATTGATTCATTTGTTTCTTTCTTTGCTGGTTCGTCAAAGACTGTTTGGGATAATGGAACAGATCCTGGCTTTGGGTCTTCAGTTGTTCTTTGAATATTCTCGTTAGTGGTTTCAGGTTCTGTTGTTTCTTCTACTGTGGTGGTAATCTCTGTTGAAGGTAATGATGTCTCTTCTGGTTCAGCTTGTTCTTTTGTGTTGTTCTCAACCTGTTCTACAACCTCTTCGACTATTGGTTCTGTTACTTCTGATTTTTCCTCGTTCTCAACTGTTGGTTGGGTTTCTTCCTTAGTGGTGGCAATTTCTTCAGTCATGACATTTTCTGTGTTAACATTTTCAACAGGTGGAGTGTTTGATTCGGTATTTTCCCCTACTTGTTGAGGAGGGTCTTCTGATGGAGTTTTCTCCTCTTCCTGAATTTGAGAGGTTGAAGTGCTGGAAACAGAATTTTCCTTAGCTTCTTTGCCCTCTTCAACAACATTTTCAGAACCAGATTTCTCTACTTGCTTTGTTTCTTGATTTTCAGCTGCAGGGTCCTTCACCTCAATCATTTGTCCTTGAAGGTTGAAAATTTCTTGACCTGTTTGTTGAATATAAACTTGAGGTTCTGCTGAGGATTCTTCTTCGACTGGTTCCACCTCTACATGTTCTGAAATTACTTCTTCCTGAGGTTCTTCTACAATTACTGAAGAATCTGTACTAATATTATCTTCATTGATTTCCTCTTGATTTTCTTTAGTAGGTTCAGAAACAGCTTCTTCCTTCAATTTTTCCTTCACTGGTTCTTGTTCAGTTGATGTCGTTTCAGTAGATGCTTCTGTTGTACTCTTTGGCTCGTCTAAAATTGCATCTGTTTGAGTGGTTTCTTCCTGACTCAAAACTGGATCAGTGGTTTGAGACTGTTCATCTTTTGTTTCAACCAGTGTTTCAACCTCTTCTTCCAAAGGTTCTACGCTGAACTCATCCTCGGAATTCCCAGCAACTGCTTCACGTTGGTGGGAAGAAATGTCAATATTGCCTTCTGCAGTACTTGTTTCTTCATCTGTTTTTTCATTAGATTCTTCAGGAGTTTGTTCACTTTCCCCAGAATTGGGATTTTCAGTTAAATTATTGGATTGGGAATGATCAAATCCTTCAAGATTATCAGCAGGTTCAAAATCTGGATCAAAGTATGAAGTAATTTCATCAGATTCTACATCTTCTTGTTTCGTTGCTTCATTCACATCATTATCAAATAATTCAAGAGAAAGCAACTGCCATATTCCTTGAGAAAGAAATTGTCTATTAAGATTGTCATTGCAAATCAACTTGGCTAAGAAATATTGATCTGCATTTCTGAAACATCTTGGTAATTTGGATAATTCCTTTTGTGAAATACCGTTCAGCTTCATTCTTAAAATACATGTAATGATACAACCGTGGACAGATCCAAGCTTTTCAATTGAAGTTTGCAAGTCTGCTTCCTTTTCAATGTAGGTAGAGATTGGGAAGTTTGCTGTTTTCATTGAATAGACAAGATTTGGATCACCGTCTCTGCTTTTGGTTTCCAATAATGAAAACTCCTCGTTCAATCTGTCAGCAATTGCTTTGACGTTCTTCATATCATTCTCAATCGAAAGTCCTTTGACCACATTACCAACCATTGAACAAGTTCTTTCTAATGGAACGTTGAAATATGATGTGCAAGGTAAATAACTCAATTGCAGTACTACATTCAACTTGAAAAATGATGCAAGTTCTTCCACATTGGCATTAGCATCTTCCATTAATATTTGAGTGCAAATATCTTGTTGCAAAGCTTCCAAATCCACACATCTTCCCGAATGTAAAAAATAACCATTCATTAACAAATCCTTAACACTTTGATTTCCTTCTTGGGCTGTTCTTTCAATATCTTTTGACATGATATCATTCACACAACCACTTTGAATTACATTTATGAATGCTTCATCGGGAAGAGTTGTTGTACTAGTTGGTGTCGAAGGAAAACTATCAAACGAAGATCCTTCTTTCTTCACAACTCTTGATATTGGTGAGAATGAGGCTCCCCTTGATGCAAGACTCAATTTCTGGGCCAGGATCTTTCTCTTTTCCATAAGGGCTTCAGTCTTTTTGATTGGTTTTGAGGAAGGATCCAAGTCTGAGGAGCAAACTACTCCCTTCTTATGGGCTGTTTCAAAACTCACTAAATATTGATTTGTTGATGATCGAGGTGGAACCTTATACTTTCTTGTGGCAATAAATGATTCAGGAGGGGTTTTCTCTGTTGGTATTGATGAAACTGTTGAGTTGGTTGATATTGGATTTGTCAGAGCCTTTGAAAGGTCATAAAAACTTGAGTTCAACGAAGAAATGTTCAATCCTAGTTTAGCATGTGATGGTTTTTTGCAATTTTCCTCAGCTTGATTCTTATCAATGTGGAAAGAGAATTTACTCTCGGATTTTTCAGAAGTTGAAGGGGCAAAAGGCCTCGGTACATGAAACTTGGCAATATCAGGAACTGCTTCAAAATTATTCCTTTTCACCATACCCGATTTTTGATTAGGAGTGGAAGATGATGATACAAAGGCTCCTTTTGGAGTTTTGGTGATAGTAGAGCACGGGGAAGGGGGTGGTGTATTCATTGTTGTTGTTGGAAATTTCTTCTTAAAGGCGCTCAATGAAGCTGGAGAGTTTGCAGGAGTTTTATTCATTTTCTTTCCCTTAATAAAATTACAATGTCTATGAATTGCTGATGATGTTATTATATTCGCCTCTCCAAAAGACCTTTTTTCTCTCCCGACTCTCAAAAAGCCTCCTAATTTTTTTAAGGTTGTTTAACGCTAATTTCCAAAGGGAAAAAGTTAATTGTGTGGTTATCAATTTAAAATTATTAAGGAGGATGATGATTTCCTTACAACAAATTTTCAATTACCCTTTACTGTGATTGACAGTTGAATTGTTCGGAAAGTTACGGAATAAATATATTTGCAATTCAAATTTGCATAGAAATTCTTTCACTTCCCATCACTATTAATACTTTTCACAGTTTTCTCTTTGTTGGTGTTGGGAATTCAATCGCTTTCCATTTAACAATAAAATTAAAAGCAAAAAACCCAACAAACATCAAACAAAAACAAAAAGCAACAATTAATTGCAATAAGACTTAATAAGCAGCAACAAAATATTTTAAATGTCCTATCAACAAACAATCAAACTTCCGCAAGCAAATATTGCTGGTCATATTATTGGTCAAAAGGGAAGTCAAATTAACAAGCTTAAGGAAATTACTGGATGTTTCATCAATGTGAAGAGTGAACAATCATTGGTGGAAATTAAGGGAAGAAAAATGGAAAATGTGAATGAAGCAGTGAGATTAATTCAATTAATAATTAACAATTCAATGGCTGTTTATGAGCATCCGAATGCTGTATGTAGTGTATTGAAGGATATTGGAAATGAAAGCAAGTTTCATTTTGTCGAGTTTGGTAAAAGCATTCATGGAACTGAGGTGGTGTATAGATTAGTTTTGGATTCGTCTCAAAAGTTGAATCAAGAAGAGATGCTTCTCGATCAAATGAATAATTTGAATTTGCAAGATAGGCAATTAATTGATAAGAATCGAGTTTCTCACACCTATATTCATTCTAAGGTAGTGGAAAATGTGCTTATTGAAGAAGGTGTTGAAAGAGTTTCCAATAATTTGTTGGAAATTTCAAAGGACAATTCTTTAAAACACAAAATGATGATCAAGATATCCCTTGGAAAGAAGGCTTTCTACTCTGCTGATCGTTCTGTCAAGACTCTCGACACTAACAAGATGTACACCTTTCCTGAGTTTAGTAATTTATCAATTGGTTATGGAAAGGACCTCAAGTCAACTTGGAAAACAGAACAAGATGAAAAGTTTATCACCAAATTGAAAGAATTTCTTCAAACTGATGATTGGGTAATGCTTAATGAGAGCGAAGGCGTCAGTTGCCATTGTGTTGAAATAGTTCAAGGAATTGTTGGAAGAGACAATTCCAAAGGAGGAAAACGTTTGGATTTCAAAGTTGTCAGAGATTGTACCAACAAGTGTAAATTGACCAAAATTCGTCGTCAAATGAACAAGCTCATGTTTCTTGACATTTGTCAAATTCAACCTGATGACACTAGCTCCATAATTCCAGACATGAGAATTCGTTTCCAAACTGAACAACACGAATTGAATCCTCACTCTCATACTGACCTTTCCAATTATATTTCACACTTGGAATTCCAACAAGAAGAACTCTCCGATCGAAATGTTCCAACAATGTTGAAAAATCAATTCAGTAAGGACACCTTCCGTTACAAGAAGAAACAAATTTTCAAGAAGGAAAACTGCAAACTTTCAATCAATTATGTTTGCGCAGAAAGTAGAAAATGGTTTGAAGTTCAATTATCCCCACTCGTTCCATTTACTTTATTGGAAAGCAGTGAGAATTGTCAAAGAAAGGAGGAAATTATTGGATTCACTGCTGAAATGATTGCAAAAATGAATGATATCCTTGAAAGAATGAATACTGTTTAGAATAAATAATATTGTATCAAATCTCAATGTGATGTATTTCGTTATCTACTCAATTTCCAATTCTGGAAGTACTCACAACAATTTCATTAGCTCATTATAAAGATTTTATTTTATTATTATAGAAAAGTGATTAATTCTCAATGAGTAGAATAAATAATGTATCTCTCATTACAATATCAAGCAAGGAATGCAAAACTCTGTGAATTTTCGAAAAATGCTAGAATTACCTTTCATGTTGAACTAGACATTCTTATCCAAAACAGCAGCATTGGTATAATAGAGCGAGGAAGATACATCATGATGATGGTGATCATGATCAGCATCCATTTCAAAGCTCTTCTCCGTATTAAGCGACCTTGGCTTGCAACAACTGAATGCAGCTGCAACTACCAGCAGAAGAACAATTCCAATCACAACCATTAATAGCAAGGAGAGGAAGGATATGGCTCCTCCTGTGAGTGAATATTCGGAAATTAGAATCCTCAATGAAACTTTCAAATCTCTTGTTTCCATCAGCATTGTTGCATTGGAGTGAGGAATGGCCAAGATGTAAATATTAGAAATTTCCTGTGAAGACAAAGCTGAGGGGGATGTTATTCTCGTAGAAGTGTGCTTTTCCAAGAGTGAGTGCTTGTATTTCCCTTTCACTGATGATATATCTTCATTGTTCACATCAATATAGAGTGAAAATCCCGAAGATTTGAGCAATACATCAATAGAGTATTTGAATGAAGAAGTACTCGAATTAAGCTCAATGCAGAACAAGAAGGTTTCATTGAGCATGATGGTGTGGGTATATAAATTTTCGTGATTCAGAGCCAAATCATATCCCTTAATATGCATTTGATGATGCAGGTGATGATGATGAGTAGTTTCGTTGTTACTTGTTTCCATCTGCACAATATCCTCGGCATTGTTATTCTTCATTATGAAACTCTCCCTTCCGACCACACAATAGGATAACAAACAAATCGTCATCATCATCAATACTATACTACACAACACACTTTCACTCCTCAGATTCTTCATCATTTAAGAGAGCAACTAATAAGACTATTTTAAGGTACAAGAGCAAATGAGCCCAATTTTTTCAAACAAATTGCATCTGTACTGCCCCAACAACAATGGTGCGTCCATTTTACTGTTTACAGTACTTCCAGAACGGGATTTGAATGAGATTGTTGTGGTTGACTGCAATGAGAAAAAAAATGGCAACACAACAACTAGAGTACACTTTTTTTATCGATCCAGCAGTCATTCGTTCATTTCTGTTGCCGTTTCTAAATTTTAATGATTTTAGGAATTTAATGCAAGTGTCGAAGGAGTTTGCTCAGATTTTAACAAATCACGATGATCAAGAGCTTTGCTTTTCATGGAATGTAAATGTTGGAGATTTTGCAGTAATTGAAATACTGAGAAGGTATTCGGAGGATCTTGATGCAAATACAATTACTGGATCGATGATTGGTGGAGCGAGAGGAGTTAACATTTCTTCCTTTTGGTCAATCTGCCCACAGTCACTCAGTTTCTTTTCAAACAATTGTAAAATTATTGGAACATTCTTGCAGAGAATTGGAAAAGGAAAGGCAACTTTCTTGGAACTTCCTCCAGAATTTGATATTCAAAAATTGGTATTGATAACCAATTGGTGTGAATGCCCAATTCAACGCCTGACAATTACTCACTCTGTAGTGGATTCGGTTTTTGATTTTAAAGGTCAGACACCCATGACCCAATATGTAATCCACAAGTCTGGATGTAAAGAGCTGGTCATTAAATTGTCAGAAATAACTCAAGCATCTACCACTTTTTATTTGAAATGTGGAGAATCATGTGAAAAAATCAGTATGAAGAAGATTAACCGTGAGAAACATGTAGAGCAATTTCATGAATATTCAAAAACAAAGGATGGTCTTTGGACGAGCAACACAGTCGATACTCCACCTTTTAAATAATTGAGCTTGCTTGAAATGTGTTAGAATAATAGAACCGATACGAAGCTACCACTTTATTTGTTACATTATTCGAAAGTACAACAGAAACAGATGAAGGAATTGATGATCAACCTGTTTCACATATTCCAATTGTAATCATTGAAAAACAAGGGAGAAATTTAATTAGCCAATTTGAATAAACAATTTCTTTAATAAAATTTAAAAAAATGGCTAAAAGCAAATCAACAACACCACAAAAATCCGGTGGCAACAAGAAGTCGACACCATCATCAAAAAAGACATCATCCTCTCCGGTACCACCACAACCAGAATTTAACTGGAAACGATTTTTAATTTTATTCGCAATTTTTCTATTAATTTTAGGCTTGATGAAAACAATCGAGTTTTTCAGTCCAGCCTTGGAGAAGACCGAAGGAACACTTGATATGAGATCACAGGGTTACTTTAGTGAGCCTCCAGAAATTGAAGTTTTTGAATTGTTGGAAAAGTTGGGATCGGATGGAAGATTTTCTCACTTGATTATTCAATTTATTGATGCTTTTATGTTTGTTCCTATTTATTGTATGGTCTATTCATATTTGTGGCTGTTGCTTGGTGAAGGAAGTTGGAAACCATTGATGATTATTCTTGTTGGTTTGAATGCTTTGGTGGACACTGCTGAAAATTTGAGTGTCATTACCTTGTTGTTGTGTTATCCATTCTTTAGTGGTGTGATGAATGTCAAGACACTTGCAGAGTCAACTGAACCAATTATGAGTTTATTGAGTAAGAAAATTAGTAGTGGAGATTGGCAAAGCATTGGACAAGTTATTGTGAAAGGTTTGGCCAGAAGTTTACATTCATTGACACCAACCAAGTTTATGCTTGTTGGCTTATTCTTTACAGTCTTGATGGTAATGACAATTTTATCACATTTAACTCATCAAGCAAAGGAGGAAGAAGAAGAGGAGGCAAAACAAGCCAAGGAAGAGGCTGAAGCAGCCAATAAGGAACTTCCTCCTATTAAAATTAGGTTGGCAAAGGGAAGTACAAGATTCGAGGAAGTCATAGATGAGGATAGCTCTAAAAAGAATGATTAGAAATTGATGTTGTTGTTGGAGAAGTACTACCCAAAGAGGAGGATGATTGATCTAGCTCTGAATTATTATTCATAATGAAGCTCAATGACATTGGATAAACTTTGTCAAATATTGGTAAATGCCTAATTTCAAAAAAGTATTGTGGCCATTTGACTAGACCAAATTCGTCTTTCAATTCATAGAATCGTCTCTTGAGAGTGGATAGACTACAATTGAGTGCTTTACAGGCCTGTTGTTGAGATAAATGCAATACTTGGAGCATTTGCTTTTCAGATATTGTCTTTCTAAAGACAAATTCCTTCTCACCCGAAGTTGTTGGCAATGGTTTACAATATTCTCCCTTCCATATCATAGTGACATACTTATTACTCTTCTTGGTTCTTCTATCTACACCTTGAGATTCTCTCATTATTAGTTTGAAATGGTTTTTTTGTATTATTTTATATCAAAATACATCCAGAAATTTGGCAGATTTTAAACAAAGTTTGAGATTGTCACAATGTTTAAAATCGAATATTTCTAGAATTACTTTCTTAAAATGTTCATAGTAATGCCTTAATCGGTGCGTATCTAGCAATGCTCGATTTCGATTATCTCCTTGACATACTTTTGTTTTCAACGCGTGTAAATGGAATAGAAAAAGAGATAGAGAACTTTCTGGGCATGATGTGTTTCATTACAAATTAATCTAAGGAGATTGATATTTAAAGGAATGATGTCACATCATGTCCCATTCGAATACATTTAGACAAACTTATGTACATTTTTGGTTTCGTATTGAGATTTGAATGAGGTTCGAAACACGAATTCAGACCCAACCTAATTTGTCCATCGTTTCACGATATTTATCAACAACTTTCCAATACTTAATCTCAACTGCCTTATTTCTTAATTTTCAATAATTGCAATCGATAATAATTCTATTTTTAAACCAATTATTCCATTTCAATACAAGACAAATCAATCTTAAAAAAAATGGGAAAAAACTTTCGTAACAAAACATTGCCATCGGCCAATACCAGTCATTCGATGGCCTCGCCATTGCAAATCCCCTTTTCAGCTCGTACTTCAAATCAAAAGTCGCCAAAACATTATCTCCTTCCTAAACATTATCAAGAGATTGTCAAGTATTTTGTATCGAAGGAGAATACAAGTGATTTGGCTTTGATCTTGTTGAAAAGGTTATTCTCTCCTTCCGATTGGAAAATGTATTATTTTGATTATAAAGAGTGGAATGAAAATGTTACAGAGTGTAGGAAAGATCTGAGAAAGATGATTCAAATGGGAACATTGCAATCACTCTTGAGAGGAAAGTATTTTGTGGAGGATTTGACTATAGTTCCTGTTGAACAGGTTGAGGAGGAGACACAAATTCCTATTCATGAGAGAGTGTTCGTGAGAAAGCCATACGTTCCGAGGAAGAAGGAAGAAGAAATAGTTGAGGAGGAACCAGAAACTAAAAAGAAAAAGAAGAGGAAGAATAAGAAGGTTGATCCAGAGGCTGAATTTGAATTGACTGCTGAGGAATTGGCGCATGATGGAACATTTGAAGGATTTGAAATTATGGGAGAGGAAGACAGACCACCTTTGGATGAAATTATCATGTTGAACGAAAGAAATTTGAAAAAGGATCCTAAAAAGGATAAAAAGGATAAAAAGAAGGTCACCAAACCAACATCTAAAAAACCTGAGGAAGAGGAGGAAGAAGTTTTCTTCTTTGATGATGGAATTCCAGAAAAAGAAATTCCAGTCACTACAATTCATTTGGATTTTAATGCCATCAAGAAGATTTCAAGCTCTACCGAGCTCATTGATTGTGCAGAATTGGAATCTGTTGTACAAATATCTAAAAAGATGAATACAAAGGAAAATCAAACAACCAAAACAATATTCCAAGTAGTTGAAGGAGATATTTTGGAAGCAGCATTGGCCTTGAAGAAAAACTCAAAGGTCAATCCACTCGTGCTTGTCAGTGCAAGCCAAAATATCCCAGGTGGTTTATATGATAAGGGAGGAAATACACAGGAAGAGGATATGTGCCGAAGAACTTCTCTAGCACTTTGCTCTGCTGATCCATATAGAATATCAGGTCGTACGTGGTTTTATCCATTGCCAGAGTTTGGAGGAATCTATGTAAACAATTGTCTCGTGATTAGAAAATCAAAATATGAAGGATATGCATTCTTGGAAAAGCCTACCAACATGTCAATGTTCTTATTGAGTCCTATAATTAATCCTCCAACAGAGAAGAAGAAATTAGTGGCAACAGAAAATTCTGGAGATGCAACTTCTGAGCCAGAATATGAATATTTCCTTCCTGCTAAACTCACAACCACAATGAAAAAGAAGATTGCCTCCTATTTGGAAGTTGCACTCAGTAAGGGACATGATGCTTTGGTACTGTCTGATTTTGGTTGTGTGAATTCACATTCTAATCCTTCCTATCACATTGCCTCACTCTTTAAGGAAGTTCTAATGAGCGACTTGTTTAGAGACAAATTCAAGCATGTCTTATTTGCCATTACTCTAGACACTGAACCAGACAGCAGATTGACCAGTATTATTGAAGATGTCGATGAAAGCTCAACAGTCGTCAGACAGGAAAGTTATGAAATTCAAAAGAAGAACAATCTCACCATCTTTTCTAAAATATTCAACAATAGTGAATCTGCACCAACTGTAGATGAACATTTCAAAAAGATCAAAGAATCATTGTAAAATAATATCATCCATCATAGTAATTGATGACACACATGTAAAGAATCCTCACACATAAAAAAATGTCTCACTATCTCAGGTCAACACCATTATTGTTGCCCTCTCTCAACAGCAAACCATCAACACTATTAAAACAATTGGTAGCCAAGGAGGATTCTGCAACATTATATCTTCATCCTCCGAATATTATTACCACAACAACAACAGAGAGTGATGCATCCGAAACCCTTCTCGATGTTTACAAAATTAAACAAAAATTGGGTGAAGGATCTTTCGGTCAGGTTTATCTTGCAAAGATAAAATCGACAAAGGAAAGATTAGCACTCAAGAGAATTGTGACGAATTTGAGTGGAGATGAAACTGAGGATGAGACCGAAAAGATTATTTATGAAAATTTGCAGGAGTATTATACATTGCGTGATTTGAAAGATCATCCAGCCATTGTGAAGGTAAAGGACGTCTTTCTAATGAAGGACAAAGCATCACAACAGATTGGTCATGTGAGCTATTCTATGAAATTATATGAACATGGAAGTTTATTCGAATGGATTACTAAAAGAAAGGGAAGTAACAAGAAGATGGATTTTAGAATTTTAAAATCAATCATGATTCAATTGTGTCTAGTATTGAAATTTATCCATCAAAAGGGTTTACTTCACAGGTGAGTATTAAAATTATAGAAAAATGGATGTTAATTTACTGTGTACAGAGATATTAAACCAGCCAATATCTTTATTGATTACTTGAAGACGGAAAAGACCTTCCTTCCAGAGGAATATTTCAAAGAGGAAGAATCTTCAATAGTTGTAATTTTGGGAGATTTTGGAACTGTTAGAAAGTACAATGAAGGATCTATGGTTCAAACTACAGTTGGATCCCAAATGTACATGTCACCTGAGATTTTATATGGTGAAAATTATCAAGTGGATGCAGATGTTTGGTCTCTGGGAGCTTCTCTATTTGAACTTGCTACTTACAAGCCAAAACCAATAGCAATGATGCTCTACAAGAGAGAAGGTCCCACAATTAAAAAGAATTTGGAGGATGCTCTGCTCTTGAATAATGAATATATCAAGACAGAACAAGATTCTAATGATTGTTTGGAATTTATCAATTTAATAATGGACATGTTCACTCTGGAAGTTTCTAAAAGACCAACCATTGAAACCTTGCTCTCCTCTCCATGTTTAAAACCTCAATTAGATAGAGTACTACTAATCACTTCCCAATACACCTCCCAAATGATTCAGGAAGAGAATGAGCTATTAGTGAAATTGGTAGAAGATTTGAAATACAATGTCACATCAACTTCCTCTCAAGGATTGAAAACATTTATGAAAAAGAACCTTCTGGCAACCACAAAGGATAATGATGGCAAAAAGAATAATCTCTTACTTGTGGCAAGTTGGTGGAGTTCTAACTTGAGAATATTCCCGGTAGCTCCACAAAATGAAAATTCGCCTTTGGAAATATCTAATGTTCCCTACATATTGGAATTGAAATCAGATATAACCTGTGAACAAATGATGCCAGTAAGTGAGAGTGAGGTCATTCTTGGATTGCAATCTGGAGAAATTGTTAAAATTAGAAGAGAGGGCTCTCATTCATTCAAGGAAATTTCCAGATTGAATGCACACAAGCATCGATTGAAATGCTTTAGACAACTCAATGATCAATATTTTGCTTCTGGTGCCTATAACAAATCGGTAAAAATTTGGGATCTCACAAACTTGGAATGTGTTCAAACATTTAAACACGAAAGTGGACACGTCTTTGCGTTGGCTAGTACTAACTCATCAAGGAGTATACAAGAAACGTCCTTGTTCAGTGTTGGAGCAGATATGAGTATTTATGAATGGGATTTTGAAAAGTGTTTACAAAAGAGAGAAAAAGCTCACTCTGATGAAATTTACTCCTGTCTCTACAATTCAAACAGTTCAATCCTCTTGACAGGATCTTTCAAGGAACTAAAAGGATGGGACAAGAGACAACATCAACCAATTATCAACTTTTCACCTCATTCAAACTATATTAACAAAATTGTTGAAATTGAAAAGAGCTATGACGGACAGGAATTTAGAGATGGAAATCATTTCATTACATGCTCTAATGATGGATTTATCAAATTGTGGGATGTTAGAAAGTTACCAAGCAATAGCTCCACTTCATCTACCGACCAAGAATGCAAGTCGTTCAAAGTCAACCTGGATGCTATCAAGACACTCCATGTTTATTCCAATACTATTTTCTATGGAACTAAGAGAGGTAGGATGGGAACACTTGATTTGAAAACTTTCACATCTATCAAAACCTACAATGCCATTAAGGGAGTCGTTGGTGTAGTAGATGTTTCATCCATACAAATGTTGTGAATTAACCACCAAAAGTCACAGTACTGAGAAGGAAAACCATCACTACAACTGAAATGGCAACGTAGAGGAGATTTCTTTTCATTATTCTAACAAAATCATGGTAATCCTTTGACATTTCAACAGGTTTTTTGAAAATCTTGAAAATTCTCAAATAATATATACACATCAATACATAGGGAACATCAGAAAATACCAATGCAACATCACGCAGAAATAACAAACGACCTAAATGATCCAAACCTTGATCATGAATAACTTGCACAATATGAGTCAAACTAAAACTCAAAACAATCCAAAGCAAGTAATTCATTGCCTTAACCTTGCACTGCATTAAGGATCCATCCTGTTGAACAATCTCTGAAATGCTATTATTGAAAACTGATCGATTCCACTGTTTATCCAACAACATGCATGTAGTGAACAACATGACACATTCAGAAATGGTGAAATAGAACTGGTGCCAACTCAAACTATGAAAATCGTCATTGAAATAATTAAAGTGAGCTCCATATCCATAATAGACTCCAAACCATCCGAGAATATAAATTGGAATGAGGGAGTAATTACAATTTCCACTCCAAATTAATTGAATTAAATTATTCAAACTCTGGTAAAATGAAATGACCATAAGAATCGACACAAATACCAACCAAAGAGTCGTTCCTTCCACTTGATAATAGATATATTTGAAATTTCCTCTTGGATAAGGACCCTTAGCTCTTCCATCCCAACAGTTACAAGAACATGTATTTCGCCATGTTGGATCATAGAAATCACTCTCCGATTCCAAAAGAGCATCATTGCATGCTGTACATGAGCCACCCTTAGTAAATGGCTTAAACCACCCAAGACAATAGGGAACAATAAAATAAATAACATAAATACAGAGCATAATGATGCTAATTACTAGTAAGGTTCTCATCATGGCTATTAAGGAGGATTTTAAATTACTTGGCTGCTTATCGTGATGATGAGCAATTATCTCGTGTGAAGAATTTTCTGCTAGCATTTGGAGGTAATTTTTTTATAGGTCATTATGCAATAATCAAGAACCAAGTTTATTTAAAAGTTAATAGAGGCAGAACATCCCTTAGTAAGTAAGACAATGATTGGATAAACTGGCAATTGGAGTCCTTGTAAGGAAAATCTTTGTTGTGCTCCTTGCCTTATGGTGAGGGTTTTTGTGTTGCAATCAACTTCACAAAATATTTCATTAGAGTCAACAAAGTCCAATCCTCGCAGAGTATTATTGAGAGTCTTGTCAGAACAAGAAAAGACATATCTATTACTTGTGAGAACGTCATAGTTGTGGTTGTTGAATGGAGATTTAAAACATGTAAAATCCTTATTATCAAATACAGACTTTTGACAAACACCAATACCAATCCATTTACAAATATTTTTCAAGTCAACTCTCCACTCTACAACTCCTTCACTAATCTTCATTGAACTAATTACTACAGAATGTCCAGAATATGAGGTTTTGGTAAATAAATTTGCTTCTTTTGTAACATTATCTCTGTCATAGTAAAATTCATCAGGAATAATATCTTGGATTGGATCTAAATGGCGATTGAGAAGGTAAGTAGTTGATGGAATATTAGCATTCACTCTTCCCAAATTTTCAATTGAATCCAAAATTACTTTAAGCTTGTGTTTGTCACTTTCCAAACAAAAGTTGTTCAATTGTTCTGCACTACTAAATCTCAAATTGTTTTCCATCTTGTCATAGGTGCTATAAATTTTCTTTTGTAACAATATCTTGTTTCTAATCAGATCAATCTTTGACATTTCTTCAATTTTATCAATATTAATAAGAGCTTCCTTTTCAATTACTTGCTTCATTTCTAAAATCTCTGTAATCAAGTTAATTCTTTCCACGGCCATGTCATTTAATGACTTTTTCAAGTATTCTCTTCTACTATTGGTCTTGTTAATTACTTCATCGAAGAGTTCATCAATTAAATCCATCTCAGCAATTTTTCGAATTTCAATTTGATGTAGTGTTTCATCCAATTTTGCACTCCCACCAATCAAGTTATCAAATTGCAAAACTCTCTTTTGCAAGGTTTCCAAATCGACTCGGAATTTAATTTTCTCTTCATTGTAAATTTGATCAATCAAGAAACAATCATGCAATTTATGCATCTCCAAACCACAAGCAGAACAAATAACTTGTTGACAATTTTTACAATAAGTATTGATCGGACAAGCATGAACATGACAAATTTCATGATGATTCAAAATTAAATTATTAATTGGTAATGATGATGAATTATTATGCATCAATTCTTCCACAACGTGATCGGGATGTTTCTTTGCATGTCTCTTTCCATCACCAGAACAATAAAACAATCCACAATCATTGCAACGATATTTAGCCTCCACATGTTCACTCAAATCATCCAAACAAACCGAACAACTTTCTACTCGCATTTTTTACTATTAGAAACGTTCTAACTTCTTCTTGCGCTTTCATCTTTACACCAAGTTCTTCTTAATCTTCTTTTTCAAATTGCAAGTTTCATTTAAAAGCCTTAAATCATCTGTTGCACATGTTGAATTTATTTTTTTTTGAAAATCGTAAATAACAAAATGGCGGGAAGTTGCAACGTCAAGTTCATCTCAAAGATTAAAAAAAATGTTTGACAAGCCAAGTAATCTCTGCTCTCAGTCTTTTGATATTGAAAAACAAGTTTGCTTTTCCAACTCCTCTGATACTGATGTGGTCGATTTGTTTTGGATTGATTATTCGGGTGCTGAGGTTTTTATTAGTACCATTGCTCCAAAGCAACAAGTTGGACAGAAAACCTTTGCTACTCATCCCTTCCTGATGAGAAGTTTATTGAGCAGAAAGATTGTGGGCTTGTTTGTGATTGATGAGCAATTGCCCGATCGATCAACATTGAAATATGGTGAAAATAATTATAATACAAGTGGCAACAGTAAAAGTAGTGGTGGAATGATTCCTACACCTGGTGATGCTCCACCTCGTTTGTTTGAAAAGATTACTTATAGAAATAGTATTGTAGGAAGTCAAGATCAATATTATGGTTTGAAATCAGCAACTGGAACTTGGCCTGCAGAGCTACATGTAAAGAATAGAACTGGACATAATTTGGAGTCTTATTGGATTGATTTTGAAGGTAATTTGAGAAGTTATGGAATTTTGGATTCTGGAAAGAATTTTGATAGTATGAGTGGACATGGTCATATCTTTCTTTTCAAAACTCCTGATGGTTCCTATCAGAAGATAATTACTGCCTCATCTGAAAAACCTTCTCAATTCCTCGATCCTGATGAAATTGAAATTACTGCCTCAGTGATAGATTCACCTTCAGAAACTAGTTGTCACTCTATTCTTGAGAAGCATATTCAAGGAAGGTGTGGACGTGCACTCAAGTTTTTCACTGAACCTCACATTGATCGGATCATTTCAGAAATTGAAACCAAACTCAAACAAGAAGGAAAACGATTCATTGATGAAGACTTTTTCCCAGGAGATAATTGGAAGAGAGCTAGTGATTATTTCAAAAATCAAGCCAGTATTTTCAAAGGTGATATTTCTCCAAAAGCACCAATACAAGGAGGAGCAGGTGATTGTTGGTTAATCCAATCAATGAGTGGAGCAGCCACCTTACCAGACAAGATTAAGGAAGTATTTTGCAAGTGTGAACATATTGATCCATCATTGGGATTGTTTGTCTTGTCTTTCCATTCAACAGATGGTTCAAAAATATTCATTCTCTTGGATGATTACTTTCAATTTACATCAACCAATTTTAAATGTTCAAGGAGTAGTACAGTTGGAGAATTGTGGGTTCCGTTAATTGAGAAGGCATTTGCAAAACTGTGTGGAAGCTTTGAATCCCTTCATCCAGTTGTTGGAAATCATGGTATTAATCCTGCTGAAGTGTTGTTGTACTTATTAAGCGGCAAAAATGGTAAAAACATTCAATGGTACTCTGCTGAGGGGAAAACTATAATCTCTCAGGGAAAATTCTATCCACTCGTGGAGAGTTTATTGGACAGTAAAAAGAGCGTACCAGTCTGTACCAGTAATGCTAATACCAAGGAGGGCTATGTTGATGAGTATGGAATTGTTCACTATCATGGATATTCCATGTTGGGTTATAGAAAATATCCTCAACACGGCATCAATCTTCTCCACATAAGAAATACATGGTCCAAACAGGAATGGAATGGTTTGTGGTCTGATAATTGTGTACAATGGGCCAAATATCCTGATATTGCCAGTGAACTGAGAAGTGTTTCAGAAGATGGATGCTTTTGGATATCATATGATGATTTTGTAAATCACTTTTGTGTACTTTGGTGGAATGAATTTTAAATGGATTGTTATGGTGTAACCGTACCAATCACAAGCCTGTCTCCAACCTTTGAAATGCTATCATTGAAACTCAGATCGCGATCCAACAAAATTATCAATGAGTTGTATACAATGACTATAATTGACATAATTGCACTCTCCTTCTGGAGAAACTCTCTCTTGTCTTATTATCAGCAAAGACTCCTCTACTTTAATCTCCACCACTCAATTATAGGATAGAATTTGATGGTCAACCCATAATGGAATTCTGAATCCAAATCCATTGTTAAATCATCAAACTTTTGAAGAATATTTTGCAAAGTTTAACAACAGTTTACATTTTAGAAAAGAGAAGTGTACCTCCAAATATTTGGCGTAGTGAAGATTTCCAAAAGAACAACACTCAAACGCTGAACCGAAACTTATTGTTGGTTGTAGACCTCGTCTCTCAGGTCTTTACGATACAAGAGACGTTAATAAATATTACAATTTATATGTTAAACTAGTTAAATGGATTGTTGATCCCATCCTTGCCCCTCTACATCATCCCAATCTTGTCCCATATATGCAGCAACTTTGTTATGATCATCCATCACTTTATCGTATTTTTCTTCAAACTCTTTTCCAAATAATTCCTTAATAACTGTTTTATGCGTTTCCGGTAAATATGAAAAGGAAGTCAGACTATCAACATTGAAAGAATCCAATATTTCTTGCTTTCCAAATAATTCAATTAATAATTGATACCATTTTCTTGAATCAAAACTCTCTCTATAAACTCCACCACCTTAGAGAACAAATTTGTTTGTTCGCTAATCAAAATATTTTAAATACTTACCTTCCATTATTTCAGTGCCAATATTGGTTTCATAGCCATTAAGCTTAAAATCAATTGTCAGATATAGGGTTCGAAGAAAATTAATGATTGTATCTGATGGTTCATCAATGCATATAACGCAATACATAAGAAACGAGTTGTGCATACTAATTGCTTCTCTGATTCGTTCCATCGCCACAGGAGTGAGATATCGTTCTAAAAGTTCATTACTTTCCAATTTCACAATATAATGATAAATAGATGTATCAGAGAAAATACATTTGAGTGTTGTGAAATACTCTTCGTGTAACTTCATGCAACGATCTAGAATTGCAACAACCCTTTCAAATTTTTCTTCTCCTATTACATCCTCTCTTCTGGGGATGCAATATTGGCGATATTTTACGCATTGACTCAATGTGATTATAATACTGTCAATTAAATTAATGTTGGCTTTCGGCTCACCACGAATAGCTTTCTTCTTGTACATGAACAAGTTCTTTTCTTGGTATTCTTTGAAAATCTTACTCCCTAATCTTGGTATAATTTCTAATATTTTCTCGATAATGTCTAATAAATCATCAATAGGTATATTTGATCCCTTTCCATAAATTCTCTCTGGTGCTTTGAGAATTAATAATCGGGATCCTAGCTTATCTCTATAAAATTTCAATTCGTCCAACAAAAATTCACGATATTGGTATTTCCATAGTATTTTCCATTGAACATTATTTCTTTCTTTGAGTTTCTTCTCCCGTATTTCAATAGATTTCTCCCTTCTGTCCAAATCCCAAATCTTTGGTTTGTTTGGTTTTCTATTCAATAAATAAAAATTTTCCTTGATAATTTCACTAATTACTTGTCCATTTGAAAGCTTATCGATATGAGTACATGCCTTGATAGATTTCTTCAATGCCCCATCAATTTCAATCTTAAATTCCTCATATAAGTGTGGAAAATAGTTTAAACTAAACTCTATCAATCGTTTCAGTTTCTTTCTGAGCTTGGCCATTGACTGTCCACACGGTTCTGCATTCACTCTCGAATAAGAATGTACCTTTCTTGGACCGGTTTCCATGTCCATATCTGTAGCCGTAGGATATGCATACGCAGTACCATTATTATTATTGCCCTTTCTACTATACAATTCGTAATCATGATTATTCCTCGCTTCATCAAAATCACCCACCGAATACATAAAGAATCGTCTTGCCATTATTCTCTCGATTGTCTTTCCAATAAATTCCCTCGCCAAACATTGACACAGAATTTTGTAGAATAAACCTCCTGTTCCATCCCCATCATATTTGTTCGTTCTATGATTATGATTATTGTCGTGTTGTAGAATTTGGTGATCAGCAAATTCTTCATCGACTACAAAGTCGTGATGATCAAGAAAATAACGAAGGAAAGGCTTGGAGAGGAGAAAAAGTTGTGAATTTACCAAATCATCAATTGGAATAAATGATGAAATTTCAAACCAAATTTCGGTAGGAAGTTGCATCAATTGGTGGACCATTTTTTTTTTACAAAATATTTAAATATTTAATATTAATTTAATAGTAAGAAACCTAACATAATCACTTTTTTTGATTTAATTGAATTAATTTTTATTGTACATTGTTGGAGGTGTAGTATTTTGAATCGTATTCTGCAAAATATTTCGGAAGAGGCTTCTTACTTGTTGGAATATTCAGAAAGTTACTGTATGCCTTTAACAAAGGGTCTTTGTTCTTAACTGCTGCTGATTCACGTCTACTTTGGAAGTATTTGTTATATATGACTAATTGATCAATAATTGATGTTTTGAATTCTGGTTTTCGTATCTCACTATTAGAATTGATATTCATCTTTAGTAATTCAAAAAATACAAATGCAAATACTTGTCCAGAATCTTTCTGACCAAGTTTTTCCCTTTGTTGAGGAGTTAAGGTAAATGTTTTACCATTTAATTCAATGGAAAAGCTTTCTTCATTGTTGAGTGCTTTTGAATGAAATTCTTCTGGAATGCGATCATTTCCAACCAATTGACAAGTTTCCATAATAGCATATTCTGGTTTTACATATTTGGAGGAGTGGGAAACAATATCGTTAAATATTTGACTGAGATATTTGGACTTTTGATTTGATTCTACAGTTTTAAAGTCAAGTTTCATTTTCAAGTCTTCTATTTCCTTGCTTTTCTTGGCTGATTCGGAAGCAAAATAGTTTTGCATACGATTGGATTCTGCTAATTTCTGCTGGAGTTCTGCAATTTCTTTCTTCAAAAGATCAACATTCTCTTTAGATGATGTTGAATAATTGTCATCAATAGGAGAAATTTCGGAATCATGGATTTGTCTTTTTCTTTTGTTATTGGTATGAGTGGTTGAAGTAGAATCAGGCATTTGAAAGGTTGGTGATTGGTTCCCATTACTTACAAATTTTAAACCAGAAATCCTTTCAAAATCTGTTGCAAATTTTGCAAAAGCGTGTTTGACCATTTTTTTGGTTTGGAAAATCAAATGTTTTACAACAATCTATAAAAAGATCATATGTGTTTTAAATAAATTGAACAACAATTTTCTATTTTTCAACATGGAAAATAGCAATGTAACTTGAATCAAAGTCAAGCAACAGTTCTTCTGAAGAAGAAAGATAAGCATGATAGTTAAGAATTTGTAAAAAAAAATGGCAACAATAGAAGCTTCATCATCTTCAACATCCGAACAACAACAAAAATTTGATCTCCAATCAGATATAATTCTCTTCGATTGCATGTCCTCAGTCGTTCCAATCTCCCACTACAAAGCCTTCTCCATGTTGAATATGCATGTCGTTTTGAAACAAGAGGCTAATGTTACTCTTCCAATTGATGATATCGAAAGACGTGTTGGTACATTCTATGATTTGAAGGTTTTGGGAGAGGCTAAGGATGTTCCTCCCATCATACAAAGTAGAAAGATTGAATACTTTAAATTACCAGCAGATATTATTGGACAGTTTGAAGCAAAGGAGGAAGGAACAAGTGGAAAGGCTGAAAAACAAAAGAAGAAGAAGAAAAAGTAGAATTTCTTCTTGAAGAATTATTTGGTGATGGTTTTTAGGCTTTGATGATGAGCAAAATTTAATATTTAATTAATTTGATCATGATGGTGATTATATTGTAATAGTATTAATATTAATATATGATGGAGGAGAAAATTTTGATATTTTGGTGCTAGGAATAATATTTAGTTTTTATTTACATATCCATAGGATAGAATGTAAATAAATTATCATGATATTTACCGAATTGATGATGAAAATTGTTTTCGATTTATTTGGCCCGAAAACTTAAGCGCGGATGACTGTGGAAACAATAATTGGATGAGTGGAATCATTAATCTTCATCTCTTTCAAATCTTCTGGATAATCCAACAATATATCTATATACTCTGGAATTCTTCTTCAACCAAAAATAGAGCACTAGGTGATTAATTGGAATTAGTAAAAAGACAAGACTAATAACTCCAAATTGTGTATAAGTAAAAGGTAATACTGAATCAAAAGCGGTGAGACCATTGGTAAGCATGCCCTTAATGCATTCATTTGACAATTCGGAAGAAAGTACTAGTGTGAACGAAAGTGAAATTATTCCAGAAACTATTCTACACAAGGTCAAGCCACTAGAAATGATAAATAACAAATAGTAATCCTCTTCCAATCTGGTCCACAAAGATCTTTCCTTGATTTTGTAATTTGAAGTTGGTAGTTGTCGTTGGTGAAGAGACATTTTTTGAAGATTGTTATTAGAATGTATTAGATTCGATTTCTTTGATATGCAAATAGTGCATTTGTGTTGATGTTTCGGTATGTACAAATTGTTTAATTATTACTTTCAAAAGTACTTTGTAGGTTGGTGTGAGTTCCAGAATTCACTAGAAAACAAATGTTTCTGTTCTGCCTATTCTAACAAGTGCGCTAGTTTTGTTTGCAAGCTTTTTTCAGCAACAAAAAAAACGCGATAGAACACTTCCAGTTAACAAGAACAAGAACAACATAACCCTAACGTAATGCCACCATCATCAAAACAATCATCATCATCGCCATCAGTAGGAAAGAAAATCAAGTATTTTCCTCGTGTTGAAAAGGCAGAGCAATTAATCACCAAAGGACATATGGCCCAATTCGGTGCCCTCGTTGGAATGAAAATGAGAGAAGAATTAAGAGAACAAATCCGTGAGTACGAATTCGATGTAATTCGAAGACTAATGAAAAAGTCCATTTTGCTGGTAGCCGTAGATGAGGTTGGAAAATCAACAACTTCTAATGGCATTTGGAACGTCGATGGCAATACTATGAGAATGTCATTTAGATCAGAATTGTCATACAAGTTGATGGGTGTGTCAAGTAATGACCAAGAGGATGAAGATTATCACGATGAAGAGGAAGAAGAATCTGAAGTAATAATAGTGAGTGATGATGAAGATTTTGAAAATTATGTTGATGAAGAAGAAATTGAAGAGGAGGATGAATAATTTTCTTCTTCTTATCAACATTTTAATCTTAATACTCTTGTAAATATTAATAAATTTATTGTATTATATATATTAAATATGGTAATTTGCCTACAATATCAAGTTGACTATTCGCTTACAAAATATGGCTATTGAACACCTTTTTTATGCTAACAGCCAGCTTCACTGTGTTGTTTCATGTTCATCCGTTGATGAACTTACGTTAAAAAAGTTTCCCGCCAACAAACTACAAGTTCTAAAAACAACAAACTTTAAAAAAACAAACACAACCCTTACCGTAGTTGTTTTTTCTTTTGAAACATTTTCAGCCGTTTAAATTGAATATTTATTTATACAAATAGTATCATCATGAGATCTGCCGGAGTTGTATGTACTGTTTAATTAGTTGTAATTCCGTTATTAATTATCATCATCCTTAATATTTTCATCATTGTGGTCATGATACAATTATACAATGAATTTTATCATAAAAAAACCATATCAACAACCAATAGGCCTATCTTTTATGGTTATTATGCTGTGTTGGCTTTTGTGGTATTCATAGATTTTATCTGGATTCACTCATTCTCGGAATTGTTAGTTTCTTAACGTGTGGTATCTTTGGTATTTTGCAGCTAATTGATTTGATTTTGATTCCTGGCATGGTTGATGTATGCAATGCCAAATTTATGCAAAAGACAACAACTGTTGTTGTTCAACCAGTGCAAACACAAGCAGGTGTAGTTGTTGTACAAAATGCTCAACAACAACAATTCCATTCATCTACTCAACAAGTTGTTACAACAACCACAACCACTACCACCAACTAATTTTTGTACAAATCAAGATTCCAATCCAAAATAAAAAAGAATTATTTCAGAAATTGGACATTTTAGATTTCCCATTAAAGAGATTCTACATTTTAAGGATTTGAGTCAGACCAATTTAAACGAATCAAAGTGAAACTATACCGAATCAAAAACAATCAAAAACAAATTGATATCATTCAATCAGCTACCTTTCCAATCAAACTAACCAACTAACTGTCAAATAACCTGTTCGAAACCATGAAAAAGATACTCTTCATTGTTCTGGTTTGCATTCTGGCTGCCCTATTCTTCAATGCTGATAAAGCTGATGGACAATTAGTGTACAGCTACCGTTATGCATATAGTTACCCTTACTCCTATGGTTACTCGTATCCATACTCATATGGCTATTCCTACCCATATAGTTACGGATACTCATATCCATACAGCTATGGTTACTCATATCCATATAGCTATGCTTATTCCTATAGTTATCCTTACTCATACGGTGGTTATGGTTATCCTTACTCATATGGTGGTTATGGCTACCCTTACTCCTATGGTTACAGTTATCCTTATTCTTATGCTTATTCATACCGTTATTGGTAAAGAAACCAATCAATGTAATTTTTTCGAAACTCTTAGTGAGACCTTGTGAGACCATCATATACCAATAAAAAAAATTAATTTGTGTGAAACAACAATCGCTTCATTTTCAATTATTGGACTAAACATGGACCGTCCAATATGAAGTCGACATTCTGTCAAAATTATGCAAAGATAAAAGTGGACCAAATTGTGATATCAAGGCATTTTCCATATATCAATCGAAACCGATCATTTTCTATTCTGTTACGTTGTGATTACAGTAAAATGCAAAGCTCTATTTTAGATAGGATAAACCTTTCAAATTTCCTATGGTGGTCTTGTCTTTCTTGTGAATGGAACAACAAAATTCATCGTTGCATTCAGGGGTTTATTCACAACAACGTTGAACACTAGTTTTGGCAAAATGAAAATTTGTGGATTAGGAAGGAAATATTTCCAACTTTTGAATTGGAAAAGATAACCAACTAGATTGAGAATTTTGTAAAGATAACACTTCCAATTCAATAACTCCCTTCATGGAAAATGAATTCAATAATTCAATTCCCCAACCTGATCATTTTCCATTTTTAGAAAATATTCAAATAGATTTTTCCAAAAACGAAACTTAACATTATTCGAAAAAAAATCAAATGAAACAAAAACTACCTTCCAACATTAAAGTACTCATACTTTCTCTCCTTCTGGTCCTACTACTCTACTGTAATCTTTCACATTCGGCCAGTTTACGTGGAGAATCTAGTACGAATCCAACCGATTCAAATCCGAAATCACCATTAGCTCCAGTTCAAGGTGGCGCCTACATTATCAGTAGCCAACAACCATCCACAGCCACACAGCAACAACCTACTCAAGGATCTGTCACTCAACAAACTCAAATCGATCCAAATTCTCAAAACCAAGTCGTGTCCACAACCTCGTATCCAGCATCTGCAAATCCAACTTCGATTACGGTTATTTATCCGAGTGGAGCTACTCCTAGTAGTCAAAATCCAGTAATTCCTAGTCAACCTACTCAGACACAACCTACACAACCTACTCAGACGCAACCAACACAACCAAGTCAACCATTGCCACAGCCACAGCCACAACCAATTCCAAATCAAAATCAACAACAATCATATCCACAATATTCACAACAAAGTACCTATAGTCAATATACAACTGGTCAACCACAACAACAGCAACAACAACCTTATTATGGAAATAATCAACAACAACAACCTGTCTATTCACAACAACCAGTTTATAGTCAACCACAACAACAACAACAACCTTATTATGGAAATACTCAATATGCTCCACAACAATCTTATCCTCAAAATCAATATGTCCAACAGCAACCAGTGTATAGCCAACCAGTCCAACAACAACAACAACCTTATTATACTTCATCACCTCAATATGCTCCTGTCCAGAGTGGTCAACCAGCTTATTATCCACAAACACAACAGCCATACTATGGAAACACTCAATATGTCCAACAACAGCCTCAATATGTTCCACAAACTCAATATGTCCAACAACCTTACAATGGTGGTGCTCAATATTATTATCCACAACAATCTTATCCTCAAACTCAATATGTCCAACAACCATACTATGGAACAACTGGTTATGCTGCACAACCATATGTATCGGGTGGATATCCTGCAACCACAGCTGTTGCGCCTGGCTATGGCTATGCTGCTCCTGCTGCAACTGCTGGATATGGTTATGCAGCTCCTGCAGTTGCCTATCAACCACAAGCTGTTTATTCTTCCTATCCTGCTTATTACTATTAGACAATGATTTGAAAAAATGTAAATTAGATTTGAAATTGTAAAATTGTACAGAGAGAAGTGAAATTCAATGGATTTTGTGTGAGAAATAAAAAGAGTTTGTTTTTTATTCCTTCAATTCAATTTCATTCCTATGTTCCTCTTCAAGGATTGGTGTTTCATTGTGATGAATGGTTGTTGGTTCGGCTGCTGCATCAAAGTGAAGTTCATGAGCTGGTTCAATTTGATCATGAATTGGAACTGGTTGACCATTTCCTGTATCCTGAGCACGAGACAATCTAACACAGAAAATCATGAATGAAGATAGTACTTGGAGTGATGCACCAAGAGCGTACAATAACAGGTAGCCCATTCCAACAACATCTGGTGCAATAGCATCACCAATTAAAATGATCAATCCTCCCAAAGGTACACCCAATAATTCAGGAACTGTACCAGAAATATTCCACAAGGCCAAATCCTTTCCAGAATCATCTTTGGTAATCAGAACTGAATTTACAAGTGACAAGTCCACACTAATAAATGATCCAATACCCAAACCATAGAGAATGGAGCAACACAGAATCATTACACTGTAAGATCTGAAAATGATTAAAATAATACTGGCAATACCACAGCCCAAGGCACCAGCACTGTACACATATCTTCTTCCAATAAGCCCGGCTATTTTTTGTGCAAATAATGCACTAACAAATGTAAAAGCGAAAACAATTCCAAGGAATAAACTCAAAGCTTCCTCATTATTGGTTGGGAATTTGTTGGTCAAGATGAAATTATATGGAGTCAAAACTTCTTGAATAAAATAGAAAAAGTAATTTCTGGCAGCAGCATTTGTCAATTGAATAGTGAAACGAGTAATAAAAACCCAAGTAAAATTCCTATTCTTGAATGGAACCAAAAATGCAAGAGCATAATTGAGGGCTCTCTTGTAGAATCGTGGTTTTGGTGCTTCTTGTGCAGGTTCTGTAGTGAGTGGAACGTCTTCAAATTCTCCTGGTTTCTTGGCAGCTTCCTTTTCAATTTGTTTGACCTTTGTCTTTCTAAGCTCTCTATGGAAGAGCATGAGAGGTACACAAACAATTGAACACAGAGCTGCATATCCCAAACATACCCAAATCAAATCAACATGACCAATTATCACACCTCCCAAAACAACTCCCAACATGACTCCAATCAAAGTAAAAACACCAACAAGTGCTGAAACCAAATTGATTTGTTCTTGTGGGAACAAATCTGTTACCATTGCAGTCACAATAGCTTGTGAAGTGACATATCCACATTTTCCGATACACAGCACAGCTCCATACATGACAAATATGAAAACATAATACTGTGGAAACTGTGTATGCATCATTGAACAAATAGATTGCAGAATAATCATCAATGCCCACACCAGAGTAGTAACCACAACAATTGGAATACGTGATTTCCTACCAATCCTATCAGAAATATTACCAACTATGGGACTAACAATCACTCCGATAACTGTTGCAATAGAAACAACAATACTCAAGTAGAGTTCCTTATTTTCTGATCCCAACATTTGAACGACAAGTTTTGGCAATAACAATCCAAGTACAAACGAACTTGTTGAACCACTTCCTATATAATATATAGAATATCCAATTGTTTTGTAGAGTGGTTGTCTTTGTAATCCATCATGATGAAGATTTTGTGGAACTTTCTCATGATGTTGACTATCAATTGTGTTGTTATCATCATTGTGAGGAGTTGATGGTGTATCTAATCTTGCCAATTCCTCTCCCATTACATCTAACATGGGTTTTGCAATGGTTCTCTCTGGATGTTTAATGTCTATTGGTTCCAAGTGAAACGAGGAGGTCATTGGATTGTATTCGGTCAGAATGCCAATGCCTTCATTAGAATGATGGCTATGAGAAGAAACGTGGGAGGAGAAGGAAGCAGTATGGGCTGATGTAGGTGTTTTCTGTTGTTGTTGTTGTTGTATTGGATGAGAGGCGATATCTTCATTGTGAGGATTCCCTGATGATGATAGATTCATTGTATTTGTATTTGTATTATATATAATAGATGATGAAACTTTTTGTATTTACACTGAGAAAATAATTTGAAATTCAATTATCCAATATATAAATCGGTACTATCAGTACTAGTAGTAGTTAAATAAAATCGCAATATAGTCTAATTCTTATTAAATATATAATAATTATATATAATTAATTGTTCTAGATGAAAAGATGGTCGGGATCAATGATGATGGTTCCTCCTTTTTTTAAAGCTTTGTCTAGAGAATTAATTCTTCCGTGATGAACCAACAAAATAATGAACAGCAAGGATCTTGTTGACTTCCAACTGTTATTCAATATTGAATCTTTTTGCTAATTCTTTCGAGAAGATGATTTGAACTCAATATTCTCTCCAACAAGAATCCAATTCGATAATTTCTTTTTTACCTCAAAAAATGAAGGAATTAATATCCGCTATGAATCCGCTTTGAACCTCGAAGTGCAAAGTAAGCCTTGGATGAAAGAGTTTGATGAAGAAGAATAAAATCCAAGCTGCTCAAGGTTGTGTTTTGGTTGGTGTCGCTTCCTCGTAGTGAGCAAAGATCAGAGAGGTGTTATTACTTATGTTTGGAGGAAGGAGTAATAGAGAGGGTTACACTGTGATGGTTTGTAACGGAATTTGGAAAGATGTTGGAAGATGAATCAAGACCAAATGAACGAATAGTTTAATGTCAATCATGTGTAAATGAATATTGTAAAATTTAGTTAAAGATCATCTAATTTAATTAAGGCAGAATTATTCAGATTTTTAATTATTATTATTTACATTGTCTTTTTGAAGAGAACTTCCGAAACATCAATTCCTAACTGTTGTTTACAATTATCGTAGAGTGTTCTCATGGTTTGATTTTTAGAGAGTGGAGGCATCTGATAGTCAGTCAATTCAGCCCTTTTCAGTGCTGCTAATAATCCATTATGATTGAGGACGGCCAACTTTTTACAAGCTACATTCCATACTAATTGAGTATTCAGAATTCCAACCATATTTAACATTTTCAGTTCAATGTATCTCGTCCTGTTATTGTCCAACTTTTGAAGGAAACGAGAACCAACGAGAGGAACACGAACTCTTTCTCTTTCTGCTAAGTCACCTGCCAAAACATTATCACATGATTTCATTAGACACATACAGTCCATCATTTCTCCACCCACGAATGAGGCTTGACTGGAGAGAACCATTTCGAGAGCTCTCTTTGGCATGAATGAAGTTGGTTCAAAATCTGATGACATATTTGCAAGGGCATATTTGGATTTTGAACTGGACGTGTCAATCTTTCCATATTCATGATAAACGATATTCTTCAAGATGAATTGCAAGTGGTCATCATAGTGAAGCGCATTCACACTATTCTCCAAAGATATTTCAATTTTACCAATCATTTTCATTGTCTTGGCTCCCAACTTGTCCACAGAGAAATCAGATTTGGTGCACCACTGAATGAGCTCACCACTTTGCTTTTTGTATGTCAAGTACCAATCTGGCATGAATTCTTTGGTTAAAAAGTTGACAAATTTCCAATCTCTATCAATAACATATTTCAATGCCAAATCTTCTGATGAAAGTTTCAATTCCTTTTCAGCTTGTCTGAATAATTCTCTCTTTTTCAGAATGATATCAATGGCCATTTTTGGAATCTTACTGGAAGAACTGTCAACGGATTGAGCCAACCACTTTTCAACAAACTTGTGAGAATGATCCTGGAAGAGAAGGAACCAATCTTCCAATTCATACAAGAACATTTGTGAAATAACTTGCAATTCGTCAATAATTCCCATTCCCAAACTCTTATTTTCCAAATCAGTGAACAAGTGAGGTGTTAAATTCTTTTCAATATTTTCATGTTGTCTTGTGAGAAATTGTCCCAACCTCTCATGAACAAAGAGTTTCTTCAAAGTACTCTTCTTTTCATTACTGACCTGGATGTGTTTCACAATCTTGACAAGGAATGGAACACTGTCCAATCCATTTTTCTGTAAAGTGCTAATACTCAATTCTGCAGATTGTTTCTTTGTATCAGTTAAATCACATTCAATTGCCAAATCATGACAAAACTCTTCAATGACTCTATTAATCAATTCTTGATGTCTTTCAAAGGCAGATTTCACTTTCATTGTTGAAGGATTCAAAAACTTTCCCAAAAACATTATTTTCACTCTCATTTCATGACTTGTGGCAGAATCTTGGTGTTTCTCCAAATAAGCCAAAAATCTTTCTCTCAATTCGTCTAAGAGAGGCGAATTTGAATTTCTCAACTTTCCCAAATTGATTGCCATTTGTTGCTGTTGCTGATATGCTTGTAATGTAGATTCAGATAGAGAATTAGTGGAAGAACTGCCACTGCTATAGTTGGAACTGCTAGTGAGAGCATCATCTTCATCGTCTTCTATTTCGTTTCCATTATTTGTGGAGCCATCGTCTTCTTGAAGTTGTGGTTTGTCAAGGGAAACTTTATCAAGAGGTTTTGGAGAGGACATATTCGAAAGTGAGTTACTAGAGGAAGATGAAGAAAGATTTGATTTGCTTGGTGAAAGTGGATATGGTACAGGAGATGATGACATTGGAGAGCTTGGTGAAGTGATGCTCACCTTTCGAATAAGTGCTGGAGAGGAAGGAGAAAGTGGGTTAGTGCTAATTGAAGAAGAAACTGAATGAGCAAAGCTTGCCATTATATTCCTGCTCGTTGGAATCTCAACTGCAAGAATAGCCACCGGCAGAATAGTGTGTTTAGACATGATTCGAATATAAATACAAGTAGTGGTGTTGAAAGAATGTTTTTTTTCTAATGATTCTCCAACCAATACAAGTGTGGTTTTACGAAGAGTGATGACTTCTCAATAATTTTTCATTTTCATGCAACCTGATTTTGTGAGCACTTTCCTACCATGTCAATGCTAGCCAAAATAGTTTTGCTTTTTCCATTGATGCATGATAGTTGACGGATTTTTTTTTGTTAAATTTCATTCTCGGCAAGTGTAACACCAGCATAGTTTGAGCGATACAGTGAAGAGTTCTGAAATTGTTGTCGATTGCCGAGTGTGAAGATTTAGAGTTCATGAAATTTTCACAAAATTTCTCTTTAAATTGTGTAAAATGACAAGAATGAGAATTGTTATCTTGGTTGTGAATGGATTTTTGGTGTAATGAAGAGGAAGATGAAATGGTTTTGAAAAGTTGATGTTCTGGTTCACCAAGTGGGAAGAAAAATACGCCACTTTTCAAGAGATGTCATGTTGATGAGAATCTTTTTGAATTTGGAAAGAGAATACGTTATGTATTAAGGTTTAATAACCACGTGGAATCTGAATAAAGATTCGTTTAAAGTGTTCGACATTCACATTTAGGGTTTTTGAGTACAGATTTGAACGATTGTAAACATCTACGGATGGAAATAGATTATCCCAAACTTCAATTTTAAGGCTCTTTCCCAGTCGAAACGAAACTTCACATTTTGAATTGATTGCTGTTCGTTTGACATTTTGGAAAATACAACACCATTAAGTAGTCTTTCTTCTACCCTTTTAATTCTGCTAAAACTTCACAACTTTTATTTTACAGCAGTTTTGATTTGAACTTAATCAAATCAATATTTACTGCATTTTCGTATATTGATGAGGAGTGTTTTCTCTTCTTCCTTTCTAATATTTTCATTGTTTTCTTCACATTGGTAAAATCTCAATTAATACTGTTGCTGCTGCTCATGCTTAGAAAATCATCAAACGAATGATCATATTCCTTGCAATGTCTCTTTTTGATATTTGAGATTAGTTTAGTTTTCTTTTCCTTGGAAGGAAATTTAAACTGGTCGAGCTGAAATTTCAGAATTTGAGTTTTCAATTCATCTTCAACCTCTTTCAATCCCAAAGAAGCATTCTCACTTTCTGGTTTTGGATTTCTGGCATGGATTCTAGTTTTCTGCTCAATTGGCTTTTTTGGAATTGATTTTTTCTTTTTTGGAAATTCGTATCTGGTGGAAAGATAATACTGAGCCACACATTGTTTCCATTGTTGATCTTCTACAGATGATACTTGAGAAATGGGTATTGGGTTCATTGGAATGGCTGGTTTTTGGTTTCGTCTTGGAATGACTTTTAATTGATCATGCAAATCGAATAGAACTGTATTTTGAGTTGGTTTCTGGTCATTTCTACTTTCGATTTGAATTGAATCGATGGTGAAATCATTGAAGTAGCGTTTCGTCTTGGTTGGTTGCTTATTTCCCATTGTTGTGTTTTTTTCGACTTGTTTCGAATAGCCAATCGATTTACAGTTTGGTGCTTTGTTGTCATCGGTCAGTGATGTGTTCGTTGAGTATGTATTATGCATATGAAGATGGAGCTATTGATTTTGGAGTAAACCATTACTTGGATATCTCTTACCAATGTTTATCAAGTCCATTTTAGGAAGTTTGAGGCTGAGTTTGGAATTTTTTATGATAGTCATGCACATTTGTATGGTCAACTCACGAATAAGAGAAAAAATTAAGTAGTGGTTTGTATTGTAAAACACACATGTCACTTGTAGTGTTAATCTTATTTCCTTCAGTGTTGACAATTCTCATTTCATCATCCTCACAGATTTGTCAATTTTAAAGCAATGTAATCCTTTTTAAATTGTTTTCTGATTATGCAACTTCATCAAGCAAAATCATTTAAGTTTCTTCCAGTAAAGAATATTTGAATTAAGCAAATAGTTTCCATAAATTTCCTCTTCTTTCAATGATTTCTTCATTTCAAAATCGATAAAAATTGAAGAACAGTGTGGACATTTGAATGGATTAAAGAATGAGAAATCTTCCCAACCAGTGGCTCTAAGCTTTTCATCAATTTCCTCAGGTGTTTTCCCCAATTTTCCATGAGAAGCAACCAAAGTTCTATTTCCACTTGCATAAAAGTAATCAATGTGTGGTTGTGAGCTATTGAAATGTTTCAATGTAAAGCTCTTTCTACATTGATCACAGGAACAAATACTATTAATATTGGTTGGAGTTGGAAAACCCTTCGAATAAATTCCTCTCTTAATTAATCCCTTTCCGATAAATTCCAAATTCCTTGCATTCTGTCCTGGCAAGAAGAAGGGTTGAAATTTCAATCCTTGACATTGAGAGTCTTGATATGGTTTTCCGTGATGAGTTTCAGAATCAGACAATATACCCTCCATCAATACCAATTCATTAGGAAGAGTCTTGACAGTCAAGTGTAAATATTTTGGTGTGGAAGAAATTCCTTGATGAAACTCTACATCATGTTCAATATTAAAAGTTCGGAGCAATTGATCATTTTCATAAACAGAAAATGTAGATTCCCCAAGATTATTTAATGGTAAAATTATGTCCTTTTCTATTGTTGTTGTATTATTGATGATGTTAGAATCGGAATGATTTTCAATTCTTATTAAATTATTATTTTCAAAATTAATATTAAACTAGATTAGTATGAATGGGATTGGATATATAATGATTGTGTCATACCTTTGCATGGTGATAACATCGGTGATGATAAAGTGTTTGGAAAGATTTGAAAGGTTTTGAGTTGAGTTTTTGCATTTTTTATTTTTATTTTTAAATACAGTGGAAAATCCGATGTTAAGAGAAGGTCATTTATTTTTAATGGGGACGTCATTTTTAATGTGAACAAGAAGCCCGTCTAGCTCAGTCGGTAGAGCGCAAGGCTCTTAACCTTGTGGTCGTGGGTTCGACCCCCACGGTGGGCGATTCAATTTTATTTTTCAACTTATCATTCATAAGGCAATTATTATATCTTGATCCTATTGTGGATGTGAAACGTCTATTGGTTTAGTGGTGGGATCAATTAGCAACCATGTAAAAGGTTTGTTTACAATTAAACCACAAAACATCCATGAACTTGCATGAACCAACAATTTCCGCGCCAAAACCCTAATCTACAACAAACAAACATAAAAAAATAGGTAAAGAATCCCTTCCTTATTATTATATTGGTTGCTAGATTCAAGTTTTTTGTATTTACGCGCAGAATTTGAGAATATTAAGCCTTCGCTGTCATCACAAGATATAATTATTAAGAAATCTAACAATGACCACCAAGGTACAATTAGTAAGGGATGCTTCTCTGGCTTTTCAACAAAAAAAGTACGATGAATGTTTGAAAATAATTTCGCACGATGAACATCATGAATCATCATTGCCTTGCTCGGAAGAGTTGGGGATGGACATCAAGTTAGGAACCATTGTGGGAATGTGTCATTATAACAATGCTGTTATTCAAAAAGAAATGGCAAAGGAATTGTTTGATAAGGCTTTGATTCAATTTGATAAGGTCATTTCTCAATATAGGGAATATGAAAATACTGTACATCAAGATCAAGGAAATGTCAAATCAATTGTTGAAAATAACATTGGATTGGAGGTTTTTATATCTACAACAAAGGTTAATTATTTGGCAGGTCTTTGTCATTTATATAGTAACAGGTACAAGGATGCTATACCTTATTTTAGTAGTGCTGCTCTTATGGCCTCAACCTTACAGAGTAATATTGGATATGTGGCCAATAAGGATCATGCCAAATCTTTCCTTAAAGAGTCACCAAAGTACTATTTAAATCGAGGAATCTGCTACAATGAGTGTAAAAATAATGAGTTGGCAGAGAGGGATCTTGTCAAATATGTGGCACTAATTGAAACATCTGATTTGAGTCCAGACACTCAAGCACCTCTCTTATTTGTTGCGTTTACTAGTTTAGCAAGCACAAAATTAAACAAGAATCAACAAGAGGATGCAATCAAGTATTTCAATAAGGCCATCGATTCTTTCAACGTAATGGAACCGGATGCCCAACAGGTACATTTTGAAAACTGTGTTAAGGCTAAACTCAAAAGAGCCACAACACTTCAAAAGTATATTAGTTACCATGTGTATAACTGTAAGGAAGATGCAAACCTTATGAAAGTAATTGAAAGTTATAGAAAAATGGCCTCTGATGATTTGGAAACCGCAAGAAAATACAAGAGACTCGAGTTTTATTACTTGTACCAATATGTAAAAATGATAGTGATGTTCTGCAAACATGTGGAAGGACTCATTGAAAAAGATGAATTGGTACCTCTCTATCAAGATGCTGCAGACAAGTTGCAAGAATGCATTTCAATTCAACCAAAGAATGCAAAATTGTACGGGGACTTGGCATTGTGTAAGAGCAAGATTGGGAAAGAAAAATTGGAAGAAATTTTAGATTTGTACAATAAGAGTTTTGAATTAACCAATGGGGAACCTACGGATAAGGTATCTAAGCAAAAGTTGGCCAGGATTTATTTCGAAAGATCTGTCATTTATTTCAAATTATCCAATACTGATAAGGCCAAACAAGATTTGGATAGAGCTATTCGTTTGAATCCATACTTTTCAGATGCTTACTACAATAGAGGTTTTTTATTGAAGGATTCCGAAGATGATATTGAACAAACTTTGGACGATTTGGGAGCAACCTGTGAAATGAACCTTGAGGACACTGAGTGTGCATTTCTTACGTAAGTTGATTGGTATTGTTCAGTTTGATTGTAATTATATATAGTGCCATTATTTTAGCAAAACAAGAAAACAAGGAAGGTAGTCGTTCCATTGTCGAAGAATTCATCAAGTTTAACCCTAATGATTCCAATTTGAAAGATCTTTTATTAGCTCTTAATAACGAGGGCAGTTTGGATGCATTTGAATCCTTACCTAAATTCAGAGAATCCCACAAGAAGAACAAACTCTGGACACCTAATAGAAAAACAAAACCAAGTCTAGACAGAGCATCAATTAGAAATAGAGTTACAAGTGCCAAACTCGACGAACAAGACACTGATGATGGCTATTATTGTGATCCAACCTTCCCAGCAGTGTCAAAATCAATCTACGGAACAGAGGATAGTGATTTACCATCTGAATTGACTTGGTACAGAACTTGGGACTTGTGTTTCCTCAGAGAAGAGTCCCAACTTTTTGTTGATGGTACAAGCAATACTGATATCATGCAAGGTGGTATAGGTGATTGTTGGTTACTTTCTGCATTTTCAATTGTTGCTGACTATCCAGATATCATGAGTAAGATTATATTGGAGTCAAAATCAGATCCAGATAACGGAAAGTATGTCTTTTCCATTTTCGGAAAAGAAGGCCCCACAGAAGTAGTTATTGACAATAGATTGCCATGTTTTTCTGATTCGGGAAGTCTTGCATTCTCCAGGAGTGGAACCTCAAACGAAATGTGGATTTCCTTATTAGAGAAGGCATATGCTGCGTATTATGGAAGCTACCAAGCACTTCAAAGTGGTTACATGAGGGATGCCCTTGTTAGTTTAACAGGTGGAGTTCCTTTCACTCTTGATATCAGTGTAGAAAACAAGGAGGAGGTATGGGAAATCTTAAAGACTATTAAAAAGAAGAGCACTGATCCCTCATCATACTGCTTAATGGGATGTAGATCTGACAAGGCACCAGCCAGAACTGGTATTCAAACTCACCATGCCTATGCAATTCTGGATTGTTTCGACTGTCCTCTTGAAATGACCAATGGAAAGAGAACTCGTCTTGTCAAACTTAAGAATCCATGGGGTTATGGTGGTGAATTAGAATCTGGAGATTACTCTGATGATAGTAAGTGGTGGACTAAGGAGCTCAGGAAATATGTTGGACATGAATCAAAAATTGATGGCATTTTCTTCTTGACTTTGGGGGCACTTGTTAAATATTATACGCAAATTCAAGGAGTAAGGATTTTTGATGAGGAGCATTGGAGTATAGCACGTTTTGTGGATGAATTCAAGCAAAAACCTGGACATGACTTGGATGACTGGGGCCTAGATATTTGTTCTTTCTCGTCTCATTATGTTATTCACAACACCCACGAAGACAACAAGCTAGTAATTGAACTTTCTCAAAAAGACACCAGATTTACAAGAGATCAAAAAGAAGAGTTCAAATGTGTTGCCATTTATGTATTTAAATATCCTGAAAGTCAATTCAATGGCGAAGAAAGCACCAGGTTAGCAACAATTGGTGAAGAGAATGAAACTGTCGTTCAGGGTATCTACGACGGTTGTTACAGTGAAACAAGCATTGAGACAACACTACCTGTTGGCCATTATGTTGCAATTCCAGCTGAGCTTTACTCTAAGACACCAACAGAGAAACTTTCACTCAAAATTATTTCAAGAAAACCTGTCACTATTGTTAGATTGCCTGTTCAATAAATATTGTCTACATCATTGATGTATAAATGAATTAAAATCCATTACTGGTTGTCAATTTCAAAAGACCCATATCACCAACATATTTCGCTCCTTCATTACCAATATTGTTGGTCCGAATATTGAGGAATAATAACTGTTTAGTTCACTAATGTATTTTGCACCTTTAGAACTATCATTGTATTATTGATTAAGATTAGTTAATTACTTTTTTTCACAGATAAGTTCCTTCGTCACCAATCCTATTTGAACAAATATTAAGCTCAGTTACTTGTTTCAATATACTAATATATTTAGCTCCTTACTTGCAAAGATTATTAAAACTAATATTAAGGTTAGTTAATTGCTTCATTTCAGTGAGATAGTTAGCTCTGTCTTTATTAATATGATTTCAGCTAATATCGAGATTAATCAATTGTTTCAGGTTAGTAAGAAGCTCAACTCCGTCATCAATACTATATCCACAAATAAAAAGTTCAGTCAATTGATTCATGCTGCTGATAGATTTAGCTCCTATACAACCATCAGGATTACAAGCAATATATTAAGACGCGGTAAAGATTTCATTTCGCTGCTGAAATATTAAAGTCCTTCAGCACCTATATAGTTATTATCAAGTATAGTTAAACGGATCAATTTGCTTATAAATTGAGCTCCTTCATTAACGATATCATTGAATCCAATATCAAGACTAATCTATTTATCCATTTTGATTACCAATTTAGCTCCTTTTGCTCCAATCGTATTTCCAATAGAAAGTTGCATATTTGTGAAATGAAACATCGTAAAGAAACTAATGCACAATCCATTATCAATAAATTTAACATTATCCTAATGAAAAATTAAAATTTCATAAAGGATATCATCGGGTAGGAAATTGTTAAATTCTGAAATGCAAGTTGAAAAATTATTTGATGATTTTTCAAGGGTTTCGTCCAGTGATTTTTACAAGAGTTTTGGTCAACCGAGTTTGTTCAGCAATACGAAAATAATAATTAAAAAAAATGGTAAATTCTGCAAGGGAGCATCAAGAAGGTTTATTTTCCAACGACGTTTGTTTTGAAATATTGTCATTTCTTGATGGTTGGACTATTATTCGAAACTGCGCTTTAATTTCTAAACAGTGGTTTGAAATTATTAGAAATTATTCGAAACTTGATCTTGAGGTAATGAGTAAACTTTCCACGGAAAGAATCACCATGTTATCCGAAAGTCAATTCTTGAATAGAATTATTGGCTTCAAAGTTGGAAAGTATGCAGCTTCCGAATTTGTATTATTCGAAAGCTCAAACCTTGAACAATTATGGGAAACTATTGGTTCAATGTCTCAATTGACTAAACTTGATGTTGGCAAGACTGGATTACATACTTTTCCCATTTCAATTTTACCTAATTTGGAAAATTTAACAGAATTAAACTTGACATTTTTGGAAATATTTGACCAAGGAGCAAAAATAATAAGTCAACGATTGAAATTCATAACCAAACTCAGCGTCGATTATTGTGGAATTGGAATTGAAGGAGTACAAGCAATTGGAAATATGAAACAATTGACTTTTTTGAATATTAGTGAAAATGAAATGAGAAATGAAGAGATTGAATTGATTGGAACACTTGATCAACTCAAATATTTGAGTATTCGAAATATTACACGTGAGAATAACAGTGTTGATGATTATCTAGATTTTAATTCTCTGAAAAATCTGAAATTGTTGACCTACCTCAATATTGGTGAAAATAGAATTTCAGATGAGATTGGTTTACAATTTTTGAGAGAAATGAAACAATTGACTCATCTCAATGTTGCAAACATGGAAATTGGAAGTATTGGGGCTAAAATAATCAGTGAAATGACACATTTAGTTAAACTAAATATTGGACGAAATGATATTGGAAGAACTGGAATTGATTATATAGGTGAAATGAAACAATTGACCTCATTGAATGTTCAAAACTGCAATTTAATGGAATGTAAATTTTTATGTGGAATGAAACAATTACAATATTTGAATATTAGCGAAAATACAATTAGAAATGAAGGAGTGGATTTAATTTGTAAAGAACTATCTCAATTGAAATTTCTGAACATTTCTGAAATATTGTCAAGACCCTATCAATTTAGAAATGTACTCCCCATAAAATTGGAGAATTTACCTCGCCTTAATCAATTAACTGAGCTCGATCTTAGTAGTGATCGAGTGAATGAAGAAAGTTTGATTTTTCTTCTTGAATTGAAATGTTTAACCTCACTGAATGTCAGAAGAAATAGCATTACTTGTAATTGTGCTAAAATCATTAGTGGAATGAGCCAATTAACCAAACTGAATATCAGTGAGACACAAGTTGATGAATTGGTGATGGAATATATTTGTGGAATGAAAGAGTTGCGAGTGTTGTATATGCAAAAGAATTATTTAGAAAATGATTCAGAGGTTGTTGACTTGATTGAGAAAATGGAAAGTTTGACTGAACTTGATATTAGTGATTGTTATATCAGTATTGAAAATGAAACCAAATTAAGAGAAATTAAGAAATTAAGGAAGCTTGTATTATTTGCTTAACATGAAATAACACTCAATTTCAAAATATTTCTCAACAGCTTAGATTATTAAACTATCTGGATTAGATTTATAATCTTATTCTAAACAACACAAACAACACAAGGGGCGGTGGTGTAATGGTAACATCGCAGCCTCCAAAGCTGTGGCCGGGGGTTCGATTCCCCCTCGCCCCCTGTCATTTTATTTTCCCAAATTAAGTAAACAAGATTTGATAATACAGGTTAAAGAGTAAAAAATTGGATGCTGTCAATGCGTAACAAGATCTTATTTAAGAAATTTTTAATTACAAGCCAGCTCGTTGTAAACATTTATTTGACTATTCAAAATTTGCCAAATTAGTATGTATGACATTTTTAAATCAGGTTGACTTTATTGGAAAAATGCTAATGCCTCTAATACTGAAAGGTTTGTTAAACAAAAATGCAGAATGACACATCCTCATCTATTCCATCAGTACTTACCAATGTTTTTCGGATTGACCCTCTCATTGTTTCATACATTGAAATTTCTTTGGCAATCGCTGCACTTTTCCTCTCGTTGTCACTTGTCGTGTATATCATCTACTTTTATCTCAAAAAACATCACACAATCACAAAGAACCACAAGAGAATGATTATTGGAGTGCTCATCATGTGTATTATGGAGTGTTTCGTCTTGATTTTCAGAATTATTTACGATAGTTTGAGTATTTCCTTTGGATTGAGATTTCAGAAATATGCTTCCACACTTGCATTGAAAAATTCCACAACTCTGGAGGGATTTGATACCTTCTTGTGGTATAACAATACTCTGGGAATTACTCCATATGATGTGGGAATAAGTATGGAAGAAATTGTTATTTTCATAATTTCTGTAGCAGCCGAATTATTCATTGTTCTTATGGATATTCAAGTGATGGTCATTATTGTTTGGTTTGTTACACTGGTCTTTGTGGAAACGTTTAGATTGTCGAGTGGATTGTTAAATTCAAGAAAAGTGCACTATTTTGTAAATATTGTCACAATTTTCACAATTATCAACTCGATTGGATTGTTGGTCATTAATTTAGTGACGACAATTCTGACCATTGTACAGAGATTGGGATATATCAGTGCCGAATCCATTACATATGTCTATGGATTGTGTCTATTACTGTTCCTAATTGAAATTCTCTCCCAAATAACCTTATTAATTGTAAGTAATTCAACAATATGACCTAGTTCAATATTGTGTTAAATCCGAATCAACAATTCCAATATTGTATTAAATCCGAATCAGATTGCTGCAACAATTGTTCTCCAAACAATTTCCAAAATCTCCATAGAAAATCAAAACAAGAGAAGAACCATCATTAAAATTCTCATATTACAAAGTGGATTATTTGGTTGTTTCCTATTCGAAGCTTTTGCAGCAGCCTCTGGAGTACTCGCCCAAGGAGTTGAAGCACATTTTGCTTTAGGCTACTCAACTGGTAATTCTCTTGGAATCTTGATATTTGCCTGCACTGCTCTGACTTTGTATACTCCTTTCCGAGCCCTGAATACAAAGGCCAATAGTGAAGATCATCAAGTGAATGATTCACTTCATAGTAGGTTAAAGTCATCATCATCAAATAATAATTCCATGATGATGATGGAAAAGAAACAATATAGTTCGCTGAGTAATGGAACAACAACTACAACACCTACATCTTTAGTGAGAGTAGGAGAAATACCTCCTCGTTTGATGATGATAGAATTGGAGGAGGCTGGTATGAGCAATGATTGTTGTATTCAAAGCAGCTCCGGAAATGATGAAAACATGTTGATGGAAAAGGTTATTGTTGTTGATGAAAAGACAAAACAACAACAACTACCACAATCAACATTAGTAATTACTACCATTCCATGCAACGAACTAGAGAGCATGATCTTGAAATAATGTAATAATCTTTTTGTATCTCCATTTTGGGAGCATCCGAGAGAACAAATAGAAAAGAAATTACATTTACTCCCAGTTTGCTTTATTTTTTTAATTTTTTTTTGTTTTTTAAAAAAATTGTAAAAATTATCTTTTCTAATTTCAAATATTTTTATCGGTATTTCGGATTGAACAGTTTCAGATTCGTTCTGAAGAATTTATGTGTTAATCTTTTGCTTGCTTCAATTGCAACGGGTATTGTAAGATTAGATCATCACCCAAACATCATGTGGGTGATGTGATGAAATATCATCTTTCGAATAAAAATTATCGTTCGAAATTAAAAAAAAATGCAAATCCAACAACGACACATTGTTGCTGCTGCAGTTACCATCTTTCTCTTGGTGATTGTCTTTTCTCTAATGCCAAAAGCCACCGATGACAACTCCAAATACAACAATCATCATCAACAACAACCACAAATCTTGAATGCCAAACAATGTCCTCCATGTCCAACAACAGCTGTTCAACAACAACAACAACAGACTTTCAAATCAGGTTCTTGTCCACCTGTTCAAGAATGTAAATGTTACTCTCTGACAGATGCCCCACCAACAGAACATGGTGATGGACAAGTTACAATGGCCACAACATTTGGTAAAGCACTTAACAAACTTGCTAAACAAGATGATGTGAATACAGTATTGGAAATTGGTACTTGGTTTGGTGGTGGTTCTACTCAATGTATTGCCAAGGGATTGAAGGAATCAGGCTCTCATAAAAGATTATACACATTGGAATTATACGAACCTGCTTGGCAATATGCTAGAAAGACCTATTCACACATGCCAATTTACTTTATTTTGGGAGGAACAGTGCCAACTGATAAATATTTGGCACCAGATGAAATTCCACACAAGGACGATCACTTTAAATTATATTATCAGAGAGATATTGAATTATCAAAGAAGAATATTCCATGGTTGATGCCATTGTGTTTAGCAACTAGATTTGATGCTGTTTTGATTGATGGTAATGAATATACTGGTTGGGCTGAATATGAAATTGTTAATGATCATTGTAAACCAAAATATTTAATGTTGCATGATGTTGGTACTTTAAAGACAAATAAGATTGAAAAGGTTATTAAACAAGGTGGAACTGTTTGGGAATTGATAGATGAAGGTCAAGATGCTGCCAGATGGCAAATTTATAAGAGAAAATAATTGATAAAATTATTATGAAATAAATCCAAGAATAATATTAATTATTGACAATGTCTTCTATTAACAATTTTAGGTAATTTTAATTGTGATGTAGCTGCTTGGATTTCATGGCTAAAATCTGTGAAATAGAAATGTTTCCTTTGTTTAGAGGCAGTTATTTATTTTTTATAGGGACGTCATTTTCAATATGAACAAGAAGCCCGTCTAGCTCAGTCGGTAGAGCGCAAGGCTCTTAACCTTGTGGTCGTGGGTTCGACCCCCACGGTGGGCGTTTCCTTTTGGTTTAATTTTTTTTTGCTCTATTTTGCAGAGTGATTTTGAATTAATTGAGACAAGGTCCTCAAATCCTGAAAATAAGGTATCTACATAGCTAGAAAAAGCAAGGCTTCTGCTCCGAATACATCAACAAGCTTTTTTCCACTTTAAATGCAACACTCCAAAACGATACAAGTGATGAAGCCCTTGGTCTTCGTACACAACATGATCCAGAAGCTAGTACATCATTAACACCAGAAGAAGATGAGGATGAACTTGAGGGGGATGAGGAAAACTCTCCAATATCACAACCAACACCTTGGACAAGACCTAGGCATCCAAACTATGGAATGAAAACAGTTTCATCTAATAATCCAAATGAAAAACGAAAAAGAAAGCAAAGGTGGCTTCAAGAAATTCGAAAATATCAAAAATCAACTTGGAATCTCATTAATCTAACAAGTTACTGCTGAATTATCTGAGAAAGTTCCATACATTAGACAGCATGTTGGTGAAGGTGCAATTCGATGGAGAAAGGATGCTCTTGCTGCTCTCCAGCAGCAGAAGATTATTTACATGAAGTTTTATCACTCGTGTTGGTTGTTCTTCTTTATTGACCACCCGAGTATCTTGTTCATTAATAATTTCAATAACTTCTTGTGGGTGAACATTTGGAGAAGTGTTTTCTCTATTGTTGGATGGGGTATTTCTAAGACAAGTAGTTTCGTCTAGATCCAATAACTCCATTTCGTATCCTCGGCCTGACTGCAATATTTTCTTGGTTAATAGTAGATCTATTTGTAGGTTGTTCAAGATTTTCATTTCTTCTATTCTCAGTGCTAATTTTGTTCAAGATTCCCATTTACAACATTATAATTCCATACAATCGGATTTGGAATCTTTAATAACCAGTTGACCTCATTAAACAATATCCAATATATGATTCCAATCAATTCAATTGCACTTCTTTTAAAATAAAACATGTATTATTATTTTAGAACATGACGGAACTTCAATTATTGTACAACATGTTTAATGTAAAGTGGCATGGTATTGTTGCTTGTGATATTAATCAGAAAAAACTGCCAATATTTCAGCTATCATCAATTATCATCATTATGATGGAGGTAAAACAAGAAGGTTGGTATTTTCGAATCGATATTTTCAAAATAATAATAATAATTAATGAATTGAATTGTTAATTAATAGAGAAGGTTATATTTTCGGATGATGTTTGTTTTGAAATTATTTCCATGATTGATGATTCGTGGTTTATTTTGAATAATTGTTCTTTAATTTCAAAACAATGGTTTAATGTGATCAAGGAACGTTCAAAACTTGTTATTCAATTTAAAAAACAATTAACAGAAAAAAGAATTGAATTGTTAATGAAAAGTCAATTCATGAATAGTATTGTAAATGTTAAGTTTTATTATGGGTTGCTTAACTCTTCAGATAAACTTAAATTCATAAGTGGAATGAAATCATTAACATCACTTAATATTGGTCATAATGAAATTGGTGTAGAAGGAGCCAAATTCATAAGTGAAATGAAACATGTAACATCACTTTATATACATTACAATGAAATTGGTGTAGAAGGATCCAAATTTATAAGTGAAATGAAACAATTAACATCACTTAATATTGCTGACAATGAAATTGGCGTAGAAGGATCCAAATTCATAAGTGAAATGAAACAATTAACATCACTTAATATTGATTACAATGAAATTGGTGTAGAAGGAGCCAAATTCATAAGTGAAATGAAACAATTAACATCACTTAATATTGCTCGACAATGAAATTGGCGTAGAAGGATCCAAATTCATAAGTGAAATGAAACAATTAACATCACTTAATATTGGTGGCAATGAAATTGGTGTAGAAGGAGCCAAATACATGAGTGAAATGAAACATTTAACATCACTTGATATACATCGCAATGAAATTGGTGTAGAAGGATCCAAATTCATAAGTGAAATGAAACATTTAACATCACTTAATATATATTACAATGAAATTGGTGTAGAAGGATCCAAATACATAAGTGAAATGAAACATTTAACATCACTTAATATTGGTGATAATGAAATTGGTGTAGAAGGATCCAAATACATAAGTGAAATGAAACAATTAACATCACTTAATATTGCTGACAATGAAATTGGCGTAGAAGGATCCAAATTCATAAGTGAAATGAAACATTTAACATCACTTTATATATATTACAATGAAATTGGTGTAGAAGGAGCCAAATTCATAAGTGAAATGAAACATTTAACATCACTTAATATTTCTGGCAATCAAATTGGTGATGAGGGATCCAAATTCATAAGTGAAATGAAATCATTAACATCACTTAATATTGGTGATAATGAAATTGGTGTAGAAGGAGCCAAATTCATAAGTGGAATGAAACAATTAACATCACTTAATATTGATGACAATGAATTGGTGTAGAATAAAACGTGAAACTTTATTAATGTCTCTTATATCAATAACAGCCTTGATGACATTTGGTAGGTCTCATATCTTAAGGTCGTGAGTTCGACCCCCATGGTGGGCGATTCAATTTTTGTTGATCACAATTATCGTAGTGGTTGCTGATGATGAACTTTGTCCTATTATTAGGTTCACTAAGTCTTTCTAATTATTTAAAAAAAAAATGATGATCAATTACGAATCAGTCTCCAATTCCATCAATTCCTCCCATTCCACAATATTCTCTGATGATATTTGTTATGAAATTCTATCCTATTTCCATGAGGAAAATGATGGAAAATTTATTCTACTAAATTGTTCGTTAATTTCCAAACAGTGGATGATGAATGTGAAGAAATTCGGAAAGATTTCAATTAATATTCGAAATAGAGTTTCGGATTCATTGATAGAACCAATCAAGAGAAATCAATTTTTGGAATGTTTTGTGAAATTTGGAATTTATTCGCAAGATTTCAAGTTTCATGAAATAATTAAAATGATGAAGAATTTAAAAAGTCTTTCTATTGGAAATTGTTCTATTGGAGAGGAGGATTTGAAATTTATCGGAGAAATGAATCATTTAACTGAACTTGAATTGTGTGAATGTTTGACTGGAGATAAAGATATTAGACCAATTAGTAGAATGTCTCAATTGACTAAATTAAATATTAGTAAGAATGCAAAATACCATTTAAGCGATATCTTTGACATGAAGCAATTAAAAATACTAGAAATTGGAGAAAATTTCATAGGAGATGAACAAGCTGAACTGCTTTCCAATCATTTGAAACAATTGACCATTTTACGAATTAATAACAACTTAATTCATTCTCAAGGTGTTAAACATTTGAGTAAATTGGATCAATTGACTGAATTAGATTTAAGTGGAAATGCTTTTAATGATACAATTGGCTCTGAAATTGCAAAAATGGAACAATTGAAAACTCTTCACGTTAACAAACTTGCAAGACATCGAATGGGATCACGGTTGGGTTCACAATTTGGAAACTTATTTCAATTGACCAGTCTTAGTATAAGTAATAATTATATTGGAGATGAAGGAGCCAACGAAATTAGTAATTTAACACAATTGACTGAATTATATGTACATGGAGCTGAAATTGGATATAGAGGAGCCAGATCATTAAGTGTTTTACACCAGTTGACCAAACTAGATATCAGTACAAATCATATTGGAGATGAGGGAGTTAGATTATTCAAACAATTATCAAAATTAACAGAACTTGTTGTGTTTAATAATAGAATTGGAGATGTTGGAGCACAACTTATTAGTGAAATTCCTCAATTGACCTCTCTTGTTGTTAGTAGCAATCAAATTGGAAACGAAGGGGCAAAATCAATTAGTCAAATGTCAAAATTGAAATATCTTTCGATTAATGGAAATCAAATTGGTGATCAAGGAGCTAAATTATTAAGTGAAATGAATCAATTAAGAAGAATTGAAGTTTATGGAAATAATATTAGTAATGAGATATTTCAATTATTTGGAATTAAAATTCAAAATAAATTGAAATAAAGGAAGTGATTACAATAAACAAAAGTGGAATATTATATCCAAATGATTAAGGATGTTAAGGTAAAATGAAGCTGGCGTAGCTCAGTCGGTAGAGCGTTGGTCTAATAAGCCATTGGTCGCCGGTTCGATCCCGTCCGTCAGCAGCTGTTTTATTGCCATGTTTTGGAGAGTGTAATTTGATCATTCACAGAAATCCGCATCAGAAAGCAAACCATGAGAGATTCACTCATCGATAAAACAAGATCCAAATTTTGCAACCACCCTTCATATGTGATGCTGATCATTTCGACCTTTTAACATATTCTCTCGATGTAACATTTACCAATTATCCAACCATTACGAAAACAATTTCAACCATTCGAAAATTATTATTAAACGAGACGAATAGGGAAATAATGATTCGAGTTGGTATTCCAGAAAAATTAATGCAACTATTGGATCAGGCATGTGTTTCTAAAAGTTACAAAAATTCACATGGATGTGAAATTTCCAGTGAGAAATTGAATTTACTTTGCATACAGTCAATTAGAACACTAAGTTCCATAGCATCTAGGCCTAATCAATCAGAATATTTAGTTTCATTAGGCTGCATTCCAATGATCAATTCTCTATTGAAAAATTCTTTATTGAATTCAGTTATAATATATGAATGTTCTAAATTATTGTCTATTCTCATTTCTGATTCATTTTCAGTGAGATTGCAAATTTTGGAGGAAGTTTTACCAACATTATTGAACCATTTGAATAATTGCGAGAGAATTCCAATGGAAATTGTAAAATGGGGTAAGTTTATTGTCAGTTTGAATTGAATTTTCAATATTTGAGAAGAAACAGAGTTATTGGCTGGTTTTATGAGAAAGAAGGAAAAACTTCCTGTTGAATATTTGAAAATAATGTTGCCTACTGTTGGCAAATTATTGTTGGCACTTGACACTTCTGATGTTGGTTTTTTAACACAGATTATGTTTTGTCTGAGTGCTATTACGAGTGAAGCTGAACTAGTTCCAATATTTATGGAAATGAATTTAACGAATCGAATTATATCTTTATGTCGTAACCAGGATTATTTGAATCTCTTAATAGTGTAAGTAATCATCTGATTTGGAAATTTGAAAGATATTGGAATAGAGTTTCGTATAAGACCATTAAGAATGTCATCATGACAGAAAAAAGGAATTATATCAAAATAATCCTTAATCAAGAATTTTTTTCAATATTGAAACAATTACACTTTCCAACAAGAATTCAATTTCATGTCAAGGAAGTTTGTTGGTATATTTCCTTTTTTATTTCCAAGAATTTCATCAAAGAGTTGAAAGAATCCGAGTTGGTTCCATGGCTATTTGATTCCATTCTCAAAAAAGTGGAAAATCTTCCAGCAAAATCAGAAATGATTACCAGCATTATAGATTGGTGCAAGGATGTCACAAATGTGGAGATAATGAACTATTTATTGGAAATGAATATTGTCCAAGTGATAGGTGAAGAAATTAGAGAAAATTATGTATTGAGAGGAATGTGTGGAAAAGTTTTATTGCAATTCCTGAAATTCAACAAGGAAAAAGTATCACTCTTAATGAATAATTTTGAAATAATTGAATTGGAAGATTTACATTATCAACGTGAAAGATATGATAATAGAAAGAGAGTGGAATACTAGAATCATGGTTTCCTTTCTGAAAATATAACCAAAATTCCAGTACATATTCAGGAGCTCTTTTCTGAAACCATCTTCCATCAATATCATTTTAATCAAGTAGTAACTTGAAACTGCAGACTCATTGGCAGAGATGAACATTCTATCGGTCATGTAGCCCATCATTGGAGAAATTAACTTTTTCCACCACAAATTCTTGGAATATTTTGCAAAATCATATCTCATATCAGTAGTGGAACACAACATCCATGGAACGCGATTGGAATTCCTGACAGAATGACGATCTAAATACTTGTTGAGGAGTTGCAACATTCTTTTTCAATTCATCCTTAATCATTTCATCATGAAGGAGTACTGAATCAACAGCCATGGTAACACCCTGTCCATAAATAGGATTAAGACTTCCTATTTTGTTTGTTAATTAATCAATTATCACATTCGAAATATTAATCCAACAGTGAAATACTTTAAATACAACTTACCAACGACATCTCCAACAGCAATGAAATCTCTCACTCCCTTCAATTTCTCAAAGTGAACATATTCACTGCCACTCTTCTCAAAGAATGGAATAATTTTCTTTGGAGTATCTTTGAACTTTTCAAGAACAACCTTAACTTGTCTCTCCATTCTTGGATTATACTTTACAAAATCCATGATTTGTTCCTTAGCAGTTTCGTATTGAACTGGGTCAATTTTTTCATTGTAGGTTGTCAATAAGAAAAGGAAGGTATTACCACTGTATGGCATGGCAAGGAAACCTCTTCTATGTGGATAGGATAACAAATAATAGAGGAGATAGTAAGGATCATTGAGTTTTCTATTTTCTTGCTCAGTTTCGGATAAATCTTCTCTGTAAATGGCAACTTTACCTTCACTATCATAGGAAGAATCTTTTGGTTCCAATAGAATGGTTTGGTAACCAATCTTACAGTCAATTGAAGATTTTGTGAGGAGTTTCTTGTTTGGTGAAATTTCATTTTCCAAATTTTTCATCAAATTACTTGAGCCAAGTCCTGCACAATTGACCAACAAATTACATTCGATTGTCTTGCTGGAATTATCAGAAACATTGGAGATTGTAACGGATTTAACACGAGTAACCTGTTGTCCATTCTCTGAAATACTTTCAACCTTAATTCCACTCGATGACACCTGATAGCCATCAAGGAATTCAATAGACTTGGACAACTCTTTCTCAATCTTATCTCTCAAAACAGTTTCAACCTGTGCTCTCGATGCCATAATATTCGGAGTCTTTCTATATTCCAAATGATTAGAAACTCCATACCTCTCCTTATAGTAATATTTCACTTGAGAGGCAGGAAGAACCATTTGATTGAGTTTGCTTGTTTTCAAATGCTCTTTCAATTCATTCAAGAATCCTGGAAGTAATCTATCCCACACCAACATTGAACGATAGGAAATGAGGTGAGCTTGTTCTCCCTGTCTGCTCTTCACAATGGATTCATCTCGAATGAATTTGGAACGTTCCACAATGATTACTCTTTTATAATACTTGCTGAGGATGATGGCAGAGGTGAGACCTGCAAATGAACCACCAATGACAATAGCTGTTTCACCGAGTGATGCTTTCCTATTTTCCTCCTTAAGGACGCTATCAATCCTCCTATGTTTGTATGCAATCTAGAATTAGATTTACAGTAATTTCACAATTATTTAATCCCGAGGGAGGAAGAAATTTTAATGCTGATAATTACCTCAATAAAAATCGATTCTTTTTTATTGAGTGTGGACCACACTTGTAACATTCCAAAATGAGGCAATTTCTAAAATTGCCAAGAAATAGAAAATTAAACTTCAATTGCATTTTTCTGTTGCACTCTGAAAGTTTCCTCCCAAACGGTGTACTCGTTGGTCAACACTAATCTGCTGAATGTGTCCATAATGTTCATTAAGAGTGGGGAAAGGAGAATATCATTCAAATTTCTTAAAGTGATGGTTTCGTCTCGCTTCTCTAACTTTTCATAAAGAATATTGAATTGCTTTCTCACATCGGATGGAATGTTGAGCTCGTGAATGGATCCAATCTTGATAAAATCACTTTCCAATTCACTCAATAATTCGCTATTCAATTTTCCTTCACTTCCTCCAACTTGATTTGTAATTTTCATTATCAATTTGTAAGCATTGATATTTTCCAAAGACATTTCCTTTTCTGAATAATCTTCAAAGAGTTGCATAAAGTCATTGTTACTCAAATATTTTGTAATTTCCACATCTTCATCCTCTTGTCTGACGATATTATCCTTCGATTTCCTTCTAAATCTAATCTTGTTAATCAGCTCTATAATCATTGCAGAACCTCCACAAATCATGATAAAGAAACAATTAATTAAGAATCTTGGAATTGGTTCAGCAGCCCTTCCTGGATTGTTTTCGCTAGTGGTGGATACAACGATTATATTAATAATAACCAGAATGAGAATGGCCACCAATTGAATTAAATCAATTCTGATATGGAATGGATCGTCGAAAAACATAAACTTTCCAAGACCATTCTTTTGAATATTCTTATAATTCATAACAGAATCAAAGATGATGCACAAGACACCCACCAAAGTTCCAAATAAAAGGTAGGCAGCAATGGATTCATTGTGAAGAAAAACACCATTCGAAGTAACCATCGCCACACCATGAATGGACAGGAATATGGACAAGACAATCGAAAAGAGGCCTGTAAATAGGAATCCAAACCTTACAGAGGCCAGCATTTTGAAAATCTTGAAATGTTTCTTATACTTTCTAATTAAGGAATACAAATTCTTCAAATAGTAAAATCTAATAATAGTAAATGAATAAATACACACACATGTGCATATTAAAAACATCTCAACCCACACAAAAGCACTACTACAAACATTCTTCCACACATTCAAATGGAAGAATTCATACCAAATAATTAAAACTGGAAGATAGGCCATCAATAATCTTCTTACAATAAATGGTTTTAAAAATGATTTTGAAATGAATAAACAGCCAAAGTAAATGACCACAATTAAAATATTGGGAATGTACCAATAGTCACCATCCTTGAAATTCATTTCAGTGCAAGTGCTTGATAGACACCAATGGCAAGAGGAAGGAAGAAGTAAATTACCAATTTGATCGTATGATCTTGGTTGATTGAATGTGAAATTATGAAATTCTTTCCAGAGAGATTCCAAATTTTCTCTAAGAGAATCATTGAAAGATGCTTTAACTCCATACAAATCGAATACATATTCCATAAATTGTCTTTCAATCTTGCTAATCTTTCCAAAAGAAGAATACAAATTAAATGTTACCATATCTGAAGTGAATCCTTTGAATTCTGTATCAGTAATATAACATTCACCTGGTTTAGCATAACTTGTCGTAGCATTATTAATTTTGGTATAGTCCATCAATACTACATCACTTGGAAAAAGTGGAACAAAGAAGAAATCACTCGTGTTGATGAATTGTCCACTCAATTTCCTTCCTCCACTAGTTTGAGCATCTCTATAATATCTCACATTATAACTGAGAAAATAACCTGTTGTGATGATAATGTCAAATTCCTCAAAAACGTTCATAGGTCTACATTGTTCGTAATAGAAGCGAATTGGTGAAAGTTTCTGGTTGACTGCACTTGTTAAATTATAAAAATTGGTGATGAAGGCGAATGTTGTTGATTCAATGGCAGTATCAATGGCAATCTTTAGATTCGAATACTTGTTAGTGTAGAACAACAAGTCCACTGCCAATTTTCTCATACTGTCAATGGCATCTTCATCGAGAATGGAACTACTATTAGGTAAGAGTTGATTCCTCAGAGCATCCAGAGATTCTTTCACCTCTGACATGTTTCGTCCAAAATTATTGAAGGCCAATCCCTCTTGCGAAAGAGTCATATTCTTCCACATGAAGAGAAATACTCTATCTCTAGTCATGGCCACTTGATTATTACTACCAGTAAAGATGCTCTTATCGAAATTATTGAAAACAGTCTTGTAGAGTACAATTTGGCCATCATCAGAAGTTTGGCCATTGACTAGCAGCTGCAAGGAAACATGCAAGGATATGAGAACAATAATGAAGGTTACCAACCAATTGTTGCTGTTGTGGTGGTGGAAGAATCTCATTCCAATTATTCTCATAAGTTGTTTGTTGTTGTTTTTTGTTGTGAATTATGTGAAAGTCCAAATGGTGTTCTACAAGTCAATCAGAATGTTGGCATCACGAGCTGGAACCTAAAACTCTCAAAAGGGATATTGGACCAATTAGCTTGGTTGTAAGATATTCCGCTGTGGAAAAGAGATCACGCTCAAGTAAATCAGGATTTTCAATCAACTCCGAAGTTGCCATATTATTGACTGTCAAAAGAATCTGCTTGTTCAAGTTGAATAATCCACGTTCCTAATTACAATAGGTCATCAGCTATTAAATTAACCTCCAAGTTATTATTTTGATGATATTTATGATGGCACGGAACTGTTGAAAGCAATTATGTTACTATCACTTATCACGATACGGGTAAATGGCCACGTTTGACTTGAAGCTAACAATGTGATAATTTATAGTAACTATTATCAATTTGTTGTGGCTGCATTAAAAACGATTAGGTTGCAGATTTTTTTTTAATTTTTTTTGCTTTTTATTTTTGGAGGGAAATGGTGTTAGATATTAGTTGAAAGTTTATAGGGGTCCATCTTCGATTGAAAACGATACTTTGTTTGTACCTGTTAAAATCAAATCTGATCTGTGATGATTGTCAATATCCAACATGTCTCTATACCATCATATGAAAAAGAGAGTATGTGGTGGAAGAGTGATTTGGTACACTTGCTCTTCGATATCGATCTTGTAGAGTTGTTTTCAACTTTAATACACAAATCATTATCATCTTGATCATAGTAATTGGACTGTACCCATCAAAAGAAGTTAATTGTATGACCCTATAATGCCAATAAAGCGGATGAGCATTGACAATTATTAATAAATATAATCACTTGTTTTTGTTGATGGAAATTTGATGATGAAATATTTTTAATCACACAAAAATATTTTACTTCACACCAGTTATACATCCAACTAAAGATCTATTTGATCAACAATAAGAATGGCAAATAAAAGATGTTAGAATATATACAATCTTTATTATTCAAATACAAATTGGTACATCTAGAAAACTATTCAAAGTTAAATAATTGTTTTTCTCCCGAGAAATGAAGAAGGTTCTCCACATATTTGCTGCCTCTTGGGGAGTATAGATAACCTGCAACCAATACGTTATCTATAGAGGGGGTGGAAGGAATTTCAATTTGTTCACGGACAGCAAAAAAAGCATTGAATTCTGACATTTTTTAATTAATAAAAACACAATGGATTTACAACGAAATAAGGCCATTGTTTAGTGATGTATCTATTGGCTTAGGAACTTTGAAAGTTGTAAACTGTTTGAAACGTGAAGTTAAAATGGACCAAATAGATATGGGTGTTTTATACAACAGGTTTTTAAGGGCAAAATATCTGTTTGGAAATGAAACACTAAACTTGCAAATAAACCTAATTGGTAAATTGGTGATTTCAATTGGGAGTATGAAAACACGAATAGTAATTTCATGGAGAGTGAACGATCTTCTTTATTGATTTTGTTGATTCACAGACACAGACTCGAAGAAATTGGTATGTTTCAATATACACTGTTAATATGTACAATTTACAAGAAATCGTCTCTGATATTTAAGAGTAATACATCTATATGAGAACAGAAGAAAAATATAGTAGTAAATTGGCTGCCAACACACGGTACACACAAATTCATCAAATGATGATCAATAGGTTTTTTATTAAATTATAAATATCAAAAATTGTTTGAAAGACTTCGTTCTAAGTAGATTCAAGGCGATACTTTATAGGATCTGTTTGAATGGTGTTAGACTGTGTATTTAAACAACATAATAGCTGATAATATTGGCTCCGAATTTCTATGGATCATTGGATCATCATGATGAATAAATTTTTGCAATCCACAAAACTTTCTTTTTTATTTCCGATAAATGTTTCTAGTACCGTAATAACAGCAACGATGACAAAACTTGACAATAATTGATCAAAACTTGATAAATAGGACTGTAATAACAACACGATAGAACAATGGAATAAAACTTTTAATTAATATTATTTATACACAATTGTTATTGAGTGTGTACAAATTCGGAAGCAAAAACAGATTAAACAGATTGAATGACAAGAAAGATATGAAACAACGTTACTTTTATTAATCTTCTTCATAATTAAAAACCACAGGAAGGATACCAATTTCCTCAAATTGACAGTAGTCAATTTCATTCAGCAAACATTGGTAAAATAACCCAACGTTTGCTAATTCCCTATCAATTTTCAAAAAAGTTACAACATGAGCAGCCAATATGTTGTAATATTCAATGATTCTCCTTTCATTTGGTCTTCTTGCAAGTACCGAGAGATTCTTATCGTGATCAAAAAAAATGTTGTCTTTTGACAACTGGAGAGAATGATCACAAGAGTGACAAAATCCACTGAAGAAGCAGAAAGGGCAGGGTGTCATGTTGTTGAGTATTTTTTGTTGTATGGAATGTTCAGTGTCGCACGTTTGAGCACCGTTTGAATTTACCGAAAACGCTTGTTTGTAAAAATGAAAATTCGTTTGACGAAGTAATCAGTTAGTGGAAAACTCTCTCGCTGTTTTTGTCTGTTGTCTATCAGATTTTAGTTAATAGTAAATATTGTTTATAATAATGATCAAAGAAAGCAAGCAAACTGTAATAAGACAAACATGCAAGCAAGACAACACGTTGTTGCTCGAATTCCTAACCATTCAATAGCAAGGAAGAAACAAAGCATACCCGTTTTCAAATTGATATTACTTATTTAAACAACAATGATCAAAATTGCTCCTTTTCAACTTATTTCAGTAAGATTTTTTTTTTCTAGCTTTTTTTCCATAAAAATTTTTTTTTTAACCATTAAGCAAAACTTTTTCCTTATTCCATTGAACACCTTATGGCTTTGGCGGTTATTCGTTAAAAATTGAAGGAATTAATGTGATGAAGATATAGCTGCTGTTGAATGTATTTTGAATTTCACAGTAGAGAGTGCATTGTAATGATTCATAAAAGAATTGATGATTTCTACTCATGCGTTACCCAATAAATTTATTAGGATCAATAAACACCTAAATCAAAGAGGTTTGAGAATTCTGACAAGAGCAGTAACAATCTACTAATCTGAATCCATTTCTAATTATTTATTCCAAATAATTTTTTTGATTCCTCCTTCTTGAATTGTACAGTGCGGTCATTTACTATTCATTACCCGTAGTGATAATCAGCAAACGAAAAAAAACTAAACTTTCCAAATATAATAACAATCGGGATTTTCAATAGAACTCACTCATGGCAAAGAAGTGTCTTTAGGACAATTATTTGGAATAAACCACTCAGCATTACTCTGTTATGGATTCTTTTCATAATCAAAAAAAACGAAACTCCTCATGAAAGCCACTTCAAGCAGCACTGATTTAGTGATTTCACCTTCAACCAATTCAACAAATATTCTGACAACAGTTTCTTCTTCACAAGATGTCGCAACATTCATTGAAATGACACCAACCTCTCCAACCAGTATTGTAAAACAAAGCAATTACTCAACTGGAATACAAAAAAGAGATTCTCTTCATAAATCTGTAACTGGAAAGAGTTTACCATCCTCCATGAAAACGCCAATGACCAGTTCGGTGACTGGTTTTCATTCAAAAACCTTCAAAATTTACACTTGTTGCGGAGTATTGGAATTGAACTGTCTCAAGTTGACCAGTTTTGCTGCACTTGGTATTAGTATCTTTGCCTTTCTGTGTCTAATCATTATCATTTCCATTAACTTTTCCATTGTAAACTTGCTTCATACCAAGCTCAATCATTTGGACACTTCAGGAACCTTTGACAGAGATTTAATGATTTTGGCATGTCGAGTTTCTGTCACTAATCAATATAACAGAAGTCTATCATTGGAATATGCCAAATTATATAGTGAATATTCTGATAGATATTACGAATCTTTGAATAATTTGGTTGCGAATGTGCCTCCTGAAATACTTTACTGGAATCAACATGGCATGTCAAGAGAAGATGTCAAATCAAGAAGAGCTGTCAAACAGGAACTTGCCATGATTGAATTAGTCAAGAGTGGCAATTATTCAAGTGCAATTTCAATTTTAGATTCAAGTCAATATAAGGAATTACTCACTGGATATCAAGACGAAGTTCAAAGTATTTTTGATTATGTTGAGAGTTTGAAACAAGAAAATTCTGATTTGGATTTGGCAACGACTACCACTTCATTGATTATTATTTGTGTTTCACTTGTTGTAGTGATTCCTGTATTGTTGGTATTTGTCATGTTGAGTATTCGAAAGGATAATTCGAAAGAGAAACAATTGAGACTTGTTAGAAAGTATATGATTATGGACACTATCAATGATGTGAAATTATCCGAACAATTCAAAGAGTTTTGTAAACAAGAGAGAAGTGAAGATAACTTTGTGCTATTGGAAAAAATCAACGAATATAAGAAACTGTGCGAAAGAAGTTATGATATTCAGGTGTTTTTATACGATACAGACATTTTGAGTAGCTCAGCTTCCTCATCTACCTCAAGTACAGACGATTCTTCCAAAAAGAAGAATAAGAAAGGTTTCTCTGAAAAGGATGTAGTAGAAATTGAAAAGAAAAAGTTTGAAATTGCATTCGAAATCTTTACCGATTTTCTCGATGTTACTGGTGATAGATCAGTGAACATTAGCAAGCACTTGGCAGATTTTGTCAAACAACACTTGGATTTCTTTGCTAAAGGAGAGAATGAGTCCATGCCAGAGAATTTATTCGAAACAATTGAATGTGAAATGTGTGTCTTGATGATGGACACGCATCATAGATTCAAGCAGTTCATTGAAACTCAATTAAGAGAAAAGAAGATGAAAATTCGTTCCGTTCACATTGTTTCAATAAAGAAGTAATGCTATGTAAATTTTGTACTGTTGTTGGACAAGTGAAAGCTCTGATGGAAACCTGTTAAATCTGAATTTAATATTTCTAGTCTTAAAAAAGTTACGCCGTAAGGGAGTCGAACCCTTGACCTTCAGCGTGTAAAGCTGACGATCTAACCAACTGATCTAACGGCGCTTGATGAAGCAAAAGAAAGAATTAAGGAGCAGTGTTGATAATTACCAGTTTACATGTTGGCCAACTCTGATTTTTAACAATTCAATGCATACCATACTGTACTTTGAGTTTATTGAGAATCCCTTTTAACAAACAAAAATGGAAACAGATTACAGTCATTACAACGTTTCCAGGCATCAATTTTGAAAATAATTGATTTTCGATGAAAGGGACCATGGTCTAGTGGTATGATTCTCGCTTTGGGTGCGAGAGGCCGTGGGTTCGATTCCCACTGGTCCCCATTTCCTTTTTAAATTGCAATTGTAATTTCCTTTCTTTGGAATTGAAACAGTTTGAATGCAAAATCTTGGTGCGATTCCCACTGGTCCCCAATCCATTTTATTTTGTTCTACATTATCTATTTATCAAAATTGGTATGAGTATACCACTCACCAAATGATTAGAATTAAAAGGAAAACTACCAATAGAGAATCGAATTAGTGGGAATGATTCATACATATTCACCCTTTTCGAGCTTCCTTTTCACACTCAAATTCAAATTATCAACAAATGTCAAAAGGTGAAATACATTTCTTGAATTTCAGCTCCTTCACTCATCAGCGACAACACTTTCCAATTCGACTTCTCATAAACGACATTCCTTGTATCTAAAAGCGCGCAACGAAACTAACACTCAAAACAAAGTACATGCGCTCATTCCTTCTTCTTACCATTTAAATTGCATCACCATTTCGCTCAACATTTTGAAAAAAACAAGACAACAATATCACTGAGACAAATCTCAATAACAACAACAACAATACTAGTTTTACATCTAGTTTTTGAAAAAAGAACAGAAACAATATGGCTATTAGCACAAATTTAAAGAATCTCGTTCAAAAGTTGCCACTGGTTGGTCAACATGCTCAACATGCATTGGATGATCTTGGTATTGGTGGTGGAAATCATCAAGAAAAGAGAAAGTCACAAGCCAAAATTGTCATTATTGGTTTGGAAAATTCAGGAAAATCAAGTATTCTCTCCAAACTTAGAAAGATGAAGAAACAATTGTGGAACAAGTTGAAGAAACAAAAGAATGAATTGCCAGAAACTAATCCAACTCTTGGTTTCAATGTTGATATGTTCAAGTATCATGACACTTCATTTACTTGCTTTGAAATTGGTGGAAAGTTCTTGAAAACTAAACAATTGGCAAAACATTACTTTGAAAATAATCATGCAGTGATTTTTGTGATTGATTCAACTGACAGAAATAAGATTCAAGAAGCTAGAGATACTATTCATTCAGTAATGCAAGATCCACTCCTTTCTGGTTGTAAATTATTAGTCTTGGCTAATAAGCAAGATTTATCCGAATCTATGGAAATGGACGAAATGGTCAAACAATTGAAATTGAACGATATCAAACAAAAATGGAATATTTATGCAACAAGTGCCAAGAATGGAATGGGATTATTTGCAAGCTTTGATTGGATTTCTTTGGCCGATTAAGAATTTCACAAATTTCCACAAACAAATCCTTCGATTATGGAATTGTAATTTGGCCTTAAACTCTGCAAATCAAGAAAACTCGAAATTATTCAGGAAATTATCAAAACAACAACTTGATACCAAAAATTGATATGCAAATCAATTCATCAATCATTTCAATTACCTTAAAAACGAATAAATCATGAAATTGTAACAATTCTCAAAATGTTTAGTTCTTTGTTTGAAAAGGAGTTCAAAAACTTCCTTATCTATTTCCTATCGATCAATTTCCATTCTTAATATTCCTTCCTTCCATTCAATATTCCAAAATATTAAATAATCTTTAAAAATATTTAAAAATTTTGTAAGAAAAAATAGCTCGTCATCAACATCACCCGACTTTTATGGAAACTCTGCAAAATAATCAATCATCAGAGTTGGGATAAAGTTCTGGAATGGACCATTCCCCATAGATATTGTGTTCAACATTTCCCTCTCTCGTTCAAATTCCTTTTATTATTTTGATGATGATGAATTTTAATATTACACTAATTGAAAAAGAAGGAGAACACAGGTCGGATCATAGATGAAGAATCAATCAGGACCAGTAGCTACCATAGTAGGGCTGATACTACTTTCAACCTCCTCCTCTCCGAGTCATAATTACAAATCTATTAATTATTATTATAAGAGTTTGATAATTTATTTAATATTTACGATTTTTCAAAGTTTAATAACAGTACATGCCCAACAAACATTTCCACCAACGTTAAATTATCAAGGCTATCAACTACTCCTTTCCAAGAATCAACTCCTCATCAGAGCAACTACCTCCACTCTACTCACTTCCAATAATTTGGGAGCAAGTCTTTCATCACCATCCGAAATTCAAGGTGGTTTTGTCATTCAGAATACTGTGTTTTATGTACAGAATGTTATTGGAGGAAGTTTTGAATTGGTAACTACCACTACTAGTGGTACAAATAGTTCGAGTGTTGTTACATCCTTTTCTTCAGAGGCTATTCAACAGGGAAGAGTTTACTTTGTGCCAAATGTTGGATTGGATATTAATTTGAAACCTTCGTATAGTGTTTGGGCTCAAGGCTTGTTGGTCAATTCATCTACCTTACTTAGTGTTGCATTGTTAAATAGTACAACAATTTCGAGTGCTCAAGTGACCTTTACGAGATGGAATACAGGATTGATTGGAGCTCCAAAACCAGTTGTGTTCAATAGGTCAAATTCAACTCACGTCATTATTGAAGTGAACATGTTCAAGAGAAATATCGATGGACCTCCAGCTTCTTCCTTTATGGTTGGTCTAGCCAACAGTGCTACTTGTACCAGTGATTATAATACTGTATTGAACTCTCTGTCTGATGGTTTTGTAAAAAGTGCAGAGACTGAAACGTATCAGACCTTTGTCCTCATTCAGACAATTGCTGCTCACTTGGCCAATCCAAATGTTGTCAAGATTTCTAAGGGAATTTACATTGATGTTAGGGTTTCTGTATTTATGACTTATATGATTACAAATCCAGGCAGTTCATGTCAGAGAATTCAATATACGGAAGATTTAATTACTCAAGCCAATTTGATAGCTCAACAGAATGGTAATTCTAATACTCCTCAAATGAGTCTCACTCCAACACGATTGATAGTTTCAGATTCGAGTCAGTTGCTACTTTCACTTCTTCTCACTGTTACTGGTTTGAATACTGCAAATTTATTCAATTGGCAACTCACTGGTCCTAAAGCATTCACTCTCAATTATCCAATTTTGGCTGATGTCCAAGGAGATACCAAATATTGGCAATTTTCATTCGCATCCAACTCTGTATCAGATGGTGAGGATTTTAGTGGAACGTATACATTTAAATTCGAGGCACAAGTGAGTGGTGAAGCTACATCAAAATTTTACCAGCTCTCAATTACTCTGCAATATTCTATACCAGATGGTGAAGGTGTTTCAGGAGGAGGTGGATTACCATTCGACACTGAAATTAACACTTATTATGATAATAATTTTGGTACAAATCAACCCCAGACTCAGATCAAGAAGACACAGCAAGCATTTATCAAAGTTTCCACAGTGCTCATTTCAACATCGTTGGGTACTGTCTCACCAATTCCAAGTTCAAAACAAATTGCGCCATACAACATATTTATTTGTTGCACCAAGAATTTCCAGGCAATGCCATCCAATCAATGTAGACAATACGATGCAACCGTCATGACCTACCAGAAACAGCTGATGATCAATGGAACGATAAGTTCAGACTCTGATGTTGTTTCTAAATTCAAACTGAAATCTCCAGAGACTATTAAAGGAATCACAGATTGGGGTACTCTCAGACACATTTATGCATTCAGTATGTATATGACTGCTCTTGTAACAGGAGTGGATAAGAGATGCTATCTTGCCATAGATACCTATTTGGTGAATGCTGACCTACCAGTTCTTAGAGGTTTGCAAGCTAACACTCTCTCTGCAGCCTCTAACATTTCTACCTCAACCAGAGCTTTTGATTTGATTGAAGTGATTGCTGCAACTTCATCCTCCAAGAAACCACAAAAGAGTGTGCATGCATCTGCATCGAAAAAGAACGGATTTGGCTCTGTGGACTACATTTGTGATAGCAGTGCTCCATCTACCATGAGGTATAATTACCACATTGTAGTTGTGATAATCTTTACTTTGATATTGGTAAACGTTATCACTTAATAAATTAGTCAGTTACTACTTTATTCCTTTGGTTAAGCAATGCTATGCAACAGCGGTAAAGCAAAGCCAATCGTTCCTCAGAATCAAGAGCACAATTTTGAAAATCCAAACAATCAGGATATTTCTCGTAGAACGTTTTGCAATGTTCTTCAAATGGCACACCATTGATTTGGATGCATTTGATAGCAAATTCAAATGCATCCCATTTTTCTTTAGTGATTCTGTTTGAATCAGTAATTATATCTGTGCATAAATCCTCTATTGTTGAAGCTCCCAAAATTGAAGGTTTGAAACATTTGACAGCAGTTTCTAGGATTCTTTCAAATTCCGAACTATTAGCATACCAATAAATAAATAATGTTCTAATAGTCGACCTAACATGCTCTGCATAATAACTTATATCTCTATTTTTCTCATTCAATTTTTCCATCAACTTTTCCAAATCAAATGGCCCATATTCCTCATAGAAATCCTTAAAATAATACATAATATTGCAATTGTAGGTTTTAAAAAACGATTCCACAAAATGTGAAGGTCCTACAAGTCCTTCAAAATATTCTAGCTCGTAAGGATCAAAATCGTTCACCAATTTGATTAATTTCATTGGATTTGCCTGTCTAAAAGTATAAGTATGCAAAATTCTCTTAATATCTGTCATATTTATCAATCCATGTTTGTATAACTCTTCTATTAACTCATAATCATTGACATTTCTGCATATTAAAAAAAGAATATTCTCTGAGAATAGTTCCATCTTGTCCACTTTCACAATCTCACAATATTTTCTTACAAATTCAAAGTTAAGATATGATGATGATTCACTTAAGTGGACAAGTCTGTTATTATGTCTATAACCAAAATTCTTCGTGCAACTGTCAAATATTTTGACGGACAAACCAGGATAAATAATTTCCATACAATTAAACCAACATTCCAATCCCAGCAGAGAACTTGCAATATGATGGAGAGGTATTTGAAGTTTGGATATGTCATTTGATTTTTCTACATTTCCATCAATGGAAATATATTCTTGGATGAATTTCAATAATTTTTCTTCGTCTTTGTGAATGACAATGTAATTAGCCAGCGAGTAATCATCCATTATCGGTTTGAATTTGTTGATAAATTCGATCGAATCATCGTATGTGAGTTCAGAAATAGCAACATTGAATATGGATTTTGAGAAACGTTTCCAATAGTCTTGAGCTCTCAATCCTTCCATCACTCTGCCATCTTTTGTGAATTTCTTGGCATGCGACAAGAAATATTGGGCTATAACTCCCGTGTGTATATATTCTACAACACTGGGTTGAAAATCTTTTGAGATTTCTTCTAATCCTTTGCTCATCATTAATGAAAAATTAGCATTCAAAGCAGACGGAATCAATTTCTTAAATCTCGTTCCAAAAACTGTTGATCTTTCCATTTCATCCTCGTCTCTATCCATAAACTCCATAAACGAATGCTTGTTCACCTTCTTTTCATTCAAAATCTGAGTAGTGTGAAACTTTCTCGTCACATCCGCAAGATTCCTATAAATTTTGTATTGTGTAGAGTTTTTAGCACAAGATTCCATCATCTTTTCATAATAATCAATTTTTAATAGCAACCAATTGGATAGCAGTGTTTTCCAGACCATTTCAAACCGATCCAATTGATACCAATTTTTACAAGTCAACACACAGGATAGACCGTCCTTCAAACCAATATATTCCATCACGTGAAAGAGAGTGTCCGGGTGAAGTTCATGTTGTGGCATTTTTTTTTTCTGTTGTAAATGATTTCTTCCACTGGTCAACCCAAAACCAATGCAAATTGTCTGCATCTAAAATTGCTTATAATTGAGTTGGTGGCGAGGAGGTCTCTGGAGTGAAGAGAGTATTTATAAAGTTATTCCTATTACTGGGAAGAGAATTTGAAAGCAGTTCTTCATTGCTGATGATTGAAGAGGGCGAGTTGAGTGTTGAAAGATAATAGGGCGATATTGGTGTTGTTGATTGCTTTGATTGATTTGCCAGTTTGAGGACACCACTATTGGTAGAAGATTTTGGTTCCTTGTAGGTTGAAACTGTGGTTATAGTATCAGTTTCTTGTTGTTTCTTTTTCATTTCGAATGAAATATTGTCAAGTGGTCCAAATGCAAACGTTACCAGAAGGCACAATATTCCAATAGATACTTTGTGGATAATAGAGGAAGCAAGAAGGATTTTGGCTGGAGAGAATATAATTTTCAACATTAGTATTATATTTGAAATAATATTCAAGAGTGAAGTTAATAATTGTCCTATTGAAAGTGCAATCAATTTACGACAAGCTGTTTTTCTCTCCTTAGAGATGGGTCTATTTTCTGGCAAGAGTTTCCTTACCAGAGCCCCTACGCTTACTACATTCAAAATTGTGAAATATAACATTCCTAATGAAACAAATAATCCTAATGTAGAACTGACAGTCTCGGCCTGTTCACTTATCAAGATGGTCATTGCTGTTTCTGCATATCTTAGCATGAATAGTGTGCATACAGTTACAATAAAGAGCAGCAGTAAAATGTTTAGAATAATCACAAGAGAAATACTCGAAATTTTGACAAACTTTCCCCAAGTTTGATTCATTCGATTTTTCCTCATCCAAGATTGTGTCTTATTGAAATAAATATTGTAAATTATCTTTGCTATGGTAGCCTGACTGTTCATACACAGAGTTACAGAAATCATCATGCCAGACGTTTCAAAGGCATGAAAAAATGTCCAAAACCAACCCTGCATTGCAGTGATTAATCCAACCGTGTATGTTATTCCAAAACATTGAAAAACTATTTGATTAAGACAAATAAGTATCAATAGAATGTACAACAATCTCTTATTAAATACCATATGCTTCCACTTTGATACAAGTAGAAATCCCATCGGCAATAGAAGAACCATAAAGAAGAGAAGACCTGTAATATGCACTCCGAGAATTCCATAAATACAATCGTCGATTGATGATGGTTGTATCATTACGGAGCTATTGAATCCATATTGTGATGAATTAAAGAATGAAGAAGATAATGATGATGATGGCGGTTGTGGCAAATTGATAGAAATCAACATTAAATTTCTTTTTAAAATTCTTTTTAATTTGATTTGTACTAATATTGACAAAAAACTTACAGAGATATTGACTGGTAGTGAAGACCTCAAATTATAAGAAAAATAATATCAAAAAGCACATGCTACCCGCGCGGATCGAACGCACATCTTCTTACTCCCGATAAGCAAGACGCCCTACCATTAGACCAGAGCAGCTAACGAATAATTTCTAAAAATAGGTGGATACTTCATTCAAGCATTAAGATACTCCATCAAAAAGAAAAACCACAGTGGAACTGTGTTGTGCTCCAATAATTTGGAGCTAATCTCAATATAGGGAACTGTGTGTGTAGCCAATCGATTGTAGAGTCTTTGATTTGTAATCTTGTATTCTGAACTGTGATCTGACTGCATACCAACAATGGCCATGATACATGAGGGGACTAACTTTCTAACCTGCTCTATAAAGAAACGAATATTTAGTAAGGTGGCTTTGCTTGTCAAGTCAAAAGCAATGATGCAATATTTGGAATCATTCAAAAAAGAATTTCTTGGTACGTATATTTGTTCTCCTCCTGCCCAGTCCCATAATGCAATGTTCAAGCTTTCAGTCTGATTCAATTGTGTTGACAAATTGAAAACTGAGACAGTACAACCAATGGTTGGTAAATACTTTTGGTGTGGTTTGAATTTTGAAACATCTAAGGATTTACAAAATGTTGTCTTGCCAACTGCACCACAGCCCAAAACACAACACTTTGCCAACTTGATATCCTTCCACTTGGAAAAGGTTTCATCGGTGAGTGAAAATTTTCTAACTCTAAGGAGAGCTGCTTCCTCTTCCACAATCTTCTTACCACTATTCTTCAGGAAGGATTTGTAAACTTGAAATTGTTTCATCAAACTCTCGAATAATAATAAATCATCGGGTTGATGAGTCTTATCTGCCACTGTGGATGATGATGAAGAATTATCATCCTCTTTCAAATTCAAGACAATGTGTTGCCATAGACCCTTTTCACTCCACTCCTTCTCACACTCCTTCAACATGTTCATAACATATTGTTGAAAGCAAAATTCGTAGAATCCAACTTTTTCTGCAGCCAAGTCTAGGAAGGATTCTGAAGTTGGTGGCTTATTCTCTTCAAAATCATCATCACCATCCTCTTGATATTTCATCAATGCTAGCCAATATAAATCACTCTCTGTATAATTAATACTAATATTCAATGATGTCTTATGGTTCTGCAACTTGATGATTTTCCTTTGGATATACTCTTCGACAAGTCTTCGGGAAAGCTTACAACACTTGGAGATGCCAAAAAACAAATCCAAAGGATTGAGAAACTCCAATATTGAAAACAACCATACATCATTATTAATTCCCATCAATTCGTGTTGTTCATCCTTTTCCTCGTTGTCGGCTTTTATTCTTAAGCTTGATTCTGTATTGTTCTTGTTATTCATCCTCCTATTTTTTAATGCAAGCTTGAAGGTTGTGGATTTTAAGAGGAGGTGTGAGATTGCCAAGTTGTTGTTGGTGTTACATGGAGTGTTGATGAAGAATTCTTTTTTGTTGAATTGTTTCTTCTTTTTCACCGCCAAACTAACCGTTAGACCGGTTATTAAATATTTTAATTTTTAAAATAAAAAAAATGTAAATGTATCATCACTTCCTAATGGAAGTAATACTTCAATTGTCATTGAGCGGATAGTTTGCTCATACCGCACGACAATGCAAATAACAAAGAAGAAAAAATGTTGATGATCCTATTGGTGGCCTTGATGGTCATTGTTATTTCTCTGATGATCAACATTGCCTTCAAACTTTATAATAATTATAAGAAGGGTATGTTGTTTTTTCTTTTCAAAATTTAATGATGATTAATTTTACCAAAATCGATTGGTTACCACAGTTGCTCATATTCCTGGTACTTTTCAATTGACATTTACTCCGTGGAGAATTCCTTTAATTTCACCTGTTTGGTATTTGGGAAATGTTGGTACAATTGTTGATGATGTTAGAAAGTATGGTGATGCTGAGAATAAAATCATGAGAATTACTTATCCTGATGCTAATATGGTGCTAGTTTCTGATCCAGACATGTTGAAAGAGTTCTACCTGACCAAGGGAAATACATTTGACAAGTCGAGTTATGTCTATGACATGTTCAATGTTTATGGAGAGAGTATCTTGTCAGCTAAAGATACCGAAACATGGAGAAAGCATTTCAAGTAAGTTTTACAATTTTTTACAACAATTTGTGTAATTAACTGATTATAGAGTTGTTTCACCTGCATTCTCTCCAAAGAATTTGCAATACATGTGTAAGGTTTGCATTGACAGTTCAAAATTATTATTCAACAGATGGGAATCAAAATTGAAAGGAAAGGAATATTTCATATTGGATTTAGGTGATTTCCCAGATGTTACATTGGATGTTCTTGGAACTAGTGCTTTTGGTATTGATTTTGGCACTTTTTCAGGTGAACACAACACATCAGAATCAAAATTCAGAAGAGCAATGGAAAAGGTAATTTCACATCAATTCCTAATTAGAAGATTCTTTTTAGAGGTTCCATGGCTTTGCAAGTTTTTGGAGAGTGTTACTGGAGCAGGAGAAGCAACCAAGTTTTGTGGAGATTATTTGGATAAGGTCATTAAGGATAGAACAAAATTGGTAGAGAGCTATACTTCATCAACAACTGACGATGAGAAAAAGCATGATGTGTTTACATTGTTAGTGGAGGCTAACATTCTTGACAAGCAATTGACAGATGGAGAATTGAAGAGTAATGCCTTGATTTTCTCGTAAGTATTATTAATATTTGTATATTTATCAAATACGTATAGAGCTGCTGGACATGAAGTAAGTATCAATTAGATTTCACATTCTCATTTTAAATACCATAATAATAGACAACTGCAACCTTACTAAAGTGGACCTTTTATGAAATCTCTAAAAGACCTGAAGTTCAAAACAAAATGTATCAAGAAATTGTGGAAAAAATTGGTGATCGTCCAATAGAATACGAAGATTTTGGTAAGATGGACTATGTTTACTCTACCATTCTAGAGGTGTTGAGATTTAACCCTCCTGTCGTTTGGGTCTCTCGAGAATGTAACAAGAGCACAACTATTGGAAAGTATCACATTCCAAAAGGAACCAGAGTAAATGCTCTCATCAAACAAGCTCACAGTAATGAAAAGAATTGGACCAGGCCAGAAGAATTCAATCCAGAACGTCTCTTCAACAATCCAGAGCTCAGAGACAAGGTTCAACAGGATATGTCATTCATTGGATTTTCTATGGGAAATCGTAAATGTAAGTGTTTAGATTATCATATTTTTTTACTAATTTAAACAATCCAAACAAATGGACAAATACCACATCTCTAGGTATTGGATATAAATTTGCTTTATTAGAAGCAATGATGCTTATTTGCACATTCTTAAAGAGCTATGAATTTAAATTGGAAAATGATGAAACTATTGATCCAGTCCTACCAAAGAAAGGTATCGTAAATGTTCCAGGTGATAACATGAGAATCAGAGTCTTCCACAGAACCAAATAAACCAAATTTAAATTTCAACAACTATTACAATAATTGTACTCTAAATCCAATCACCAGCCACAATCCACGTAAAACACGTGTTCTTCCATTGTTATTCCAAATTAAAAGCAACCATTGTTAACCATTTCTTAATTATTCCAAATATCAAAAAAAATGAAACCCAACTTGTTTCTTCTGGCAATCTACCTGTGTGGTGTCTTGCTATTCGTATCATCCATTGATCCGAGTGAAGAAAAGCCAACCATGATCCTATTCCACACTGATCTCAATTCATCCGATTCAAGATTGGTGTTACATGCCAATGGATCAGCCACTGTTGAGAGAATATTTTCCATTAACGACATGGAAATGATTAAAGCCTTTGTTGATCAAGATAGGATGCAAATTAGATTGGATGGATTATCATCATGGATTGATCCGAAGAGTTTTATGGCCACTGTTCAACAAGATACAATCATGATGGACAAGATGAAACAACAAGAAATACAAGTTGATGCTGGTGGAAATCGTCTTAAGAAGGTTAATACTGATAATAATTATTTAATGTTTAAGGAACAAGTGTATACTAAAGTTCCAGATGATAGAGAAATGAAGAAGAGAATGAAAGAAAAGTTGGTCGCTGAACAAAAAGTTATTCAAAAGAAGATTGTTTCGTATGAGAATATGAAGAAGCAAATTGTAGAATCCAAGTTTGAATTGGATCAATTTGAGCAAAAGTTAAAATTGGTTGATGAGTTGATGGAACTAATGGAGAAGAATCAAATTAAAGTGGATGAATTGGAAGAGAAGATTCAAGAAATTGGAAAGACTCAATTGTCATCTTCCATGTATTTTGAATTTTCATCAAAAGTTCCAGAATTTGTTAGGGCAGATCCAAAACCATTCATTCTTAAGATTAAGTATATTATCAGCAAGGGAAGATTCAATTGGACTCCTCAATATTTACTCTCAGTTGATAGTAGTACTCAAACTGGACAATTAATGTTTATGGCGAATGTAGTTCAAAAGACTGGTGAGAATTTCACAAATGCTCTGGTTGAATTATCGACAGATGAATTAGGACAAGCTCCAAGCATGCCAGAATTCAATCTGTTGACTTTGGATCAGACAGACATTTACAAATATCTCCGTAAAACGAACAGTCCACACACATTTGCTGGGTCATCATTTATTAGCCTTACTTCTAAGAAACTTATGAGTGACCAAAGAAACTATCAAAATCAATTTGAGGGTGCGAATATTGAATCAAATCAAATGGATCAAAACTCACAGGTTTCCACAGATGTTATCAGATCTACCACTTCTTACATGATTGCTGAGAGAGCTTCATTTATCACTGATTCAAATGGGTCAGACAAGACAGTTTCATTACTCATTGCCAAGATTAATCTCGAATCAAAGTGGTATCATAAAGTCATTCCAAAACAATCCTCAAGAGTCTACACAATCATGGCCATTAAGAACAAATCCAAATATCAACTAATCCCAGGTGATGTTAATATTTTCATTAATAATGTTCTTTCCACACAATCAAGAATCAAATCAGATGTCTTTCCAGATGATGTCTTCCAATTAGATATCGGTATTGATAGAATGGTCTCTGTGAAACTCAATGATCACAATAAGAATGAACAAGAATCAGGTTGGTTCTCCAAAACCAATTCCATCACTGAAAATTCACAAATTACCATTGAAAACAAGAAGGATGTTCCAATCAATATTACAGTTATCAATGCTTTACCATTCACAGAAGATTGGCATACAGACGATAAGTTACAAATCATCCTCACTCAACCAAAGACAGACCAAGGAAAGGATATTGATTTACATGAAATTTTCCTTCCAAAACCAGGTCCAGATGGAAAGGACACATTCTATCCAACTGAATATCAATTCAACACCAAGGTTGGTAAAAAGGATATGAAATGCAAGATTAAAAAGAGAAATCATGCATTAGAACGAAACTTTTCCATTTCTTCAAAGGAATCAATTGTATTGCCATTGTCTTTTCAAATGTGCGTCACTCTTGCAAAATAAAAGGTCTTACTAGTTCAATGGTGCCTCATTAGAATGTTGAAATTATGCGTTTTCAATCAATTTCATTGTTACTCCATCAAAGTCCGTCAATGTCCACAACATTAGTTTGCTTTCGAATTGTTTGAATTGAAATTATGAAAAAAAAATGTTAGAAACAACTCAAGCTGACATTTTCAAACCAGTCTTTGCCATGTTTGGCTTGACCATTGGTGTTTGGTTCTATTTGTACTTTAGACGAATCACATTCTTCAATCAGCAAAAAATTGATCCTGACACTGTTACTGCAGAAAAATTGAACGCAATTTCTCCGCCACAAGTTTCTAATCCCTCAGATAATTTCAAGAATTTATTCGAAGTTCCTGTTATTTTCTATGCCTTTGCTGTGTATTTATTCGTTTCGAATAGAGTGAGTGGTTTTTATTTGTGGGGTTCTTGGATTTTCGTCTTGTTTCGTCTTGGACATAGTTTAGTTCATTGTACATTCAATAGGGTTACTTTGAGATTTGCATTGTATATGATTTCAACATTTAGTTTGTGGATTATGATTGCAGTGGCAGCATTTTCATTATAATAAAGCTATGCATGAAATGAAACTAATCAAAATGAAAGAAAGTTTACAACAAGATTCTTTCGGAAAATTAATGGACAATTTCATAGCTTTTAAGGACGGGAAATTTCTCCTGGATTGTGTTTTTAAACAGTTTCAATATGAAAAAAATGTTCAAACTATTCGAATCAAGCCAACATACCAATCTTTATTCCAAGTTTCGTCCAACTTATCCTTCCACTTTATACGACAAGATCTTTCCTCTAATTTCTTCCACAAATTCCGAAGCTGGACTAAACATTTTAGATGTTGCTTGTGGAAGTGGTCAAGCTTCCTTTGATTTGGCTCAGAGAAATTGTAAAGTTTTGATCGGAGTTGATCCTTCGAATAATCAAATCGTCAATGCACAAGAAAAATTGAAAGAATGTCCATTAGATTCTACCAAGATTTATTTTGAAGTGGGCAAGGCAGAAGAATTAGATACTATCGTTCAAAAATATTCGAATGAATTGAAAGTGGACGAAAGTAGTGATGAGCAAGGAGTTTTTGATTTAATTACAGTTGCACAGGGTTTGCATTGGTTTGATTTCCCTCAATTCTTCCAACAAGTTGACAAGTATCTCAAGAAGGGAGGTGTTTTTGCTGCCTGGTGTTATGTTGGAAATAGATTCGACTCGGAGAAAGCTCAGCAAGTTCGTAATTCGTTTTATGATGGCGAAGAATTGAAACCATTCTGGAGTGAGAGAAGAGAATTGGTCGATTTGGAATATAAAACTATTCCACATGTTCCTTATCCAGAGAATGTTAAATTCGATATTGAATGGAAACATACAAAGATGAGTATGAGAAATTATATGAATTATATTAATACGTGGAGTTCTGTCAATTCGTATGGAGAAAAACATGGTATTGAAGCAAAAAACAAATTATTGGAAGATTATCAAAATAGATTGATGGAAGCTTTTGGTTTTACTGACATTGATCAAGAATTTGATTATCACATTCCTTATCATTTACTTACAACAAGAAAACCTTAATTATATCTTTTGATTATGGATATTGTGTAATTAGATTGTAATAAAAAGTGTAATTATAAAGAAAATAAGCAAGGAATAGGACAAGACAATTCGGCCTGTTCCAGAAATGATTATGTCATCTGCTGGAATATCTATAGGACTTGCTGGAGTTTCAGTTCGAGAAACATCTCCAGTAATCACCATACTGAAAGTTTGAATACCCTTGTTTGTTGGTTTGGCACCAACTCTGATGGCAATGGATGTATCTTTGGCAATGCCTGGAACAGTGATACCTTCAACAGTATTCAATACATCAATACTGGTTCCATTGTTACCGAAATAATTGATACCTCCTAAACTGACAATAAGATTAAGATCATTGATTAACTTCTTTTCCTTAACTGTTGAGCTGGTTTCAACTTGGGAAGATAAATCATACCAAGTCATTGTTACCTTAAGAGTGGTGGCTGAATTGGCAACAAATTTCATTTTGATTTGTTTGTTGGCATCTAGAGAATATCTGTTGACAAGATGAATTTCCTTAATTCTGTTAACACTTGAGGGGTCAGAGTCAATCTTGAGAACATTTAACAAATCGATTCTTCCGTATCCATTGTACTTATTTGGAGAGCCAAATTGTGAGAGAGGAACATTAACAGAGTTAATTTGAACTGTTCCTTTCATTGTATCTGCAGAATGAATGGCCATGGCCTTAACCAACGTTCCAGCCAAAGTCTGTGAAGCATCCTTATTAAAAATATTATAATCAATCAACTTTTTCTTGTTGTCTTTTAACAAGTAATGTCTAATAAGAGCCAATCCTCCAGACTATAATATTATAAAAATTAATTAGAATTACCAAAGAGAACACTTACCACTCCAGGAGTACTAACAAACCACAAAGCACAGTATTAATATGTAGATAACAGTTTGTTAAATAATTCTATTAAAGGGTTAAAATCAGTACATACCTCATTGATGTACCAGTCATTTGCTGAACTCCACATGAATCCACATTACTTGCACTCATTATCCCATAACCAGGGGCAACAACTAAATGGTTCAATTACAAGAATAAATAAGAAACATACTATCAGGTTTGATTCTCTCATCATACGTAGGTCCTCTACTCGATAACCCCCAAACATTTTCAAAGTTGTACAACGTGGTCCATGCATTATTGAAGAATTTCTTATAATAAGCTAATGTTGCATAAGAGGCTCCGACTGTTATGACATTCTTTGCAGTTGCTGGAGCTCCCAATGTCCTATCAGAAGCGGATGTACCTTCATTTCCTGCAGCCACAACCACAGTCACTTCATCATTGGCATTCAAGAATGAATCCATAATAGCACTATCTGTATCATAGGCATTACAATAGTGACAACAACGAACACCTGAATCTTTGATGCATTGATCATCTGATATCTTTTCTTTAGTATTATCACTTTTCACAATGTAGCAATCACAATCAAAATCACACTATAATGAAATTGTTATTTCATCTTCAAACTTTTTGAAATATTGAAATACTTACAGTATATGGAAGTGCACATCCCCAACTATTGCTTGAAATTTTTGCACCTGCCTTAAAGGCATTCTTTAAATTTGCTGTTATATCTCCTACATACAGACTTCCATAGGCTTCCTTCTGGGCATCCAAAGCATAGATTTTTGCATCCTTGGCCACACCATAATTTGAGGAAACAAATTCTGAGGTTGGTATTGTCTGTGGATAGCCAGCAATAGTTCCAACTACGTGTGTACCATGTCCATTAGTATCACTCAAATCAGTCTTATCAGCATCAGCTTTTCCATAGTAGATAATCTTTCTGTAGTTAGCATTGAGAGTGGTCTTGGTGCTTGGCTCATTAGTTCCAGTGAAAAAACAGTGATCTGTTGAAACACCAGTGTCAATGACAAGAACAATTTCAGAGGCGCCAGTAATTCCGTTATCCCATAAATAAGTATAATTAGAACCACCTCCATTTTGAATTACTTGATTAGTTCCATAATTCTTAATTTCATAACTCAATTGTCTGGAGACCATATCCACTGAATCGTCATTGGTTAAAAATTCCAGGAATGCCTGCCCAACACCTTCTGATAATTCTCTAATAAATCTTCCAAGTGATGAACTTCTTTCAAATACCTTTTGAACTTGCTCTCTCTTTGTCAAGGATTCAACCAATGGATGATCGAATTTCCTTTGTTTTATCAATTTCCAAACTCCATAATCAAAATTTGCAAGAGTGATTTGAAGTCCTTGACTATCCACATTCCAATCCATTGAAAATAAAGAGTCTGTTTGTTCTTTCAAGAATTCCTTAACCTCGAATGTGTTTCTCTTATTATTCGAATACTCTAACTGACTAATATCTTCAGACTGAATTAAAACCGATGACATTAAATTTGACATGGTTCTTGTATAAGTTGAAGAGTACCAATTTTTCAATCGATTCATGGTTTGCAACCTCTCCATTTCATTCAATTTAGTATCAAGCTTGATTCTCAAACCATAAAGTTTTAAAGATTCTAATGAAAGATTTGAAAATGATCGTTTGTCAGAGTTGGTTACCTTCTTGATCCATTCAATAGATTTCTTTGCAAAATAACTTTTAGTGAGTTCCTTAATTTGTTGATGAGAAAGCCTTGTTGTGAAAACAGAGACATCGGAATGAAATTGAAATTCCTTATAATTTTCAACCTTCATCAATGTTGCCATTCTACTCAAAAATTCATCATTCATAACAATATAATCCCACACCTTCACATGAACCAACATTCTATTATTTAAACTCTTCTCATCAGGTGTATTCACTCTAAACTTGTTCATCAAATTTTCCTCAGTGGCGTATCGTTCTACAATAGACGATCCTTTTGCTGAGGCCTCCAAAATTGCCATCAGAAAAAACAATAAAAACACTGCTATCAATGTGATACACACACTGATTTTTCTCGCTGAAAATTCCCGAGTCATTTTCAATAACGATGAACCTTAATGCCTTTTTTTTCAATTTATTAAAATGACTTTCCCGCGCATTTTTCCTTAATTGAATATTTTCGACCAACAGAAAGATTATGAACTTTTATTTGTTTATCTTTCGGGAATTGTTTTTTCTTTGACACCAAGATCATCATGCTTTTTCCTTTTTTTAAACTTTAAGGTCATATGCTAATGAGTTGTGCATCTACAGATATTCGAACACTGTAGATTATTCGGTAAAGAGGTTTCGAATATTGAATCATGAAACATCTGCAAGGATGAAAAAGGGAAATCTATGAATTAATATTTTAAGTTACTGAATGACCAAATTGAAATTAACTAGTTTTATTAGTGTGGGTTAGTAATACATTCTTTCCAAATGCATGATTTGTTTGATGCCACATCTCAGGAGATATGATTTTAAGCAATTTGGAAAACAACTTTTTTGTGTTTTAAAGTGCTTTATTTTGAAACAACACAAGAAATCAAACAATCTTTTGATAATTAGTTGAAGATTCAGCCAACTATGATATCTTTTCAAAGAACATCAAGTCTTTATTCTATAATTGTCTAATCCTTAAAATTTTCATCTCACTTTCCAGCAAGAACCGTAAAAAACCTTTCGGATTGAAGAGGTGAATAGTAGCTGTTGTGTTCGTACGAATACGATCTGTACATGTATTACTCTCGACATGTGCTGCTCGCGTCCCAGTTTCATAAACAAAGTATTCTATTGGAGGTTGTATGACAGGCCTTTCACCTCCCTTGATGGCTTCTACAGCTACAACCTCAAACAACATTAGTCTTAATTCGTATTTTTCAGATGTTGTATGAGTATAGGGGATTACACCTTAAACTTTTTATCTCCAAACACTAAAAGAAACTAAAAAACAAAAAAACAAGACGATGATATCAACTCGAAATTTCATCTCTGTCAATTGTGGTAAGATGATTACTATCAGCTGCAGCAACCAATGTTTATCGTATGTCCTCATGTTGAGCATGCTTCTTTCCATACTTATTGTTTCAACAACTGTGGCTCAGGAAAGCTTTGTTTCAACTATTGCAGGTGGAGGTGTATGTGATGGTTATTTAGCAACTCAAGCCTCATTGGCATATCCTGGATCACCAACTATTGGTCCAGATGGTTCAATTTATATAGCAGATAGTTCAAATCACAGAGTTCGTCAAGTTTATCCGAATGGTACCATTACTACCATTGCAGGAACTGGAATTTCAGGTTATAATGGTGATGTCATTCCAGCAACGAGAGCTCAATTGAAAAATCCTGTATCAGTTGCTGTTAATTCGATTGGAGAAGTTTTCATAAGTGATAATGGAAACAATAGAATTAGAAAAGTATTGACTAATGGTACAATTATTACTTTTGCAGGAAGTGGACAGACAACTTTTTCAGGAGATTATGGATTGGCCACCAATGCAGGAATTAACTATCCCTATGGTATTGCACTCACTAGTATTGAAGAATTGATTATTTCCGATGTAAATCATAATAGAATTCGTAAAGTTTTAACCAATGGAACCATCTATACCATTGCAGGAAACAATATTCAAGGTTACAATGGAGATAACAAGTTGGCAACAAGTGCTTCCTTGTTTCTGTCCTTTGGTGTTAGTGTTGATGCAAATGATAATGTCTACATTGCGGACACTGACAATGATAGAATTCGTAAAGTTTTAACCAATGGAACCATCTATACCATTGCAGGTATTGGAAATAGTGGATTTTCTGGGGATGGAGGTTTGGCAACTGCAGCCAAGATTAGCTCTCCTGAAGGCGTTTCAGTTTCTCCTGAAGGCGAAGTTTATTTTGCAGGTTTGTAATTCTTTCTATTCGAAACTTTAACTTTACAAGATACAAGTAATAACAGAATTCGAAAAATTTTGACAAATGGTACAATTTTAACTGTTGCAGGAACTAGTTATGGATTCTTAGATAACACAACTGCCAGTCTTGCACTGCTAGGAAATCCTGGACAAATGTTCATTGACAAGAATAGTGGAGATGTGTATTTTGCTGATAAAGGAAGTCACAGAATTAGAAAGATTTCTAATGGATTTATTACTTCTGTTGCTGGTTCAGGTTCTGCAACTTTTTGTGGCGAAAACATTGCTTCAAGTGCATGTGCTTTAGCTAAACCAAAAGGTGCAGTCATTGATTCATTAGGAAATATTTATATTGCTGGTAAGTTTTATTATAACATAATCATACGAATCCTCTTCTTTGCAATATATAGATACAAACAATAATCGTGTGAGAAAGATATCATATTTGGATGGTACCATTAACACCATTGCTGGAACAGGAAGCAATGGTTATAATGGAGATGGTATCTTGGCAACAAGTGCACAACTTAACAGACCTTCAAGTGTTGCTATGGATTCGGTTGGTAATGTGTTTGTTGCAGGTATGTACTTCTTTCTATTGGAAACTTTAAATTTCTACAAGATACAAGTAATAACAGAATTCGAAAAATTTTGACAAATGGTACAATTGTAACTGTTGCAGGTGTTGGATCTAGTGGTTTTAATGGTGATATTTTGGCAACAGATGCAAAATTGAGCAACCCTGTTTCAGTCACTATTGATTCGAATGATAATGTTTACATTGCCGATACTTACAATCATAGAATTCGAAAGATTTTACAGAATGGAAATCTAACAACAATTGTTGGATTAGGATCGAGTGGTTTTAATGGTGATTATCTATTATCAAACGGAACCAAATTAAACTATCCACAATCCATAGCATTTGATTCGAATGGTAACATGTATATTGCAGGTAAGTTGTTTTTTGTAAACAACTAATCAAGTGAAAAATTGATTCCACTAATGACACAGATATGAACAATAATCGAATTAGAAAAATGTTAACTAATGGAACTATTATCACAGTAGCAGGAACAGGCGTTTCAGGTTATAACGGAGATGGAATATTGGCAACTGTTGCTCAACTCAAATATCCACAAGGAATTGCAATTGAAAATGATGAATTGATTATTGCTGATTCTTCAAATCATAGAATTCGTAAAGTATTAACAAATGGAACAATTATCACCCTTGTAGGAACAGGTACTTTGGGATACAGTGGAGATGGTCTGGTTGGAGCCAATTCACAAATTAATAACCCATCAGGAGTCGTTGTAAAACAAAATGGTGAACTAATTGTTATTGATTCGGATAATAGTAGACTCAGATTGATTTCCACACCTCGTCAATGTAATGGAACATTGGCAAGTGATTCAAATGTGTGTAGTGGTGTTGGTATTTGTAGTGCACCTGAGACATGTGATTGTGGAAACTTGTTTGGTGGTCAATTCTGTGAATATTCCAAATGTTTCGGTATTCTTTCGAATTCATCAAGTGTTTGTTCATCACATGGAATGTGTATTTCCCCAAATACTTGTTCTTGTAATTCTGGTTTTTATGGATTGAATTGTCAAGTTATGAAATGTTTTGGAATTGAAAGTAATGACACTTTAGTTTGTTCTGGAAATGGAAAGTGTGTTTCTATTGATTCATGCCAATGTTCAAATGGTTGGTCAGGTTCAGATTGTTCAATTCTTTCATGTTTTAATATCATGGCCAATGATACTGCTCAAGTTTGCAGTGGACATGGTAATTGCTCAAGTGTGGATAAATGTGATTGTGAATTTGGATGGTCAGGATTGAATTGTTCTGTAAACTCCACAATTCCAGAAACCAGCAACTCCACAATTCCTAATAACGACACCTCAATCAATACCAATGGTACTATTTTAAACAATTCTTCCACTACTAATGCCACTAGTTCAAATACTACCATCCCAACTACTAATCAAACTTCACCTCACTTGAATAATTCTTCAACAATTCCAGAAACAAGCAACTCCACAATTCCAAATAACGACACCTCAATCAATACCAATGGTACTATTTCAAATAATTCTTCCACTACTAATGCAACTAGTTCAACAAATAATTCTTCCACTACTGATAGCAATAACAGTACACAAACAAATTCCACTCTTACTGGACAAAATTCGTGGAAATGTTTCGACATTCCAAATTCGGATTCGACAGTTTGTGGAGGTCATGGAATTTGCATTTCTCAAGATGTTTGTCAGTGTAAGGCCACTTCAGAAGATGGATATTGGACTGGATCAAATTGTACTTCATGTCAAACTAATTATTGTGGAAGTGGATGTAGAAGTAACATTTGTTCGACCAATAATAACATGTATGCATTATTTACCTTAATGGCTGTTCCAGTAGTTGGAGGAATTGGATTAATAGCAGGTTTGGCATTTGGATTGAGATGGTGGTTATTGAAACGTCCACAAATGATGAAAACTTCCACCCCTTCTGTAGTTTAAAAGGAGTTTCAATAAATTATATTATTATTAATCCAATCGATTATATATTTTCGCATTTTGCAATAATCTGGCAACAATTTAAATTGTGTTGTTACATGAGAAAGATAATAATCAAAATGATAATCTATTCACTACAATATTTTAACCTTTGAAACCTTCAAGAAACGCCGGAACAAGAGAACCACCAGTTTTTCTGAAGCAAATCTTCTCGTTTCTACTTTCGCGCTTTTTTCAACGTTTCCGCCTTTTTTAAATTTTTAATTTAAAAAAATTTGGCTTCTGGTATGGCCTTTGTTATGTTGTTCCACTTGATGAAAAAAAAGCAAAGATGAAACGAACCTCTTCCGAAGACAACTCTCTCGATACTTTTTCATCATCAAAAAAGCAAAAATCCAATCAATTATTGGAAATGAAACCTCTAAATATTCTCGTTTGTCGGTATGATCCATTTGTTTTGGGTCATGTATTCAAGTTTTGTTCGCCAATGGATTTGCCATCACTTGCTGTGGTGTGTAAGGATTGGCATGATTTGTACTTTTCCCGTGAGAAGATCGTACTCATTCTGAAGGAGTGGGTCGATACTCAATGGAATAACAAGATTTGTTCAGGAAAATTGACATGGACTTGGTCTGTGGAATATAACCCAGAGAATGAATATCATTCATTGGCATATTGGTTAAGATTGTTGAATGTATTGAAGGAAGTGAATATAATGATCACAGATGAGCAAGGGAAAAAAGATGATAATGATGAAGAAGAAGAAAACGAAGAGGAACATGATGACGAAGAGGAAGAACAAGACGTAGAGGAAGATGAAGAGGAAGATGACCAAGAAGATGAAGGAGAGGATGAAGAAAATGATGAACATGATGATACTGAGGATTTAAAGAAGATATCACATTCTGTAGAGTTTATTGAGATGGGCAATACGAAACTGTGTAAAATCACAACATCCTCAAATAGATTTCTCCTAGTTTCGAATAATGGGAATATTATCCGTTTCAAAAGGAAGAAGAAGGAATTGTTATGCTCTTTTTATGGAGGTTTATCATATCCAAGTTTTGAAAATTGTAATTATAGAAGTGATTATTGGGTTTCCCTTGTTCCAGGTAAAAAGGGAATTTTAGTTTTGCAATTAAAACAAATGGTGAAATATTTGGGATTTGATGATGAATATTTAGTAGCATGCAATCTCATTGACATTATTGGATTGAAAAAAGCGAAGGTTTCTAATTCAAAGTATACAGATTACCCTTGGGATCAAGGAGAAGCTGACGGAATAATAGAATTTGTGCCTTGGGAAATTGTAACTGCGTGCACAACAAGTGATTATGACATATCGCATATTTGTGAATGTTTGGATGATCGATTTTTCAATAGTTTCGACTTATTCTGCAAGTTAATAGAAGTCAGTACTACCATGTACACTGAATCCATAATCAAGAATATTTCTCTCAAAGTTGACAGTGAATTTTTCAAGAATAGAGGGTTGTTGAAATATTGTCGTCAGGAAAGAAAATTATTCAAGTTATTGGATGAGTCATTGAGACATGATAAGGAATTCCTTAAAGAGGCTCTAAGAGTCAACCCATCCATTCTCAAGTATCTTTTTAAAAAGGAATATACGGATATCATTGAAATTGATAGAGAGCTGATTTTAGACTGCTTGAATCGTTTAAGTGTAGCTCAGCAATAAAGGGATATTTACTGTATTTCCATGCTCGAATTACTGTTGTGGCTAAACATCTGGTTGTGGTGTGTTGAAATTTTTAAATTGAGATTTATTCCAATAATATAACAAAAAGCAGTGTGTTATTGCATTAATTTACATGAGAAAGTTAATAATCGAAATGATCAAGATTAAGATAAGTGAACATCTAACATTTGTAGATTGTCCAACAACAGGATTTGAAAGAGAAGATGTGGCATTGATAACTTCAGTAAATGGACTACCAGTTGATGGAATGGTAGTTGGAGCAGATGGTTTCTCTGCTAAGGTAACATCCCCAGTAATGACCATACTGAATGCTTGTTTTCCCTTATTGGTGGATTTGGCTCCAACCTTGACTGTGAAATTACCTTGTGGTAAATTGGAAATTACAATACTTTCTGCAGTGTTGACCGTATCGAGAGTGTTGCCTGTGATGGCTCCATTTCCATAATAATATTTCTTTCCAACAACTGCGACAACACTAATGTCGTTGATGAGTTTCTTGGTTTTTACAGAGCTAAGTGTATCAGCAGCAGATGGTAAATCGTACCAAGCAATGGTAACTTTCAGTGTGGTTACAGAATTGGCCTTCAAAGGAATGTCAACTTGTTGATTGGCATCAAGTGAATATCTATTGGCTACGAGAATATTCTTAATTCTGTTCACACTTGCTGAATCAGTGTCAATCTTCAAGACATTTTGTAAATTGATTCTTCCAAAACCATTGTACTTGTTTGGTGAGTTGAATTGACTCAAATACAAATCAGTACCTCCAATTTGCACAAATCCCTTCATGACTTCTCCTGAGTGCAGAATCATGGCTTTGACCAAAGTCCCTGACAAGGTTTGAGAAGGTGAACTATTGAAAATATTGTAATCGACTAATTTCTTCTTATTATCCTTTACCAAGTAGTGTCTTACCAAAGCTAATCAATTATTGAAACATTAAATGTAAATAATTAAATAAAATCAATGCCAACTACTTACCTGCTGCTCCAGAAACTGCAGGAGTTGCCATACTATATATGCATTGAAAAAGAAATGTTAAATAACAAAGCTACACATCTCAAAAGCACTTACCTAGTTCCAGATTTTCCTACAGGATCACAAGAAGCAGTATTCAAAGAACTGATTGTACTGTAACCTGGTGCAGCAACTGAAAAGATTAATGTTAAGCTTTCAATTGTCAATGAGTGAAATACTTACTATCTGGTTTGATTCTATTATCATAGGTAGGTCCTTTTCCAGAAAAACTAGCCATATTCTCAAATTCAAAAACGGTATAATTTCTGCTTGTAAAGAACTGCTTGTAATAGGAAGATGGTGCATAGGAAGCGCCAACTGTCAATGAATTCTTTGATGTGGATGGATCTCCCAAATTGGAATCAGTTGAGTATTCACCATCGTTACCAGCAGCCATTACAACAGTCACTTCATCATTTGAACTCAAAAAAGTGTCAACTCTATTACTGTCATATCCATAAAGATTACAATAGTGACAACATCTGGTACCAGTCAATGCCATACAAGAGGCATCAGTGACAGCAGCACCTCGAGTATTATCAGAATTCAATTCATAGCATTTACAATCATAATCACACTAATAATGAGATTCAAGTTGACTGATTTTTCATATTATGAAAACTTACATCATAAGGATTACCACATCCCCAACTGTTACTTGAAATTTTAGATCCAGCATTGGTAAATGCATTAGACAAAACGGTATTCATATCACCAATGTATAATCCTCCATTTGCTCCTGCTTGCACATCCACTGCATAGAGTTTGGCATCCTTGGCCACACCAACATTCTTATCCATGACTGTGGTTCCAAGTGTTTGTGGATATCCAGCAATGGTTCCTGCTACGTGAGTGCCATGACCTTCTCCATCTGTCAAATCACCATACTGTCCATTCTTATTATAGTAAACGACCTTTCTATAATTCAAATTAACACTTGTCTTGGTGCTTGGTTCACTACTGCCAGTAAAGAGACAATGTCCAAGAGTTATTCCAGTATCGATAACTGAAACAACCTCAGAGGCACCTGTAATTCCATTATTCCACATGTAGGTATAATTGGATCCACCTCCATTTTGAATCACTTGATTGGCTCCATAATTCTTAATCTCATGAATACGTTGACGAATGACCACATCTACAGAATCATCACTCGACAAGTAATTTAACAATTCCTGACCCATCTCACTTGACATGTCCTCTATTAATCCTTCAAGTTCTTGATTCATCTTGAAGAACTTTTGAATTTCTTCTCTTCTTTTCAATGATTGAACAATTGGAGAATCAAATTTTCCTTCTTTGATCAATTTCCAAACTCCGTAATCAAAGTTTGCGAGTGTGACTTGAACAGCATGAGTTTCACTTTGCCAATCGAGGTCGAATAGAGAGTTGGCTTGATCTCTGATGAATTCACGAATGATAGTTTCGTCTTGTTGAGTGGAAAGTGCAGTTTCGGCAAGTTTCGAATTATGAATGGATTGTTGAATTTGTTGAATGTTTAGTTTGGACAAGGATCGAGTCATTTTTTGAGTATAACTGGAAAGGTACCAATTTCTCAATCTATTCATCGTTTGCAATCTTTCCATTTCGTTTAGTTTACTATCTAATACAATCTTCAAGCCACCAAGTTTCAACGAATCCAAACTAAGTTTCGTAAATGATTTCTTATCTGAATTCGAAACCTTCTTGATCCATTCAATATTCAATTTAGCAAAATTATTATTCGAAAGCTCTTGAATCTGAAGTGTTGTGAGTCTTGTAGTAAAAACTGGAATGTCGGAATGAAATTGAAATTCCTTGTAATTGTCAACCTTCATCAATTGTGCCATTCTATTGAGAAAGTCATCTGTCATGATGGTATTATCACGTATTTTGACATGTACGAGCATTCTTTGGGTGTTTGAAATTGTTTGTGTGGTTTGTACATTTAATTTTGGAGTGTTGGAAACTGTTTCGAATAAATTTTCTACATGGTTGTATGTTTCCAATAGTTTGGAAGGTTCTTGTTGTAGTGAGAATCCAATGCAACAAAGGAGTGCTGCAAAAAGTATCAATTTGGCAGCACCTAATGTCATGTTGTTATTTTTTTTAATGATGATTTATTCTGAAACAGCTGACAGATATGCTTCTTAGAAAGGAAAGCGAACCCATGAAAATATTCGAATATTTCCCTATCTGACTGTGAGATAACATTACAAAAACATGTGAAAACCAACCATAACCAACTAAAAACGAATGAAATAACAATTTACAATTCCTTGTTTGAAATGAAAGATAATTTGTTGTGTTGGATTTTGTTAGAAGAATAATGAATGAATGTATTCTAATAATTCAAAGTTGTTAAAAAGCATTCAAGTTTCATGAAGATCAGATCGGTTACGGATCTAGTAAAACGATTTCCTACATAGTCCAACAACTACGTTACAATCTTCTGGTAAATCTTCTCCTTCGTTTCGTAATTCTTCGTAATCCAATAATTGATTTTTAACTTCCACTAGGTCTCTGAATAATAGATCTGAACTGTTTGGATAGAGTGGATGGTCACTGGAATAGAGAACTTTAAAAGCAATAAAATTAACCCTTTCGTATGGTGAAATTTCTACCTCAACTGGTTTTCCTAAAAACAAAAATTGTCTATATAGTTTTTCAATTCTGTTTGAAATATCAGGAGGATATAATTCCACTTTGAGTAGCTGTTTTTCGAATCCCCTCCGAAACCTGATGTTAGTGATATTAACTGAGTTGGCTGAATCCTCCCTTACTGGTTTGCACCATTTTTGTATTTGTAATTTTTTTTCCTCACGTCTCAAATCGTCCAATAAAAGTAAATCCTTTGGTTGAACTGGATGGTAGGCGTCATGATAGAAATTTCTCGTAATTGGATTAAAACTACCAACTCTTTGAGTGCTTGGTTCTATTGTTATCCATTGAATTCTATTCGATACGTCTGATTTATCCAAGGAATCGGTAGCATTGAGAATATAGTCCAAATCATTGAGAGAATGAATAAGGAATTTACACTTATTTTTCTGCAAGGTTTTATCCAACATTTTAGGTGTGAACTTGTCGTACTTTAAAATAGTTAGATCCAGATAGTCTGATTTCTTTTCTACAATTTCTTTAGACAATTCCAAATGCTTGGATCTCAAAGATTCATCATTATAGTAGGAGCCAAGGAGCAACTTGGGATTTCTGCTTCTGTATTTAATTGTAATTAAAGAATTGAATTCAAGAAGAAACATACCTGCAAGCAAAGTCATAGAGAAGCAGTTTTGCCAATCCCTCAAGTTTGTCCTTCAAGTGTGAGCACACAACTCTTCTAGGATAATGCAAATATTGATTTTTTACCAAACTATGATGGTATCCTGGTACTGCACAAGAGAATCCTCTTTTAGCATACTGTAGATGAAAAAAATTATTATATATACAAATGATCTCCTTAATCTCGTTGATATATGACTTACCTTAAACAGCCTATAAGTATAAGTAGTAGATTGCCTATCTACATCAACAAGATTTGTTCTGTGTGAAAGAGCTCTAATAGCTCTATCGCTGCACCAAACAGTTGATCCATCAAATCCTATTGTACAACTATCTACATCAAATCCCAAAAGTATTTCTAAAAGAATCATAAAATTAACCATAAAAAGCATAATTGAAATACATACCAGCTGGTGATTTGTATATACGAAGTACTATTTGAATAGGAGGTAATCTATACATGTAAAAAGTAACAGCATATTTTGTTCGAACAACCAAAATGTCATCATTGATGAATTCTTGTTTTGCTTCACCGAAATATTGAGATACCTTACTTTTTTCTCCCCAAATTATATACTTTTCTTCTCTTACAAACCTAGTGTCTGATGATTTGAGAATGGACAAGTTTTGTTTAACAACCTGATAAATGTGCTTAATTTTCAGTTCTGCTTCTTCCTCAGTCATGGCATAGAGGAATAAATCAATATCTGATTTTTTAAAGGCATGAGGAATATTAGGATCTGCTACTTCTCTCGCATTTGGGACAGAATCTATGCTAGTTGTTGATAAGTTTTTAGAGTCTATTGTTTTGCGGCTATTATGATTGAAAAATTCAAATCTGTGCAAATGGTCATTCTCAACAAAAAAGCTCTTTCTGAAACTAGCTCCAACAACGTAAAAAGTATCAGAATCTTTGAATTCTTTATCCTTAAGTCCTTCGATATCGTTTTCAATTTTAACAGGTGTTGCTTGTGCAATAAATGCTTGATCTTCTACTGGAATTTCTTTCAAACAACATCCCAAGACACTACCTCCTAATTTAAATATTAAAAAAACAAATTGAGGAACAAGATTAACAATACTACGTACCTGCAACGAAAACACCAGACCAATCCATGCCATCCAACAATCTCTTAGTTAAATTCGAAAAATTATGTTTGAAGGTTTCCAAATTAGAAACAAGACATGTTTTTGGAGCTTGTTTGGAATAGGTTGTGACATCACATAAATTCAATAGCTTTGGACAATCAGAAAAATTGATTTTAAACTTTCCCTTTGACTGAATCACATCTTTGACTTCAAAGAGAGGAGATAGGAACAGATAGGGAACTTTCAATAATTCATTATTCCTATCTTTCACAAATAATTCTCTTAATTTGTCTTCTCGTTCTTTGAGTCTAATGTTTTCTATAGAGAGCAATTCAATAGGATATCTGCATGGATCCAGATAATCCTTGGTCATAGTCTCCAATCCATAAAACTTGGCTTCCAAAAAGAGTTGACTTTTTCTTTCATTTGACATACTACGTGGGAAATGGTTGAATTTACCATGTGAAATTAAGTATCCATGAATCAGTCTGAATAAATCCGGATTTCTATCAATGAAAATTTGTCCCTTATGATTGAGCTTGAAGGATGGTGATTGGATATATTTGGTAATAAGAAAATTGTCAAATTTTGCCAAAGAAGAAAAGGGTATGGAATAGAGCTGACCTGATACATTCACATTTACACTTGCATCTTGTGAGTTGTGATTAATAAAATTTTGGTACTTTTCAGCAAGTTGCTTGGCAAGTAATTGCGAACTTTCTCTAGATTTTTCTGTTTGAGAATTCATATTTCTAATAGATTGATCCAATAATTCTGTATTAACTCTATCTTTAACAATCTTGTCGCATTCACTTCTATCAGCATTGCACTCATTCAAATGATACTTGACAATCAAGTCAGCAATATATTCCTTCAATTCGTTCAATTTGAAAAATTCTGCCTCCTTTTCAATATCTCTCAATTGATCATAATTTAACACATCAATGCCAATGGCATCAACTTGTCTACTCCTCAAATATTCCAAAATAAACTCAAAAACATGTGGATTTCTATCTTTCAAATCCGAAACTTGCACCTCAGCAATTTCCTTCACCGTATTTCTGCATGTATGAAACTCTACATTGCCAACTTGTAAAATCATCATATCATCCTGCATGGTACGCAACCTATTAACTATCATCATTTCTTTTTCAGAATCTTCATCATCACAACCATCATTAATATTATTATTTAATTTTCCCAAAATCCTTTCCGATTGCTGAATTTCTTCTTGATCATGAATATAAATTCTATGAAACCGATCGATCAATTCGCTCGTATAACTCTCTCCCGAAGGTTCTTGTTGTTCACCATTATCACGATCATCTGTTTTGAAATCTTGTATAGACTGCTGAGAATTCGCTTCAAGATGTCGCTTCATTTTTTTTACATTTAAAAATTTCCACAGAATATTGGAAAATCAAACATTTTACAATGGACCATTTAATTTACAATTAATGGCCAATACCAACATAAATTTATGATTCTGGAATTGCCTGGTTAGTACCTTTTTATACTCCCAACTTCCAGCTCGGAGTTGACAATCGGAGAATGAATAGTTTTAAATTAACTTAATCTATTGTGAACTCGTCATTTCTTGCTTTTAAAAAAATGAAATCACTTCTCCTCCCTCTCACCATTCTCCTCTTTTTAATTTCATCCCATGTCCTGTCGCAAGTCAATGTCAAATCAGTCAATTGGCTTCAAGGTAATCATGACGAATTTCAAACAAATCGTCTTCAATTATTGAAATCAACTCCAAATTTTAACATTACACTTCAGGGTAGTCCAACAATTTATTTTGACAATTTTTTAGTGATTGCTGACGTTCAGAGAAATATTTTACTCACGAATTATGCAGTTTACGATGGTGAAAAGTTTCCACAATTAATGGATTTTGGTTTGGTTAAGGTTGATTTGACAAGTGGCAATTTGATTAAATTGAATTTTGACACTGACAGACCAGCTTTTAGTTTTTCAGCAGTTTCTCATGCAGTGATGAGTCCACAAGGTGTTTATTACTTTGCACTTTCTAGACAACATGCTGGATTGAATTTTGTCTTTTCATATAATTTGACAGGTGGCAGTAATAACTTGGGTTATTCCAATTATTTTTCAATTCCTGATGGTGTTGAAGTAGATGGACTTGCATTTGTTGATAACACTCTTTATGTGTCAAATGCCATTGCAATTGAAGCTTATACACCTGACATGATCATGAAATGGAGAATGCCAACAGGTTTCACATATGGACCTGCATCCAATTTGATTACTACTCAAGAAAATGGAAAGAATATTCTCTATTATGCAGTTCAAAATACCATCTTTCGTTTAGATACTACGACAACAGTTGTTTCACAATATCAAATTGGAAATGTTGGCGCCAAATTTATTTCCTATTTGGGAAGTGGTAATTTGTTGGTTGTTGCCAGTAATGATGATAGCAGTGAAGATTTCATCTATGCTGTAAATGTACTCAATAGAAGTACATTGAAATTACAAGTCAATCAATCTGAACTTGGTAGAATTGTCAAATGTTCCAATTCATTGAATATTCAAACAAGTCCACTTTCAACTTTCTCAATTATTTCATGTGGAAAACATAAAGGAACTGAAAGAGACAAGAATGCAATTGGTATCTTACTTGATACAACTGGAAATCCAACATTCTCAGTTGTCTGGCATTTACCAATTCAAGCAAATGATGTTCGCTTCTCAGCCACTCAAAATGATAAGCAAATTCTAATGACCAATGATTTTGGATATATTGTCTTGGATATTCAAAGTGGAAAGATGATTTCTGCAAAGAAATCAACTATTGCCAATTCATCATGTAAGGTAATTACTGCAATCAATGGAAAATTCTATTCAGTTTGTTCAAGTTCTTATAATGGCGTTGTTACTCTTGCCTCTGATTTGATTTAATTAAAATGTCTAATAAAGTCTGAAAAAAATTAAATTCTAAAAAGTAAAGTTAAATGAAATTGTGAAAAAAATTGGGATTTGGCAGAAAATATGTTATGATATTATTTTGTTTTTTGAAAATTTATGTTTTAACATTTAGAAGCCACGATGAACATGATAAACTTATCGCTTTAGGAAAAATGTAAAAAAATTACCTCCAAGACGAGGCTTCCAAATATGGAAATACAAAGAATTTTAAAAAAATAAAAACGAAATTATTAAATCATTGGTGTATTCTATCATACCATTAAAGATGTATTTGTAAAAATATCATTATAAAGAGAAAATCAAAAATTATGACTCGAGTGCCGGGAATTGAACCCGGGTCGCCAGAGTGACAGTCTGGAATGCTACCACTATACCACACCCGATTTCACATCAATATTATACTAGGTGTTGACTTTATACTAATGGTGACATCTTAATTGTGCTTTCCATACCGACAATTTCAACAAAATTCAAGAAAAAAATGTCATCCTTCTCTACCTTTGCCGAACTTTACCAAAACGCCCTACGAGAATGTAAACTTCGAAAACACTCCCTGTTCAATATTAACGTATCAAAAATTGGATCAACCACAAACAAGAAACAAAACAATTACTCACTCGGAAGGGATTTATTTCATCTGTGGAGTGGATTACGAGATACCATCCTATTGGATTATGCAGTCCTGAAAGATTCCGATTGTACTGACTTGCAAAATCTATCCAAACAATTATCAATATTGGAAAATAACAATTCGGAATTATTAAATAATTTTCCTCACACGAGTCATGAAAATGTTAATAAGTTAAATTTTGGAAATATTGGAGTGATGATTATTAAATTCTGGATGTTTTTTGATGGAAAGAGAGAGGAAATGATTTTTAATTATTTGATAAATACTGAGAAATTGAAACAGAGATTGGAAAAATTACAGAGTTGTGATTTGAATTTAATTTTCATTGATATTGATGCATTGGATCGAAAGGAACCATATCTGGAGTGTGGAGAAAAGATACAGAATAATATTCAACCATTTATTCAATTAATTTCTAATCAAATAATTGAGAATTTCAATAATGGAAATGGAAAATGTGTTTTTGAAATTGATTTTTCCTCGCATTTAACTCCATCACTGCCATTCCTTCCATTTGATGCAACTCTCATGAATGGAATTCTTCTTAATTATCCAATCATTCTATTTTATGGATCCAGATTTCCAATTCAGCAAACATCCAACAAGAATTTGAAATTTTATGCCAATCATGTATTGAATAATATCGATCTGTACAGATATACCCTTTCTTGCACTCAAGAACATCAAGAAACTCTCCTCCAATTCATCATTCCTCAATCAATCTATTCAGAAAACTCACAAATGATTGATTCCACAATTGAACAGTGGCTATCCACTCAACAACAATCCAACAAGAAACCTCATTTACAACTCTCCAAGGAAACCATTCAATACGACAATATAGTCCTCTAATAAACCCGAATTCGAATGCTCATTTGTTGTGTGAAAAAATTGATTGTGTAATTGAGCGCCAATTCAATCAACATGCAAAATTACCAAATTAATAGAAAAAAATGCAAGCACAACAACGAATCACAGTGTTGGTATGTGAGGTCGGAGAGGATATCTACTCGAAACAAATTCCTCGAGTGGGATCATCACATTTTGATGGAAATTTCGGAATTAAAAGTAAAAAGATGATGAATGTATTGGTAAATGCTAGAGTTGGGGAAATTAGAGAGGACATTGCTAATAATATGTTTAATTATTCGGATCATGATTCAGAAACAGCTATTGTTGAATATTTACTTGGTATGAGAGATCAACAGGATGGAAGTTTTATTTGGTTTGAGGATGATGAAATGATTTTAGATCAAGATTTAGTATCAAGCCTTTGTGGACGTCGTTTGATGATTAAAAAGAAAACAACAAACAAGACAATCAAATCCGATTTATTCAGATTTCCCAAGTATAGTACTGAAAATGTTTTGAAATTGCTGAATAGTGGAAATTTGGAAAAGTATTCTCCTGAGGAACAGTTGATTAGAACAGAATTGGCTGCTTGCTATCGTTTGTTTGATTTGTTTGGATGGACTGATACTGTCTATGGACATTTAACTGCAAGAGTTTCAGATGGTGAAAAGACTCATTTTCTCATTAATCCTTTCGGTCTTCATTATAGTGAAATTACTGCATCAAGTTTGGTTAAGGTTGATATTGATGGTGAAATTGTTGACCCTGGCTCAACAGGAGATTTGTTTGGAATTAATAGAGCTGGATATGTTATTCATTCAGCTGTTCATGAAGCTAGAGAGGATGTTCTCTGTGTCATGCACATGCACTATGCTCCATGTGCAGCTCTTTCATGTATTGAGAAGGGTTTTGATAAGACTCTCTCTCAGACCAGTTCAATTATTGGAGATGTTGCCTATCACAAAACTGAAGGAATTGCAGTCAATGAAGAAGAACGAAAGAGATTGCAAAACGATCTTGGATCCATCAAGAAGATTCTCATTTTGGAAAATCATGGTGTTGTGACATGTGGAGAAAGTGTTGGAGAAGCATTCCTCTCCATGTTCATCTTGTCTGAATCATGTAAAATTCAAAGTGAGGCCATGTCCATGAAATCAGGTATGAATTCACACATTATTCCAGTTGAGGAATCCATTTCCAACAAATCCTTCGATATTGCTCACGGTTTTACAAAGGAGGGTTTTGGAAGAAAGGAACTCTGCTCCTATATGAGATATTTAGATTACTTGTACCTTAGTAATTCTTCACCAATTCCACATTATAGAACCTAAAGGCAAAGATTAATAACAATAACGTGTATCATTATATATCTGTTGCAATTGACACAGTTTTGGAATTTATTACAATTCATCAAATAAATATCTTTTAGGGTGAGCCTCAAACAATTTACAGTATCGATTCCAAATAGAGAGAAAATAGAGTCATGAAACTCCTTTCAAACGGATAACTCCGAAGATCCTAACAACAACATCTTTCAAAACTAACCTATTCAATATTCACATATCATCTCCAATGCTCAGCACTGTCAAAAACCCCAATTTCCTTCTTTACTTTTTGTTCCTAGTGTAAGATTTCTTGCTCAGTTCGATATTGGAAGATACTTTGCTGGTTGTGATGTGTTGTCTTGTTGGAAAAAAGTCGATTTTTAAATTTTTTTTTCAAAATATAAAAAAAATGAAATCCTTCTTCATCCTTGATAAACTCGGCGAGATTATTATCGAAAGACATTTCCTGGGAAATGTGAGTAGAAGTGTTGCCGAAGAATTCTACACTGAAATTATGAAGGAACAACATAAAGGAGGAATTTCTAATGTTTCTCCAATTATTTCTACACAAAAGTATTATGTTGCTCACGTGTTCCGTCATTCACTTTATTTTGTTGGTGTTGTTGATAGGGAATTTCAACCTCTGATGATTATTGAAATGCTTCATCGTATTGTTGATACTTTGGAAATTTATATTGAAAAGGTCAATGAACAAAATATTAAGAATAACTTTGTTGTTGTTTATCAGGTAAGTAATCATGATGATGATCAATTGTTGTGATTTGACAAATAATACTTGATTCCTATCAAAAACTATGATAATACTACGTGTACAAAATTTTACCACACCATCACAAAAATCTTCCTTTTTAACACAAACTTGATTATCCTCCACAACAACAAAATCGTGTGTTTATAATTATCCACTACTCTAATGTTGAAATATCATCATTACGTACACCACAATCAATTATTATTACTGCTTTATATTGTACAACAACATTATTTAACATAATTAATCATAATAATAATAACAACAGCTTCTTGATGAAATGATTGATGGTGGCTTCCCAATCACAACAGAAATTGCCTTGTTGAAGGATCTTGTCCGACAACCAGCATCCATAGCTAAACAATTAACAGGTGATATTGGTAAAACCACTGTTGGTATTGTTGGTCATAACAAGTCCATTGTTCCTTGGCGTAAAGCTGGTATCAAGTACATGAATAATGAAGTGTACTTTGATATTGTAGAAACACTCAACGTGATCGTTGATGTAAATGGTGGTTCTGCTGTTTCTGAAGTTTTTGGTGTCATCAAATCTAGTTGTAAATTATCTGGAACACCTGATTTGTTGTTCAATTTTAATGATCCAAATATTATTGAAGATATTTCATTCCATCCTTGTGTTCGTTATGCTAGATACGAACAAGATAAATCCATTTCCTTCATTCCTCCTGATGGTGATTTTGAATTGCTTTCCTACCGTATGTCAAATTTACCAATGCTTCCTATTTATTGCCGACCTCAAATTACATTCTATAGAGGTGGGGCTAATGTTAATGTCATGTTAAATTTGAGACACACTCACAACAAGTCATTGGATAATGTTAGAGTTATTATTCCAATTCCTACAATTGATAATCAACAATTAACTACTACTGTTGGTTCAATTTCATATGAATCTAGCATTAAATCATTGGTTTGGAATGTTGGAAAATTGAGTCCACAAACTCAACAATCAAAGAGTCCAACTCCTTCATTATCAGGTAAAATAACCTTCCCATTAATGTCTGGAAAATCAGAACATGAAATTTTGGCCTGTCCTGCTGTTCAAGTACAATTTGAATTGGATGGTGTTTCCATGTCTGGTTTAAAGGTAGAAAGTGTACAATTGAGAAATGAAAACTACAAACCATTTAAGGGTGTAAGATATGTAACAACCTCAGGTAGATACGAAGTGAGAACTGTTTAATTTATAATAAATTTTGTAAAAAATGTCATCAGCAAATCATCAAGAATTTGATAACACGAGACCAACCTATGTTCCAACAGATACTCAATCAATCTATGATCAAATTGTGGCAGATAATACATCACCCTACACTGTCTATTTTAGACAATTATTCATGACTTATCCATTTCTATTATTCTTGTGTTTTTTAATTTATTATTGTGTTCATTCGAATAGTTTATTTGATGAAGTTCGTGTTTACTTTTCTTCCGATGCTTCGAAAAACATGTCATCAGAAACAGCAATGAATAATTCAAATAATGATGATTATGAAGATGATGATTATCTTGGAGAGGGAGAGGATTTACAAGACAATCATGATAATAACAACACATCCGAGAGAAAGAAATTCAACTTTCAATCACTTGTAAAATTATGTCCATCAATGACTGGTAATCTATTGACTGAGAACTCTGCAGATTTTCTCAAATTATTTAACAATGATCCAATCAAACAGCAAATGGTCAATCAAGCTAATAACACTCTTCACAACAAACCTTGGTCTTTCAATACGATATTGTTTGGACCAAATTCGTTTGATCAGACTTGTCTGTATCGATATCCAATGTTTTTTGGATGGTCTGGTTATGCTCAATCAATAATCTCTCGGTTTATGAAGGGAAGTTTGTGGAATTTAATATTTAACAGATTGAATTCAAAGAATGTTGAAGGAAAATTCAAGAATTGGACAAGTAAACAGATTACAATTGATAGGGATGGAATGAAATACTACTTTACTGTATTGGAAAGAAAGAAAATGAATGAGAATAGAGAGAAGGAAATTTCCTTCTTTATTGTTCCAGACATTGATGGAGCTTTTGGAACAAATACTCCATATATTGATAATTTTGTAAATTACGTTTGTGGAGAATCCAATCCTTTGAAATTGGCCGAACACACCAAGAGTTCATTCAAGAGATTAATCATTTACAATAGGGAGGGAAGAGATTCCACATTGAAAATTATCAATCCAAATGAATTCATCATGCTAGGAAATGCTTCAGGATTATCTGAATGTCTAGCTGATTTGAAGCAAAAATTGGATTTGAATGAAAAGTTATTTGGAGTTGGTTGGGGGTTTGGAGCCAATTTACTATTGAAATCACTTTCATTGAACAAGGAATTAGTCAATCAATTATTTATTGGAGCTATTTCCGTATCAAATCCATTCGATATTCACAAATGTTTCAAGAATTTCAATAATAATTTCATTTACAACCACTTACTTCATTCCATGAAAAAGATTGTCGAACTCAATTGGTCAACTTTCCAAGATTCCAAACTTGACCTGAAATCCATACTAAACTCCACCACCATTTCACAATTTGACAATCAATTTACCATGAAATTATTGCCAAACACCAATCAAGATCTTGATGATTTCTACAAGGAACAAAGTTCTTGCAAAATTCTCTCCAATGAAATCCAAATCCCAATTCTTGCAATTCATGCCAATGATGATCCCTTGTGTGCGCCATCGGTTTTCAACAACACGGTCATGCCTGCCTGCCTGTACGGAGATAACATTCTCCTCATTAAGACACTTAAGGGAGGAAATAGAGCATTCTTCTCATCGGGCTACATGTTGTTCAGTGCTAATATTTCATTTGATGAGAGAATTATTTTTGATTTTATTGAAACTCTTCCAAAACTTTAATTTTATATGATAATTTGAAAATTAATATTAAATAATATTAAATAATATGGAAATTAAATAGTGGATTACAATTTTAAATTTCAAAAAAAAAAATGAAAGAATTCTCCATTTCATATATTGAACCAGAGGATTTAAAAACACGAATCCTTCAACAGGATACTTCTTTTGCCATCATTGATGTTCGTGATTATGATTACGGAAGTGGACATATCAAAACACCAACACCACAACAATATCATCACATTCCGATTGATGAATTAATTCAGCCTGAAAGAGCAAGACAATTACTCTCTGATTTGTCCCTTTCCAACAACAATCAAAACAACCAAAACAATGCTAAAAGTATGGATTTAATTTTCCATTGTTTCTATTCTCAACAGAGAGGACCGTACGGTGCTCAAAAGATGTCTTCCCTATTGGAGGATTTATACAACAATGAAGATGATGGTGGTGATCACCAACAGGAATGGAATTTGAATGGAGTGAATGTAAAGGTACTGAGAGGAGGTTGGGGATTGTGGAGAACAAGGTTTTATCTGGAAAGAGACTCTTTGATTGTTCCTTTGGAAAGTGATAGTAGTAGCAGTAGTAGTGAAAGCGAACAAGATGATGACGAATAAGTATCTCAATCGAATATGATAATTATTAGATAATTATTAGATAATTATTTAGATTTTTCAATGTCAATAGATAATTTGGATGATATTTAATATACTTTAGAGAAAATAGAGAAAATTCCAAAGATTTTCATTAACCCAACAAGAATCTTCCAAACATTCGGAGCTTCCGAAAGGTTTTGATAATTTGATTCTCAACAATTCTCTTCAAATAAAAATGAATGATAATAACTATGAAGATGATACTGATATTCATACGATAGGTTGGTTTCCTTCTTCATGATCCTTTAATATTTAAACAATGTTAATTATTATAATATTTAAAATTAAATAATATTTACAATTCAATAATGATGATAATAATAGAGGGATCATCATGGAAATCAATATGGAAGGCCCGAATTAAATCCATCAAGAAGGGAAATATCATTCTTGGTTGTTCATTAATTGTAGCCTTCTTGATCATTGTTGTGGCTGCTCTCGTTGGTTCCTACTTTTTCATTGGTAGTCAAGAACCAATCATTAATGATGGTGGTTCTAGCACTGATCCGAGAGGAAAGAATTGTCTCCCAATTCCTAATTTCAAATTTGACTTTGATGAGGATAGAAATTTTACAATGAATCAGAATATTCAGGAAAGTGCATATGTCTTGTTGAAGAATGTGAATTTGATTTCATCTTCAAATGTTGATGGAAAGGGAAAGGTAAAGATTTCAAATGTGGATATCTTGTTGGAGAAGGGAAAGATTTCAAAGATTGCTAATCATGGATCTGATGAATTGAAGGCATATGAAGGTGTGGATTTGAATGGAAGATTTGTTACTGCTGGTATTGTGGATATGCATTCACATTTGGGTGTCATGTCTGATCCTTTGGACACTCGTGGACATGATGATGTGAATGAAGTGAGTCAACCTCTAACTCAAATGGTTAGATCAGTTGATGCATTGAATCCAAAAGATATTGCCATTTCTGAAATTAGATTCCATGGAGGTGTTACATCATCTTTGATTTTGCCAGGTTCTGCAAATGTTATGGGAGGTGAAGGTGCTTTTGTTAAATTGAAAACAGCAGCTGGAACTGTCAGTAGCATGTTAATTAGAGATGCTCCAAGAACTCTCAAGATGGCATGTGGTGAAAATCCAAAACGTGTCTATGGTAGAAGTTTCAAAACAATGCCATACTCTAGAATGGGTTCTGCTTTTTTAATGAGAAAAATCTTTTCAGATTCTAAGAAACTCATGTTAGATCAAGATAATTGGGATTGTAATGAATCTGTGAGAAAGACAACTCCATCAAGACCATACGATCTTACTTTGGATCCAGTTGTTGGCCTCTTGAGAGGTGTTAATATTACTTTAAATGTTCACTGTTATGAAGTTCAAGATTTGGAAATGATGATTAGATTGTCAAAGGAATTCGGATTCAAAATATCAGCATTCCACCATGCTCTTGAAGCATACAAGATTGCTGACATTTTGGAAAGAAATAAGATTACTGTTGCCACTTTTGCTGATTTATTTGGATTTAAGGTTGAGGCCTATGAAGCCAGTGTTCATGCTCCAAGTATTTTGAGAAATAAGAATGTCAGAGTGGCCCTTAAATCAGATCACCCAGTTATTCACAGCAAGTATCTCTTGTTAAATGCTGCAAAGAGTCACTTCTATGGATTGGATGAACAATCAGCTCTCAATTCTGTCACTTCTGTTCCAGCTGAAGCTATGGGATTAGGTAATAGATTGGGAAAGGTTGAGGTCAATTATGATGCTGATATTGTTGTTTGGGATCGTTTTCCACTCATGCTAGGTGCAAGACCACACCAAGTATTTATTGATGGTAACAAGGTTGACGATCGTAATTTGCCAATTCACAGTACATTGGATCATGTTCCAAAATCAACCCAAACCATGAAGATTACTATTAGAAAGGACGATAAGGATCAATCAACCACTGAAACTGAATTCTGTAGCTATGATCCAGAAACCTTTGGCAAGACACATACAGGAGGTTACACAATCAAGGGAGCCAAGATTTACACTATGCACAAGGAAAAGCCAATTATTGATGAAGGTAATGTCGTTGTTTCTGCCTCTGGACTTATTTCCTGTGTTGGAACTCAAGATGAATGCCCAATTCCAGAAACTGACGGACACGTCACCTATGAAATCGAGGACGGTATTGTTGTACCTGGACTCATTGAGTCAAGTACTTCACTAGGTCTCTATGAAATTGAAGCTGAACCAATTACTGAAGATGGAGATAATTACGGAATGAATACTGAGAGTATTTTCGGAATTCAAAGTAGATTTGGAGTTAGAATGAGATCGAGAAATCTCAGAGCTGCTTGGAAGGCAGGTGTAACAACTTCAATTACTCATCGTCAAGGAAGATTATTGATTAATGGTCTCTCTAGTGTATTCACTTTGGAAGGATTAATTGTCAGTGATAGCTTAATCTCAAACTCTTCTGCACTCTATGTTACTATTGGTGCCAACTCAAAGGAGGGTGGAATTTCTGATTCAATTTCTGCTCAAATCAATTATTTGAGAGAAGTTTTCCAAAGCTCAAAGGACATGGCCATCAAGAGAGTTTTGAATAGAGAAATCCCAGTCTCTGTATTTGCCAATCAAGCTGATGATATTGGACAATTAATTGAGTTAAAGAATACCTTCGGATTTGATATGGTAATTATTGGTGGAGCTGAAGCTCACTTGATTGCTGATAAATTAGTTCAAAATAACATTCCTGTTATTTTAACACCACTCGCTGAAGATTTAAGTGACAAGCTCAATTGGGAAACCAAGAGAAGTAAGAATAATTTTGGAGCTTCTGATTTATTCACTGCAGGAGTCAACTTAGGAATTGGTATGGGAACTTCAGCACACGATGTCAGAAATTTGAGATTTATTGCTGGTCTAGTTTCCACTGAAGGAGAAAAAGAATCCTCCATTCAATTCATGGATGCTCTCTCCTCAGTTACCAGTACAATTTCAGATATTTTCAAATTGGGTCAAGGTGTTGGTTACATTACCAAAAACTATCCAGCCAATTTGGTTTTATTCGATGGCAATCCACTCAATTTCTCTGGAAAACCAAAACTTGTTGCTGTGAAGAATACCGTTGATTGTAGTATTGTTCAATTTTAAATTTTAACAAAACTTTAAATTAATTTATTATTATCCTTATTATGATATGAGCTTTTTTTATCCTTTTTAAGAAAGTCAATACAATCGCTCATGAAATTATACAAGCCTGGGATTCTAACAAGAGCTGTAATTTCAGATGAAGGAGACATCCGAATTAATTGACAACGAATTTTGTAAAATATTCCAACAACAATTCCAATAAAAATTCTCAAATTTATAACTGTAGTCGATAATAACCATCATTATCGAATTAAAAAAACTTTCTATTCAAATATTTCAAAAATTATTTCAAAAATTAAATCGTTTGACACAATTGCCAACACATCTTTCAATAAAATTACAAAAATTACTGATTCAAAGCGACATTATTAATTTCATCGCTATTGGTGGATTTGGCGAGGTCTGAAGTTGAAATTCCTTCTGGTTCAGGTTTTGGATTCTTCATCTTCTTTTCAGCTCGTTTAGCAAGAACAGTTGGAGATGTTTCCTGTAAAAGGAAAATGTATAAAAATAATCCAATTAATGAAATACCAGCAAATATAAACCAAGGAACAGCTTGATTAGTCAAAGTGACGACTGGAATAAAGAAGAGTGAAAGAACAATTGTAGTTGACCACATAATCAATGTTGCCATTGAAGTTCCAATAACAATGACCTTCTCATTCTCTCCATTGAAAACTTCATGAGCCAGAATGTAACCGAGAGAACCAATACCACAATGGAAACCAATCAGATACAAACAAATGAAAAGAATGCAGAGAATGATTTTGTAATCACTTCCATCTTGTCCAAATTGGAAGATGAAACCACAAGCCAAATCCATAATTAAACTCAAAGTGAACTATTTCAATTTTTCAATAAGAAATTCGATTAGTTTAGAATATAGATGTTTCAATTTTCAAACTTACTCCAAAAATGATAATTGGCTTTCTTCCCAAACGGTCAATTAAGAAAATTGTTGGGAAAATGCAAAAGATTTGCCAAACTGCAATACCAAATGAAGCAAGCTGTTGATTCAATGGATCAGAAACACCAGCAGATTCAATCAAACTTGGTAAAAACATGGTTGCACTCTGAATACCAGTCCATTCCAATGCAAAACATCCGAAACAAGCCAAGATGGTTCCTCGAATGGCCTTTGAGCAGAATAAACGTTTGAATGCAGCAAGAGTGGACATGGTGCTCTGTTTCTTCTCAGCTTTTTCAATTTCCTTCTCTGGAATACTCTCTTTCGTATATTTTGCTGTTGTTTCAACAAGTTCTTTTCCTTTCGAATTCTCCTTACTTGTTTCTCCGTGTTGCTGATGATTTCCACCATGAATAAACATTGGCGACTCTGGAATCACAAACAAGACAATGAAAAACAATGGAATGACAAATAAATTATCAAATGCATGAACAGCACGCCACATTTCACTCGAACGAACGAAAATTGCACCAAAAACGTAACCAGCTGTCGTTCCAAGTGAAATGCCCATATTAAACATGGCTCCGAGGACACCCTGATACTTGGCGTATGGCATTAGCTCTGCACAATAAACTGAACAAACAGCGGTGGCTACAGAACATACAAATTCTAAACATTTCCATTTTAAATATTGGAAACTTACCTATTCCAGCACCAAAACCCAGAATACACCTGAACACAATTAAAGATGCCCAAGTAAAAGATGCAGCTCCTCCAACACTACCAATCACTGAAATGATGCAACACAAGAGAATGGAAATCTTTCGTCCAAGAAGTGGACCTGAAGCCATTGCAAACATACAACCAAATAAACCACCAATGAAGATAGAGGCTGAATAAAGACCTTGCATGATACTAGTTCCCAAATCGAATGTTGTTGTTGCATTGGTTGTCGAATTGGATGTTGTTGCATTACTAGCAGTAGCAGTGAAAGCCATAAAGTTGGAAAATTGCAAATTTTTAGAATTTTTAAAGCAATTTTGCAACTTTTTGATTTTTTCCAATTGCAAATTTTCCACAAGTTTTAAAGATTTGCTTCCTGTGGAAAAGATACAATGCAAATTTTCGATATTTTGAGTGGGAAAGAGAGGCTCGATAGCATTATTAAACCAGTGTTCTTTTGGTGAATTGATTCCATATGAAAATGTGTCATAAAATTGACTTGTTGTTGTCTGATTATTGACAACTGAACTATTGGAATTTGATGAAGGAAAGAATGCTGTGATGGCACTTCCAAGTCCTCCTCCAATTGTTCCCAAAGCATATCCGAAGACTAAACCTCCCAACAAATTGGTAATTATTAAAAATATTGCTAGGAATACTTTTTTTGATTTGCTACATTCGAATAGAAAAGAAAAACATGGATTATGTGAAAATTCCAAAAGATCAGATTTTAATCATGAGATTGAAAAAAAAAAACTTACATGTAATTTTCATATTTTTCAATGTATGAAAGTTTGTAGAATTGTTTGATAGGGTTTTGCATTTGTTTTTTATCTTTCGAATAATAATTAAATACGAAACCTCGTGAAACGCTCAAGTATGTTGACAGGGACGTTATCAACCTTCCACATTTGCAATTTCCCCTTTCGAATAATAAGACAAAGCTATCATGAAATTGCCCCTTCGGACATGCAATTACCCATAAGCTCCTATGAACATTGTTTCAACAGTGGCACAATCGAGGTTTGTTGGTTTATTGTAATCAACACAACATTGCCGGCTGCAACATTCGAATAGTTGTGTGTGGTGCAGTTGAAACTGTATTCGAAACTGTTGAAGAATCCTTGTTTCTCCCAACACTGTGATTCACCACTGTTGAACCAACACAAACCAGATGTTTCACCCTCGCCGATAACATCTTCATCTCTTCATATCCAATTTTACAGTAAGAAAGGTTTAAATTGATTAATTTGTTTAGGTGGAAACTTTCAGCAATGAATTGTGAGCTTTCTGGACCTAATTTACAAAAGGTCAGGTTTAAATTGGTCAGATTGGAAAGGTAGGGACTAGAAGATAATTGTTTTGTACCATTATCAGTAATTTCACAATGAGAAAGGTCTAGGTGAATTATATTCGAAAGGTTTCGGCTATTGGACAAGGATTTGATTCCTTCAAGACCAACTTGGGAGAAAGTTAGATCGAGATGAGTTAGTTGTGTAATGAATTGACTTTGGGAAAGTTGTTTGGCGCCTTCATCTCCTACCAAACAGTTTCGTAAATTGAGAGAAAGTAGACGAAAGAAATTTGGAGATGAAGATAAATGATAGAGAGCTTCAGGAGTAAGAGAACAATCGCATAGATCCAATACTTTCAGATGGGAAAAGTTTGTTGATTGGCAAAGTAATTTGACTCCATCTACACCTATCAAACAACCAGAAAGAATTAGAGACGAAAGTAAACGAATGTTTGGACTATCTGCAAGAATTTTGATTTCTTGAGAGGTTACTCTGCATCGAGTTAAATTCAAGTGTTGAAGAGATTTCATTGATGGAGAGGATGAAATTAATTCCAAGGAGTTTCCAATAATTGGGACGAAACTGAAATCTAACCTTTGTATACGAAGACAAGTATCAAATCTTTCACTTTTCAAAGTTTCCTCGAATATACTTGCTGCTCTCCTTGTTTTCACTCTAATAGAGAATGGTACTTTCCAACAAGATTCGTACCATTGTTTCGAAATTAAACTACACTTTCCAATAATTATTTCAGATGGAATATACTTCAATATTTCAATAATAATTTCATCAGGAATATCAATCAAAACCTGATAATTCCTCTGATAGCTCTTTGTTTGTTGTTGATCAACAACATGTTTCGAATAACATTGATCCATTTCGTATGATGTTTTCTTTACCAAGTGCATCAATCACTTGCCGAACAACAAAACAACATAGAATTTGCTGCCTCCTTAAAAACATTCAGGCTCCAAACTTTGCGTGTCAGTGAAAAGTCCAACCATTCAAAGTTCATTTGGGTGTAAAACAGAAAAGGAAAGAATTTAGATGCGTTTGACTAAATCATGTCGCATATCGGTTATTGATGATAATGAAATATGAAAGTGAGGCTTTGGAGTATGAAGAAAACAAATAGTAAACAAAAAAACAAGTAATTCACAAAAACAATGAACAAGGATTAAAGGATATACAATTCAGAAATTAATTATTTGGATAAAGGCAGGATTTGCAAAAGGTTACAGCGAGCGGGGCTTGAACCCGCGACCTTAAGCGTGTTAGGCTTACGATCTAACCAACTGATCTATCGCTGCTTCACACTTTATTTCTGTAATAAATATAATTTTCATGTTCATATCTTTGGAACTTAATTTAAGAAAAAGAGTATTTTAAAATATATGTTGGAAAGATTGCTACTGTACCTTACTCAACAAATAAAGACATGTAATTTGATATAAGTTTACCAGATACGTTTTATCACACTATTATACATCTTGGATCAATTTCACTGTTAGAATAGAATTCAATATGATCATCATAGCATCTGTCAAATTGTCACAATTCAATAAAACGATTACACTCCATCTCAGTCAATTTACAAAATACCATACTAGTAATACACTCCCCTTGATGAGGAGAACGGTCTGAGAAAGTTTCTAATTGACAGCTCAGTATCTTCAAGTCAACTAAGTAACCTTAGAATAGACAAGTCAATTAAATACATAAAGTCAACAATTTAAAATTGAAAAATAGTACATATTGAACTCTTCTCTGTGTTGCTCTGTTGAACCACTAATTCTCTTTCCAAATAATTTCCAAACGAATATTTAATTTTGAATTTGATGATCATGTAGTTTCCGTTCTTTCTACTATTCAGAATAACAATTATTAAGGGGCGAATAAAAATATTTTTGAATAACAAGGGGCGTCTACAAACCGTAAATAATATCGCTGTAAACTCACTGTACTCGATTTCTTTATTATTTCATTCTTTTCTTATTTGGCCCTGTATATATATCATGGATTTATGAATTTATTTGTTCTCACTATTACTATTACGACAATAGACTTTTATCTGCTTAAAAAAATGAATGAACATGCAATTCTCACCACTCGTCTCGCCAACGCTCCCTACAAAATCTTCGACTGGGATCAAGAAGAGCCTCCTCTCTCTCATGAAAAAGTCATTGAAAACCACTACACTGCTGATGAGATTATTGATGAAGGTATTTCTCCAAATGAATATGGAAGGGCAAAGTTTATTTCCGAAGCCTTGATGATTGAAAATAGTGGTGTAACAAGACCACCAACAAGTCATGAAGATGATGAACCAAAGTTTTGGAGGAGAAAGGATTTGTTGATTCCTGGAAAATCAATTCAAATTTCTTCAAAGATTACGACGGTGCAATTGTTGAACGAGGAAGAGCCTATTGAAGAAAGTGATGATGATTATGAGGAAGATGGTTTTGAAACAATGGTCAATCAAGATCGTTGTATTTATATTGGAAGCATACTGTCCGAAACAGAATGTAGTGATTTGATTGATTCCACATCAAGATTGGGATATGAGAAAATTGATAAGGAATATCCAAAGGAATATCTTAATAATGAGAGAGTTTTGGTCAAGAGTAAGAAACTTGCAGATATAATTTGGTCTCGAATTGTTCCATTCTTGAAAAAGTCTGATATTGATGGTGTGAAACCTTATGGTTTTGATAATGATGGTTGTTGGGTTCCTTGTGGAATTAATGAAGTTTTAAGATTCAACAAGTATAGTCGTGGAAGTTTCTTTAAACCTCACACTGATGCTCAATTCGTTAGAAATGATAATGAAAAATCAATCTTTACAGTGTTGATCTATTTGAGCTCCTTTTCTTCAACTACAACCTTTTTCCAAAAGGTTGGAGAGAAGATTGAGGATAATAATATTTCTTTTGATTTCAAACAGTTGGCGTGCATCGACTCAAAAGAAGGAAGTGTTGGTAAGTTGAACAGATTATTGCTAAATAATAATTTAAAGCCATATTTAACCATAATCTCTATCATGCCGGCGAAAAAATGGCTTATGGATCAAAGTATGTTGTGAGAAGCGAAATTATCTTCAAGAGAATTGATAAGGATAGTATTTATAGTATGGATTATAGAAATAGTGAAGAATTCAAACGGGTAAAGAAACTCATTGATGATAGCTACGAGTTGGAACGTCAAGGTAATTTAACCCAATCCACCATCAAATATGTCCAAGCTATGGACTTGTCCCACTCCATTCAAAAAAAATCAAATAGAAAATTGAGTTTTATTGAAGAAAATCTTCCTGAAGAGATATTCGTTCACATATTTAACTATTTAACAGATGAAGAGGTCTGTAAAAGTGTCATTCCTATCAATTCTGAAATTAATTCAATTGCTAGATATGAAAACATGTGGGAACAAAGATTTTCTAATAAGTGGGGATCTAACACATTGGAAAAGTCAATCCTTGATAGAGCTATTAGCGTTAAATACGGTGAAAATTATGAACCTACCAATGAAGAGAAGATTGTATTTCATAGTAAGGAAAATGAAATTATCAATCTTCTTCAAAAAGATTGGTATAATGCATTTTCAGCCAGATCAAATATGGAAAAATCTTTCAATGCTGTACTTTTAGATCTTGGACAACATACTTACAAGTATGGATTAGCAAGTAATAATACATATTGGAGATCAATGACAGCTGTCGGTGAACCTAATCATCCTGACTTTTATTTACCATCCTATGGATTTGACGACGTTCTAACAGGGGATAGATTTTTTAACGCTCAATACCATTGTGGATTGAAACCGTTCTTTAACTCTAAAGGAGTACCCAAGAAGAAGTTGTTCAAAATATTCCTTTATCAGCTCTATAAGGAAGATTTAAGAGTTAAATTACAAGAACATCCTCTTCTCATGGCTGTTCCTCCTCACTGGGATAAAGAATATTTGAAAAAGGTAGAACAGGTTGTGGTAAGTTTTCTATATTGAAAATTATATTTAAATTCATTGATAGTTTTCTTTAGGTATTCCAGCAGTTCACTTTGTAAACTCGTTCAAGTTACTTGCATTGTATTATCAAAAACCAACATCCTTAATTCTTAGTGCAACACCATATGGATCGACATGTGTACCAGTTGTAGATTGTGAGGTTAAGACTGCATGTATGGATATGAATGTGTTTAACATGTACGAGAAGAATAGGAATATGAATAAGGATATGAAATATTTTGAAATGACTTTCTGGGCGAAGGTATCAGAATTTTTGAAAATTGCCCCTTGCAGTCCTAGCCAAGATCAACAAGAATTCAATGAATTTGCACAAAACGTTGAACCTTTCGAATGGATTCCACACCACATGGTTTCACCAGCCAATCAAAGAGCCAATATTTCGGAATTTTTCTATTCTCATGTATGGGAAAATGTACAAAAATCAATTACCTTAATTCGTAATCATCAATCTCTTTCCAATATCGAAAAAGAGCTAATGCTAAACAATATTGTAATAGTTGGTGGATTCTCAGCATTGACAGGATTTAGAGAAAGAATCAAGAAGGACATTTTGGAATATCTTGGAAATGAATACTCTCCATCATTTACTTTTAGAGAGCATAAGGTTGATTATTCTGTCAGAAAAATAGGTAACAAGGTCAGCATTGTTGGACAAGATATGGACGTAGTTGGAGGAGCTAGAATTGTTTCCAATCTCTCAAACTTTAGAGAAATTTGTAGTTACAAGCAAGTAGATAACAAGTGTTAACTAGCCAACCAGTAATTGATATTACATTTACATTTGATAGAAATGGAAAATCATTATCTGATGTGGCTCAACGTCTGAGGGATGAGGTGTAGTAGTCAACTGTGTAAACATATCTTATATATATTTTGTAAACACTTAATTCCATACTCGAATATTCCCTCAATAACTTGCCATTTCTTTCCTTCACCATGTGGACATGTAAATTCCAATAATGTGTCATCTACTGCATACTGAATATCCCCTTTTTTTATTCGAAACGTGAATAGGAATTTTGTGCTTACTCGCTGATTAAAAGTGCACTATTTGTCAGAAGCAGATAATTTTAGCTTATCTGTGAAGCACGTACAAATCAAGTGTGACAACTCTATTAATTGAGAAAGTTGAAACAGTGGCAGCAAACAAAACAAAATGTCAAGCGAAATCATAGCAACCAATAGCAAGAGCAGTATTCTTATTACTGGATTACAATATTACAGGACCTCAATCTTTAAATTATGATCAAGTAGCTGAGATTATTTAGAAAGTTATTGGAAGACAAATTACTTGGGCTAGAATTGATGAAATTGACATTGGCTGGTGAGATTATTCCAATTTTATAAATTGAATGGAATGTCTGCTAATGTACATGCAGATTTTGACACTAGAAACCGAGATCTTTGGAACAATTCATTCAAGAAAATAAACATCATTTTGAATAATATGGAACAAACATGGATCTAAAATTTGATCCTCCAGATCTTCATTAATTTGAAAAAGACTTTTCAGCATCTTTAGATGATGGTCTTATTGGTAATTGTGTCAGTATTTAACCGGTGAGATTTAAATTTCCAGTTTGGCTTGTTTGAGTAGATTTTCCTTGTAATTTACAATTTCTTGATAGGTCTTGAATTGTTGTGTAAAAATGAATCTAGAAAGAGTATCGCTCAGATTGAAACGAATTTGATTTTGAAGAGATTCTATTGATTCTGTGATTGATTCTTTCAAACCTTGTGGGAAGTTCATTGTCTTTTTACTTCCCATATTTTCTGCACTTTCTAATTCAACATTCAAATTATCTACAGAATCTAATCTCTTGACTAGAGATGCGAATAATTTAGAGCAATCTGATGAAATATTAACTTCTTTCAAGGCTCCCATCTGAATATAAGTAACATAAATATGATTAATGACAGTTTTGACTTGTTGGAAATCATTCAAACTTTCAAGAATGTTTTGGTTATTTCTGAGTTCCAAATATAATTGTAAATTTTCGAGTGAATATTCTTTTTCACAGAACCATTCAAATAATTTCAAACCTTCACTATGCTCAATGAGCTTTCTAATATCGTCATCATCATCCTGTTTCTCCAATTGTTTTTTCTTGAATTTTTGAATGATTAGAATAACCAAAGAGTAACCACCAAACACAAACAAATAACTAAACATGTACAAAATGTCAAACAGTAATGAGATGGAATCATTCAAGAGCAACATCTTTAGGGAATTTTCTTTTCTGAATGACAATCCTGACAGGCCAATGATTTGTGAGATTACCAAACACGTAAAACACATTACAAATAGACACATTTCAGCTCTAAAGTAAAGTGGTGAATCCAACCTTGTAAAAGCTTCACGAATTCCATATAGTGGCATTCTTAGAGCTTTTTTAGTTGCTGTGAAATTTTCAAATTTTTCTAAACTCTTGCCAGTTATTAAATCATTTAAGGAAAAGTTGAGATTTGTTTTTTCATTATTCTCCTGACCTTGTTGTATAATTTCTCTTTCTTTTCTCTTTGATACGCATGTCATTATTAATTCTAATCCAATAATGCAACAAGTGATGAATCCTAATAAGAGAATGGAGCAGGTAAAGGAGATAGAAACAATATGAGTATAGGTCAAGCTTGTAATAACCCCAACACGAATAAGAATTACCCATAATACCCAATAAATCACATTCAGTGAAATGAAAAGACACATGAGTATTAGCATTACTCTTGTTGAAAGGAATAATTTTGTCAACTTGAGAATAGTTTCACCCTTTGGCTCTTTAGAATGGAACATAATATATATTTGATGATAAAAGTATTTCAGTACTTGGAATCTCACAACTTGATATAAATATGAAAAAAAAGCCGTTAGTGTCATTGTGTTTACAATAATTGTAAAAATATTGGAAATAATATTAGCAACCAAATCACCATTCTGTAATTGAATAACTGTTGATTGACTTTGTTCAAAATCCTGCTGATTGCCAATAACACTATTGGCATAGCCCAGTAAAATTCCTCTCTGAGTGATTAACAGCATTGAACATTCAATAATGAGAGCTGTTATTCCAATATAAGGCGTAATAAATCTACTTCTTACTAGAATTGATTTTCTAAAGGTAACCAAAAGTGTAAGTATTGTAAGTGAAAGAAGCAAGAATAAACTACCAAATGAAATTTGGGCAATGTAGAGAGAGGAAATTTGCCTGAGATATTCAGTAGATGATGGGGTTTCTTGTTCAATAAATGCTGCAAAGAGAGTAGCATGATTACATTGGCAGATTAACTGATTAGTTTTGTTGTTAAAACTGAAAATTGAACATCCGTGGCTTTCCCATCTTTGGTTTGTTTCGTTCCAAAATTGACAACTTAATAACGAAGAATTCGAAATGGAAGAGTTAGTATCTATAGTGAATGTGATGTAAATAGGATCTCTTAGGTCGGATAAAGAGATTTGTGAACCAGATTTGTACATTGTAAATTCTTTTGATTTGGTTAATTGTGTGGAATTTCCATTGATATATAAATTTTCATCAAATGTAATAAGAGACAAACCAATTTCGGAATAATAACCATCATATTTCGAAAGTATATAATCTGTAGCAAAGGAAACATCATTATATATTTGAGAAATGGTTCCAGTGTTAGATGTTTTGAAAAAGCTTGTAGTTGTTATGTTGATTAGATGTGAAATATAGGAATTAGGCACCATTGAATCTGAATAAACCTTTGCGTTTTGCTGACTGAGGATAATGGAAGATAATTGATTGCAGATATTCGATATATTAACGTATCCATTCAGCAAAATATTGCTCGTAGTTGATAATGTATTGAAAAGGTCAGTATCGGACATTCTTTGCTTGGATATAAACCCATTTGAATTCTTTTCAATTCTAACTTGTTCATATACTTTGGACAAGTACTCGTCTAATTTAGAACTCACTATGTAAGCTGATTTTGTTTCCAAGGAACTTGATGTTAATTGATTAATGACAGAAAGTGTCAAAGAAGGATTTTCGAATTGAATGTTAATGCTTCTAATGGATTCGTAAAGAATATCTGTATTTTGATTTGCTGATTGATCATATGGTACAATATTGGCCAAAACATTGTTAAGCCTAATTCTCAAAATCAAATCGTTCAAATCCTCAGAGTTTGGGATCACTTTCACAGAGCCAATAAATTCAGGATATTCATTAAAGAGACTATCTCTACAAATGACATATAAATTAATTGAACTAAATGACATGTCATTTGTTCGATTATTTTGAATGAAAGGAAGATAGGTGGTGAGAGAGCTATTAGTGGAAAACTCACTCAGTCTAATCAAACTGTTCTCTCCAAATGAGTTTATGAACTCGAAACCGAAAGAGAACTCAAGATTGCCAAGAATGGGATCTGGTACTATCCAATTATTTAAATCTTCTTGAATTGTGAAAAGTGATGAAAGAGCCATACCTGATTGAGGTAAAATGGTGGCATTCGAATGGATTCTTTGGGGTGGTGAAATTAAAGGAAAACTCTCAACAAATTCTACAGATTCTGTTATATTCATAGAGTTGTGGAATTTGACACTTAAAGTAACATTTCCTTGAAGTGAAGATGTAGTTCCTTTCAAGGAAAGAATAGGTCTAAACGAAAGTTTGAATAGTCCATTGGAAACCTTTCCATGATAATAAGCTATCAAAGATTCTGGCACATAAAAACTAGTTTGATTACCATCACTTATTTTCCAAGAATACTTTAAATTTGTCCAAGTACAATTCGTGCAATTATTAGAATTAATAATCGATTCAAAATCTCCCTTTTTAAGAATCACAGAAACAATGGACATATAAAATGAATTACTAGTTCCCTTAACAAAACCAGCAGGTTTTCCAATGATTTCTAATGACCTTTCTTCTCTACATTCGTTTCCAACAAATTTCACTCCTTCATGACACTTGCAAGTATCAATTCCAATACATTTTCCATTTCCTGAACACACATTCGGATCATTAGATAGTTTTCCAAAGCAGGATGTTAAATTACAGACTAATCCTTCTGGTGATTGAGTAAGGATATAGTATTCTTCTTTACAATAAGGAGAAAGCATTCGTATACGGTCATTGCCTGAATCTGAAAATATTATTCTACCGTCGCTCAATACTGATAAACCCTGTGGATTGTTAAGATATGCTTGTTTAGCATCGGAATCTCCATTGAATCCTGCTGTTCCATTACCAGCTATTATTGTACTATAGCCATTTAAATCTACTTTTCTAATGACATTGTTGTTGGTGTCAGCAATCAACATTTCGCCATTTGACATGTAAGTGAATGAGATAGAATAACCAAAGGTTGTATTTGTAGAAAAGGTTGTTTGATTCAATAACATTGAATCAATAACGTAACCACATTCCTTTTTCCCTGCTACTCGAGTCAAAATTCCAGTTCCTGAAATATTAGTTTTCAATATACTACATCTGTCACTAAAAACTAGCTCATTATTCCTTATTTTCATATCGTAAATGTCTAAACTAGTATAGTTTGTTGGTACATTGTCTTCCATTTCCACATAATTGTAATTACCAGCAAATGTTGTAATAATTCCACTTGAGAATGAAACTTTTCTAATTCTATAAAAACTATCTGACAGATAAATTTCATTATCAGTGAGGGCTAATGCTCTCACAAACCCAACGTAAGCATTGACAGCTAATCCATTATCACCAATACCACCTGCAATAGTTTTAACAAAACCAAATGGTGTAACCTTTCGAACTCTATAAAAATCAGTATCACTAAATATCAATTCATTTGTAAATGGAGAAAATGCCACTCCAAATGGATGGTTGAGGTTTGTACTAGTTGCCTCCAAATCTCCAGAAAATGGAGGTTGGACAACTCCTTTGGCTCCAGTTCCAGCCACGTTATACACCACATCTGATCCATAATTCATCTTTTTGATAATGTGGTCAAGATATACAGCAACGAAGAGATCACCATTTGGAGAGAAGATAATTTGTGAAGGAAAGTTTAAACATGTTTTGTTTGCATAGCTTGTAGTACTGAAACCAGTGCATCCAGGAATATAGCCAATAACTGTCTTGATTAATCCCTTACTATCAATTTTTCTAACCATAAATGAGTTCATATCTGAGAAGTAAATTTCATCTGTAATTGGGTGAACTGAGATTCCAAAAGGTGCTATATTGGTTGCTAGAGCAGCAAGACCATCTCCATTATAGGAATAAACCCCAGTCCCAGCAATTGTTGTTATTAGACCAGTACTGTTACTAATCTTTCTAATTCTGTAATTTTCAGAGTCACAGAAAATAATATCACCATTAGTTTCGTTGTAATAAACTCCTGTTGGCCCATTTAGAGGGGCAATAATTGCAGGACCCCCATCTCCACTATAACTACGGACACCAGTACCAGCGACGGTGGTTACTTGATTCGTCTTGGCAGTGAACTTTCTAATTCTTTGATTGTTTAGATAGTTGCCAAAAAACAGCATACCATCGCTTATAGAATCAGAAATTAACAAATCGCCATTCGATAGGCAAGTGATGGCAGATGCAAAACCTATCCTGGCAGTTAATGCATCCCCATCTCTGTATCCTGATACTCCATCTCCAATGAATGTTGAGATTATGCCATTCGAATCAATCTTTCTAATAACATAATTTCCAGCATCCACAATGTAAATATCACCTGTTGGACCAACACAAACACCTCTTGGTTGTGACAATTGAGAATAGATACCTTGATAACCATCACCAGCTAAGGTTGTCCTTGTTCCAGCAATAGTGACAGCTCTTTGATCGCTCTTTCTCAGTTTCATAACCAAATTTTCAGATCCAACGTAAATGTCACCATTTGATAGAGATTGTACAACTGATCGCGGATAAATTACATCTGTTTCATTTCCAAAATTACCATCTGCAGAATACGCTCTATTACCAGTACCTAAAATTGGTTCAATCTTTGAGGAAGTATAATTTGATAGAGAATTCAATCTTATAACTCTGCTATTTCCCCAATCAGCAATCAGTAATTCATCAGTTTGAGAATTGTAAAAAGTTCCTCTTGGTCTATACAAAGCTACAGAGCTTCCAACAATACCCATATATTTTCTCAAGCCATTTCCTGCTAATGTTGTAATTATTTTTGTATCCAAATCTATTCTACGTATTCTAAAATTGGAAGTGTCTGCAACGTACAAGAATCGTCCAGAAATAGCCAATCCTGTTGGATTATTCAAAGTTGCATTGATAGCAAGACCTCCATCTCCACCAAAAGCAGCCACTCCAGCATCGTTGGCCACAACTGTACGTACACTATTCGAAATCTTTACAATTTGATGAGTTGACTCTGCCAAGTAGAAGTCTCCAAATGAGTCAAAAACCATTCCAATTGCCCCATTTGTACCACTATACAATGTGAATATTCTTCCTTCATTGGTGATTCTTCTGACCCTGCCAGTTTCTTCCAAATAAATTAATTCTCTAGTTAGTGGATGGAAAGTTAGAGTCAAAACCTTTGCAATACTTGCACTCGCTGCAAGAGATCCTTCTGGTGTATTTTTGTCCTCCACGCCTGTTCCTGCTATGGTATAGATGGTCCCATTAACTATCTTTCGTATCGTATATTTGTAAGTATCACTAACATAAATTACATCATTTGCTTCATCAACTAGCAAACCAAATGGAGCACCCAGTTTGGCATCCAATGCAGAAATATTACTCGAAAGATTTGAACCACCACCAGCTAGTAAGAGCATTGTATCTTGGCCATAGGAATTTTTATAGACCTTTCGAAGAGTGTTTTCATCTGTAAAGTAAACCTCTCCTTTAGAATTCACTGCTACACAAAATGGCCAATGAATTGAAGTGGTGGCAGGTGTGGGTCCTTTTGGAAAGTTTGTAGAATCAAAATTATAATTGGGATTTCCAGCGAGAAAGTAAGAGTTTCCATCTGGTTTAATGTATCTGATCTGATTGTTTAAATAATCAGAGTAGTATATATTTCCAGTAGTGGAAGAAATAGCAATAGTTTGTGGCCAAAACATGCCAACAGTTAATGCGTTTTGCCCATCTCCATTAAATCCTCCAAGTAGTGTTGTTATCTTGTAGTTAACATTTGATGCAGTAGATTGGTCTCCTTTGGCGTTCGCTAGCAGAAGTAAGACAAAGATATACGTCATAAGATTAGAACATGACATTTTTTAAAGTTGACCCTTTGTGTGTGTTGTGTGATTGACACAAGAGACACAGTAGTGGTTTCTACTGAATTCGGTTGTTTAACTATTGGATCAGATGTCCCACTCCCGAGAATGGAAATTATGATTGAAATTATTCAAAAAATAGAATTGTCAAAAAATTACAATATGTAAATGTGGTTCTCACCACTGGCCTCCATCCATAACTTTACAATCCAAACATTTGAAAAATTGTGTCCACATGATCCAATCTCTTATGCCACCAATAGGTACAATCCCCATATAAATTTAAGTGGCCATCTATGAGTTTCTCTATTTTGTGGAACAAACTCAATCTAAATTTCCATTTCAATTTGGATCTAAATTTCTAACGTCTTTCCATTTAATTTGTTTAAAAGCACGTTCATAGCCAGCAGACAAATTACATCAGCCTCCTATCGGAAGAGTGCACGAAATACAAATAATATGCATTTCATTCTAATTTGGATTTGGTAGCATTGACAAAATTTACATTGTAATAATTATTTAGAATAATTTAGATCGGAAGAGAATGCATCCTCTCTGATGCACAAGATGATGACAATGTACTTGTTGACCTTTTGTTTTCGCTCATTTTTTTTAAAGTCTTTGGTTCATTCTTCCCAGCTTATGGTAAGGCAATGGTTTCTCAATACAGAATATGAATCAGCAACAATGTTCAAGCAGTATTGGATTTATTGATGAAGGAACGTACCACTATCTGTATTGCCCATATCAGACTTTCAACTGTTGGAAATTCAGATAGGATTTGTATTTTGGCTAAAGGTATCTTGAAAAGAGACAGATACTCATACTGAATTGATGACCATAGAACAAATTGCACTTTCAAGTTCTACACATTTAAAAAATGTCCACCACACTCGTAGAGCTGTATCACTCTCCTGATATTCTTTCTCATGTTTTTTCTTTCCTTCCACTTGAAAGCATTGCCATGATGGAAAGATCATGCAAACATTTCGCAACCCTGTTGAGAGCCGACTACATTGATAAGACAATATATTACCATTATATTTGTCAATTATTTAAATTAGATCCGAGCATCATGATGAAGGATGATGACACTTCATTATTACACATGTTTGATCAGTTTTTGCAAGAAGAAAATTGCAGGGAGTTATTGATAGAGTTTTTTAGAGCTCCATTCATAGGAAATCGAGTTGAGAACAATGATCCTATTAATTCATATTCAAATAAGGGAGGAGTTATTGATTTTAGTATTTATGTTCCTTGCAAATTATTGAGGGGATTATTAAGTCATTGTAAATATGATTTGGATGAAAATATCAAGAGAACTTTACACAAATTTTTATTATTTGCTGGTGTTTCGTATTGGACTTTGGAAGTGGATTCGAAATTTCAATTAGCTAAATTGAATAGCAATGAGGTATTTACATTTAGAAAAAATCCGTACTCTTCCAATTCATTCCCATTCACACAATATTCAATGGGAAAGGGTCTGATAATGTTGTTGAATAATAATTTTAAAGAAATTGATCCAGAATTTTCACTTGCTATTTCACTTTCAGGTCCAGAGGATAGTGTAATCCTTTATAATGAACTTATTCGAAATGCTGAACCACCAGAAATGTGGGATGATATATTTTCACAATGTTCAAATCCTCCCTATTCCATGCAACCAGCAAATGAGGAAATTCAAGCACTAACCTCTCAATTATATAATGATCATGATGGAAGTTGTGAACACTATTGTTGGAATGATTTTCTTCTTGAGGATTATTCTTCATGGTCAAGTTATTGGCTTGCTGGAGCTGAATGGTGGGGATGTTACTCATTGACAACTTATGATTACAGTAAGCAACAATTTGTTATTGCAACTGCATCCACAACTGATTAAAATTGAGTGAAATTTTACTATATTTGGCAGAAATAAGATTGTTTTATTTGCATCTGATAACATTAAAAAGACTGAAAAGTACTTGCTGGTTGCCCTTCAGCAACAGAAATAATATTAACTGTTGATGGTTTAGAACCAGTCAAATTTCATCTTTGGCACTAGTATTTGGTACTTGGCTTGTGTCTTGATTGCTTCTGCCTCATTCATTAAGATTCTCTTGAAAGAGAACTTGATTTGAAAATCAAAAAGGAAAAACCTTCACAGTAATAGTAGTTGAAGCTCAGAAATTGGAGAGTCAATTTGATCAAGTGAAATGTTGAGTGTTCCTGAGGACCCAAGTTTGATTGATGGTACAGCACTTAGTTAGAGAATTAATTGGCTAGGCAATCATTGTAAAACCAAAATATTAATATTCAATAATGCACATTCAACGTTTATCTACTGAACTCCTAATTCATAACATTCTAATGTCAATTCTGTGTTTGCTCCATGTTCAATTATGACAAAGAAGTCAAATCATGAAAAAACAAAACAACGACCATAATTCAGTTTTCAAAAACCATCCATCGAGAGAGGTTTTTAAGATTTGTTCGACTTTACACTCTTTGCTTTCTTCATACTTACCTTGAAGGACATTTCAGTGATCATGCAGACTGAAATGTGAATCTGGAAACTCTCCTCCTTGCACTCAGAGAATGAGTAGCCAGTGTTTGGTCAATAATCAAAGTGGTTGTTGCCCTCCTTCTCAATTTTTTCCTGTGAGGATTCATCAGGTATGATTTCTCGCTCTGTTAAATAATAGAAATTCAATGAAAATATGTGTGGAAGTGGTCTTGCATTCAAGAAGGCAATTTGTGAACTATTCAACAATGGAATTCGAAGAATCTCCAACAACTCAATTCAAAGTCATCCATATTTTGCCAATATAAATCGTCAAATTGTAAATGATTGTGAGAAATTTAATATTGAATGGTATTAAGAAATAAAAAAAGACTACAGCACCACAGGTTCCCAAGTTGTCTCCAACCTCAGTACTGATGTGGCTCTACGATGCTTAACTTCTCAAATCAGACGGGATGAGGTGTATTCATCGTGATATGGCCGTAGCCATTCATCAAATCAAAATAACAATCTTAAACAGGCTATACATGATTAAGGGTCAACTATCTCTGCAAAATATGTTGCTGGGATCTTTAAACATTGTTTGTATATATTTTGTTTTACTATTCAATGAATAATTTATTAAAAACAATTGAGAGAATCTATGAGTTTGTTCTTGTTTTTTCTTGAATTCAAAACATTTTCTTGCTTTTTATACTTGTTTTGAGATGTTTATATTTTAAGAAAGTAGTTCTTGGGTCAATAATCAATTTTAACTTGTTGTTTGTGAAATGCAATTTGACTCTTAATGAAAATGTTCTGATTTTGAATTGGAAAAATTTAATACTAGTAAAATGGTTTGAGAACAACTATTCATTACTCAAAATCAATCTTTAACTTTATGAAAAGATATACCGTAGCCATTTATTGCCTTAATACAATGAATAAATCAATAAAAAAATAAAGGAATAAGTTAAGATATTTAAGTTGAGATATTATTGTTGTCTTTCAATTGTTAATTTAGACGGGAAGCCTGCCAGGAATATGGCGACTATCCCGCTACAGTCTTTGACTGTATGAACAGTGAAGGCAAGAGTTCTGGACGAATCTTGTTGTGTTTAAATAACAGGTTGTTGAAGAATTTGATAAGGTTAATCAACCTTCAATTTATTGAAAACTAGACAAGTTTAATTGCTTGATGCAAATTTTGGTTTGATTTTTTCTGCATCAATTCTAAATTGAAACTTCATCTATTTCAAAACACATTATTTTATTTACAATTTACTGAATTATTTACAAGTTGTAATTTACATCTTTTTCGATTTGGTAATCTTCTTTGTTGTGGTGGTTGATTGTTGTTTAGCTCTCTTTTCAATTGAATTTTTAGAAGATCTTTTCACTGAAATTTGTTTACCATTTAAATTTGCATGATGATAATCAATATTATTACGATGTCTAGTTCCACTTATAATATTTGAAGTATCAATATCAAATAATGGTAATCTTTTAGTTAAATCAATTGGTTTAGATCTTGACCAGACTGTTTTTGTTGGAATTCTATCTTCGGAAGAATTTGATGAAGTATTTCTAGCTGGCATTTTGCTCTTAGTGTTTGTTATTTAGTTATTTTGTTTTGTTGTGGAAATATCATCATCCGATCAGTTATCTATTTATTTACAAGATGATTTCCACTAATTTTGTGATTCCGATTTTTAGTGCATCACAAGAATTTGAATTTTTCTATTAATATTTTGATGAAAGGAAATTTAATACAAATCAACAAAACAAATTGAAGAGAAAATGAGAAACAAACAATTCAAAATGTGGTAAATCCTTTTAACTCCAATTTTGTAAACCTAAAGGCCTCCTGTAGATTTTTCTAAGACAAAAAGATTTCAGCACCACAGGTTCCCAAGTTGTCTCCAACCTCAGTACTGATGTGGCTCGACGATGCTTAACTTCTCAAATCGGACGGGATGAGGTGCATTCATCGTGATATGGCCGTAGCCATCATTATTTTTAAAATATGAAATTTCAATCAAAAGAGATTCGGGACTAGTAGCAAAAGGACGGATCGTTTTTATCTCCACCGTACAAATGATAATCTTTACTGTGTTAAAATCTGATAATTCACTTTTCTAAACGAACAGAACAATGATCACACCAAGCACGTGAACATCTAATGAGCATACTAGCGTTAACTAGTATTTTATTATTAATAATAAATTATGGTTGTTTGATTGGGGTATTTAAGTACAAAGGATGTTGAAGATGATCATCAATGATTCTGTGTTAATTTCACAAATCCACAAATCTTTACACTCGTGTGTGAATATATCTGACACGAATTTTGGAATATATATATAATACATCAAAATGTTAAAATTCATCACACATGCCACACACAATAGTAGTGGTACATTAAATGTGAAAATCCAACACAATCATGTGAGTGATCATTTTCTAAATAAAAAGGAATTTGGTTTAGTTGATGAAAGCCTTACCAAGGAATTTACGCTTGCTGAATTGCATCCAGTACTTGTCAGCAACACCATCTTCCTTGAAAATTAATTTAGCCAAACGCAAACCTAATTCTTCCTTAGCTTGCCTCATGTAGGAATCCCATTGCTTCTTTTCATTGGTATCTCTTGGCTTATCGTAGAAAGCAATAAGAGCAAAGGAAGAATCACCTGGACCTGGGAGAGCTTCTTCACTCAATTGGAAGTAGAGTTTATCAGCATCGGCCTTCTTTGTTGTCTTCTTGTTTTCAGTGTGCTTCAACAAGAAGTGTGTGTACATGGTGAGGTAAATCAATGTACGATCAGCTGGGCTTTCAACTTGGTAAGATCTAAACAACATGTTAGACTTGAAAAACTTTAAAACTTCATCAATAATATCTTCCTTGTTTTCATCGAGTTCCTTTGGAGCAGGTCCCTTGACTTTAGTCTTCAATGGCAAGATTGCGGTACCACAATAAACTTCGCATTTAGCATCTTTGAATGAACTATGATAAGCTGGCATTTTGATGATGATTTAAAAATTGATGATGAGTTTAATCGTTGTTGAATCTCAGGCAAGAAAAATTCCCTCTCAAAATTTTAATATTTTTTTTTGATGACTTGCTTGTTTTCCATCACAACTCGAAGGCTTGCTGATTGATGAATAAAAATCACCATCATCAGATTTTTCCAATCACCATTGAATTCTTTTGGTTATTAATGTTTGGAAAGAGGTAGTTTTGAGTGAATGGCTGATTGGAGGAGGCTTCTTGACAACATGTTGTCTACCTACAATGAGATTATCTTTGCTTTTGAGAATGAAATGGTTTAAATCAGGCTGGACCTCTCTGGGTTGACTTTGAAAAAATCAACACGAAAAAAAATTAAAAATTCTAAAATTTTGCATTTTCATTCAACAACTGCATATCCATAATGAAGTTAGTGATGCATTATATCAAAATTGCAAGGGATGATCAAATTCTAAAAGATGCAGCAGCTTTTTTAGCCAAGCAGAGAAAACCAAGCTTGTCCAAAAAGAAGCAGTTTGCTCAACGGCGCTTGTTTTGATGGTGCGAGTTTTTCAATTCACCCAAAAAAAAACCACTCAAACCCTATCAGTCTGAACAAACAAGTGTTGGAGCTTGTTGCTCTCTTTACTCTACTTATCCGACCCGAATATATTCATCATACCACCATCACTCTTTGAAAGAGAGCACACATTCTTGTAGTCATTGTGTATTCCGTATTACAACTTATCATCAAAGAGAGTTTTTTCCAGAATCCGCGCCCATTCTTTGCAAACTTACTTGGAGAATCCAAAAATAATCATCACTGTAGAGCATTAAAGCAAAGAGAGCAGAAGAACACTTGATCTGTTAGAGTTCATAGAAGATCTTGCACAATTATCATCCAAAGTACTCCTCCGTTATTTAAAGTAGTAGGTGCTGAGAGTGAATCACTACCCTGCTATTATTTCCAACATCAAGCGCTTGACTTGTTTCATATTTAAATTTTCATTACGTAAAAAAAAGCCAACATCGGCTTCCTTTGAATCCCAATCACCACCACGATCCTTTGTGTTGTTGGACAGCTGTTGCCTCTCACTATTTGCTGCTCCTTCATTCATTTCCTTACACTTCATTGTCCCCACTACTCATACATTCCTAAGCTTTTCCTACCCAAACCCTTGTATACAACATTGTACTCTAACAAGAACATTCAATTAATTGTACCATTTACTATTCATTCAACAAGCAATTAGAATACACCATTACTACTACAACTAATACCACCATCACTTGAATAACACCATCCGATAGTCAACAATGGACTTTTTTAAGAATACTCTAGACCTTCTGAAAAGAGACGATACCAAGCTTTTCAAGAATACCATCTCTCCTGCCTCACACAAGAGTTCTCCTGGTGTCAATAGTTACAATGGAGAAACCACTTTACCAGTTTCTACTAATCCATTACCAATTTCCAATGGAACCAATGCTACTACAACTCCTAATCTCCCAACCACTTCCAATAATGGTAATAATGGATTGCCTTCTGTGAATGGAGTCCCAAAAAATCAACCTTCCACAACCACAACAACCAATTCAATCAATCCACCATCTCCAATCACTTCCCCAAATACTAGTGAACAAGAATTATGGAAGTTGCTAGAAAAACAAAGACAACGTAAGTATTTTTCAATCAATTATACTAATAAGGAAAAAGTTCGTAAACAACGAAAACCTCAACCCTCTTCTACAGTTCCTCTCTCAAACATTCCCAATATGACTAGTCAGAATCCTCAACAAATTAAACCAGCCAATCCTTCAGTGAAGAGAAAGATTGGAGGAGGTGGTTTAATTCAACAAGTTAATGTAAATAATGGACCAACAGTCAAGAATCAACAGCCACCAAAGAAGATAAAAACAGATATACGTTAAGTTTGAAGCCTTATTCCATTTCAACGTGTTTAGGAATATTGGATAACACTATCAGAAGACCATTAATACTACTACAACTATTCAGGTAGTACCATACAATAGTCTTTGATTAAGGATAAATCGAGTGAGATCACTCGATTAACATAGATGCAATTCTAACTTGATCACTGAAGAGAAGTTCTTGTATCGTCCACATACGAAACAAGATCATTCAATAATAGTTGTTTTGATCACATTTCAATAAATAATTTCTAGGCTTTATTTGAGGCACATTCTAAGAGCAAATGCATAAGCATGTGTCAAGGGTACCAAAGAACTGAACCAACTGTAATGACCAAGATAAGGTGAAAATGAAACAATTGTACAATTGACGAAAAGGAGTACAATAAAAATAAGGAACCAAATGTAAACTTCACCATCGTGTGGGAATACATATGAATTTTCCCTCAATGCCTTTAAAAAGTAGTGCAATACTACAAAGAACATAATAATAAAGAACAACTCCAAAGGTATGGCTGAATACATGAGATAAAAACTGCTTGTTGTAAATTCGAGTCCAAATCCTAGCAAGATCACAAATGATTCCAATAAAAATACAAGAAAATTGATACCAAAAGCATACCACAAAGTTAGTGGAGCTTTTGATCGATTCTCCTTAATAATACCAGTCGTAATGAAACATGTAGCTATTGGAGCAGCAAAGCAAATTACCAAAACGTACAAGAATGGTACAATCAATACATAAAACCACGAGTAGGTATAAGTCCTAGAGGGAATTCCATCATGCACGGGATTTTCAGTGAATGGTAACAAAACATTGACAAGGGCAAGAATGGCAATTATCATGAATGAAGCAACACCACCCATCGATAACAGAGCCGCGATCCAAAATCCTTCTCTAAATTCCTTCTCCTTCAAACAATCCAAAGTAATAAAGAATAGACCAGCAATTAAACAAATAGCAAACACAAACCACAAAGGTATGAATGAAAAAACTTGCCATCTCACACCAATAGCATTGTAAACCAATTGATCGACAGCATCTGTTATACCAGTCATGATAAAAAAGAGCAGGAATGAAAAATACAGAACTGATGAAGCACCAATAATAAATCTCCTAGTATTTGCTCTAAATTTCTCATGATATTTGGCCATAAATTCTCTAATTTTCTTTTCCTTTGCAATTCTTCTTCTTTCCTTATCTTGTTTCTTACCATGTTTAATGTGAAGTCCTCTCAAAGTTCCCACACTGATAATCTTGTTATCATTGTCAAATGTAACATAATCCTCCACTTTAATTATTTCAATAAATCCAAAAATTCAAAAATCAACAAACCTTTTGGTGGATGAGGTGGAGGTGGAATTGGTTTTCCATAAGGTTTCATATAACTAATTCTCGTTCTCTCGCTCACATAGTAATTAATTTGTTCCGAATAAATCTTTTTAAACAGTTCAACACAATTCGAATACCACAACAAGTCATGCTTTGATGATTCGTACCAATCTCTATTTACAAGTGAGGCCTCACTCAATGTTTTTTGATCTAGCCAGAGGAACATTTCTACCAAAACTTCTCCTGGAATATTATTCCATGTGTAATTTACATGAAATCCCGACAATATATTATCAGAATCGTTATTTTTCGAATGATTTGATCGAATGACAACTGAATTGTCCTTTCCAGTTGCTGATGGTGATTGAACAGCAACTACTACAGCATTATTTGAAATGGAAGCAGAAGGAGATGTTGAATTCATCATCTGCTGCTGCTCTTGTTGATTATCCAATCCGAGTGTTATCTGTTGATTATCAACAGCATCCTTATTTTCTTGTCCTTCTTCACCATCCATTTGTGGTGGTGCATTATCCTTCTGACTTTCCAAATCAACAAATTGATCATCGGAAGTCATCTTGTCTAAAAAACCCAAATAATCAACCAATTAATTAAAATACAAAATTTCAAACTCTTCCGAATACTCTCTGATATTCCTACTCTTGATTTTTAGCAACGTGATGAGTGCCAGCAATTGTGTTATTTTTTTTCTGTTGCTTTTCGTTTGGGTATGAACTTTTGGCGAACACTAACATGTAGTTCCGAGTTCTGTTATTTTGTAAGGCAAGGCAGAGAGTTTGGAAGATGAAAAACTGGGGAGTGAATGGTAAGGGGTGAATGGACAGGATTGGATGGAATGGATCGATTGGGTGCTATTGTGAAAATTTGAAATGAATTGAATGGACGGTTAGTGAAGGAATGGGTAGTGAGCTAGAGTTTATTTTTTGATACCATAACCACCTCCACCTGGTGTTTGAATAATGACACAATCTCCTGGTTCGACCTTGAAAGAGTTCTTTCCTCCTAGAGAGTGAATGAGACCTCTCTTGAGAATGAGTAAATTCTTTCCTTTTTGTCCATCTTTTCCACCTCTACAACCAGATGGTGAGAAGACTCTTCTCTCTGAGAGAATTCCAACTTGAAGTGGTTCAAGGAATTCAACTTCTCTCACAACGCCATTTCCTCCTCTGAATTCTCCTTCACCTCCTGAATTTGGTCTCACGCTGAACTGTTTCAGAATGAGCGGATATCTTCTTTCGAGAATTTCAACATCGGTAATTCTGGTATTGGTCATGTGGGTGTGAACAGAGTCTTCTCCTTGATAGTCCTTTCCAGCTCCAACACCTCCACAAATAGTTTCATAATAGCCCCATGATTCATTACCGAATGTGAAATTATTCATGCATCCTTGACTACAGGCAGCTGCTGAGAATGCCTTAAGAATAACATCGGTCACTCTTTGTGAGGTCAATACGTTACCTGCTACTACACCGACGATACCATCTTCACCAATATCTAAAAGTGAGTGTTTTTCAATCTTGATTGAGATTGGTTCCAGACATCCTTGATTGAGAGGAATGTCCTGTTTGACAAGACATCTCAAGCTGTACAAAATTGCAGAAATAGTAATGGCCTTTGGTGCACTAATTGACAAATAGTTAGAATAATTGAAAAATTGATAGAGAATACTTACTTGGTATTACCTAAAAAATTTCAATTTCATGTAATATTCCAATAGTTAGTTCAATAAAAATTAAGAGCTTGGGTTAAAATAATATAATAATAAGCTACAAACCCAACATCATTTCTGAAGTTCCTGTGAAATCAAAGATTGCAACATGTTGCTTTTCAGAGCCGTTTCTAAAGTTTTCATGTTTTTGATTTTTGATTGTCAAATGCAAGTTGATTATTGATCCGTCATCCATAAAATCTTGGGAATGCAAGTCAATGCTGGCAGCATTCTTATCTTGTGAGTGTTCCTCAAATACTTGTTGCAACATTTCCTTGACTGCGTATTCTGCATTGTCCTGAACATATTGCATATAGCTTTGGACAACTTCTAATGAATATTCATTGATGAGTTCTTGCAAAAGTGAAATACCTTTAGTATTAGAAGCAACTTGAGCTTTCATATCTGAAATATTATCCTTTATGGCTCTGGCACCTGCTTCTTTCAATAAATTTGTAATTCTCTCTTCTTGGAATTCACCATTTTCTACTAATTTACATGAAACAATTGCCATACCCTCCTCAGATAGCAATCTACTGAATGGAGGCATTGAACCTGGCTGAATACCACCAATGTCAGCATGATGTCCACGATTGGCAACATAGAAAGCTACTTTTCCATTTGAATATACAGGAGTTATTACGGTAATGTCAGGCAAATGGGTGCCTCCAGCACAAGGGTGATTGGCTACAATTACCTCGCCTTCCTTCCAACTATCTCCCAGAGTTCTAATTTGATATCGAACTGCCTCACTCATTGAACCCAAGTGAACAGGCAAGTGTGGAGCATTGGCAAGGAGAGAACCATCTGGAGAGAAGAGAGCACATGAAAAATCGAGTCTTTCCTTAATATTGGTTGAAGTTGATGTTCTTTGGAGGGATCTACCCATTTGTTCAGCAATACTCATGAAACGATGATTGAAAATACTCAACCTAACAGCATCAACCTTCTTCAATTCATTCACATTGATTTCTTGTGTCTTTGTTGAGGAGAGAGTAATTTCCACATCACCATACTTGGTAATTAGAGCTGTTCCATGTGGTTCAACAACAATTGTAGTTGTGTCGTGAATAATAATAGCAGGGCCGTGAACCTTATCTCCAGCAGCCAAATGTTGCAAATCATAGACAGCTGTCTCAGTCCAACCTTGTTCAAAGTATGTCTTGGTTGAGGTAATTGGTTTTGGCTCAGACTTAGATGAAGCAATTTCAATCTTACTGATGGATGGTGTAATACCAATACCTCTCACTCTAATATCATCGACAATGATTGGTCTTCCAACAACAGTAAATCCATATTCTCTCTTGTAGGATTTTTCAAATTCAGATCTGTAATCTCCTCCAAGGATTGAATCTTGTTGCTTGGCCTCCTCTGGAACAGATGTCATGATTGAATAGTCGGTTCCCTTATACTTGAGATTGAGATAATGTACAATTTTGATGTTGGAGTTGTCAAATCCAGAGTTTTTCAATCTCTCAACAACTCTTCCCTCGATTTCTTTCAATCTGTTGGAGAAGTATCCGAAATTTTCCTCAGCATATTCTGCAGTACTTGGCTCTTGTTCATCCAAAACAACATCAGCAAGTCCCAACCCATAAGCACTCAAAATACCAGATTGTCTTGGAATGAAAACCTTTTTCATACCTAAATTATTGGCAATAGCTTGAGCATGTTGTGAACCAGCTCCACCAAATGAACACAAAGTATGATCACGAGTATCATAACCTTTAGAAACTGTAATGGAACGAATTGGTCTTGACATGGCCTCGTTGGCAACTTGAATGAAACCATAGGCAACTTCTTCTGTTGTTTTGAGTTTGGCATTTTGTGGATCTCTCTTCAATTCAAAATCATTGACTTGTTTGGTCAATTCTTCGAATGCAAGTTTGGTGGCTTCATAATCGAGTGGTTGATCTTCAGTTTCACCAAAAATTTTTGGGAAGAATTCTGGTAATAATCTTCCAAGGAATAAGTTGGCATCAGTAATGGCCAAATGTTTGATTGGGAATGATCCTTGCTTTCTATAACAGACTGGACCAGGATTAGCTCCAACAGAACTTGGACCAACTATTTCACAATTAAGAATGCTATTCGTGAAAATACATACCTTCAAAGATACCTGTCTTTTGGTTGAATGTCAATTTGGAGCCACCTCCAGCAGCAACTGTTGTGATATCCAGTTGAGGTGCTTGAATTTGAACTCCTGCAGTTTCAGTTTCAAAAACCAAATCAAATTTTCCTCCAAATCTTGATACATCAGTAGATGTTCCACCAATATCAATTCCAATAATTGGGATTTTATCATCTGGATTGTAGGATGTTGATGCAATAGCAACGATTCCACCAGCTGGTCCTGATAATATGGCATTACATCCCTTAAAATCTGAAGCAGGTGTAAGACCGCCATTCGATTGCATGAATGTGACACGTTTCAACAACTTATCAAAATCTGAAAATCCAGAACAAAAGTTTCTAACATAATCCCTAATAATTGGGCTCAAATAAGCATCAACGCAAGTAGTGTGACCTCTTGGAACTGCTCTAATCATTGGCATGGCTTGATGAGAGAGTGAAATATTTTCAATTCCAGCTCTCTTTGCAATTTCAGCAATTTGAAGTTCATGATCAGCAAATGTATACGAATGCAATAAAACTACAGCAATGCTATTAATTCCACTTTCTTTCAACTCTTTACAAGTATTATAAACAAATTCTTCATCCACAGTATTTCTAATAAAAACTTCCTCTCCTGAAATACCCTTCTTTAATCTTTGATTTCTCCATTCTTCAGTAGAAAGTTGAGATCCTTCTGGTTCTTGGAATTTCTTACATTTTCCATAAACTTGCTCTGTGAGACAAACTCTTTCATCCACCTCAATCACTCTTTCATATAAAAGTGAAGGTTTTCTAATAAATAATTCGAAAATCTTTGGACGTGCCTGATGTCCAATTTTAAGCAAATCACGAAATCCTTTCGTTGTAATCAAGGCACATCTAGATCCCTTTCTTTCTAGCAAGGCATTAGTAGCCACAGTGGTTCCCATTCTAATATATTCAATGTTATCAATATCAATTTCTTTAGCATCCTTCATTTGAAGTCCCAAAACTTTGTTCATTATTCTCTTAATTCCTGAAATAATTTCATCACAAATGCAATTTAAATATTAATATTCAATATTATTACAAAAATATTAATCATAATATTACCTTCTCTCGGAGCATCATTATAATGTTGTGGATCTTCACTCAATAACTTCATAACCACATAGGGTTGATAATTGTTATGAATTGTCTTGGGAACCTCTTCATCATCATGACGATCATCATCGGAATTAAAAATCAAAAAAAAAATTAAATAATTCGTGATGCTGATGAAAACACAAACCTGCATAAATATCACAAAAGGTTCCTCCACGATCAATGGAAAATCTGAATAATTGATTGGAAGCAGATCCACTACATTCGGAATTGTTGGACATTTTTTTTTGATTAGTAATTTGAACGCACGCTCTTATTCGAATTATTATTGTAATATTACAATTAAGATGTTCTGTAAGCTAATACAAAGAAAATGTTGTTGTAAACATCAAGCCTGTTTGAATGATTTCCAAGGCCACTATAACTCAACCTTTTCCAACCAAAGAAGAAGAATCATTGACCTTGTTTCTTCAACTTTGAAAATTACTGGTTTAACTTGAGGATCTGGTATTAACTAGTGATGATGCCGTATCATAAACGATAACATTTCAAAGTTCCAAACGACAATGTTCATTACAAAAAAAAATGTCTGATAGTGATAGGCCAGTTGCTTGTGTTGATATGGGTTCTTTGAACATTAGAGTAGGATGGGCAGGTGATGATTCTCCCCAAATAACCACTCGATCACTCATCGGATATCCAAAATACAAACCAGCAATGTTTGCCTCTGGACAAAAATATTCCTACATTGGTGATGAAGCAATTTCCAAGAGGGGAGTTTTATCTTATCGTCCAGTGATGCATCACGGAGAGAATGTTGATTGGGATCATATGGAAATGCTATGGACGTACTTGTTTGAAAATGAGTTACGGGTTGGAATGAAAGATTTGTCCATTGTGAGTGCTGATGCAGTGCTTGGATGTCATAGTAGGAGGGAAAAGACAGCTCAGATTCTATTCGAAAATTTCAATGTTAGAGAGTGGTATTGTGGATTGGCTCCTGTGATGGCTTTGTATGGAACTGCAACACCAAGTGGTTTGTCTGTTTGTATTGGAGATGGAGTGACACAATTAATTCCAATTGTTGGAGGGAGTGTTGTTTTGGAATCTGCAAAAAGAATTAATTTTGGAGGACGAAACATTACAAAATATCTGAACGAGTTGGTCATTTCTCGTGGCTATTATTTTGAAAATTCCAGTACTGAGCAGGATATTATCAGAGATGTCAAGGAAAAGTTCAGTTACACTACTATGGACTATTGGAGTGCATGTCAACAGGTAGTACAATATGGATCGAAGGTCAAGGAATACTTACTACCAGATGGAAATGTACTCTCTTTTGGAAAGGAGCTATTTCAGTGTAATGAGGCATGGTTTGATCCAACTCTTGTTCAAAAGGAATATCCAGGTATTCATCAAATGATATATAATTGTGTGGAATCGATGGACATTGATAACAAAAGAGAAATGTATGAGAATATTGTTTTGAGTGGAGCTGCCACTTTAACTGAAGGTTTCTGTCAAAGATTACAATATGAGGTGCAACAATTAATTCCAGAAAGTGTCACGTGTAGAGTTGTTGCTGGAAACGAGCGACACAACAATGTATGGCTAGGATGCTCAGTGCTAGGAAGCATGACCAATTATTTATATGGAATGACCATGAAAAGTGAAGAATACGACGAGAATGGACCATCATGGGTCCACAGAAAATTTATGGATGCATAAATGATCATGAATACAAATCAATCTTATCAAATCATAGAATAACTGTTGTAGGTGGGTCGAAGTACAGCTCATATACATTTCCAGTTCTCATAAATCAGCATGAAATCCATTAAGTTGAATGACATTAAGGCCCAATCAATATTGAAATGAAATTTGAAAAGATTCACATCTTTAAGCATGCTGAATTTTTACCACATTCCTTATATGATAATCAATTCCAAATTGAGAATATCAAAATCAAGGTCCATCAAAATGAACCATGGATTTTATTGACCACCACCCTTAATCCAAGTTTGAATCATATTGAAATGACGCAAACTGAGGAATATGATGGAACCAACAATCAAGGAGTTAAGGCAAGATTTTGGAAATTGGAATGTTCAGATTGCCCTATCTCCATATATACCAATTGAAACCAAGTACAAGACAATTATTCATCAGCGCAACAAGAAAAGCCAATTGACGAAAGTAGATTACTTGATTATGCTTAATATATTAAAATAAATTGTAAGGATGTAGTCAACGATAAGGAATTTGTAACTCCAAAACCAATTTACCCATCAATAAGAAAGTTTCATTCTAAATAAATTACATTGTTATTATTTGATGAATAATGTATTTACGACTGAGCTCAATTATTTTGGTAACATGTATCTAGACGTTGAATATCATCTGCAGTATAATCCAACTCTATCAAGGTATCAAATCGTTCCTGTTCAGAGAACTTGGATAAATATTCGTACAATGGCTTTTCCATAGCCCTTTTGGAAGCATCCTTGAAAATTGGGAAGCAAGCTTTACAAAAAGCAACAAGTTCTTCATCTAAAATTGTTAAAGTTAGAGTTCTATCCTCAAGCATGTTGATGGTATTTTCAGGGAATCCTAAACGATGTCCATATGAGAATAATTCTAACAAGTTACTTTCGTCCAATTGCTCAAACCTGGCAGAATAGATAAAATTACACAATTCTTGAACTACTGAAAAGTTGCATCCTTGAATTTCAAGTGTTGGAATATCTTCATGGAGAGCTGATTCTTTCATTCTTTCAGTTTCATCAAAATTAGAGTTGAGCAATACATTGAAAAACATTGATCTTTCTGAGAGGAAGTGTTTGTGGCATAATATAGCTTCTGTGGATTCAACAAAGAAAACCTCTTCCAGATAATTCTTAATTTTGATCTGAACATCACATAAACTTCGTTGTAATCTTTCAAACTTTGAAATGGCCTCATAGTTATTGTGGAATATACATCCTTTCAAGTCGTTTTTGAATTGTGAATCTGATTCCTTCATTGCAACTTTGATATCTTTTGTTAAATAATCCTTAAACATGTCCACAAGAGTATACATTTTCAAAGTTTCCATCCAATCACAATATTCTGTTCTTTGAACAAAAACTCCCAAATTTTCTAATTTCATAAACTTTTTTTGGTTTTCAGTCTTCAGCAAACAACCAGTATAAATCCATACCATTAAATTATCAAATTGACTTTTGGTCAATCCAACTTGTCCCAAATCAACAACTTGCAATTCCTCTCTCTTTAAAAATTCCCTAATTTCTCTATCACTATCTGGAATTAAATTCTCAATTGCTTGCAAGTCATCCTGAGGTCTTTGATAATTTTTCTTTTCATTGGCAATTTCCATTTGTTTCTTAATTTCCTTAATTTTCTTATTGTAAACATCCACCATCAATACTTCCTTATTCATCGAATCAAAATATTTCTTAATTTCTCTATTTGTTTTCAAATCAACAACTTTCAAATCTTCACTTGTCAAAATGGTGCTCACTTTCATTGGAATAGGTCTTTCCTTATTCACCAAAGCAAAATACAAGAGCATTGGCCATCTCTTCAAAATAATCCACCAATTACAATAGTAAATAGTATCTTCCTCATCTTTTCCAAATCTAATTCTAATAGTCAAATCACATTCATCTGGTTTCTCAGTTCCATAAATCACTCTCTTGGCCATTTTCATCATGAATGGATCCAACGATTTGAACTGATCTTGCTCATACATTTGCTCAATTTCTTCATCTTCCTCTTCTTCAGTTTTCTTTTGTGCTTTCTTTACTTGTGTTGGTCCTCCATACTTATTATAAACCTTCAATAAATGTCTCACTGGCAACGACAAGGCATTCCAATAGCAACGAGCAAACTTATCATCACGAGCCCCCAAATCCGACAAATACTTGACCACCTGTAAATGTCCACACAAACAAGCATAATAGAGAGGTGTATTTCCATACCTATCGGGTCTATCCAAGTCTGATGTTTTAATAATGGATCGAATCTTGTTCAAATCGCCCACTTTACAAAATGAATAGATATCACTCATGGGAGAGAGAGGTGAACCCAAACCACTGGTTTTGTGTTGTTGAAGCATTTTTTTTGAAAGTTTTGTGAACTTGGTGTTTTTTTGGATTTGCAGGCACAGTTGTAGAATTGAAGTTTAAGATTTTTGTAAAGTATATAATATTATTGCAATATTAGAAGGAATTTGTAAAGATTATTTAAAGATAAATTTCGATAAAAAAATGGAAGAACAGAAAGATGCGAAATTATTTAGAACAATTTCTGTTGATCAAGAAGAAGAAATAATTCTTCATCATGTTGATTCGAACAATTATATGAATGAAGTTAAATTATTTATTCAAAGTGATGCTATGAGTACTATGAGTAGTAATACTACTACCAATTTATCTTCATCTTCAAAATTACTAACGGACGATCATCATGATGATGAAAATAATTCAACATGTACAATTAATAATAATCTAAATAATACAACTACAACAATAACAAATTCAGCAACTACAACAATATCATCACAGGAAAATAATAATTTAAATATTATTGATGCATCAACAACATCATCAGAAAATTCCGAATTATTTAATGTATTACCTGATGATAATAATAATTATCAGATGCAACAGATCAAGTCGGAATCGCCTAGAGTTTCAACTGTTATTGAAACAAAAGTAACGATTTCTACTCAATCAGCAGCTGAGGATGATCATCAGGAAGAAGAGAATGATGAACATGCTATTGATGATCCAATGCAGGAATCACCAGCAAAACCACAACAGGATAATGTACAGCAGAATAATAGTAACTTGTCACCGTTTGAATTAATGATGGCCAAGTTGGAATCAAACAAGAGTGCAACAAGTAAATTAATTTTCAAAAGGAAGAATGTTGATTTGTTGGGAGAGTCAACTAGTTCGGCATTTCAACCACAGGCATCGAGCTCAATGGATAGTTCAAACCCGATTGTGGAATCGGATGGTGTTGGATTGATTGGTGAATCTCCTGGATTGGAAGATGAAGTACTGGATTGTAAAAGAACAAATGGAGTGCTACGTTGTTCATCATTTTCACAGGATACGGATAGTAAAATTGGGGATGATTACGAGGAGCCATTTCAAGATCATGACAAAGCATTGGAAAAACTCTCTGAAGGATTGTCAGATGAACAAAAACGAGTTTTTGATATGGTAAAGGAGGGGAAAAGTGTTTTAATTACTGGTTTGGCTGGTGCTGGAAAATCATTCTTGATGAAACGAATTATTGCCATGTTAAAATTGATGAGGAAAGATTATGCTGCTACTGCTGCCACAGGCATTGCAGCAGTCAATATTGGAGGAGTTACTTTGCATAGTTATATAGCTTTAGCTGATACTAATTGTGCAGGAATTTGGGGAAAGAAAATGGATATCAAAGTATTAGATACATTGATTATTGACGAAATTTCAATGATTAGTGCAGAGCTCTTTGAACTTGTTCATTTCCTATTGACTCTTGTTTGTTATTACTCTGATATTAAGAGACGTTACGATCTTCAAAAGCAAGATAAGAAGAAATTGACAGAGTCCATGAAAAGGATTTACGATCAAGCTCTTCCATTCCATTTAATTGATGGACTTCCACTATTTGGAGGAAAGCAATTAATTCTTTCAGGAGATTTTATGCAATTAACACCTGTACCGAGAAGAAATAGTTCAGATTCAGAAAATCACATGGAAGGAAAAGATAAGCAATTCATTTTTCAATCACCACTCTTTTCCAAAATTTTTAACTCTTCTAATATTATGGTTCTCAAGCAAATATTCAGACAAGTCGATCAACCTGATTTTTTAGAGGCACTTAATGAGATTAGAATGGGAAAAGTCTCTACAAAAACCATCAATTTTTTGAAAAGATTAAAGCAAAACAGGTTAATGCCAGTGAATGGAATTTTACCTACCCTACTCTACACAACCAACAGAGATGTGGACCAGGAAAATAACACTCATTTAGCAAACCTGTCCAGCGACAGTCACTTTTTTGAAACTGAAACAATAGATCCAAATCATAACATTCCGAACTCTACACTGAACTATATGAAACGTATATTTGAGAACCAAATTTCTGAAAATATAACACTGAAGGAAGGAGCACAAGTAATCCTGACAAAGAATATGGACAAGTATCATGTTAATGGATCGAGAGGAGTAGTTGTAGGATTTAAAGTTTTTTCTCAATTACAAATTGAGGAGTGGCAAAAATTCAGATTTTCTCGTTTCTCATCAAAATGGACCAACGATATTGAAATACCAAAGATCAAATTTTTCGATGGCTCTGAGTCTTACATTCCACCTGTTGTTTTTACAATGAAAGGACCAAAGATAAATGGTGCTGAAACAGAATTGTGGAGAATGGGATTTCCACTCAGGTTGGCCTGGGCCATCACTGTTCACAAATCACAAGGTATGACTTTGGATTATTGCAAAGTGGACCTCTCACAGATATTCACTCCTGGACTTTCGTATGTGGCACTGAGTCGTGTAAAGAATGCCAAAAATTTAGAAATTGTAAATATTAACTGGAAGAAGATTGATTATGTGAATGAGGATGCAAAAAAGTTTTACAAGAATCTGAATAACAAGGATCTCAGCTCCTCATCTCCCCTAGGAAAGAGATCTTCAGTTGGTTCTTCATCTTCTGAAATGGGCATTGTACCAATATTCTCAACACCCAACACTAAAAAGATCAAAACAGATGATAACATGGATCTTTCATTCACTCCTCCTCAACAACCTATGGCTTCCTCTTCTTCAGCATCTACTACTCAACAACTTCAGTGTACAACAAACGTTATTTGGAGCTGGCAAAATGGAGCTAATTGGAAATTGTACGATAGAATTTCACACCAAATCGAACAAGGTTATAGTGAGTGGACCAATGAGAATCAACCAGAATCAAAACGATTCTACTCTGTTTCAGATGCTCACTATATTGATTTCCAATTAATGAAACAAGTGAATAAGAATGAATCATGGAGAACAAGAAAGGTCAAAAGAGAGGAGCAATTCATTACTCGTCTCACCAAACAAATGTAAACTTTTACCATTCAAATGTCATTGTGAAAAAAATGTATGATCATTGGGTAGGTATACCTATTCTACTACTCTCTTCACTATCATTACGCTAGAAATACGACAGAGATCAAGTCCTCCGAATAACTCTCAACAATGGCTTTTATCTACAATATGCTGATGATAAATTTAAAAAAGATAAAGATCTTGTGTTACAGGTAATTTCTCGGTACGGAAGGGGACTCGAATTCGTAGACGAATCCCTGAAAAAAGATAAGGAGGTTGTTCTTGCAGCTGTCAAACACGATGGCTTTGCACTTAAATTTGCTCATCATTCATTGAAAAAAGATAGAACAATAGTTTGGGAAGCAATTTCACAAAATGGAAATGCTCTTCGTTTCGCTGATGCAATATTTCAAAATGATAGAGAAATTGTGTTGCGATCGGTGAGAATCGCTGGCGGAGCATTACAACATGCCAGTGATTTGTTAAAAGTGGATCATCTAGTTGTGTTTGAAGCAGTCAAACAGAGTGGACATGCTATTCAATTTGCGCACTCATCATTTAAGAAAGATAGAGAGCTGGCATTGAAATGTTGTAAAATAGGAGATAATTCATTTGAATATGTAGATGGATCATTCAAGAAAGAAAGAGAGTTCGTATTGGAATCTGTTAAAAGTTTTGGAACAGCTCTTTTGCATGTACATGAACCATTTAAAAAAGATAAGGAAATAGTTTTTGAAGCTATCAAACAAAGTCCAAGTGCATTCTTCAGTGCTGATGATTCATTTAGGAAGAAAGACAGAGAATTTATATTGAAAGTCGCCAAGTGTGATGAGGGTGCAATTTATTGGACAGATTATTCTATCCAATCAGAGACATTATTTGCATTTATCTACTCGTTTAGCTTGAAAGCTGATCAAAAAGAATGGATAAAGGGTCTAAATTCAACGCTATACGAAAATATCGAGAAAGCCAAGGCTGAATCAATTCAGACATGTTTATCTAGAGATGTTATTGGAATGTATTCGAACAAGTTTTCTGAGGAAGCTTATTTATTTTGTTGCTTGGCTTTACCAGACACTTATCCTAAACCTGTAGGAAATATATTCAATTTCAATCAATCGTATTCTAGTCAATTTGTGGAAAAACTGATTATTGTACAAATTTTGAAGAGTATTAGTTCATTGGATTCAACTTGCAGCGCATCTGTCAGTAAGACAATAGATTATTACTTGTTTTTATTCAAGTTAGACAGATTTTTAGACGAATCTAATGTTAAATCAACCAATTATTCCAAGCTTGGATCTGTTGTTATGGAAATTTCATCAAAGTTTGAAACATCATATTACTCAAAAACTGATATTGGAATTGCATTATTATTTTTCAAAGATTGGATCAGCAGATTTAAACATTTCGATGATCACCGAGAGACATTAGCTCAATACAAGCAAGTTGGAGGTGATTTCTCAAAAATTATGCGAGTTATCACGCAATTTCATTACTATTCAAATAATGATTATGATGTTGTTTCAGTACTAGGATATGGAGGCGAAGGAGCTGCTTTTAAAGCATTTAGTAAGAAATTGAATGAATTGGTGGCCATCAAAATCAAATTTGAGAAGGAAGATGAAAAAAGCAGCGAGGAAAGAATTCAATTTATCAGGAGAAATGATATTGAAGGTAAAATCAAATGCCACGATTGTAATTTGATTGATGGTTACATGTATTCTATCATGGAATTGGGAGAAGAGACATTATCTGATTATATTGATAGAAATAGAACTTATTATCAAAATAAGCAATATTCGAAAGAGCATTTTATTGAGATTCTAATAATATTTAACAAGATTTTACAAGCAGTCAAATCAATTCATGACCATAATATTTCACATAGAGATTTGGATCCTAAAAATGTAGTCAAAGTGAAAGATCGTTACAAAATTATTGACTTTGATATTGCAAAGGTCATCAAAACAGGTAATTCTATCACCCTAACTGTTGGAAAATTTGCATACATGTCACCAGAAGTGTCACACGACAATTACAGCGAGGAAATGCTCAATAACGAAGACAAGCTTTCAAATAATATTGGAAATGTCACAACATCATGTGATATCTTCTCATTGGGATGTATTTTATTGAAACTCTTAACAAACTGTAGTTTGAGATTGGATAGAGAATTCGTAACTGTTATCAACAACTTTGAGAAATATGATGGAAATTATCAATACTTTACAGATAATGGATTTTATTTCTATTCAATATTGATTGATTTGTTAAAGGAAAAGAAATTACATCACGCCATTCAACAGACAGTGAACCAGTTCGTGGATCCTGAATGGGAAGTTAATGAAATACTTATCAAGTGTTTAATAACAATGATTCAAAAGGATCCAACTCAAAGATTAGATTGTTTCATACATAGTAATGTCCTTACAAAGGTAATCGATTTTTTAAAAGGTGAAAACAACATGACACTTAACCAAATTCTCAAAGATATGGAAAATTATAAGGAAATTAATGAATTGAAGGATATTCCACAAATTATTGAAGAAAATGAGCAGCTTAAGAATGAAAATGTTGAGCTGAAGAGAATGATCGAAAATCTAGAAGAGAAAAGTCGAAAGGATAAGGAAGAAAATCAAATGCTAATGAAGAAGTTAGAGGAAATGGAGAAACGAACCAAAGAGCTTGAAAAATAAATTCATAAACTGGAATAAATAGAGAATTCAATCAAATTTCTAATAATAACTAAAGGGTATTTAAAATAATAATTATGACAACAAATTGGTGAACCGTGCTATCACGTTTTTTAATAACACAACAAAAAAATGAACAAAATCTCAAGAGGGTTAATCACCACAGGTAACAAGAGATTCTTCTCATCCACTTGCATGAACAAAAGTAAACCAATTGTTGAATTCAAAGAAATTCAGAAGGGACAAATATGGTTAATTGACAATTTATTTTCTGAAGAGGAATGCAAATCCTATATTGAATTGGCTGAATCGCAAGGATTTAATGATGCACCAGTCACAGTTGGTGCTAATACTTTCAAAATGATGACAGATTACAGAAATAATAAGAGAGTAATTTTGGATGATCCTAACTTAGCTCAACAAATCTACACGAAAGTGAAAGATTTCGTTCCAGAATTTGCAAGTGAACTGAATGTCAATTCAAGAAAGATCAATACAGAATTCTTTCAAAAGTGTGGAGTGAACGAAAGATTCAGATTTTACAGATATACCTCAGATGAGTATTTTAAAGCTCACTTTGATGGAAACTTTGCTAGAAACAACGTAGAGTGCACTCTTGAGAATGGAAAGACCTACCTCTGTGAAGAATCTTCCTTCATAACCATGCTCATCTATTTAAACACTTTAGAGAAGGGAGGTGAAACAAATTTTGTGAATCCAGGTGGAGAAGAAAGAATTCTTCACTCTGTGAATCCAAAAACAGGAAGAGTGCTATTGTTTGTCCATCGTTTGTTGCATGAAGCTGAACCAGTTGGAGAACCTTGGCAATTCAAATATGTGTTGAGAACAGATATCATGTATAGAAGACCAATGGGTCTATTTTCATCATTTCATTGGTAAATGAATAAAGCTTACCTAATAAACTTGAATCAGACAATAATTGGAAAGAGATATCAAGTCAGCCCATCAAGGACAATTAGACACAATTCTGCTACCAAGGTCTAATTCAATTTCATAATGTCAATATTGATGACATAAATAGTGAAGAATCGCATATCCACTGCCTATCTTAATTACGTTCATTGTTTCGGTCAATATTCAAACTGAGATTTGACCAGGTTCACTCAAACTATTTCGCTGATTCTCATTATTGTGGCCAAGATATCTGTCATGAATCATGTGGCATATTGCACCAGAGGAAATTTAGCAAAACCTCAAACTAATAAAATGTCCAAACAGGTGGTCAATAATGATGCTAACAATATTAGTGGCACTACCACATGCATGCAAACTTTCGCATGTATCACTTCGAGAAATACACAAGAGGAGAGTTCAGAGCTCTTCAAGTTTTCTCCTCATTTGAAGTCTTTCAGATATTTTCAAGATGCTGAACGCATGTTGAATAATTATTTCCAATTTTACATGCGGAAGGTATTGGAGTTGTGTTATTTTTTTTCGTTAAGATTTTTAAAATTGGCGGGAATTTGTTTAAGGTTGTTTGCTTATTAGTGCGAGCATGTAAAAGAAACACATGTTTCAAATTCCTTAACAATTTAAACAATAGAATCGGTAAGCTAGTTTTCATTCACCTATCAAGATTAAATTTGTTTTATTGTTTTTGGGCACAGTTTGAACAATTTTCTCTTGCATCGATCATTCGACACCAATCATTTGATTATCAAGTTTCTTATCGTGCTGCTTCTTAGACTGTTGAAGAAGCATCAGAATTTGATTATACATTTCTTCAAGCTTCTTATCCCATTCCTCTTGTTTCTCTTGCTTATCCCATTCTTCTTGTTTCTTATCAAGATTATTAACACTTTCAACAACCTTATCGAGACCCAACAGGATTTGTGAATTTTGTTTTAATAGGTCGAGTAAAAGTTCTCTTTCCATTTTTTTCACTAGCTCAGGTGATTCGTAATTGCTGTAGAAATTCCAATTTATTTGATAGCATTGATTAAGGGCAAAACAACTTTTGTACGAAACAATTTTAAACATTAGAATCATTTTCGAATACTTGTCTCTTTCCCAATTTTGCTCTTCCAAATTCAATAACATATCGAATAGATTTAATCTGATTCAATAGCAATAGAATGAAAAACATTCCAATTGCAGCATATCCAAAATCGAGATATCTAGTGCAAATCACCAATCCAATAAAATTCAACAAACTGTAAATAAACATGCCAAGTGGATCTTTGGTAGCCATCGAATAGAAACCACAGCCAATTCCAATAATCACCAACATGGCAATCCACAATGGAGTTCCAATCCAAAATACAGAAAAGATCAATACCAATCCAATCAGCAACAATTGGAATGAAAACATGTTTGCCAAATTTTGCCATTGTACAGCAGATGCTTGATTAGTATATTGTTTTTTCTGAATGGAATCTATAAAGTGTTCAATGTTTTTAGAGAACATGTCATAGAGTGGTGTTCTTGTTGTTTCTTGTTCTTGTGGAGCTGTTGTTGTTCTTGTTGTGGTTTCGTCCAACTGTTCAGAGTTGAGTGGTTGATGCGCTTCGGAATTGTTCATTGTTGCTTGCTTTCGTTTTTTTTCTGTTTGGAATAATCCAAATGCCTATATATTTGGATATTTGTAGGATGGAAAAAAAACGTGTTTTTGTTGTGGTTTGGTGGATGGCATTTTGCGATTGGTTAATTTTTTTTTGTAAACTTTTTTAATATTGTAATTCTTTAATTCTTTGAATGATATTGAATTCAAACATTTAAAACTTTTGTAATGCAACCTTAGAGAAATTACAAAGTGTTGTTTGTCCTCAATTGAGTGGCAATGTGAACTTGAATTTCAATCTCAATCTTGATCTAAAAATAAATTTCAAGAAAATTGCAAATAAAAACGAGAACAATTTCAATAAACAACTTTTTCAAAAACAAAAAAACAAAACAAAACAATTAACTAGGAAAAATGCACCCGGAAAAAATTACTGGAAGATTAGGAATTGCAACCAATCAAACAATTAAGAGAAATGCCTACATTCGTATACAGGAAAAGGCAGTTTCTCATTATCAAATTGATGGAGAACAAGTTGCCTTCTCATTGAATAGACACAAAGCATGGGAATTGTTGGAAAAGCAACAAGAAATTGAAGAATCATATGACAATGTGTCAAGAAACAATGATCAAGAAAATAGACTAACTAAAAAGAAACATTTCCAACAACATCTCAATAAGAGTAAACATGACAATCGATTGCAACAAAAGGAATTGGCAAAACTCAAGAAGAATTTAGAAAAGAAACCAATTCTATCCGAATCAACAGAAGAAGAAGCAGAACCAAAGATTGTGAAACATTTAATTGGAAGCAAAAATTATCCGAGAGGAGTTTCACTGTTCCCTGAAAATGGAATTGTCATTTCAGAAGTTATGAGTCGAGCACAAATTTACAAATTGAGTCAACACAGAGATCGTCAACGTCATTTGGGTGTTTCAGGTAATCAGAAATCAAGACATCAGAAAAAAGCTGAATTTGAAAAGAGTATCTTTTTGTAAAGATTACAATTGTACGTATAGCATTCGAGAGTAGGCAATAAAGTCATGATTTTGTTCCACTGTGGAACCTGATCCAATTTCCATTGTAAAATCATTTTACTGAACTTGAAAGTCAATCAAAAAAAAATAACACAATAATGAATGCAGGATTATTTTCTTCCGGGGCTTTTAATTCCGAATCTTTTAAAGATGTTTTGAATTGTGGTAAGAGATTGCCCTCCAATTCTTCCATTACATTCGAGGGAATTATGAAGGACTACTTTTATCAGACTGGTATGATGAAGGTATCTAATAAATTATTGGAAACTGCCTATTCGATTGCTGTTGATCATGATCCGATCAGTTTGGAAAGGCAAATTCACTTGGCATTAGGATTGCACAGTTGTAAAGATGGGCTGAATGAAAGAAGGGATTTGAATTTAGTTGTAGGTTGTTTAATTATATTATATTCATACATATATAAATATATATAATTATATATTATAATTATGCAATATATTTAATAATTATTGTAAACTAAAGATTGTATTGGATATTAGTGGATCAATGGGATCTGCCATGTCTAGCAAGGAAAAAACCAAAATGCAAGTGGCCAATCAAGTAATTTGTGAAATAATTGACAATTTGAGAGAATTTGAAAGATTGGGAATTGTTTTATTCGATCACAAGGCCGAAACTTTACTTCCATTAACAATCGTTCAAGATTTAGATAAGAAATCACTCAAGGAAACTGTTCTAAAGATTGAAGAGCAGGGATCTACAAATTTTGAAGCTGGTATGCAAAGAGGAATCGATTTATTTTCCACTCTAGATTCGTCTGATTTATCCAATTCTAATAGAATCATTTACTTGACAGATGCTTGTCCAAACGTGGGTGGAACTGACACTCTCGATATTCTCACAAAAGATGCAAACTCTGGTCCGTACAATATCTTTTCAACTTTTATTGGAATTGGTTTAGATTTCAATTCGGATATTGTGGAAGAATTGACTCGAGTTCGTGGTTGTAATTATTTCTCTGTTAGATCAACTGAGGATTTTACAAAGATTTTGAATCAGGATTTCAATTATATTGTAACACCGATTTGTTACAATGTCAAGTTGAGTTTGGAATGTGAAAATTATGAAATTGAAAAATGTTTTGGAACAAATATGGCGGGAGAATCAACTGGCGAGATTATGAAAGTTGATACTTGTTCTGCAAGTCAATTGGATGAAAGAGGTGTTAAGGGAGGGATGGTTTTATTAAGATTGAAAGCAAAGAATGATTTTAAAGGAGAATCGAATGTGAAATTAACACTTTCCTATGAAACTATTGAAGGAAAGAAGGTCAGAGATGAGAAGCAAGTTAAAATTGAATCAAGTGATCAACTTGGAAATTATTACGAAACTAATGGAATTCGAAAGGCCATTGCATTGGTTAGATATGTTGAACAGGTGAAGGGTTATTTGATGGAAATGAAGAATGGGGAAACAAAACATGAAGGATGGAATTCAAAATTCAATCAATTATTGAACCATTTCACCAATGAAGTGCAAGAAATTGGAGACGAAACCATGAACGAACATGTTGACTCTCTTAAGAAATTAATTAAATTTTCCACTGTTGTTAGAAAATAAATTCCTGTACAATTCAACTATGTAGCATCTCAATCACCAACTATCTAGAACTCACTTTCCAAACATTCAACATGTTAGAATTGAGTAAACTGATTTGCTTTATTGAAGAACAATGTAAGGCGTTGGTTACACTAAATCAGTTCAATGAAATACCCACTCTGTAGTTTTAATTGCAAATCTGTTCAACAGTTTCCTTTATTTATTAATTAAAATCTATAAAAGTAAATTTAAATACTTTTGCATTTGGAAATTCTAACAATATCTTTGAAAGTCAATTTAGATCTCAACTCTTTTCATGGTGTTGCTTGACATGAACCATCATGAAGAGGTAAGTTTAGTTTACAATTTTATGAAATTTAGTCTAGTTTGAAAGTTGTATCAAGCGTCAGCTCTAATCGTCCAAGAAAACTGACATTGTCTCTTGAACTTATGGTGTTTTCTAATACTTTTGTATGCTTGATAAGGATTGATGAACTGGTTGTAAGATTAACTTTCGTATAAATAGCAAGTAGAGTGGCTCATTAAGATATTCAAACAAACCAAAAAAAACAATACAAATAACAATGATGAAAACTGTTGCTTTCAAGCTTGCAATCTTGCTTGTCTTGGCCTTGATTCTTTCTATTGGCTCAATTCAAGTCGAATCCTTTAATCTTTCGAATACTTTAACAAAGGTCATTAGCTTTGACTTTAAGAATACCTATCTAGGCACCATGTTGAGAAACAAACTCTACGGCTCCACTGTTATTCAACACTCCATTCCTTCTTCCATCACTAAGAAATTCACTCAACAAAGACTTCTCCAATTAAGAGCCATGACTGACAGAGATTGTGACCATTCTCATCATGGAAACAATCAAGATTCCTCCCTGATCTGCCAACAAGAATTCAACTTCCATTTCAATTCTGTCAATGGAGTTGTCAAGGGCAAGAGATGGATGCAAGATTTACTCTCCAAAATTGGAAATACACCAATTACCAAATTGAAAATTCCAGCCACTCACGATTCGGCCACCTACAACGTCTCAACAAGTCAAGATTACAGTTCTGACACTCTATCTGATCCAAGTATGCTATTAATTCCACAATTGGTTCAAATCTTCCAAGCTTATGGTTTGAACACTCAACGTGTTAAGCAATTTGTTGCTCCTTGGTTCAAGAATCAAGAATGTTCAATTTATCAACAGTTGAATCATGGTATTAGACATTTGGATTTGAGGGTTTGTAAGCAAAGTACTGGAACAACCGCTGAAACAAAGTATGTTGCTTGTCATGGAATTGTCAGTGTGACAATTGCAAATGTCTTGAGACAAGTTAAACAATTCTTGAATGAAAATAAGAAGGAAATTGTTACTTTGGATTTCAATCACTTGTATGGATTTTCCACACAAAATGATCATTTGGAATTCGTTAACATGAGTAGAACCATTTTAGGAAGTGACTTGTTGATTAATCCTTCCCAATTCACTACAAATAGCACACTCAATCAAATTTTCACAACCAGTCAAAGAGTATTCTTCTATTATGTCCACACTGCAACTGTAATTAACTATGGCTCTCAATTTAATCTCTTCCCAAGTTGGAAAATTGACACTCGTTGGGCCAACAAGCAAGATATGACATCTCTCAAAACTGAAATTCTTGTCGAGTTGAACTCTAGAACTGATTTCCGATATGGATTCGTCTCCCAAATTGTAATGACTCCAGATTTGAATATGATGGTCAATGGATTATTCGAATCTCCAAAATCAGTGAAGGAATTGGCAACAATGAATTATGGAGTGATTCCAACATGGATTTCGAATGATCTTCCAGATTCTAAGATGAATGTTGTTAATGCTGATTATTATCACTTGTTTGGTGACGATTTCGTTTCTGCAGTTATTGCACAAAACTTGTAAATAAACTAGAGCACAATTTTGATAAAAAGTATCTATCCTATTTTCTGCATTGTTAGAGAATGAAATTATTGAATTATCGAGAATTGATTTTTTCAATCATTTGTATGAGGAAAGTACGATCCTTCAAGAGGTAATTGTACTCGTCTCTTGTAATAAAATTATAGGTCATTAATGCTTCCATGATAATTTCTCTATCGTGCTTAAAGTAAGTTCCACATTCAAAGAATGCAGATCCATTAAGTTTCACTGCTTCCAGTACGAATTCTCTGTCCTGTTTCACAATTTCTGGGCATTCCAATATAGCAAGAGTATTGTGTTTGAAATATGCCAAAATGACATCTCTGTCCTGCTTTAACTCGTCAGCAGCATATTCAGCAACTCTTGGATTAATATCGATTGCCTCCAAAATAAACTCTTTTTCTTTGATCAAATCTGTTGAATAGGTTATAGCTCTGGGATTGATTTTGATAGCTTTCTTGATGATTTCAACATCTGATTTTAAACTTGGAAGAGCAGCATAACCCAGAGCATACCCATTAGAGGAAACTGCCAAGTAAACCAAATCTCTATCTCTCCTTAAACTTTCGTGAGCATATTTGAAAGCGCATCCCTCTTGAGTAATAGCTGCTGTCACAATTTCCACATCCTGTTTGAGTGATTCGTCAGCATCCTTTAGTGCATCTCCACATTGTTTTACTGCCTCTAATACTATCTCTTTGTCCTTTCTAAATTGATGAGGAACTCTACCAAGCACTTTTCCATTTCTTTTAACGGCTTGAAGAGCAAATTCTCTGTCGTTCTGTATTTCTGGACTTGCCAGTAGAAATCCTGCAACATAATTAGGTCCAATTGATTCCAAGAGTATTTCCCTATCTTGTTTAACATATTTTGCGGCAAATTGAATAGAAGTTCCATCAAGTTTGACAGCATTTAACAAAATTTCTCTATCTTTTTTCATATTTTCTGGAATGGTCATTATTGTAATAATTGGGTTCTTTTTGACAGCCTCAAAAACTACCTCTCTATCATTTTTCAATTCCTTGCTGCAATGTGAAAAAGCACTCATCGAATTTCTGATAGCTTTCAACACTAATTCTCTATCCGACCTAAGATCTTCATTTGCAAACTCCAAGGCATCTCCACATCCATTCTCAATAGCCAATCGTACCAATTCTTGATCGTTTCGCAACTCGTTTACCATCAGTTCAAAAGCTCTCCCATTCACTCTCAAAGCCTTCATCACAAATTCTCGATTTTTCTTCAATTCATTACTTGCATCATAAATTCTACAAAAATCCAATCGGATAGCCTTCAGCATAATCTCTTCATTGTTTCTCATACACTCAGAGATGAATAAATTATCCAACTTCATCCTCTCCAATGCCAGTCCATACATGATCGGATCAAATTCGAATAGTTGGGCAATTTCGGAAAAGAAGGGAATTGCCTTGAGAGCCTTTCTTTCCAGGTCATATTTTTCTCGTAAAATTCGTGATGAACAGTTTGTATCTAAAAGCAAAATTGTGCAATGTGTTGTCATTTTTTTTGTAAAGTTTTTAACAAAGAAGTTCTTGTTTCAATGTTAGTTCCTCAATTTAGTTCTTATACGTATTCATATCTTTTTAAGATGATCGTAAGGCGGCTTAGCACAGTGGCAGTGCATCAGTCTTGTAGGCAGAAATGCTGAGATAACTGAGGGTCGAGGGTTCAATTCCCTCAGTCGCCTTTTGTCATTTTCATATTTTTTTACATTCTGTTTACTAGTATGGCAATCAGTAACCAACATATTCTTTATTATCATAATAACTTCGGCTGATCATTTTCAAGCCTTCCTTGGTTGTATCCAGACAAGGCTTTCATAAAACTACCAAAAAAAATACATCATCACTATCTGTGGTTGAAAACACACTCATTGTAGTAGGCTTTTTGATTGTTTCGCAAACATTTCAAAGCCTTTTTTTGCTAATAGTAGTATTGTGTGATCACCATCATCATTGTCTGCTCTGATTGTATAAACAACAAAAAGAACAATAACATCACAACGGAGGAATTTTTGATAGTACATATATAAATATTTAATATTTAATTATTATTATTTAATAATCGAGAGAGAATATATTCAAAATGGTTAGAAGTGATTTGAAAGTAAAGTGGAAATTGAGAAATTCCGGACAAGTAACAATAAGAGCAGGACATTGTGCTGCCAATATTCCTGGAACTCCACTTATGTATGTCTTTGGAGGAAGTAATAATCACTTAGGTGATCACATACCTTCAAAGGAATTTGATGTCTACAATTGCAATACAAACTCTTGGAGAAGAGCAGGTATTCATTCCGATGTACCTGAAGAGGATGCTAAAATTCCAAGACCAAAACCAGTAGTTGGATCTTCACTTGTTGGTGTTGAGAGAGGACAAATGATTGGAGAATTAAGTTATGCCACTAGTACTATTGCAGAAAATCAAGAACCACACTCTGCTCTTATATTGTATGCTGGTTGGAGTAGTGATTCATTGATAAATGATCTTTGGAAATTTAATTGCAAAACAGAAAAGTGGATTAATCTTACAGATAAGCAAAAAGGATCTATTCCATCACTTCGTTCAAATCATAGTGCTGTTGTTATTGATAATCAAATGCTTGTTTTTGGAGGAATAGGAGAAGAATTAGAAGATTTAAAGCAAGATATGTACATTTTGGATTTACAGACATTGCATTGGAGGAAAGTTGCTCTTGAAGAAAGTGACGAAAGACCACCAGCAAGTAGATCACATGCTTGTTGTGTACATAGAAAGAGTATGATTTTATTTGGTGGAGGTACTGATAAGGTGTGCTTTAATCACTTGTATAGATTTGATCTCGAAGTGGAAAGATGGACTAAAATCAAACCAAATAAGAGTGAAGAATTGAAAGAAGCTGAACGTGATCCAACAAAACCAATTCCTTCCAACTTGGTGTTAATAGAACCTGAGCCAAGAATGTTCCCTAATGCAGTTATATATGACACTGATAGAATGTTTTTATTTGGAGGTAGAAATGGTAAACAAAAGATTAATGAAGTGTGGCAATTTGACTTTTTGAATAATCAATGGAATTTAATGCAGGTTGGTGACTATTCTGAGGATGATAATAGCACTCTTGTACTAAATGATGATGATATGGCTGGTGTTGAAGAAACTAATGAACCATCCTTCCCTCCAGTTCAAGCACAACATGCTATGCAAAATGATGACATGACAGATGCTTCTCCATTACCATCCCCTCTTACTCCATTCTTAAAGAAACATCCAATCAAGCCAACTCCTAGAACAGGTGGAAATATGACAGTTGTTACAACTGGTAAAACAATTGGACCAAAGTTTGACAAGATTCTTGTCTTTGGAGGTAATGATACCAAAGGAAAATTGAACGAAGTTTGGGAATTAATTGTCAATCAAAGAACATATACTAAGAATCTCGAAAAGTTGGTTAATTCATCACTTTTTTCAGATATCGACGTAAAGTTATTGTAAAGAAAATAAAATCAAGAATATTCAAAATATTAAGCCTTTCAATAATGTTTGAAATATTTCATTTATTGGACTCAAATATAAAACACAACGATACAAATAACAATTATGAAATAGTATGAATTTGAAATTGACATGACCACCTAGATTTTTATTTAACCAGTTCTCAAGATGATGTGAACTCCAGAGTCAGTTGAAACAATATCACTCAATTCTCCAATCTTTAAACGGAATGAAGCATCTTCGAATGGTTTTTGCATTTGACCACGTCCAAAGAAGCCAAGATCACCTCCTCTCTTTGCACTACTACAATCACTATGGACGGAGGCTAATTCTTGGAATTTTTCAGCCATATCTTCAGCATTGAAAATATCCTCTCTCAATCCTTCCAATATTTCCGTAGCATCCTTTTTCGATCGTGTAATATTCTTTTCCTTCCATGATGATGGATTCCTAGATTGATTATGTTTAATCAACAAGTGGCTAACCTTGACTTGCTCACCATCATCATTATTATTATTAGTATTATTATTATTGACGAGTGGTTTGGCTGATTTTGTTGGTTTTTCCCATTGTGTTTCGTTGGTAAATTTGTTGATGTAGTAGAAAACGCCTGGTCTGCTTGAGGATTCTTTAACTCTCCAGCCCTCAGGTACAGAAGGAAGATTAGACATTTTTTCTTATTTATTAATATTAATAATAGATTGAATTGTAACGGCTACAAATATTGTTTGAAACAAAGTATTAGGAGAAGAAGAACAAGATGGCTTGTAAAAACATGATCATCACGTAATTTTGTTTTTCTTTTGATGAAGGAATATTATTATTATAATAATAAATATAAAGAAAATTAATTTATAGATAAATATATGATGATGATTTTATAATATTACTCGTGTGTACGAAAAGAAGGAGAATGAAACAAGATAATTCTACGATAGAGTTTCATCTTGATTCCAATTCCACTCCCAATAATTATTCACTCATCCTAAAAAGATTTTGAAATTCCCATGATATAATAATTTACTAAATTTAATCTCTCTTGTAGTCTTGTGGATATGGAGACCAACGTTCTGATGGAATTGGATAACGAGGAGCAACTGGTCTTCTCTGTTGTTGTTCAATTTTAATTCCACAAAATGTTCAATAATAATAATATTAATTCATTTAAATATTAATTCCACGATAAAACCACAAAATGTTCAATAATAATATTGTTGATGAAGTGTAATTCATGATGGTAATGATGGTGATAATAAAAAGCGCTCGTTCCTATTGATGATGACAATTTAAAAACATACCTCGAAAGTGGAACTAATCTTGAAAACAGGAATAGCAACCAAGAACAAACCGAGAACGGCAAACTTGAAATTTCTGCTAGCATTCTTAGAATTGGTGTAGTAGCCACCAGTTGGTGTCCAAACGTCCTTTGGATAATTCATACGATGTCCGCCCATTTTTTATTTCTGTGTTCTTTAATATTATTTAATTATTTAATAGAGATTATTTAAGATATTTAAATTGAGGCCAGTTTCAATGGAATGTTCATTCTAATGATCATTGTTATTGAATTTGGCTCCCTATAGAATATAATGGAATTTTTGTTTTTATTTTACAAGCAATAATACAAGGAGAATGATCAATTTCTTCTTATTTGTGATTTCTTACCCAAGGGAATGCCTTAGCATCAAGAGCTGCCTCTGTTACAACATCCATGGAAGTTGTCAAGCCAGTCCATTCATTATGTTTGTTTCTAACTAAGAGGTGATGAATACTCTTCTTCATCAACAATTCAGCAACTTGATCTCTCTCAATTTCTTCATTACAAAATTCGAGTTGTTTATGCATGATTTGAGTGACTGGTGTAGAGGAAGGAAGACCTTCAACGAAACCTGCCTTCACCAAATCAGTTTTTGTGATAATTCCAACAGGATCATGAAGTGAATTGACCACAACAACACTTCCGATGTGCTTTTCCACAATAATCTTGCTAGCTTGTTCTAAAGATGCTGATTCTTCGACACAAGCAACCTAATTGAATATATAGATGATTACAAAATTGTTGTTTGATGTAAAGTTATTAATTTTCCAAAAACGATGATGTTCCATTCCGATCCAAAAACCAAACAACAAATAAATCAATTGATCAATAATTATCAACAAATCAACGATCACCATATGTTAGAATTATTGAAAAACTTGATTATTTACCTTTTCCTTAGGAATCATAAAAAGCTTAACCTTCATTTTGTTTTCTGTATTTTTCTTCTGAATGTTCTCGAGTATATTAATAGAAGCTTAAACTGTTGTTGGAAATTACAGTGATCCTTTCTCTAAAACAAATATGATTGGGTAATTGAATAATGGATTGTTTTTTATTGAACACTTCCAAGATATAGTTATCGATTGTTATTGGGTGATGTTAGAATGTATTTGAAATGACTTGGATGAAATTGATTCCATTTCGAAAAGATTAATTCTTTCTGCTCAATTTGAGAAGTGTTATGGTAGAGAAATTTGAGCAATACAAGGGATGGATATTGTAGCGATTGCTTGGAGTGTTTGAGGTTGAGTCTTGTTCTTTTGATGAGATCTTTCAATGAGGAAATTCTATCATGTAGTGTGTAATTGGAGCTAATGTCTTGCCCTCTCCTTATTAAAAGTGGAACCGCTCTCAGTAGAATATCTTCATAGGTGGTAATCTCTTCCTGGCTCATCTCGTTAAAATAATGAGCTTCACAGTAGGCAGCCTTATAATGTTTCAACTTTTGACTGGTACTTAACCATGTATACTTTTCAGAGACAAGGTCTTTGATGAGGAGATGGGTTTGAGGTAGGAGATGTACACCCTTGTCTGTCAAGATTTTGAATAGTCTTGCTCGTTGATAGTCATAGGTCATGAGCCTGTATAGAGTTAATTCACTTTCAGGAATTGGAGACATACATCCAAATATTCCGACCAGATGTTCCTCTGTGTCCTTACCTATGCTGGATTTCAAAACAAATGTGGTAAGGAAATTCATAACCTGTTTCCTTATTGAAGTGATTGATGGAAAATTTTGCTCTGGTGAAGATTCTGTGTTTGACGATTCAATATGCTGAACATTATTCAACTTGTTAAATCTTGACTCTAATGTTTGAGCAAGGTGGGAGATTCCTTTCTGGGGGAAGAGATCTGTATTTCCCTTTGCAATTTCTACATTATCTTCATAGGAGGAGACTGATTCTTGTAGTGTCTTAATATCAGATGTGCTAAGGGACTTGTTCAACATGTTGGATATTAATTGTTGTATTTCCACAATGCTAGTATTGATATGTTCATCTCTTTGATGTAGGGAGGATGATGAGGGGTTGGAAATGAAATTTCGAGCTAGTTCTCTTCTTTTTTCTATCGACTGGTCGTGCATCTCAAAGAAAGCTATTCCACTTTCATCTTTGTCATTATCCAGAAACGAATAGGACGGTTTTTGTAACAGATATCTGGCAAGTCTGTGTAAATGATTATACATGCTGAGTTTGTGTTTTGCTTGTTGTTTCACTTGTGAAGTTTTGAATTCTCTGGCTTCTTCGGATTCCTTGAAGAATTTTTGTACTACTCTATTGATTAGATGAACGGCCTCAGAATTAAATTGGAATATGTGATGGTACAAGTCACGATACTTGTCCAATTGTGATACTTCTTCACAAAGCTTAGAATATTTGGCATCTACTTTTTCCTTAGACCCAGTTATAGTTGTGCTTTGAAAGAATGTAAACATGTCATTTAGAGAGTCTAACAGGTTTGAATGAGAATCCGTAATGGTCTTTCCAATTGTATAGGCTCTCAAAATATCTTTCAGTTTCCAGTTTGATATCACTTCATGTCCCAGTTGACCTTCCAAAATCTTTTCCATTTCATTCCAACATTGGTCAATTGTTACTTTTACCTTACTGCAGATTGGGCTTACTCTTTGGTGGATAGATATTTCATTCAAATGTTTTGAAATAAATCCAATGGGTACGTTTACGTGGTGGTTGAGAACGGATTGTGGAGTAATGGCTGGTGAGCGAATAAGTATTTCCAAATCTATCACATCCATTTCTCCAACTTTCAATTCATGCAGGTTGAATGAATCATCAAACTTTTGCAAGAAACACCTCATGAATCCTTCCTCCTCTTCTGGTGCTCGAAAAGTACTATCATTCAAATCCTCTCGCGTGTTATAGTCCATTTGAATATTAGAACCAATGGAAAGAGGGTTCTCAGTGGAAATAATCGAGTTCAAGACCAAATTACGTTCCTTACTCGTTCCATAAAGTCTTTGTAATATTTCCTGATGACTTTCAATATATTGACCAGGATTGGTAACACCATTCTTCCTCAAAACATCGATTATTTTGTAATATTCACTTTGCAAGGATTTTAAATTTTTAGAAATATGATCCGAGGTTGAGTATTGAGCATTTCTCTGAATTTTTCTTTCACTCTTTTGTATGCCATTATTTTCATCATTTTGCATACTTAGATATTTCATCAGGAATTTTGATGTAAATTTCCTTTCGCTAACCAATTTCATAAATAATTCTTCCAATTCCTTTCTCTTTAAATTCCATCGTTTTTCAAATTGTTCAATAAAACTTGTTGACAATGCCAAATAATTTGCCAATTCTTCAATCCTCTCTCCGATGACAAATATTCTGCTCTTTCCTTCCAATTTTCCTTCCACTCTGCTACTCCATTCAACAATCAAATCTTGTAGAGAATTTTCTCTCTTTACCCTGCCATTAATTAGTAAATAATTTCTCTTCTCCTTGTGCTGATGATCATTTTGTTGTCTTCCTCCGATAATAAAACCATTCATCTCATTGAGAGAACATGATTTCAAATATTTTTTCTGTGCCGTAAAAACTCCGCATAGAGAACTTCCATCATCAAAATTGAAATTGCAAATTTGCCTTCTTTGTTCACCATCACCATTTATTCTAACAACATAATTTACAAGAGAGTTGGAGGCAGCTTACTTGAAAATCTAAAAAACCAAATGTTGCTCATGATGGTCACTACACACAGTAATAAGAATCATCAATAGTATCGACCAAAACGGCTCCTCAGTTCGCAATTGCTTGGAGGACATAAAAAAACACAATCGGAAAAAATGCTGCTTTCTCAAAGCAGTGAAACATCAAAAAACAACCAACAGCTAATGAAGAGTCAGCAGAAGGTAGCCGATACTTGTTCAATACTTACGAGGAGGTTAGGACTTTCTAGTAGTAGTAACAATGGCAGAATATTGATTGGTGGCAGAGAATGTTGGATTAATTCTACATTTTCTTATTCGGATGAGAGTTTTATTGTGAATGATGATGAAGAGGATTGTACAGTTGTGAATGAACAAAGTAACACAGCCTTGGCTAGTAGTAGCAGTCAAGATTTGCATCAGGGTAGTGATGATCATATTACGGAATCGAATATGGTATTCGATGATGTTTCTCCTAATCAATTTAATGATGAGAATAATCAAATCACAACAAGTCAGAGTCGAGGTTCTACTACACAACATGAAACATTGGACGAATTCCCAGAAATTCAAACTATTCCAAATCAAACTGCTGGGACTTTGAAAACATCATTGGAACCATCAAGGAATAGTCAAAGCCTTTTTCTTGACGACTTGAACGATCATCACAGTCACATGATGCAATTAGTTAAAGGAGTTGATGCTGTTGCAAGAAAAAACTTTAATTTAGCACCATCTAATTTACCAGATCAACACTATTTACATCACTACATTCCTGAAAATGATGATTCACTTTCAACAACAAAGGTTAGAACATTAAGTGATCAAGGAAGTGAGTTTAGTTCCGAACGAGGTGATATTGATAATGAGTGGTTTTTCAATTCTTGTTCAAATGTGAATGATAGTTATTTCCTTCCAGATGAGCTAATTTACAAAATTTTAACATATCTTGACTTTGATGATGTTGTTCTAAAGTCCTCTCTTGTGAATAGACAGTTTTTCAGTGTCAGTAATTGTGGAGGTTTTTGGATTCAATTTATCAAAACAAGAAAATGTGAAGACACTGTCAATATTCTTTCCTATTATCAATACGAGTTCCATTCAAATCATATAGTCAAACAAATCAAGCATGAACCATCCGAAGAAGTTACCCTTCAAGAAAATGATGATGCCACTACTCAAAATACAGACAATCCACCAAATACTCCGAGCGATGAAATTGTCATTCCATCTCAACAAGATTCGAGTAATTATGATCCTGCTAATCATTTAACTATTTATAGACCTATTTTATTAAGTTATTTATACCATAAGAGAAACTTGAAGAAATGGTTTTTCTTTACAGAGGCCAACTATTACTTACTATTTTTGCTTCCGTTTGGAATTATGACATTTTTATTCTTATCTTCATACGTTTTCCCAGTCTTTCCTCCTTTTTACAAGCTCAACTTGTTTTCCTTTTCAGCAGCTCCTTCCAAATTCTTTGCTCCCTCTCGAAGAAATATTTATATTGAAGGTATTGGAGAAAATTTTTCACAGTGGACTCTTGGAATATTTGGAGCTTCAATTCTTGTCATTATCATTTCACTGCTATTGATACGGCCCCTCACAAAATCAGCTCTTAGACAATATTCCTTGTCTATCCAAAATGAGGATCAACTCTCCTTCACCAAGTCTATTATAACCAAAACAAAATTGGATTATTCCTCTCTGATACCACACTCAACAGAAATGTTACCAGTTTCTCTTAGAAAGAAATTAGTAAGAGACATTTTAGGACATGAAAAATTATTTACAAAAGAACATGTTGTGAGGTGCATGGTTCTCATTCCAGTTGTATTATGTTATATCACAACTGTTTTGAAAAACTTTGTCTATATTCCATACCTTTCTGAAACCTATCACACCTTATTGAGCTTACCTGGATATTTAGTTTTGGCATATCTCATCAAGACACATTGGTATATGGTATTCAAGATTCATGGTTTCTTCTCCTTACTTGTTTGTTACGCTTGTTTCCACTTTGTACTAAATCAACTCAAGTGGGATGTTCTCATTCGACCAATGTTTTACTTCCTTTCACAGGTATTTGGTGTGTGGTGCTACATTATTCTCAACTTTTGGGTATTGGGAGGTCCAGACAATACTCAAGGAATTCCATGTGCCAACAGTTAAAATAAAACTGTGGGTTAAATCTTTTATTTATTATTCAATCAACATTACAATTAATTGATCTCTAACAATACTCTTGGTAATTTAGTAAGCATTGTATATGATGTTCTAAATAATAGAAGAAACTAAGTTTGAGCTTTTGCATACTTTAAATTAATACATTCTTTTTCATTAGTCATCCATTTTCATAAAACTTAAATTCAAATTTATAAATTAAAAAAAATGCTCAAAGTTGTGCGGAGGGGTTTTCATCTTAAAAGAAGAGAAGGTTTTTAGGAGTGTATCATCTTCTCTGTTGATAATAATTGCCATCATCATGATTGTAATGGTGAATTTTTGTGATTTTCTTCGGGCTGATGATACAGTGACATCCGAAGGTATAATACAGGTTCAGGTAATTTCGAGACATTGCGATCGTATGCCAATATCACCTCTGACTATTCCGAAGGATCCTGTTGATTTCCCCAAGTTGGCTGATTTAAATTTGGGAGATTTAACTGGGTTAGGACAACACCAATGTAATCAACTTGGTGATGTTATCTATGATAGATATATTGATGTAAATTCAAAGACTAAAATCAAGGGAATTGTTCCACATTATGAATCAAAACAGTATAGTTTTAGATCGACGGATTTGGATAGAACATTGATGAGTATGTGGTCCATTTCAATGGGCTTATTTAAAGAAGGAACTGGAAGAAGAGCTATCGTTAATTATAAGGATGCTCATGATATGGGACGGGAAGTTTTTGCATTACCGAACGGAACACAGGCAGTTCCTATTCATACTGTTTCTGAGGATATGGACTCTTTGTTACTTGGATTTTCATTTTGTAATACAGTTTTGAATAGAATGAGTATTATAAGATCATCAAAGGGATACATCGATTTTTTCAAAAAGCATAGGGTAGTCATTGATAAATTATATAACGAAACAGGATGGAAAGCACAACCAAATGATGGAAATATTGGAGTTTTATTTGATTTACTGACAGTGCAGAGATCACATGATTTATTATCAATTAGATGGGTTAATGAAAATTGGGAAGTCATAGATTCCATTAGAAATAATTTTCTTTTAATGATCTATAATTATAATGTCATTGGAAAAGAAGGAAGTAGTGAATTGATCAAGACTCTCAAATCAAACATGGACAGTACAACCAAATACAAGTATATTCACTACAGTGCCCACGACACAACTCTTCAATCTCTCGCTGCTAGTTTGAAATTAACAAATGATTATCCATTTTTGGGATATCAACCAAATTATGGTGCCTGGTTGGCCTTGGAATTACACGAAATGACTGACGGTACTGCAGCTGTCAGAATTGTCCACGGAAAGCAGTACAATGATACAAGTACACCTCTCAAATTAACCTCCTTGGGCTGCAATACAGAATTTTGTCCCCTCACCGAGTTTGAAAAGCATATTACTCGAGACTCAATAGTTACCAATTGGTGTAGAGCTTGTGATAACTCTCAAAGAAATATTTGTGCTTCTGAATATCTGAAAAGTTCAGAAGAGTCATATATTGCCTTCCTAGTTTCAACACCAACATTGGCTTTCACAAATGCTATTACCCTTATTGCCTTGGTGTTTGCTTGTGCTAGATCAAGAAGACAAAAGTATAAAGAAATGGATTAATAAACATCCAAATTATAATGAATAGTATTTTCCCGAATTGTTTACACTATTGTCACCCTCTTCAGAAGTTGATGAGATTAGTGAAACACTCTTATCATCTACATTGCCCTTCTTCTGGAATCTCTTGACAAAAGTGAAATCTTCCTTATTGAATTCATAGTATAAAACAGATGAAGAAAATACAAACGCCATAACAATGGCACATGATCTCAGTAAGGAATAGAGAGTTATTTCATCTGTTAGTTTGGCAGCCAATAAATTTAAATCAATTGCTGTGAACCCTTGTAAAATTGCAAGGCAAAAGGCACCCAATTTGAAATACTAATTTAACATACAGTAAAAATCATAAAAATGAAGAAAATGGAAACTTACCTTTGTGCTAAATGCTGAGACATCTGAAATTTTCTTTAGAGTAAAATAGATTATCAGTAGGAATACAAAGCAAGCGGCATGAATAAGGAATTCAATGGCCCAAGAAACTGAAATCCACCCAATAACCATGTAAAGTGGACCCACAGTAAATTGGAATATTGCACTAATCAGAACACAACAAGTAATTAAAATAATAAATATTGAAAATGTTAGACAATAGGAGAGGATGGAGTTTGGTTTCTTTTGTGTCTTGACATACTTCATCAGGCCATACAAGTTAACTAGAATTGGAATAAGTGCAAAATAATTCACAAATTCTGAAATGGTAGCCAAATATCTAAATGCTGATATCAAATTCAGCAATTCGAAAACTAGAGATAATACTCTCAAAACAGAAGCCAAAAATATGGCAAGGGATGGTAGTAATTTCATCAAAGAGTATTGATTTCTATCCCTATCCTTTTGAAGTAAATTGATAAGCTTTGGAATGAGGGAAGAAAAAAGAATGAAAAGAGATAGAGCTGAAAATGAAATTATCCCAGTGTATGCAGTGAAATCTATAATAAATTCGGTAAGAGCTCTCTTTTTGCACCCCATACCAAACATGTTAGAATTCACACAATAGCACAAGTATGAATAATCTAGATATGGTGAAATGAATGGCACTCCAAAGTTACTATGTCCACAAAATCTAGCATCTCTCGGAAAATCCTCCAACATGGATCGTATTGTAGCATTTGAATTTTTACAATTATTATTTTCAATTCTCTCATTAAATGATTTGTATCCTTTTGCATTACTACAATATTTACAATAATTAATAAAATCAAATATCTCACTTCGATTGTATGCATAATTTTCACACAAATCAATGCATGTCAAATTATTTCTCTCTTCCACAATTTTAAACGATTGACAAACATCCAATAAACTCAAATCACTAATTTCAGGGAAGGCAATGGTTGGATAATCCTCCACATGCCAAAACTCTTCCACAGGAAGAGGAACTGTGTTATCGGGCAGAATGACCCTTTCACATTCTACAGATGGCATCTTTGGATTTTTAAATATTTCATATTTTGATCCTAACTTTCCAATCAAGGAAGCACTCGATGATTTACATTTCCATTGTCCCAACATTTCGGAAGATGATGATTCTACCACTCCACAATATATTATTTCCATCATGAATATTATAATTAATAATAAATTAAAATTATTCCGCCGACACTTCCAATTCATCGAATTAATCGAATGTGATGAGGAATGGAGAAAAACACTCAGTGAAGGGTTGACTAGAGGTTTTGCCATTTTTTTTGCTTACGATGAATTTTCGCGCTCATTTTAAGGTTCATAATTACAATTTTAAAAAAAACTAAAATAATGATTTTTAAATGCAGCAACAGAACACATAGTTATTTATTACGGCCCAAGTGTTGTTCCATAAAGTTGGCTTCAGTGTTTGGAAGTGATCTTGTTGGATTGCCAGGAATGATGGATTTCTATGTAGTCCAAAAGTAGTTCTTTGATTGGCAAAGAATGGCAGATGGTTGACTTTTTGGAATAACAGCTGGTAAGGAACCAAAAGAGGAATGAAGAAGGAATTTATGAAGAAAGAGAGAAGGAATTGAAACGGAAGAGGAAGTACCTTACGAAAGAATGTTTTGATCTTTTGGCAGAAACTGACAAAATGGCAAAGCTCAAAACCACAAGCAAGACAAATTATTAATATGATAATGTTAAGGTTAGAATTGGTATAATCGAAAGGATGTTATTTTAACCGAATAGTGACTAAACAATGAACTGTTTGTTTTATACAATTTTTTGATAAGTTATTTTTCAAAGATGAATATTTGTAAATACTCAATTTGAAAAAGTAAGAGTCAATCTTGTCATATCTTTGATTCTAAACTTGATAAATTGAACACATTAAGGCGTTGTTGAACCTTAATGTGAAGCAGGGGTTCCCGAGTGGTCAAAGGGGGTAGACTCAAGTTCTACTGCGCAAGCTTCGTGGGTTCAAATCCCACCTTCTGCAGTTTTGTCTCCTAAAATTTTTCCTTGAGAGGTTTACCGAACTTGTTAATTGCATTACCTTCCAGATGATGTCTAGTATATATTATGTAAATATTGTGCCTTCATTATATGTATTCACAAAGACAATCGATTATGATGACATGCATATCAAAGTGTTGAAAATAGTTTAGCTCTAAAAACAAATTACTGATGAAAATTAAATTTATGAATGTGAGCTGAGTGAATGAAATTGTCTCTTGTTCAATTAAAAAAAAAGAAACCTTCATGGCGCCGAACAGCAAAAGAGCTACCATTGCTATTCCTATCACTCAGTATTTGCAGTACTGTAAATCCACAGCAGTTTTGAAATTCCTTAAATATCAAGAACACATTGAATGATATCAGATTGAAAAAATTCATTTTCAATACAGTCTAGTATATCAAAATGTTTTAATTGATTGAACTGCGAATGAATAGTGTCGATATGAAAACATCTAGATTTCCACATCTTAGTGCTTTTTGAAAAGCGGTGTATGGTTTGAATACTTACATCGTCGTTAACTAGATTTCTGATAGAGTTGAACAGTGAATGATTAAGAAAGTAATTGGCTACGGCCATATCACGATGAATGCACCTCATCCCGTCCGATTTGAGAAGTTAAGCATCGTCGAGCCACATCAATACTGAGGTTGGAGACAACTTGGGAACCTGTGGTGCAGTAGTCATGGCTTATTTAGATTTCTTTTTCTTTTAAATCCAAGAATGATTTAATTTCTTCCACTTGTTACCGTTCCACCATGCATAAAGAGGTTTCACACCCTTTTTTACATGTCTATGAGCCTTCCTATCAGCCCATCCCTTTTCTCTTCTTCAAAGAACTTGTTATTTGGTCTCAATCATCAACTTCAAATGGACCCAATATAAATGGTGATAATTTACAATAATCACCTCTCGAAGCAGAGAAAACTTCAATTGTTTCATAACCTTCCTTAGTCACCTTTTTACTTCTATATGAGTGTTTAGCACATTCAACTTTTCCTCTCATTTTTTTATATTGAATTGAATCAATCCATTTAATCAGTGTTATGGTCAATGGAGACAACTCTACTCAAGCATTAATATATTCTAATCAAAACATGTCATCCAATGCCAATATCAACCACACTGCAGAGCAAACTTCCACACCCAGTGTTACTCTTGCAGAGAACGCTTTGTTCCAAAAATAAAATTATAATTTCTGCTATTATTGGAATTTTATTAGACATTAATATTTATAAATCAACTTTTATTCCTTTATGTTATCAAGATTTATTCAAAATCATAAGGTATTCCATTATACATTTTCAAGTACTTGGAATCACTTCTTTTTACAAATCCAAAACAAAATCATTTATTGTTAAAATATCATTTCGTCTTCACACGTATCAAGAACTCCACAAGATCATTGCAAGCTGTCTTAATATTATTTGCTATTGTCATACTTTTTGTTTCTTCGTTCTGTTCACCAAAGTCTCCAGGAGCCTCATTCAACAATTCGATTGACTTGTTTGGCCAAAATATGACCATCATCATCATATTCGCTCTTAACATAATTAAATATCGATTCAGCATCGAAAGCTACTACACATATTTCCTTTGGCTCCATCATCCCAAATACAAAGTCACTACTAACTCCACAATGGTAATTGAGCTTATTCCATTCCATTTTTCTAATATGACAGTAAAAAGATGTACAAAATCTATCTTTCACTCCTTGTCCTGATTTACCAACATATAATATTGGTAACCTCTTTGAAACAATAAAATAGATAGAATTTGGTTTGTAAATGCCGACTGAGTGTTTTTTGAAAAAGTTAGAGCTCACAATTTCGGCAAGTACTTGTGAAGGCCATGTGGGGTATGGTTTTTCGTCAATAATGGTATCATCCGAGATAGTACATTCTTTATATTTGCCAGAATTGCCTACAAAGAATGGAATATTACGGTATTCGCTCTTCTTCCAATCGCCATCTTTCCAGTCATAATACTTGTCTATTTGATTGAAAAACAATTCCTCTAAACTATACGGAAATTTGGCACCAGGCAAGACATTGTTTGGGAATCTATTCCTCAATTCTTTCTTCAACTCTACCAATGATTTCTTTTTAAACAACTCACTTAATTGTTTATCTTGTTCGATGATTTTAGGTATACATGGTTTGACATGAGCCTTATTGATCAATATAGGTGAAGAAGTAATTTGAAAGGGTTCATTCTTTACGAATAGTGAATACATGTTACCTTTGTCCACAACTCCTGATACGTTTCCATCATTATCCAGAAACAGTTTAACATCGATACTACCTTGCTTGAGCTTGTTTGTAATCTCCTCGTATGAAATGTCAAAGAATTGAACCTCAATTCTTAGATTTGAATTGCTTTTGTTCATCATTTTCGTTTATATTTGTTACATTTATTTCTTTATAATTAAGATTTCTATTTACAAACTGTATTATCTATTTCTCATTGGTTGCTTGACTCCTCTTTCCAAACCCTGTCTGAGTTCCTCCATTAATGTAAGAATGTTTTGCCCAATGTGATTGGGGCACCTAGTGATTGTATAATTTTAATGTTCCGAGTCATACAAGGCAGAACAAGGAGGCCTTTAAACAGCAGTTTATTGTTCTGATGATTTGCAATTTCATTCGTCCTCAATTTTACACTTTACAGCAAGCATCTTGCTCAACAAAAGAATGCAAATTTCTTTTTGTTCTTTTTCGTCACAAGTTTCAAGAACTTCGGTTATAGCTTGATATTTTTCTAGTATCTGAGCTTTTCCTTGTTCATCATTTGCTTCTTGTTTGTTAAATTCTTCTCTAAAAATCTTTTCTCCTATGATGATTTTATTGGTTGACTTGGCGTTTTTAAATTCAGCATTATCTGACAATTGTGAATAATTTAATTGAAAGCCTTTGCAATGAAAAGTAATTTTTTCATAATATTCACTACCCGGATTGCTCTTCAACTGTGCAACATCTTTCAAATAGCTACTAAAACTTTGATATTTTTCATCTATTAAACCATCTTTAATCTGCTTTGCAGTATCGCGATCTCCATCATATACAACCGAAATCAACTCTTCGCTGTCCATTTTTTTTTGAGGAATTTTTCTAAAAATAACATGAAAAGAATCTATTCAACGTGAAAAAATGACTAAAGCATCAGCAAGCAAAACACTCCACGAAACTGTTACAACATTGCACAATAGTGCACAAAGCAGCAATATTTGTGATGATCTTGCATACTTTTATTTTTTACTAAAGGTAATAAAAGAGGGTGTACATAACTTTACAGATATCCAGAATTTTGATGCAAAAACGAAGGTGAAGAACAGTGCTTTTTTTGAACAGCTCGTTGAAAAAAGGGTTGGGAATTGTATTGTTCATACTTGTGCGAATTTTGAAGCTATCACGAAAGAATTCTTGAAGAAATGTATTCGCGAGTCCAAAACACAAGATCTAACGAACAGGCAAGAGCAAGAATATAACGAAATCGCAAAACGCGCATTGAAGCTTGTCCATTGCGAATTATTCGATGCTGAATGGAATGTAAAGGACAACTATCATTTTGCTCTGAAATTTAACAATAGCATTTTAGATAGTGTCAGGAAAGACCTTTATTGCATTGACATTAACGGAAATTTAGTAGATAATAATTTGGAATTTTGGAGATTCGATAAGGAACTGGATTGTAAATATACTGTAATGGAGGTTGACGTAAAGACTGTTCTTAAAGATAATTTTTTTGCTTACTTTGATAATTTAAACCTTGAAGATATTAAAAATTTGAATGTAAAGTCTGTTACCGCCGCCAAGATCAGGGACAAAACAGCGGACAATTACTCATACAATGATGATGGTATTCAGTTTTATTTTGAAGATTTCGCAAAGAAAAGGGGTTATTTTGTAATTCAACACTGGTGTCTTGTGAAACATATAATGGGATGGGAGACATGTATTGAATCAGACTTCAGTAAGCTTAAAGGATGTACTTTACCATCCAATGACCAAAATACAAGCAACGACGAGATTGATGATGTTTTGAATTTTACTTTATAATTTGATCATGATTGCCAAACACTTATGAAAATTACAGTATGAAAAACTCCATATGAAAAACTCATCTATAAATGACTTCAATTTAAACCAAACAGTTTACAAGATCATTTCTTTATATTGTTAAGATTTAATTTTACAATTCTTTGGCGAATATGTTTAATATCAACGGAGTGTTTTTTGCAAAACTTTGAGTCCAATATAGTAGCCAACTCTAATGATGACCAAGTAACAACTGGATCCTTGTTCTTAATTATAGAGTCAGATATGGTGCATTCTTCATACTTTAAAGATCTGTTTGCCAAGAAGAATGGAATGTGACAGTATTCATTATTTTTCCAATCCCCACCTTTCCAATTGTTAAGGTTGTCAATCTTATTGAAATAAGACTCCTCTCCGTTTCCAGATAAACTTGGTAATATATTCGTTGGGTATCTTTTTCTAGTTTGTTCCTTCATTTTAACAAACAATTTTTCATCGAACAATTTCTTCAATTCTTTATCTTGTACAACGAACAAAGGCAGGTATTTGATGGGACCTTGATTGAGTGAAGTTGATTTGTCCTCTTGATTCAATTCACTCTTTATAAAAACATGTCATGCTGAGTTGAAATTTTACTCGCATCTTCTCCTGGTATCATTTCATTGACATTTTAATGTTTCATTTCTTTATAATTATTAAGATTTCTATTTACAATCAATAGATTCGTTGCATTCACTGTTCAAACATTCAAAGACTGTAGCGGGATAGTCGCCATATTCCTGGCAGGCTTCTGGTCTTAATTGTAAAATGAAATAACAAATATTTATTCTGATGTTTAATTAATTTTTAAAAGCAAAACTGATTCAAAAATTTAGACTTTAAGAAATTGATTTCTGTTTCAATTTACGCTTGTAAATATCAACTTTCTTATTCTTCTTGCCACCTCTTCTATTCTTTCTATTCTTTCTATTCTTCTTTCTGTAAGTGTCAATTCTTCTCTTCTTATTAAATCTTCTCTTCTTTCCATAAACATCAATCTTCTTTCTGATAATTCCCTTCTTTCCAAATTTCTTCCATCCTCTTCTCTTTCTTCCATAGGTGTCAATGTAGTTGTTGAGCTTTCTATTCTTCTTTCTCTTCTTGAGATTTCTCTTCTTGTTATTCTTTCTAATGAACAAGGAAAGTGTTGAGGCAGCAGTTGATTCTTCTGCAGAAACTCCAGAAGTGAAAGAAAGTGCAAGAATGGCCAAAGTCAAGGCAATCAATAAGATTGAAACAAATCTTTTCATTTTTTGTTTTTTGATTGTGTTTGAGAAGTGAAACATGTTTCAACAGTATTTAAATGTTTGAAAAGAATAGTTTGATTAGTATATTGATTTTTATGATTTTCCATAAAGAGAGTAGCCACAGATTTTGGACATTGTACATTTGGTCTTTGTTAATCGGTGCGGATAATTGAACAAGAACAGAATGAAAGAACTTCAATGGTTGGATTGTGCTCAAAGATGTGGAATATCTTGGAATGAAAAAAGTTCCAATATTTAAAGAACGAAAGGACTCTGTAAACTGTTGGTGGACTTTTTGAATTAATCTGATACATCGTACTTTTTTTATTCTTGTGCTAGTAGTTTCAAGTTGTCCAATGAAGAGTGGGAATCCTCTCTTTAACTTTCGTATATTTTGAAAATGAGATAAACAAGAGGTGCTTACCACTCTATACCAAGTTATTGTTAGATGAATTTGCACTCGAGTCAAATTTTTGACACTATTGCCAATAATTGAGTTTTGATTTTTTCACCTTAGGAGTAATGATATCTTAGCTACCTCTCATTTAATTTTAAAGATTTCATCTCTAAAAACCACAGAGAAAATAATAAAAGATTGGACTCTTTCATTTTTTTTTACAAAAAACAAGGTAATATACAAGTTATGAGATAGGTTTTGGATATAATAGTATATATTTCTTTGCAAAGAAATTCAATAAACCTTACCAAGTATGTGAGAACACAAATTAAGGAACAAAGATAAAAAGACTACAGCACCACAGGTTCCCAAGTTGTCTCCAACCTCAGTACTGATGTGGCTCGACGATGCTTAACTTCTCAAATCGGACGGGATGAGGTGCATTCATCGTGATATGGCCATAGCCATTCATCTCTCAAATACAATGAATATAAAGAACATTAGTTATTAAAATATTGTAAACTGGATAAAAAATGTCGCAACATAAGAACGTTGTTATCATTGGTGGAGGAGTGGCCGGTTTGTATGCTGCCAAAACACTTTCGGATAACCAAGTTTCGAATTTTATAATTTTGGAAGCAAGTTCAAGACTTGGAGGAAGAGTTTGCTCTGATTCCGAAAGAGGTATCGAATTAGGAGGTGTGTTTACAACCAACACATTTAAATACTAATATTTAAACTACTTTTAAAACAGCTGAATATGTTCATGGAGAGGAAACTATTTTGTGGGATATTTTGGTCAACCAATTAAATGTGGAATTGGAATTTAATCATGACATGACAAAACTAACTCCAAAAGAATGTGGATTGGGATTAGTAGTTGGTGCGTAATTTATCAAATTATTGAAATTGGAATTAATGAAATTTCAAAGATGGGAAAATGCTTCAAGCTGACAATCCTATATTTGCAGAATTGGATGAAATTCTTGAAAAGCTAATAAATGATGAAGAGCTAAAATTTGCAAAAGATATGACACTTAAGGAATGGCTGATTTGGAGGGAAATTCCAGAAAAGTATCACTTGTTAGTTGACTCAACAATTGCCCAGGAAAATGCAACTTGTATTGATGTGTACAGCGCTAAGGGAGCTCAAGAAGATTTAATTGCTGAGTTTAATAGTGAATTTGGAGATGGGAATTACTTTCTTAAGGGAAAGAATACTTTGGAAAATTTGATAATTCCATATTTGGTTAAATCCATCCAACAAGAACAAATTAGATTGGATTATGCTGTGGATTCCATTGATTACACTTCCAACCAAATCAAAATTAATGGAGGCGATATTATTTGTGATAAGATTATCCTCACTGTTCCATTAACAACTTTACAACATAATTTAATTCAATTTACTCCAGATTTATCACCAATCAAAAAGCATTTAATTCAAAATCAATTCAACATGAATGGTGGCACCAAGATTATTCTCAATTATAAGAAACCATTTTGGAGAGAACAATTCCCAAATGTGAATGTTGTTTGTGTTGGAGATGATGATCCCTTAATTTCTCAATTCTGGTTTTCGAGCACATCTGAGGAACAATCTGAGAAATTTGGACACGTAATTACTGGATTTTCAATGAGTAATAGAGCAAATTATGGAATTGTGATGGGAGAGGAGAAGGTTAAGGATCATTTCAGAAAAATGATTCAAAATATTTGTGGATTAACAAGTGAAAATGATGGATTTATTGGTGGAATGGTAAGGAATTGGCAAGATGTTGAGCACATTTCTGGAGCTTATGCATCGGTCAATACTTCAGAAGAATCGAGACAAAACTATATTGGAAACCCTAGATTGGCCCTCTCTCAACCTATTGAATCAAAGATTTATTTTGCAGGTGAATTGTTCTGTACTCATTCGCCTGCTACTATTCATGGAGCAATGGAAACTGGAAGAGATGCTGCTTTGAGAGTAATAGCCGAAATGTAAAGTTTATTCGAAAGTGTTTGTTTTTACCTTAGATACTCAGTTGACCAGATTTCAGCTAATTCTTAAGAAATCAAAAAATTTTTAAGAAAGATTTAATTTCTAAATAGCCATCAATCACATGCCAATAAATATGGGGAAATAAAAGTCAAAAAGTCAATGACTAGTCTTGAAAGGTGTTTCCAAAAGTAATGTGAATGGCAACTTTGCACTTATTGAAATTGTTATTTAAACCAACCGAATGTTTCTAATAGAAAACAATAACAAAAAAAGAAACAAAATGATTATGCAAGAATTTGAACCAAAGAGAAGAAACACAAAGATTTCAACAAGTTTTGATGAAAGTCCAATTACTAATATTTCACTTTCGAATAAGAATACTTCAAGTTTCGATGAACAAGTTCCAATTTTCAAAGCAAAGAGACAAACACCATTCCCATATTTGAAGAGAAAGTCAATCAGAATTGACTTGGTATTGAAGCAACAAAAACTTGCTCAAAAGAAGAAGAATGAACAAAAGTTATTGGAATCTTTGAGAAATGACAAGAAACTGTTAGAAAATGAAAACATGACCTTGAAGGGAAGAATTATGCAAATGGAATTTATACTTCAACAATTAAAATCTACCAGACCTAGCACACAAACTCACTCAACTCAACCAAAGAAATCTAACAAGTCAACTGACTCAATTCAATGCACCAAATGTCAAAAGTGCCTCTCCTCCAAATATTTCAAATATCATGATAGAATTTGTGGAAACACCAAGCTCAATCGTTTACTTTCAGAAACGGATTTGAAAAGATTACAATTTCTAAGAAAGAATCAAAAAACTGTATTAAATTTCTCACCAAAGAATGACTGGAGAAGAAAGAGGGAAGAGTTTTTGGCTCAAATTAAGAGCGCCCAAAAGAAGCACTCTTCAAATTGTATTATTTTCTTTAGAACACAAGAAAAGAGTTTCTATAAATCAATAAAGTAAAACACTTGCTCATAAAAAATTGATAAAAGCGTTAAAAGATCCGATGAGACGGAATCGAACCGCCGACCACAGGATAACAGTTTCAGCTACAGTCCCATGCTCTACCAGCTGAGCTATCATCGGTTACATTAACTTTTCCAAAATATTCTAAATAAATCAAAAATACGATTCAACATTATGTTTAATATTACCCCTCCATGTGAATTAATACTTACCAATTCTATTACTGTACGTTCCCAATCAAAAACAATAATCAAGAAAAAAAATGAATCAATTACTCAGACGTTCTTCTCTCGCCAATTTTTCAAAAATCAAAAATTTCAAAGCCTTCATCATTTCATCAAATTGCTCTGCATTGGCTGTGCATTGTAATTTTCCAGTCTTTGGAATGACATCCACTCCACAATATTTCCATTCCTCCCTACAATTAAAATCCAATACAGAAGCCGAAGAAAAGAGAAGAAGAGAAAAATACGAATCTGTTATTATCGAAGCACGTAATGCCTATTATAATAAGGAATTTGATAAAGCCATCATGATGTGTAGTAATGTTTTAAAATTGGATAAAGATTATAAGGATGCTATCGGACTTCGTGGACTTTGTTATTATTATGTTGGAAAATATGAAAGTTCTTTGGCTGATTTGGATAAATATTTGGAACAGAATGTTATTGATTTTGAAACTACATTACATAGAGCTTATTGTAATTTTAAATTAATGAGATTTGAAGATATGTTAACTGATTTGAATGCTATTATTTTCGTTACTTCACCATCTGAATTTCCAAATAGATTTATTGATGCTCGATTAATGAGAGCTAATTATTATTTAATGACCAGGGATGTTGATTTGGCATTTGCTGATTTACATGCTATTGAAAATAATTTGGGAAATTCAAGTTTTGCCTTGCAAAATGAACAACTTGCTCAATTCTATGAAGGAATTGCTCTTTGTTATGCTGCCAGATCACAACACGATAAATCAGCATTCTACTTGACTGAATTAATTGAAAAGGGATACAAAAATCAAGGAAAGACACCAGATGCTAATATTAATTTGAAGAGAGCTCTCTCCTATGTCGAATGTTGCAATTTTGAAAAAGCCATTGAAGATATTGACCTTTACATTTCCTCTAAAGGATTTATGGAAATGCCAGGTGTCTTTATTTTGAAAGCCAAAGCACTCTTTGGAATGAAACAATACCAAAAAGCACTCGAAGAAGTATCTACCTTTGAAGAATTGGACTTTGTCAAGAGAAATCCCTTCATGATTGCACCAGAATGGTTAGACGAAGCCAAACACATCAAGGAAGAATGCAAAAAGCATTTATAAATCAAAATAATCACTTCCACACAACCCACTTTCCTCAAATAATAATAATACTTGAACAATTGCCACATCAACCACAACCAATAGGTGAATTGTACTTGTGTGTGAAACTTTTCACACAAACTGTTGTTATCCAACCCATCAAAGAACTTCAATTAAAAAAATGAGCAGCAGCAACAAGTTCTTCCGTGTGTTGCATCAATCAAAGAAGAGCAAAGCACGTGTTGGTCAAATCATTACACAGCACGGAATTATCGAAACTCCAAACTTTGTACCAGTTGGAACGAATGGAACACTCAAAGGAATTGATAATCACTCACTTTCATCATTGGATGTTCAGTTAATGTTTTCCAATACCTATCACTTGTTGATTCATCCGGGAGTTGAGGCAATTGAACAAGCAGGAGGATTACACAAGTATGTCTCTTGATTTTTATGTTAAACATATTCACATTCATATTCACATCCACATGAAAATATTAAATATTGAATGTGATGATGATTGAATATTTCAGATTTATTTCAAGGAAACATCCAATTATTACTGATTCGGGAGGTTTTCAAGTTTTTTCACTTCAATCAACACCAACAGAGGAAGGAGTTTTTGAAGGAGAATCACCGAGGAAATTGATTGAATTGAAAGGACAATCGAAGAATAAGGCACATTCAGAAAGTTTAGTTGAGAGAGTTTCTGAGGATGGTGTGACTTTTAGATCGTATAGGGATGGTAAATTACTTCAGCTCACTCCTGAAACATCTGTCACTGCTCAACATAAATTTGGATCTGATATTATAATTCCATTTGATGAGCTGTTACCTGAACATGTACCAATGACTGTTATTGAAGAATCTCTGGAAAGAACTCATAGATGGGAATTACGTTCATTGAAATGTCATTTGGAATTATCAAAACAATGTAACAAACATCAACATATGTATTGTGTTTTACATGGTGGAACTAATTTGGATTTGAGAAAGAAATCAATGGATACTCTGCTGGATCCTTCATGTTTCCAATTTAGAGATACTGAAGATGGTTTACCAAATGGATTTGAAGGAATTGCTATTGGAGGAAGTTTAGGATCGAATAGAGAGGAAATGTTGGATGTGTTAAAATTTACCTACAATTATTTGGAAGAGAAGATTCCACAAGATTGTTTCGTACCTAATCATATCTTAGGCATTGGTGATATTGCCTCAATGAAATCATTTATTGAACTTGGATTTGATACATGTGATTCGGCCTATCCAACTAGATTGGCAAGACATGGTAATTTAATTGTTGGTGCTGCCTCTGGAAATCCAACAACATTATCTATTAAGAGCTCAGCCTCTCTCGGAATGCACGATAGACCAATTGATACAACTTGTGATTGTCCAGTTTGTTCTGGGCCAGATGCCTACTCTGTGGCCTACTTGCACCATCTATTCAAGATGAGTGAACCAACTTATATAACCCTCTCAACCATTCACAACGTTAGACAAATGATGATTTGGATGAAGACGATAAGAGAGAGAATAAAGAATGATGAATTGTAATGTTGTTCTACTGTGAATTGACAGATCTTTTTTCAAACATTTCATTCTCGATTCTTGCCTTTCTCAATAAATCATCCAGTTTGTCTCTACCGAGTGGAATTACTGGAAGCTCTCTCAGATGATTCAAACGATCCTCAATGTCATTTAACTTGTTTTTGTGCTCTCTTTCAAGTCTTGCCTCCCTTACATAGTCTCCCTTCTCAGCTTTTTCCTCTTGTTTGGTTACCTGAACAGTTTTGTTCAGAGAGGTCCATCCTCCTTGCTCATAGCTTTCATGGATTTCAAATAAATACCTTCTCTCTACAGGCACAATTGATTTTAGCTTTTCATCTATTGATTCTAATTTTTGAATTTCATCCTTTGATGGTTCAAAACCCATTCCATATGGAATCCCTTCTGGAGGATCATCTTCTTTGATAATTTCAATAAGTCTCTTTTCTTCCTCATCAGTCAAGGTAAAGTAAACAGCATCGTCTTTCATTTCTTGATTTTTCTTCAAAAACGTATTTTCTTCAGCTCTTGGTGTAAGCTTTTTTCTTGTTATACCAGATTTGGCAGAGTCTCCTCTTATGAGGGAATGGTTTGATGAGATTTTTCGTCTCGAGGAATCAAGAGCTTCTGTGGGATTTTTGTTTGATTCTCTTACAAATTTCATTAAACTGGTTTTCTTTAGAATTTCCTTCTCAGATTTATGCCTTTCCACAATAATCCTTATGCTTTCATTCAATGGCTTTCCCTTAACTTCTTTCTGTTGGAGTAATAAGTCTAATTTATGTATCTTCTTCATGTAATCTGAAGAAATGTCTCCTTCCTTAATTTCCTCGTAAGCTTCTTCAGTGGTGATAGCACTAGCTTGAGCTAAATGGAAAATGACATCATCTCTCATCTCAAAAATTTCAGTGTTTACAGATTTTGTTAAAATATCCAAGTCAGGTGGAAGAATCACATCCACTTGTCCGTCTTCTGTGTCAATAACTATTTTTCTTGAGGTTACCTCTTGAACAAATTCTTCTAATTCCTTCCTAATTTCATCCTTTTTAATTTCAGTAATGTCTACATCAGAAGAGTCACCAACGGAACCAGCAACTGAACTAGGTCTAGAAGAATATCTGTTGGTCAACATGTCATAGACTGTTCCAATATTTACAAATTCACTTCTAGAGATATCACCCTCTGTTGCTTCCGATACCATATTACTTTCTTTGGATCTTGCTGAGAGGGCTGTTATTTCTGAAATCATGTCATTAATTTCTTCAGTGTTTGTAGCTTCTTGTTCCATCGATTCATTCTTATCACTAGAACTGATAAAAGAAGTAATTGATGCATCTGTTGAAATAGTTTCATTCATACAAACAACATCCATCAGCTCATCATTAGTATTCAAAATATCATCCAACTCCAATTCATCCCCAATTTGAGTCTGTTCAAGATCAATATTAAAGTTGGGAATTATATTTTTGAGGTTTTGCAAACTCTCCCTTAAATCGAAAAAATCACTGTCTTCCATTCTATCCTTCATATCTTCAATGCATGAATCGCTACACATCGAAAGATTGTCATCCTCAATAAACTTAGTAACTGGTGTTGAGACTTCCGATCGGCTAACTCCAACATTATTACTCAATGGAATTTGTTCCAAGCTAGTAAGAGATGAATTAAGAGAGGAATTGAGAGAGGATGGTATTGATTCAACTCCACTCAATTTCTTTGTAGTACCACCAGATGAGACTGCCCTCTTTCTCAACTTTGAGGAAGGCAACGATGTAAGGAAGGTACCAATTGTCTGATCTTGGCTACCATTGGATGAAGAACTCTTAACAGAAGAAACAGATTCCGACAATGATATTGTTGAATCTACACTGCCAGGTCTTGTCCTACTTGAATTAATTCCCTGAGAGGTTGAAGATCTCTTATGAATAGGAGGAAATTTAAGGGAAGGAGAAGATGAAATACTACTACCAATAGAAGGCTCCTTTTTAAGAGAAGAGGCAGATGATGGCTTCTTTCTCGAAGGGGTTGATAGCATCGACATCAAAGACTTTTTTTTGTAGTTTGAAAAGAAGAGAAATTGGCGCCATTTTAAGACAGCAGAAAAAACGAAACTCAAGAATTGGTTGTCTAGTCAAATTTTCAGATTGTCATGCAACAAATATCATTGGAAAGATAATAGTTTTCTTGATCCTATCCAAAATGTTTCAAGCAAGTATTATCTTCTTCCTCTTGATGAAATAAAATTGATTAAAATTATTTTAAAGTTTTTTTGTTATTTTGTGATTGTTGTTGTTGTGAATTTTCTTCATCGTTAATAAATTAATTCCCTCTAGTATATATTTACTAAAATTTAGTGATGTTTATCATCGTGACCATGTCCGTGGTTTCCGTGATGTCCACCAGATGAAGGAATAACGCCAACTTTTTCAAGTCCAAGATAAAGAACAAAAGCAGCAATACCCCAAGAAGCTCCAGGCCAAACAAGACCCCAATTACGTGGGCTACGGATAGCTTTGCTAAAGTTGAGTTTTGGGTGTTCTCTCCAAGTATCGTATTTTTCAAAGACCATTTTTTTAAAATATTTATTTTTAAAATTTGGAATTGATTTTATTGTTTTCTTTGTTTGATAATCAACAAAACAGAAAGTGAAAACACTTGTGCTAAGCTTACTTGAAACAACAAGAAAAGATATCAAATTTATAATATTTAAAGACCCAGTTGTATTGTTTAGGATTGAAATAATTTAAAGAAAATAAATACATGATATTCTCAATGTGTGTTGAAAATTATAGCATCATATTCAATTCTTGTCCATTAGTTCATGTCGGAATGTGTGTTTGATTATTCTTATTTTCTCTCGGTGTATTTATTGTTGTGGTTGTTGAGCAGCAGCTTGCATTTGTTTCACTTCTTCTGGTGTAAATTCAGTTTCATAAACACCATTCCATTGTAAGAACTTCATCTTTGGTGGAATGTGGTCCTTTGGTATATCACAGTCATATTCAAGAGTAATAGCTTCATCCTTTTCATATTTGACATCATCAGCGTCAATTTCCCAAGCTCTCCATTCGGCAACCTTTGGAATTAAATCAAGTTGATCTTCCAATAAAACAATAATTTCTTCAACTTGTCCTCTGTTCAAAGTGTCTTCAACAACTTGATAATCATCAGTTGATCTACAAACTTGACTAATATATTTAAAGTTATTTTCGTTTGATGTTCTGAAAAAGGTTCCCTTTGGAATGTTGCATGAATCCAACTTGTTCAATCCGTCATCACAGAGCATTAAAATCATTTCTCTCCATCTTGGTTGGGCAGGGAAACCGACGATACCAGTCATGGTCTTGACTCTTGGAGCCAATAATTTGGAGCAAGCACGAAACATTTTTTGTTTGATGATTTTAAAAATATTTTAATTTTATTAAATTTTGCTTTTCTCTTCTTCCGTGGTGGTACAAGGTGTTGTAGTTAAACATATTTGATATATCATTGAATTTCTTATTGGAATGAATGGTCAGTTTATTGGAATGAATTGTATTCCAATTATGTTTTGTTAAAATTTTAAATAATTGTAGAGTTATTCTATTTGATTGTAGTTATACTATATGATAATTTTAAGAATTAATTTTCTTCTGTTATCTTTCTCTTGTACATTTACGAGAATAGAGTGATTAGCCATTGATGATTGATTCTAATTCCATTATTATTTAATTATTAGAATATGCTCCACCTCCGAGATGGTATTCCAAAAAATCAAAAAGATATGAATATCTGCTTTATTCATCCAATACATTTAATCTTTCCATAGATCATCTATTCCAACAAATATTACATTAATTTCATCCAATCCAGTCTGTATGCTGTTCCTCATCATTTTAATACCATCGATTTTTTTTACTCATTTCTTGCTTGCCAAACTTCCATTGTAAAAATACTGTCAACCCTAAGTTTTATAAAAATTTGTTGAAAAAAAAATAATCAAAGGTAATGTCGTCAATATCATCATCATTTTTTACTAACTAATTTCCTCTAAATTATTTTCTTGTTGCAACACAGACAATGGTCAGAAACGCTGCTACACCAGTTGTTGGTAAGAAGGTTAAGGGAGTCAAGAAGACTAGACAAATTACCTACAAGTTCCACGTTGATGCTCACATCCCAGTTCAAGATGGTATCCTTGATTTGGATCACTTCGAACAATACATTAGAGATAAGTTCAAGGTTGACGGAAAGGCTGGTAACTTGAAGGATAAGGTCAGATTCCACAAGAAGTTGAACAGACTCTATGTTTTCACTGAAGTTAAGACATCCAAGAGATATTTGAAGTATCTTACCAAGAAGTACCTCAAGAAGCACAGTTTGAGAGATTGGTTGCACGTTGTCTCCAAGCAAAACCAAAGAGCTTATGAATTGAGATACTACAATATTGCCGGTGATCAAGAAGAAGCTGCTGAACAAGAAGAAGAAGAAACCAAGCAATAAATTTATCAAAAAACCATTTAAAATTATTAAATTCAATTCTCTATTATTTTTTGCAGTATTAAGTTGGTAAGATAATCAATGAATTTCCGAAGTTGTTCACTTTTCCACCATCCACTTGAATCCTTTCAAGTTGGTTGATAAAAAGAAAATAATATTAAGATAAAGATTTTTGAGAGTCATGAAGCCTGCAGCGTGTATTGAAAGGAGCTGGAGGAGAACAAACAATCTAGGCTATATGAGGTAGTTCGAGCAGGTCAAAGGTCGAAATCAATGACCCGCAGATACGTACCCAATGGTAGTAATCATTTTCACCAATTATCAACCTTTCCTTCACACTTTTCATTTTATCGAGAACAACATTTTGGTTTATTAATTTGTTTATTTCTAAAAAATTAATCACCCAAATATTTCAAATTATCTTTGAACAATTAATGTAGCATTGTTTTATTAGCAAAATTTGTGGTCCTAGTAGCATCTTAGCTGAAAAAACTCCTCAATGATAAAAACATGATGATTCTCTCTAAAAATTAACACCCAAACAAATGAAAGTACTCTTTTCCAAACTCTCAAAACTTGAAATCAAGCCCATCATCTTTTGTCAGGTATTCTCACACTCACTTGATATATCTGTTTATCTATCTCAATCTATCAACAAGTGTTTCAAAAATCAAATCCAAATTTAATCCCTGTTTGGCACTCGTCTCAAAATATTGCATATCATTGTCCATTGCAAATTCACGAGCAATCTTTTCTGAAATGACTCTCTTATCGGTGAGATCTACCTTATTTCCAACTAGAATGGAAACAACATTGGGTGCTGAGAACTTTTTCACTTCTCTATGAATTTCACATGTATTGAATTAATTGAATTTCATTTGAATTTTACACAAATTATTCATCAATATTTGAATAATTTAACAGAATTGCAAATTATTTAATGACATTGAGGTTAATTTATCCAATTAAAATAGTAAATCTTACTTACTTGATCCATTTTTGAACATTTGCCAATGCCCTATCATCAGTCAAATCAAAAACCACAATTACAGCAGGTATTCCTCTATAATATGAATTTGTAATCTGTTATTAAAATCAATTTTTCCAAATAAAATTGCAAAATTCCAAAAATCCCCAAATTTTCATTCCACTTACAGTTCTATATCTTTCCTATTTGTAATTTCAATGAATTTATAATAAATAAATGGGGTTTAAAAAATACAAACCTGTCCAGCAGTATCCCATATTTGTATTGCTATTGTTTTATCTCCTTTTTTCAAATACTTTAGTTTAAAATCGACTCCGATAGTAGAAACTAATCCTTCATCAAATTTTCCTTCTGTATATTTCAAAACAAGTGAACTTTTACCACAATTCGAATCTCCAATGACCAACATTTTGACCATTTCATCACTGAAATTTGTTAGAAAGCATGAAAACTAAGTCGAAACTTACTATTTTTGTTTCTCGTTGTTGTTCGAATCAAGTGTGATGATAGTATTATTGTGCACCGGATTAGATAGAATTAAATCATTACTGGCCGAATAATTATTCGGACGAGAAACTTCACTGTTCGAAGAAGGGACATTAGTTTGGTTTCTTCCATGATGATTGCAATTTCCCATTATTTCCACTTTCTTTAAGATAATTGTGATGATAACTTGTAAAACAGAGAATAGTTTGTGTCCTGTGTATGTGTGGTTTCGAAAAGAACAATTCGAACTAGTGTATTTTTTTTATGCGAAACGAAATGTGACAAATAAACTAAACTGGCTAATTAACTTTGATATCCACTAAAGTGAATACAATTCTCTATTGCAATCCATCATTTCAGTTCTACAAAACCTTTTCTAAATTCATTAAAGTTCGTCAGCTTTACAATTTTATTTACATTTAATACTTTAACTATTTACAAAAAATTTTACAAGGCAAGTGCCAAAATTAATGCAATCACACCAATAATTACCAAACCAGTTACCACTACAGCTGCAGAAATGTAAATCCATCTCTTTGCCATGGCCCATTTGAGCTTTCTTCCTCCACGTTGGAAAATTTCTGCTTGTTCTCTCAGCGAATCAGTTTCAACAATTAATTCGTGCATCTTTTTCTGATTATCCAAAATTTTATCAATGTTGATAATCATGACATTCTTGACTTCATCTACTGCATTTTGTAATTTGGAGATCTTGTCATTGTTTGTATCGTTGTGGAATTGCATGAGCTTGGTCAAGTTGACTTGTTTCTTGTGTTGATGATATTCTGTGGACATGGATTCAATCATATTCCAACAGATACGTTGCTTGCCATCTTGTGTACTAATGACAACATAGAATAAATCACCAAGAGATGATCTTTCTCTCTTGATGAAGAAATTGAACATTTCATGAGTGAGAATGAGCTTGTCATAATTTGACATATTTTCCTTATTGACCATTTTTGGAATGACTTTTTGTTCAATGACCATTCTCAAAGTCTTTTGGCAAGATGTTTCAGCAATGACTGAAATATTGACGGAATTATCCATTGTACTCTTGATAATTCCTTCAGCAATCAATGCATAAGTAATTGACATTTTTCGATATTTATTTGATAGAAAAGAAACTAAAAAAACGTTATATTCGATTAGTAGACAATCTCTAGTTTGAATTTATGTTGTTTTTTTCATTGTTTCCATTCAACTTTGCTCTTAAATAATTAAATTCTTTACTAGTATTGACAAGAATTTTTTATTTTTAGCTGCACGGTTCAATGTTAAACGTTTTTCCTTTTTACTGAAATGTTGAATGGATTCTAGAAGGCAACGGTCAAGTGATGACGAAAGCAATTATCATCGTACCTCCAACGTTAATTTGTTAATTCTGAAAAACTGTTCTTGCAATGTTCTATTTACAAGATTTTCAATGATTTTCTGAAAGTGTTGTTGATCCGAATGTGATTTAGAATGCAGTAATTGACAAGTTATTTGAAAACATGGTTAGATAATTGATCTTTCAGGTTCCTTTTCAATTTGAATGTGTGTTTCTAAAAGGTGTGAGTGGGCCCCAGCGTTTTACTTTTATTAGAAACCAAATAAGATTCAAAAACTATTGACGTAATTTACCTTTTTATTTAAATTGGACAAGAACATGGAAATTCTAACTCCTTTTGAATAATAGAAGATCTATAGGAATAGAATTTCCTCAAACCTAAATTAACCTTTTTTGGAAATTGGTCCTATTGAGATATTTGATCAACTCACTTTTATTGGCCCTTGCATTGCTTTTCATCAAACCAAACAAGAAAAAAAGAATAATGCGATCCAGAGTTAAATTTTGCCTATCATTGTTTGTTATTTTGATGTTTTTGTTTGTTGTCTATTGTCAAGTAGACGAAAGTCCAACACCAGAGTTTTCATTAGAAACACCAACACCTGAAGAATCCTCAGCTCCTGAGCAACCTACTCCAGAACAATCAGTTAGTCAACCAACACCTGAAGAGTCAAGTCCAAATGAGCAGCCTACACCTGAAGTATCAGATACACCAATTCCAGAAGAATCTACTAGTCAACCAACACCTGAAACCTCAAGTGAACAACCTGAGCCTGAAGCTTCTACTGAGCAACCAACACCTGAATCATCAACAGAAACTCCAATTCCAGAAGAATCTTCAAGTCAACCAACACCTGAAACTTCAAGTGAGCAACCAACACCAGAAGAATCAACTAGTCAACCAACACCAGAAGTATCTGAAACTCCATTTCCAGAAGAATCTACTAGTCAACCTACTCCTGAGACATCTAGTGAACAGCCAACACCTGAATCATCAACTGAACAACCAACACCAGAAACATCTGATGTGCCAACACCTGAAACATCAAGTGAACAACCTGTTCCAGAAGAATCTACTAGTCAACCAACACCTGAAACTTCAAGTGAACAACCAACACCAGAAGTGTCAGATCCACCAGTTCCAGAAGATTCTAATAGTCAACCAACACCTGAAACATCTGTAGATCAACCAACTCCAGAAGTATCTGAAACTCCAATTCCAGAGGAATCAATTTCACCTGAAACATCTGAAACTCCACAACCAGAAAGCTCAACTGAAACACCAACACCTGAAGAATCAATTGCTCCTGAACCTTCTGAACCAACAACTCCAGAAACATCAAGTGAACAACCAACTCCAGAGGAATCTTCCACCACTCAACCAGAAACATCTTCAACAACTAGTCCAGAAACTTCTCAAGAAACCACTCAACCAGAATCATCCACTGCATCAGAAAATCCAACCACTCCAGAATCATCAAGTCAATCCACTGATTCCACTGACTCAACTGATGATACAAGCTCACAAACAGAAGATTTTGAAAATACCCTCTTCTCAGCAGAAGAAGATGAAGACGATTCAATTATCGGAGCTCAAGTATTAAGCAATGCACCAAGTTTCAAGATTAGAGTTAAGAATCAAGCAAGATGTAAACGTTCCTTGCAGGGATGTGTTGCCTTGATGAAGAATTGTAAGCAAGAACCTAAATTCTTCTTGGATGGAAATGGATGTATTCTATGTGAATGTCATTGATAGGAGATTTAATATTATTATTTATTATTATTATTATCTATTTGTAAACATATATATTTAAATAAATTGTGAGAGTTAAAGAATTAAAAATAATTTTACATATTCTTAATTTACATCTAAAGTAGCATGATCCGATTATTAAATAATTAAATATTTAATATTTAATATTGAATTTAATTTAGTGTGATGAGAAACATTTTTAGGCTTTGGGAATTAAAATCTAAAAAAAAATATTATACAACAAGACAATGAAATTCTTCCCATTCCATTCTTCTTCTACTGGTGATGTATCATCGGATGTTGAGATCAAACAATTGTTACAACAAGCTGAGTTTTGTATGATCTCCGTACCTAGTATCGGAAATGTTGGACAATTGGCTATGGATTTTATGATTTCAACTTTTTATAATTCGAAATGTGCTCATATTAGTAAATTGGGATATTTAGAGACAGGATTCTTGTTGCATTGTGTTGGTAATGATCCATATGTTCATCATAGAGATAATCATGTTGGAGAGGTGCACTCTGCTCTTGAAGTTTACTCTTTGCAATTCCACACTCCTGGAAAACCAGAAGAAAAAGTTGGATCAAATATTGTTTTGATTCACTGTCGTTCTATTATAATTTATCCAACACTTTTTGTCAGAGATCTTAATGAGTGGTTAGCTCAAGGAAATGATGATTACTTTTTGAAGAGTTTGCAAAATCTCATTATTTTGAGCTCTGCTAATGCAGGATTGCAAGATGATAGCTTTATTCAATTTTTACAAGAAAAGCCACTTGAATTTGGTTTGGCAACTCTCTCATGTGATGTAAATGTAGTAGATGAAACAACCTTCCCACATGATCAATATCTTTCAAATATTCCAAAACTCGACAGACAAAAGTATCCACTATTTGTTTCAGGTGTAAATGCTAAATTAATGGAAAATCAAGAAACTTTTGGAAAGAATGGTGAAAGTAATGGACAAGTTAGAAAGTTGAACAGAGCTATTGTCTTTATGATTTGTAATGAAGGAGAAAACTCAATTCATGGTACTGCATTATGTAGAGTTGTGACTGGAGAAATTATTTTACCATTTATCAAGAACAATAATAAGGGAACACTTCCATTTGAAACATTGGACTCTATTGAATGGAAGATTCCACACAGTTGGAGACATTTCTATGGTAATCCAATTTCTGATTTAAATTTGTACAATTAATCCTATAAATAAGGTATTCCACACTCAATTTATACTCAAATTCATCAAGACAATTACAATTACTATCCAATTCAGATGCACTTTTTTAGAGCTATTAATCGTCAAGTTTCCCAAGTGTGAGGACTTAATTGGTGAAGGTATTGGCTTGTTGACAGGGTAACTGGAATGTGTTGGAGATGGCGTTGGCACATTGGTTGAGTTGTTGGCTGTGCTATTTGAAATTGGTTGAGGAGAAGATATTGGGTTTAGCTGTTCCACAATATTCCACTTGAATGGAATGGATATTAATTGTGAAATTCCATTCAATCCAACACCTTTCATTACCTTTTCCATTGGAATGCCCAATCTCAAAACTGAACAATTGGTTGTTGAATTGTGAACCAAGACAGGAAAGGTAATATTGTCAAATACCATATTTGCTTCTAATCCAGTGCAATTCACACTCGATAATGGAATATCTTCCCTCAGCACTCTTCTAGTATCAATCTCAATACTCACATTACTATTTCCAGTTAAGGAAAGACTAAAGAATGAAGTGAGAAGTAGAGTTTGGGGCCATGTTGAATATCTCTCAACTATAACACTTGGTGTCGATTCAGAAACCACTGGTCCATCAACGTCTACATTTTCCACGTAAATTCTAACTCCATTATCTGGTTCCCATCCATTTTCGTTTAGTTTCTTAATGAGAGGAATGTACTTTTTAAAGAGCTCTCTGTGTGGGTTATACAACAATGGATTATCCCAATATCTTGAATTCATGGCATCTGCAGAGAAGAATGATGGATAAATGGCATAGAATGCACAATGTCTGAAATATGTTTCCACAAATTCCAAATTAATCATTGAGAATTTCACATTAAGGATAGTACTATATGGTTTCTTATAGGCCAAAGTTCGTATAAAACTCAACTTGGCTTCAGAATAAGGTGCATACTTAGCATTATTATAATTAATCCAAACTACTTCTGTTCCCAAATTGTCAATCATGTTAAATCCGAAAAAGTATTCAGAAAGAACTCCATTACTCATTCCCAATCCACCATGTTCATGCAAGAATTTGGTGATCATATCTACATAATCTATGGAAGAGAACCATTCAACCATTCCTACTCTAGAGTTGTAATATGTGAAGCACAGATGTGATTGATTGAGGACTGACAAGTGATCTTGACTGAAATCCAATTCGTAGCCATTACTACCCCATGAATCAAAGAATTCTCCACTCAAATTATGAAACTTATGTTGAGGATTGAGGTAGATATTCCTTGCATCCTCATTCCATTCAGATTCTTCCTTACTCAGATAATTCAATGGAATTGGTGGCTTGGCTCTAATTCCTGGCTGTGAGTTTACAATGAAGACAGCACAAGGTTTTGTACACCACGGATAGTCAACATCCTGATAATTGTAAAACCCATTCTTGTTCTTAATTCCACTCACTAGCGCTGTCTGACACTGAACTCTATCGTATTCAATGAGTGCTGAATTATTTCCACAATCAATTGTTGCCTGAATTACTTGCGTGTAATTGGAAGGATCTGTTTGAGGTGAAAATCTTTGAAGATGAATATAAGCAGATGAAGATTCTGTCAAATATCTGAAGGTTCTAATATTGTGTTGCGCTCCAAATGGAATATCTCTATCTGAATCTCCAATTTGATGAACACCAATTCCAAAATCTTCTATCTTTTCAATTTGTGTTAAATCACTGAAAGCTACCCATAATCCTTGTTGTGAATTTGGAATTCTTACTTTAAAGTAATCTGGGAATATCAAGGAGTAATCATCAATGGCTGATCTGAAAGGATAAGCCAATGGTTTTCCAAATGAATCCTCAGTTTTTGACAATTTAAATAAACTCAACTGAACAGTTGCCTTATTAGGCGATAGAGTTTGAAGAGCACTTAACCCAATGTCAAATGCCACATATAATAATCTAGTGCCAGGATTGAATGCCAATCTGAATATTCTTGGCTTGTCTGCTGGCACTCCAATTCCTATTCCAACATTTGAAGAGTTAACCATTCGAGTAGCCAAAGCTGCTAAAGGATACAAACCAATAAGACCATTATTGGATCCAAGATTTCCAAAGGTTGTCAAAGAGGAAAATTCAGAGCTTGTTTCTTTTACAGATCTTGACATTCTAATAAAATCTCCCCATAACCAATTCATGGAAAAATCAGAGATTGGAATGCCAATATAAACAGTCAAAGCTCTTTCTGATTGTTGTGAATCAATATTCTCAATAATACACTCAATATCAATGGAAAGATTTGTTGCCCTGTATGTGGTTTTTGTTGATAACATCAGTTCACTATTTCTTGAATTCACCTCAAGTGTTGACGAATCTGAATTATTCAAAACTGAACCAGTCATTAAAATGAAAGAAGCATTATTTGATTGCTGACTATTGAAATCTTTCACAAACACTCCACCAACATAGAAATCCGAAAGTGGTGACAATTCAGTCCCATTAATACTTGTTCCAATAATACTTCCATATTCAGAATCGAATGAAAGAGCCAATCCATTCCCACTCTCAATCTTTCTAATCCGTTTGCTTAAATCTATTGGTGGTAACGATTCTGGAACTCTTGCCACAGTGAAAGATTTATCAAATTTAGTAACCAAATTAGTCTTGAGCTCACCAACAAAGATATCATCAAAATAGACAGTTCCAGTATGACCCCACCTAAATATACAATAAATAGTTAAGAATAGAATGGGTTTCTCTGGAAATATCACACCATACTTATATTCCCAATCATGACTTCCAACAGAGAAGTGAACTTGCTGACCCCACAATGATTTCCAATCCGTATAGGTCACATCAATATAGAAACTGTAACCATCATCCCCCACACCTGTAACATTCACTGCCTTAGACCAAGCAGAAAAGAACATGGCCTTTGGTTCTGTGTGAAATAAATTCATATACTGATAGGCAACCATTCCTTCCATGGTTTCATTCTTGAACATTTTAAGGGCATATCCTTGAGTTTCATTCAACCGATCATTCAATACCCTCTCATAATCCCAATACTCTTGATGGTTCTCACTCATGGATCCCCAATTATCGGCATGACCAGTTGGAATACCTTGTTGGATGGATGGATTTTTCACAAGGTTCGGGCTGAGCCATCTCTGATAGACATCCTCTGCCCGATTGAGGATTTGATAAGCTTGGACATGAGGAAAACAAATTATTTCATGATTATTTAATATTAATAGTGAAATAAGAGGAAGAATGATGAAGATGATGAAATATTTAGGGAATGGAGAGGATTTGATCATCGGAGGAAGAAGAATTGAAGTTGGAGAGGTGTCCTCTATAAATCTTTTTTTACTGTTGTTTTTGAATTGTTATGATTGTTCAATTAAGGAAATTTACATTCCCGCCAAATATTAAATTCTCATTGTAAAGATCTTGAATCGAACAAAAAATTTGAGTTAAAGTGATATTTGTTGAAGAAAACAAAAGACTACAGCACCACAGGTTCCCAAGTTGTCTCCAACCTCAGTACTGATGTGGCTCGACGATGCTTAACTTCTCAAATCGGACGGGATGAGGTGCATTCATCGTGATATGGCCGTAGCCATTCACTTTCTTAATCATTCACTCTTCAACTCTATCAGAAATCTAGTTAACAATTTACAAAACACAAACTTTCTAATAATCTACTATTTATTTAAACAAAGAATGAAACAATAATCATCAATGCAATCAAAATGCTTGATCCAATCATCTTTTCAGCACCAGAACAAACATATTTAGTTCCAGAAAGACAAACTCCATTATATGCAGAATAATCAACAGTTTGTTTAACACTTGAACAGGCACTATCATAATAAACAGTCAAATATCTACAGGCAGTACTCTTATAAGAACCAGCACCTGGAATAACAACACAAGTATCCAATGGGAAGATTTGTGAGACAACTAAATTGGAAGTAGCACAAGTAGTGTCAGAATAAATTGATAATTGTAAAGTATTCTTGGAACCAATGGAAGGAACAGTTGAAGTACATTGACTAGTGGTATAGAGTGAGGTGGTGTTACTACCAGTACAGGTTGGGTTGGAAGTACAGTTAGAAGTTGGAGTGTAGAGATCCAACATTGGGAGAGAGCTTGAACACTTGGAGTCAGTGAAGAGGGAAGATCTGATGTATTGACCACTGACTGATGTGATGGCAATGAGAGCAAAGAGGACAATGGAGAGAATGATAGTTTTCATTTTCTTGAGATTGTTTGTTTTTTTGAGTGAAGAAATGAGTTGAAAGTTTTGTTGAATTTATTCGAAAGTGCAAGTTCATTAATTTCATGTGGCTTCACTAATGTGACAAGTGGTTACAACGAGTGTAAGATGCAATTATTGAAATAAAATGTAAAAGGAAACTTTTCCAACTCAATTCCTACATGAAATGTGACAACTCGAAGAAATTTAGGTTTCGAATATTTCCTTCCTTACATTTCGTTCAGTGAAAAAGGTTGTAAATTCATTCAATACACAAATTACAATATCTCATCCAATTCTTTACAAAATTAAAGGTAACCCACAGCTGGCAATTTCTAGCTGGTTTGTTTGCTTGTGTGGTTAACGTTCACTAGATTCAAAATTTACCCATCAGTTGAGGAAAAAATTTATTTCCCACTTTCCAGCTTGCTTCCAACCCACAAAAATAAAACAAGAATTTTTAACAACAACAAGCTAAATTTTTATTTGTCTTATATTCGTGTTGGTTGAAAGCCAACTCTAACCCATAGGTTAAAGTACTGTAATTCTAACACCAATCCATATTCTCCAAAACCTACATGAAACCATCCTAAAGAGGTGGTTTTAGTATGTTAGTACTACTATGTTTTGGATTTTGATGTTGTGGACTAATTTTCGAGTTATTTCCCCAAGTTTCAAAGGCCAAATTTCATTCGCACCTGTCATCGCACTGGTTTGACGGATTCTTGAATCTTCTCACACAGATTCTCATGCACCAATACAATTGAAAAAACACCAGCGTAAAAACCGAGCTGTGGGCAGTTTTAATTTTGTAAAGAATTACATACCACCATTCACAATTATTTTGAGCAACTGAAATACGTACCACGTAATCCATCTCCATTTACACTTCACTTGTTACTAACAACATGTCAACACCATTCAAAAACCTCAAAAAGGAAAGCAATATTCACCCTTTAATATAACTACATATCAAACAACAACAACTACAGTAAAGCATAGGGAAAAGTTGTGAAAAAACATGTTCATATAATATATTTAAGGCATTTAATTTATTTAAAAAACAATGGAAAGCAAAGCAGCAACCATCATTACAACAGTGGTAAGACCAATCTTTTGAGCATTGTTACACAAGTACTTGGTACCCAAATTACAGACACCATTGAAAGCAGCATAATCAACAGTGTTCTTAACAGTCTTACAGTCAGCATCAGAGTAGAGAGTCATAGTCTTACATCCAGTACTCTTCATGCTTGAACCATCAGTAGATGAAATACATGTGTCAATTGGCAAGATTTGTGAGATGGAGATGGCTCCACAGGTGTTATCAGCATAAATGTTGACTTGCAAAGTGTTCTTACCACCAACTGGGACAGCAGAAGCACATGCAAGAGAGGTGTAAACAGATGTGGAATTGACACAAGTCACTGGAACAATCGAGCTGGCGCAATTGTCAGTTTTAACATACATATCCAAGTAAGCTGGAGAAGCAGTACATGTTGAATCCTTGTACAAGGTGGTTCTCATGTATTGAGCATTGACGCTAGCAAGAGCAGCAATGAGTAAGGCAGCAATAATGAAGATGGATTTCATATTGTTGAGTGTTTTGTTTTTTTAAGGCATCTTTAATATTCACAGACTTTGTGCATGTTTATTGCCTTAAAAAAACAAAACACGATTCTGCACTACGGCTCCTTACTGCGGCTGTTGAGCAGTTGATGAACCTTCAAACACTACAAGCAAATGAAGCTTTTGGTCGTAACAAATTAGTCTTGCCTACCCTAGTACAGGTCGCGTTTAGTGTTTTTTAGAACAGATAATTTACAGAAAGTATAATAATTTATCGATGTTTGAGTTTGTGTTTCAATTGTCTCTTGTCTGAGAGTGCCTTCTTCCACTTCTTTTCGTTTTGACCCATGGTATTCTTGTGTCTGACGTTTCTGGACATCTTCAACATCATGTATGGCTTGTTCTTCTTCTTTTGCTTTTGAGTTTCTCCAGGTTGTTCCCACTTTCTTCTGTTGAATTTCTTCTTTTCTGGTTCAAATTCATTGTCTGAATCGTCACCCTTAGAAATGTCACCAATATCATCTTCGTCAACATTTTCATTGCTAAAGATTGGGGTTTCTCTCTTTCTCTTCTTACCCATAAGCTTTTCCATTTCCTTGCTCTTTTTGAGTTTCTTAATCAACTCAAAGTCTTCTTGTGTAAGAATTCTGGTTTGATCAATTCTTGGGCCCTTTGGTTCCTCTGAAGCTTGTTCACCATCTTCAATGACTTCTTCTTCTTCACTGTCCAATTCGAAAACATCTTCCAAGTTCAACAATTCACCACCTTCCTCGTTATCAGATCCCTCAGAATCATCAGAGTCATCCATAGCAATATTGACATCATCTTCACCGTCGCTTGGAACATCAATCCATTCACCTTCTTCATCAGAATCTTCACCATCAACAGCCATGAGATCCTTTTCAGATTCCTTTCTCTTATTGTATTCTTCCAATAATTCAATGCCATCAACACCTTCAGCAACTCTTTGAGTACCAAATTCTGGAATGACTGCTTCAGGATCGTGATCTTTACCTCTGTCTTTCTTGTTCAACATCTTTGGAGAAAGTTCTCTGAAGAGTGTTATAATACCTCTAGCAGCATGGAAAACTTGTTTATCCTTATGTTTAGAATATTGAGATAAATCTCTCAAGAGGGTCTTGGTCATAACTCTTGGTTGTCTTGAACAAATAACTCTAATTGTATTCAAACCAGCTGCAATAACTTCTGGTTTGGAATGGTCATTAGCAAAATTGTTAGCAATAGTCATGACGACTGGATGAATAACATCAGGAGGAACAAAATCGTGAACTGATTGGGCAGTAATGGCAAGAATCTTGGTAACATCTAAAAAATTGAAATATATCAGAAATTAAAATGTCACAAAACTTACTGGCTTGGGCAGGGAGTAAATATTTTTGAATGAAAGGATAAAAATTGAGAAGAACTAATTGATTTGAGGAAACACATCTTGAAATAACGTCCAACATTAAAATTCTTACTTCAAATTTGTCATTTGAACTCTTCAATTTAGCAAAGAGTTTTTCAGAGAAACCTTGTGGATCATTCAACATGTTGAGAACGTTCAATGATTCAATTTCCATACCCTTTTCCTTATGTTTATCCTTCTTTTTAAGTTGTTTGAGAGCTTTCTTAAATTTGTTTTCCTTTTTCTTTGTCTTTTTAGAGTGAATATTGTTAACTTTAAACTTTAAATCTCTAATCAAGTGACCAAGATCTCTATCATCTGATTTTTGTTTTGTTCCGTCTTCATCTTCTTCAGCTTCATCAACTAATTCACCCAAGAAGAATTTAAGTGCAATAACAACAAGAGCAGTATCTTCAGCAAAACATGATTGGGAAATAACATTGACACATCTATCATCATTCCAAATACCTCTTCTATAAAGTGTAATTAAAAGTTGCAAACTCTTCTTTGCAGCAATACGGAATGAATCTTTCAACATGGAAAAGACAAAGTTTTGCAATGATCTATTTACATTAGGATTCTTCTTCTTCATATTGATTTTAGTAATATCGGAGAGAATGTGTTTATAAACCATACTTCTAAGAGTCTTATCATGTACTCGGAAAAGTTTAAATAATACTGGTATTAAAGTTTTAGAGTCAAGAATGTCGTTATTACGGAAAGCAATGAGTGTGATAGCAAGTTGTCTTCTCAATTTTGGTTCTAATTCTAATTGTTTTGTTTCCAACAAATCCAAAATCATTGGTGCTGCAGTTTTGGTTTCTGCTTTATAAACTTTGCAAGCAACACTCAAAAATTGCAACAATTTGACAAAATATTTAGCATCATCGGCTGGTCTCAATTTTGCAACTTCGGTTTGATTTTCCAAGTGTTTCAATTGAAGGAGGAAATCATCTTTATAAGCCTTTGGATCTTTAAAAACTTGTTCTTGAAGATGAAGGAGATCGATACTCATTTTTTTTGAAGGTCAAAAATAAAAATATTTTTGTTGAACAAGACAAAATTCGGATCGAGAGAATATTCATTATTTGATGAGAAATATTTGAATATTTCAAATATAATGATGAGAAGAGCTTTTTCACCATCGTTGGACCAGATTACATGATAAATTAAATTTGTTCGGAATAATGACTATTTGATGAAGAATTTAATATCAAATTTCTAATAAGAAAAAAAATAATGAAAAAGTTGTTGCTTTCTCATCGAATTCAGCTTCTTCTTCGGTATTATCTAGAAGAGGAGTTCAACATATAGAAAGTAGTATTAGGAAGGGAAGTGGAGCATTAGGATTTTCTCTATTGAATTCTTCAAAGAATAGAGATTTTCATGGGAACTCTTATAAGCGAGGATACAATTTTAAAGGAACAGAATTGGTCAGAGATTTCATTCATGATTCATTATATAATCCAGAATATGGATACTTCAACAAGAGTCATGAATTAATTATCAGTCATCCATTGTTTGAAGGAAAGGAAAATGTGGGAGAAATTTCATCATCCGAAGCCTTTGAAGAATTACTTTTAAATAATACTCTTCCAAGAGAAGAACAAACAATTTTACCATTTACTGAATTAGAAGATCATTTGGATTACTTGGAAAATTTATCTGAATTGTATCAAAGAGGTCCACAAAGTTGGGGTACTCCAATCGAAATATTTCAACCTTACTATGGTATTGCAGTGGCAGAACACATTTTGAAAACACAATATGGATCATCTATTAATCAATCTTTGGATAGACCTTTGAAGATTTATGAAATGGGTGGCGGTATGGGCACTTGTTGCAGAAATATTTTGGATTATTTGGAGACTGATTATCCAGAAATTTACAAGAATACAGAATATCACATTATTGAAATTTCTTCACAATTACACGAGCAACAGAAAATCAGATGTGCTCATCATGTAACCAATGGAAAACTCAAATTACATCACGACTCGTTTATGGATTGGAAACAAGTGGAGCAGGATGAATGCCACGTTATTGCTATGGAAGTTTTGGACAATTGTGCTCACGATAAGATTTCAATTGATGCTGATGGAAATGTTAAGGAATGTCATGTATTTTTCGATAAGGGTAAAAATTACTATGAGGAAGTTTACCTTGATTGTAGAGACGAGTTAATTATTAGATATTTGACGCTGGCTGGGGTTATTGAGACTTCTAACACAAAAACCAAATTTTCTCCTAATTTTACCTACACCTCTCTGCAGGATAAGACTAAAGGAGCATTTACCAAACTGATTCAATCATTCTCTTCCAAATCCACAAATGGGATGAGATCACTCCTCATGAACTCCATTGGAGGAGACCATGTATTTTACATCCCAACAGTACAATTACAAATTATTGAAAAATTACAACAAAATTTCCCAAAACACCACTTTATTTGTGCCGATTTTGACTACTTGGGAACAGATGAATCTGGAGAAAGCAACAGACCACTCGTACAAAAGAAATTCAAATTCATGAAAACCTCTAATTTATTAAGAAAGATCAGAGAGAAACGAACACTCTTTCTAAGTCCTGAAGATATCTCATCAGAGGACAATTTCTCCATAGAGTCACATGCATTCAGATCGTATCTAGTTCCAAAAGGAGAGTGTGATATTTTCTTTGCCACCGACTTCAATATCATGCAACAAGTTTACAGCAAAGTTTGTCAAGATCAAGGTGGCCTAAGAGGATCACTCGTCATGAAATCATCTCAATTCATGAAAGAATATGCAGAGTATGAAAATTTTACTACAAAATCAGGATACAATCCATTATTGAAAGATTACACAAACTTTTCATTCTTCCTCAGTTAAATTGATTTAAAAATACAAGTCAATCACGTTTTGTTCACCACCATAATTATGGCGCGTCTACTTTTTATGGAATTACATAAGAAAAAATGTACACCAAGCACATTGTGGCCTTGTTTTGTTTCGTCTTGTTGTGTGATGTTGTTGCTGTCAATGCAGCAGCAGACATTCTCTCACAAATGATGGAACAAATTCAACAAGTAAAATCATCATCGTGCAGGTACACTGCCACAGGTGTTGATTTCTCACAATGTAACGGTTATTCTAAAGGCATACTTCCTCCCATGTATGCAATGTTAGGATATAATCCAACCTCGACCGATCTATTCACCCTTCCTATCACCGAACCGAGTACAAACATTATTGTTGAGGGATATTTTAACCCTCAGGATGTTCTGCCGAATGTATGCGAATTCGAAAGTGGCTATTCTACACTCTTCCAAAATTCAACACCTAATAACTCTGAATTTACACCAAATTTATTTTGGAATTTCAATACTAATGACTATTCAAATATATTTGGAAATGTTCTTGACATTCAACATTCGTGTTCACTTCAAAGTGAAACCTTTGTTGCGTACAAAACTAATTCAGCAAATCTTGATTCTAATTTCAAGAAAATTATTTCACTACTTCCTATGGAGTATAATGAACAAGTTTATTCTTTATTTTACAATAGTTATGGACCTTTAGTTTCAAAAGGTAAATATGGAGGAAGTAGAATTGAGACAATTGTAAAATCTTCAAATTTAGGTGTGAATAGAGATAGTTCAAAAGTGAAAATTGTTGGTGGTTATTCTGAAAAGGATAAACAGAGTTGGTCTTATTCTGTCTATAGGAATCCAACTATGGTTGATGTTGAGTTGATTAGGATGAGTGATTTTATTAGAAATTTGAATTTGGCCTCTAGTAAGGTGATCAAAAACATGATTAGATTTGAAAAATCATTGTTAACAAGTATTTCTAGTAGAGATGTATACCAATCGATCTTGGAGCAAAACCGTCCTTGTAAGAATATTATACTTTCTAATATGTATGAAATCTATATACACTATGCATGCTATGTTCCAAACGTGTACACAAATGACTTAATTTCAAGAACCTATGGTTATCAAACCAAATCAGAAAACATTTTCAAATATGGGGTTATGGGAAAGGTTTGGAATTTAGATTTAAAATGTGGTCCTTCAGAAACAATGAATTTTGACAGAAATCATAAATCAAAATTCTTTTCATTGCGTTCCAATAATGAGCCACCTCAATACCCTTTCACTAGACCAGTATATTTTGATTTGAATGAATTTAATAGCCAAAACAAAAATGACTACCGACATTTCAGAGAGGCAGCACCCTATTGGAAATCAGATATTGGAAGTAGGACACCTTTAGGAATTTTGGGTTACTGCTCTCCAGTCAAGTTAAAAGGTATGAAGCCATTGAATTTATACAAGTATAGCATCAATGAAGGGTTTGGACATTATTTGAGTATTTATTCACCTTCAACACCACCTTTAGAATACAATATTGGTTATACATATCCTCCAGATACTGGTATTGTACAGAAACAAATCGAATCAGGAGATCCTGATTTGATATATTTCAAAGTTTGTGTGGAATTGGAAACAGATTAAGAGGCAGGATAAATATAACACATAAAATATTCTTTTTTGAATTGTGAGGGTGCTGTGCTTCCATAATAATGATAATAATTAAAATACCTATTAAGCTCAATCATTCCCGCATATTGCTTTGAAGAACAGTATCCTATTGGATAAACATATGTGTTTGAGTCTTTTGCCACCTTGTCAACTTCTGCTTTGGAACCAGTCACAAATGATTCATAAGCTATCTTTTGGTATTGAATTTTGTAATTTTGAGCCAAATAAATTGGCAAATCATACTTGTCAGATTTTTCGTGAGAAAGAATTCCAATAGCCCTTTTTCTTAAAATTCTATAATTCATAAAATTAATATAGTTTAAACTCTCTGAAAATGGAACCAATTTGTAAAACCATTTGTAATAACTTAAATATTGAGATTGATCCTTATTCGATTCAGCTGTGATTTCGCCAAACATGAATAAATTATTCGTGCAACTATCTGAAAGTGAGTACCAATTATCAAAGGATTGATCAATGTAATTTGTGTCCAGAAGTGGTAAATTTGACTGGCTCAACATTTGTAATACTCTTTCATTGGTTAGTTCATACTTTTTAAGATATTCACTCAAAGTCATAATTGAAAAACCGGCTTTTCCTGGATATTGAATTATATCTTGTTCGAAAGTTGTCGAATTTCCTTTCCCTCCTATTAATATTTCATCTTGATTACTAATTATTTGCGAAGAAGCACAAGAACTACTACTATAATTAGCAAACAATCGAATTCCTCCATATTTGATATTTGTCACAACATAGGGACCATAAATTTGAAAGAAATTATTGAAAATTTTCTCATCTGTACTTCTTTCAAGAGCTGCAAGAGCACTCATCATTTCACTATTGTGTGAAATTGACATTTTCTCATCTGCTTCACTTGTAATGTAGTACTGAGCACTAATTGTGCACGATAACTTTAGTTTCAATACATTAGAATAGAAACTCTTGTATCTATTCATTGTAAAAGGCCATAGTGGTGAATGTGGACTCATACTTTCTGATAATACTTTGTTTAGTCCATTCGTAGTGATTGTAGAGGAAAGTAACGTTTCACCCAACAAGGAAGTGTTACCTACCCCCTGATCACACACTCCATCTACAGTGTATTCCACTGGTTTCGGCAATGAATATTTGGTTTTGTAATTTGTGAAGGCAATATTCTTGGAGAATGTGATTCCACCATTTTGTGAATATTTTGCAGTGACAGAGAAGGGTCTTGTTTGTTGTTGATGAGTTGGATGACCACACAGAAGGAGAAGATGCAACAACAGAATGACTGCAAGTCTCATTACACATTCTCTTTCCATTTTTTCATGTTTTAAAACATATCGCATTAGTTATTGGAAAATGGCCGAAACGTGATTAAAGGTCAATATGAGAAAAAAATGAAACAGCTTCAGAGGAAATACATTGCTCACCAAGTGCTTATTCTATTGTTTGTCTTTTTAGCATTGTTTTCAAAAAGAACAATGTGTAACAAAGCTCTTGGGATCTCAACAATTGTTGTGGGAAACTTGACTAATCCGTTTGGCCTCTCCATAACCAATCAATCACTACTAGTGGCCAATACCATTGGTCAGACAATCCTCTATGTAGATTTGAATAATTACTTTAATTATAGTGTCATTGTGGGTGTGAAAGATGTTGCTGGATTTAACGGAGATGGTCAATTGACATATTTAAATATTACACTTGCCAATCCACAAAAAGCTTTTAAATATAATTCATTGATTTATGTGGCCGACACTTGGAATCAGAGAATTAGAGTTATTGATGGGAATTTTATGTATACTTTAATTGGTGATGGTGAATGTGGTGATTCCAAGAATGGAAATGATTTAAAATCTTTTCAATTATGTAATCCAACGGATATATTCGTATTGGATGATATAATTTATATATGTGATTCTAATAATCATAAAATAAGAAAGATACAAAATGGAACTGTTGAAACCATATGTGGAAATGGTGACAATGGATTTAATGGAGATGATATCAAGGCAGTTGACGCAAGTTTGAATGAGCCTCAATCTATATACGTTACCAGAAACACTAAAGGAACAGACCATATATTATATATAGCCGATACAAGCAATCATCGAATTAGGAAAGTGGAAAACGGAATTATTTCAACTATTTGTGGAAATGGTGAAAGTAAATATAATGGGGATTTGATTCCTGCTAAAGAAGCTTCTCTAAACAATCCAAAATCTGTATTGGTAACATCTGTTGGTGAGGTTTATTTCAGATTTTTCAAATAATAGAATTAGAAAAATTTTGACAAATCAAACAATAATGACAGTAACAGATTTAATAGATTCTCCAACAGGAATGAGTTTGGATGAAAAGAATAGCACTTTATATGTTTCTGAATTTCTTAAAGGTCAAGTGAAAAAGATTAGTTTTCAATGTTCATATGGATATAAGATAGATTCGTATTTCAATTGTGAACCATTCTGCGAAAATGAATGTAAACATGATGGAATATGTATTGCACCAAACAAATGTGATTGCTACTCTAAATATGATGGAGATTATTGTCAATATCCTATTTGCTATGGAATTCCAAGTAATATTAATTCCACATGTTCCAAAAATGGGGAATGTCAAGATTTTAACAAATGCCAATGTTATGATGGATATTTTGGAGATGATTGTACAGGAATACTTTGCTTTGGAAAGAACACAACAGATGCAACTGTTTGTTCTGGGCATGGTAAATGCATTGCCAAGAATCAGTGTTCCTGTACAGATGACATGTTTGGAGGATTGGAGTGTCAATATCCTAAATGCAGGGGAATAGAATCTGATAAGAAAGAAGTATGCTCATCACATGGTAAATGTGAAGCTCCAAATACGTGTTCATGCTTTGAAAACTATGTTGGAGAGGACTGCCAGTTTATTTCTTGCTTTGGAAAATATTCGAATGATTCTAATGTGTGCTTTGGAAATGGCAATTGTTCTTCACCAGATTTTTGCGCGTGTAGAAAAGGTTATACAGGAACTGAGTGTGAATATACTACTTGCTTTTGGAAAGTTTCAAACGATTCCTCTGTTTGTTCAGGACATGGCAAGTGTGTGAAACCTGACACTTGTGAATGTTCCAATCATGATCAGTTTACCGGTATTCAATGTGAAATACCAATCTGTTATGGTGTTCCAGCAAATAATAACAGTGTTTGCTCTTCACAAGGTACTTGTATTGATGTAGAAAGTTGCCAATGTAACTTGGGATATCATGGACCTATGTGTAATGTAATTGAATGTTTTAATCAATATTCCAATCAGAGTAGTGCCTGCAGTGGTCACGGGCAGTGCATTCTACCAAATCTATGCCAATGTCATGAGAATTCTTTCACTGGACTTGAATGTGAACTTCCAGTATGTAACAATATTACACAAACTGATCCAAGAGTATGTTCTGCTAATGGAGAATGCAAAGCAATCAATGATACTACGATATGTGATTGTAGGAATGGATATGCAGGAACTGATTGCGAATTTCCAACTTGTCTTGGAATTCCTTCATCTGATGTCGACAGAGTTTGTGGTGGAAAGGGAGATTGCTTGGCCCCTAATTTGTGTAAATGCAAAGATGGACTATATGATGGATTATATTGTGAATTTCCAACATGTAGTGGAAAATCAATGAGAAATAATACGGCATGTAGCGGTTTGAATCAAGGAATTTGTGAATCTCTAAACAATTGTGTCTGTAAACATGGATATACAGGAAACGAATGTCAAATTCCAATATGTTTTTCTGAATTGTCATCGTCACCTCTTGTATGCAGTGGACGTGGTACTTGTACATCAGCTGACCGTTGCAAATGTAAGAACGGCTATTCAGGAAAGAATTGTGAAGTTCCTCATTGTTTTGGTATCAGTGCTAATCTTTCAAGAGTTTGTAACTGGAGAAATGGTACCTGTGTTGATAAGGATCGATGTGAATGTAATTTAGGATATCATGGCAATAATTGTCAAGTTCCAACTTGTAATGGAATTCTCTCTACTGAGCCGTCATGTTGTGGAGGACCATTGCGAGGTCAATGTTTGGCTCACAACTCTTGCTCATGTGCCCATGGTAAATATGGTGGACCAAATTGTGAGTTTTCCTATTGCTTTGGAATACTTTCGAGTGAGGCAAATGTTTGTAAGGGAACGGGAACTTGTATTTATCATGACAAGTGCGAATGCCATCTTGGTTACGCTGGTAGTGATTGTGGAGTCCCTTTAGAGGCAGTGTATATTGCCTCATCGATTGGCGGAGTTATTGTCTTGGCCTTATTAGTCATTCTCCTTGTTGTTTGTTCCTTGTATTTGAGAAAAGTTATTAAGGCAAAGCAAAATTTGAAAAGAATGGAGAATCTTGTCGATGATAGGGAAATGTATACATCATTGGTAGAAACCAGTTTTCACAGCACATCCTCGAAGGATTTGTTTTTAAATCCGAGTGACTTTCAACCAATTCAGGGACAATACAGAGCCATGGAAGGTGGGCAAGGAAAAGTCTACGTCGCCAATTATATTGGTATCAAAGTTGCACTTAAAAAGTTCCATAACAATGTTCCAAATGATGACATGGACGAATTGTCAAATGGAATTTCTGAAGACATTGAAAAGGAAATGAGAATGTTAAACGGTCTAAGACATCCAAGTATTGTTACATTTTATGGATATACTCTCTATAATGGATCTCCTTCCATGGTTATGGGATACGTTCCTCACGCCCTAAATTCAATCATTTACAAAATAAGGAGAGGTCAGAAAATGAGTTTGGATTTGAAAATTCAAATAATTTACAATGTTAGTCAAGGATTGGAACATTGTCATACAAGATCTCCTCCAGTGATTCACAGAGATATAAAATCAGCAAATATTTTACTGGATGTCAAGTCTGAAGAGGAAAATATTATTTCAGAAGTAACAGAAGTCAAGATTTGTGATTTTGGATTAAGTACTAAAGCGGATAGAGCTGAAACAAAGGTTATAGGTACTCCACATTATATGGCACCTGAGCTATTTACTTTGAGAAATATGTACACTGACCTGTTTGTAAATGATGATGAAGATGAAGATGAAATTACAGATGGCAGCTTTGATGATTCAGTGGATTATGACACATCTTCCGATGTATATTCTTTAGCTATTGTTATGTGGGAGCTATTCTTTGAATTACCACCGTATGACATGTCCGTTTATGATCAATGTCATCCTTCACTTTTTAGAAAAATTGCCAAACATCGAAAAATGTCTGCCCAAGCCTCCAAAGATTTACTTTCAAGAGGTATTCTCCTGAGTAAGGCTAATTTCAGACCATTCATCCCATTCGATGATAGCAACACTCAAGATTGGTTATTGAATTACAGAACCTTTGATGTTAAATTATTTGGAATTGACCAACTTGAAACCTTAACTAAACAATTCATAAATCTCATGAAAGAATGTTGGAAGACAGATCCATATCAAAGACCTCAATCTTCCAAACTCAAAGAACAACTCCAAAAGATGCTGAATAAGAAATAAATAACTTGACATTTGAATGGTAATTGAAAAAATCCAATCGACAAGCATTTAAAGACAATAAAATTCAATTTTCTTCAACCTCTGAGAATATTAACATTTGAATTTCTTGTAAAGCAAAGACCTGTCCTCTTGTCTTACCCTTCAGCCGTCACAATTTTACTTCACACATCAAAACTTCTAAAAAAAATAATACTAAAACAAAATGCCTAACGACGCCTACGATTACTCAGTCAAATTAAAGACAGAATTCGAACCAGTTCTCAAATTCTTCGAAGTAAAACCAACAGGAAATCTCTTCAAAGATTTAACACTTTTAGCAGAAGCCATCGAAGGCGCCAAAATTGATGAAAAATTGACAAAATTCTTTTTCGATTTTTATGATCGTGACGGCAATGGAACAATAAGTCGTGACGAGTTATCAGTTCTTGTTCGGGATATTGGTGAAGCTATGGGTGATGATTCTATGAAGAATATTACTGATAGTCAATTAGATGATGCTATGGCAATTTTGGATGAAGATGGATCAGGTGAAATTGAATGGAATGAATTTAAGAATTGGTTTGATGAATTGATGGTATGTTTTTATATATTTATAATATTTAATTATAATATTTAAATATTATTAAATATAATGATGATGATGATATTTAACATTGCCTGTTTCGGAATAATTATAGCAAAATGATGATGGTGAACAAAAGTAAAAAACCAAATACATCACCACACCCATGATGATTCATTCCCTTTTCTCTTTCCATATATATTTATAAATTATGATTCTAACACATCATTCAAACAAAAAAAAAATTGTATAAAACTTCGAAATTATTTTCATTTGGTGCGGAATATTATTTTCTATTAGATTATCTAAAAACTTGAATTTTCACATCAATTTTAGAAGAAGTGTCATCTTCAGATCAATTTACAAAATATTTTACTATTGACATTTTAGAAAAAATTCTCTTCTCTTTAACTTTTACTAAAGCTTACTCGGTGGCAAACTTGTTCTTCATCGGAAAAGATGAAATCACTTGGATGGCCCAAAGATACCACTCACTGTGGGCAAAGATACCATTTTGTTGATATTTTTATGAGTAAAGAACGGAGAAGATTAAACACTTTAGAGTGGCAATTATGTTGAAAATATTGACTTGAATGTAATTGATGAGAATAGTCCTGGATGACAATCATACAAGGAAATGAAACAAGAGTGGTATTTATCACATTGTGATATTCTTGACAACAGGTTTTTGAATGATGATCATATCACTTTACAACATCATCAAGACATCACCAAATAACCTATGAGATAGTCCAAAAAGAGAAAATTCAAAAACAGGGCAATGAACAACCAGAAGACATTAGCAAATGAATCATACCATTAATATTGACAAGATGCAAAGGTTTGACGTGTTAAGAAGGGATTATTTATGCAAATTTCGCTTCTTGTTTGAATATTGTCACTTTCCATCAAATATTGCAATACAACATCAAGAGGCATTAACTTATAATAGGGCCATGCGAAAATAATCGTTGGCTCCATATTCAGACTAGTGTTCTTATTCATTTTGTGCTCATCAGAAAATGTACTGTCCTAGAAATCTCTGATCATCAAACGATATGGCAGCTAATAGCTCAAAAATCAAAATCAAAAAAACATAATGACGTCCAGAGTGTTTCCTCAATCACAAAACACAGCTAGAGTCGCAGGAAGTGTAGTACTAAACGATGCAGAAACTTCCTCTCAATTTGGAGCAGGAACTTCTACCACTTCAAGCTCATTTGCTTCATCATTGGGTGGGAAAAGTGTTGTAAACAATGCAGGAATAAGTATTTTCTCACTGATAACAACTCTAAGACCTAAAGATACACTAGTTGGTGACGAGAATACTTACATGTTCCTAGGAATGATATTCTATCATATCTACTTGATATACAACTCTGTAATACTCTCATCACTTTCAACACCAATGATTAGAGATGACGATACTAGAACATTGTGGGGAGTTATACCTGGTTGGATATGGAGAGCTTTGTATTTTCCAATCAATTGGGCATCTGAATTCTATCCTTACTTTCTAATTATTTCACTATCAATAGCGTTTCTAATTTTACAATTTTCAACTTGTTTTGGAATTTATTATTGTAAATGGGCTTCAAGAAAGGGAGGAAAATTATTTGGAAGGATCAAGACATTTCTGCTGAATTCATTGTTATTCCAAAGAACTTTTACTTTATTCATCTTGTCTATTCATGCAATTTTGTTATCTCCAAATCTGGATTCCCAAAATGGAACTTTATATTATTTTCCAAGTCAATCTTTCAGCTCAGTGATACAAATAGTTTGTACCGTAATAGGATGTGTTGGAATATTGTTGAATATTGGTTTGACGGCTATTGCAACACTTTTAACTGCTGAAACGAGCCCTAAATTGAGCAAAAGAATTTGGTTTTCATTGTATTCAATTTCGCCTTTCATGTTCTTTAATTTTGTGAATCAAATTAGTTTAGTTTCAACTATTATTTGTACAGGACCTTATACCTATGTTGCTTCTATTGTGAAGATTGTAATGAACGTATTCCTGCTTATAGTAACGATGAAATCCTTACCATTCTTTAGAAAATGGGAGAATTGCTTTTATTTGGCATTGGTTAGTTTGAAAGTTTTTACTCCAATCCCAACTTTAATTTTGCAATTTCTTTCCTCGAATCAATTGAATCAACAAGAGATTGGTGGAATAATGACTGGTGTTACTTTTGCAACGGCAGTCATTTCTTTTGGATCTGGCTTTATTATTTCTTACGTTTGGTTAGTAATTGAAATGAAATCAGTCAGAAATATGATTTCTAATAAGGAAGACAGTTCCGCAGCATTGCTTCTTCTTGAGAAATCAAAAAAGAAACAAGATAGTCTTTCACTATTCCTAAGATTTGCAAGCAATAGTGCTCCAGAAATGAAAGTGAGGGAAGGAAGCGATTTTGACTTGGCCAAACATGCTGTAAACACACTAGTCAAACCAATTGAAAATGTTGAACTGTTAATTGTCAGTTCCTTATTTGTATCATTTGGTGGTATTCCAGATTATGATAGTTCTCAATCATTTAGTATTGGATTGGCTCTATTACAAAAATCTCAACGAATTTCACCATCACTAGCTCAGGTATTCAATATCATGTTAAGAAATGAAGAAATAGAATATCATGCCTTTCATGGAAATAATCTTGAAGTTTTAAGAAAACTTGTAATGGTTGAAAAGAAAGTGAAATCATTGTCTAGATGCCACAAGTCATTCTTTAAAGAATTATTGAATGATAAACCATCTATTGGTAAATTAGAACAGATTAATAGTGCCAGTTGTTCAATTTATAACGAATGCGACACAATTTATGATAATTTACTGGCTTCTAATAGATCCAACAAGACTCTGTTGAGATCGTATGCTTCCTATTTGGAAAAATACAAGTGGGAAATCCAGTTAGCAAAACAATTATTTGAGGAAGCTCAAGACAATGATGAAGATAAGAATAAGCAACCGTTTAAGGCATACGAATCCTCATTCCATAAAGGGAACACCTCTAGGTTTAGTATAGATTCACAAAGAGCTAATATGGATGGTTGGGATTCAGTAAGTGTTGCTGGTGTAGAAGAGAATGACGAAGAAAGAAAAGATCATGTTTTGAGAATGGCAATCAACTCTCCTATGTCAACAATTGTATATTCCACATTGTTTTTCCTATTCTGTGCTCTCTCAGTACTAACTATTTGTATCGTTGCTCCCGTTTCACTTGTATTTTCTCAGAGTATCAATGAGAGAATGACCATGCAAGAGAAGGTATGCCTAATGACCTCAGTTCCATACAAATTATTAGCTCAGATTCAAGCACTTCAAACAGAATATAATTTGAGAGGAAATAATACTGAAAAGCTACTTAATTCTACCATTGATTATACTAATAACTTGTTGGATACTGTTAAAACAGTGGTATCGGCTGGAGACAATAATATGCTAATGCCAGAAGTTGCCAGAGAATATTTGAAAAATCAATACGAACTTCAACTTCCAATTACAAATGATTCATTAATTGGAAAGGAAATTCCTGCATATACAGCCACCAACGCCTCTATTCAATTCTATTTATCTGCTATGTACACTCATGGAAAGACCTTGTTAAATGAATTTAATGCTATGGACGGACTGGTTTCGAATACCGATGAGAATTATGCTTTCTTATTTATTTTCTACAATAGAATTCCAATGACTTTAGCTTTCAATAGCTTGTGCTCTAAATTTGTTGAAGAAAGTGTATCTTCAATTGAAACAAATTTTGAACGCTTGTGGATAATCACAGTTTCCACTCTGGTAACTTATTTGAGTATTTCACTAATTTTCTTTACAATATTATTCACACACTCGAGAAGACTTGTTGTTGAGCTCAAAGAAATATTTAGAAGAATAACCAAAGATGAAATAGGGAAAGTTTATCACAATTTCGAAAAGAAAATAGATGATTCTATTAGCTCTTCAAATAACCTTTTGAAAATGAGCAATATCCTAATGATTGGAAGTTTCCTCTTTGTAATCATCATCTGCCTATGTTCCTTACTAGTCATTGTAGAGCTCAACAGCAACACCAAACAAAGTGCTCAATCCATGAATATTGTCGGTTCAATCAATGCAGTTTCATTAAGAACTGCAAGAACCAACTTTAGATTACTCTGGTATATTGATAGGATAAAGTATTTAACCTTGGAACCTTCATTTGTTAACCAAGAAAATAAGCAAGATTTACTAGATTTGAGAACTTATTGGAATTATGTTGTGGTAGGCGATGAATCAACTTCTTACACATCTGCCATTTATGGAAAATATGATGATGTTGATTATATATTATCTGATCTTTGTAATGATACTATTTCAATGGCTGATCCTTGTCACAGTTTAACTGCTGCCTTGACTGATTACATTACAAAAGCTCTTGATTACAATGAAGTGTTCTATTACCAAAAAAAGAGTCAGACATTTATGGTAAATGAATATTTTGGGAAGATATTCTATGTTACGCAGACAATTACTTCCAATTTACAAACTTTAATCTCTGCTCTTGTCACTCATGAAAAGGTTTCAAGTGTTGGGATAACAGCTTCTATGATTAGCTTATGTTTTATTTCCGCAATTTTATATGCTGTCATATGTTATTCATCCTTGAATAGGTATTGGAAAGAAAGAGCTTGTTTGAGAATGATGTTGAATTATATCAATTTAGATCTCATTGAAAGCAATTTGATATTGAGAGAATATGTCATGTCAAATGTTGTTCCTTCCTCAAAGATTTCCTCTAAAATAGTGCCATCTTTTGAAAGTGAGAAAGAAAAGGATGAAAAGATTGAAATGGTCAAGACCATATTGAATGGAGGCGTAGATTCTGCAATTATTTGTGATAAGGATGGAAATATTACAATTTTCAATAATTCTGCTGAGGAAATGTTTGGCTATTCCAGATCACAAGTTTTAGGTTTACCAATTCAAACTCTATTCACTTCTGAATATTCTGAGAGAATCATGAAATTGGTTTCTACTGGTGAATCGCATGATTCATTCGAAGCAATGTCTCAGAGACGAAACAAGACTCATTTCTCTTCAAAGGTTTCAGTTTCCATTTCCATTCATGAAAAGAAACAAATTTTGATTGTCTTTATTCGTGATATTACTCCAGAAAAGAAACAGAGTTTATTAATTGCTGAGGAAAAGAAGAAGAGTGAAGATTTACTTTTGAATATTTTGCCAATGTCCATGGCTTCAAAATTGAAGAATGGTGAGGAGCATTTATATGAAAAAGTGAATGATATTACTGTTTTCTTTAGTGATATGGTTGGATTTACTGCATGGAGTTCAAAACTGCAACCTAGTGAACTAGTTCATATCCTAAACTCGATTGTTACTGGATTTGATAAGCTGACTGAAATTCACTTGATTGATAAGATTAAAACTATTGGAGATGCCTATTTTTGTGTAAGTGGATTACACTCATGTAAATCTTCCGATCACCCAGAAAGAATGTTAAAGTTTGCCATTGAAATTATGTCCTTTTTAAAGAATATCAACACATCAAATCAAACATTAATTAATGTGAGAATTGGCATGCACACAGGCGATGCTGTTGGAGGAGTCATTGGATTTAAAAAGTTTGCCTACGATCTGTGGGGTGATACCATCAATACTGCCTCTCGTATGGAATCAACATCACTTCCAGGTAGAATTCAAATTTCCAGATCTACCTATGGAAGAGTTTATGACCTATTCGAATTTGAAGAGAGATTAATTGAAGTGAAAGGAAAAGGAGAATGTCAGACTTATCTACTGAAAGAGAAACATCATGAGAATCCAATAGCTCTTAATAACATGGCACAAGTGGAAGATAATGATCATTTAGAAGTTTCACAAGGACCATTTTCAAGCCATAAAGAAGATGAGCAACAGCAACAGTAAAAGTAAATTGATTTTACATCTTAAAATTGTTTCATACATCCAAATCCAATAAGGTATGGATAAAATGCTCCAATTAGAACGTTGAATATCGAAAATCAAACTCTGCAACACAGTAAAAATCAATGAAAAACTTGATTTTCCTCCCGTAACTCGAAAATGACAAGTGGAAAAAAGAGCGAAAACACATGTCCCAAGCAAATTCATTGAGCAATGAAGGTGGTGGTATCAGCAAAGATGTTAATCCACCTGTTGAAGATTTTCCGTCTGCCGAGGTGGAAGAGGAAGAATTTTACAATTCATCATTTGATGATAGAAAACAAGTGAGTGGGAGAATTGAAGAACAACAACAACATGATGACGATAATCCAATTTTGATGACTATTCCATCATCAAATTATGGATATTCCATCAATGATAATTCCGTTTCGCAACTACACCAACAACAACAAGGAGAAGAACAACAATTTAATTCTTCTTCGGCTACCATCCATGCCAATAGTTGGAAAGAGAAAATTCAAGCTATGAGAGGAGGTGGTTGGAGAGAGTATTTCAATATTGTTTCGATTTGTTCCTTTCTGACTGTAACATTGTGTTTCGCTGCTGTTTCGTTTATTTTCTTGATTTATCCATTTGTGTATGTGAGAGATTTTTCACACACTTTGGTAGAAAGTTCACAAATCAAATTGCAACCATACTATCCACTCGGTTATAAACCAAAAGGATATGTACCAAAGTTTTCTCAAGCAACCACCAAATTGACAGTTCCAGGAAATGCAAGATTCATAATGTTATCTTTTGTAGCAAATGCATCAGTGGAAGCTGTCGTTTTCAGAAATACTCTCACTTACTATAATCAATTCATTGATGCAACAGCTTTGAGTGCCTACTATACGAATCAGACACAATTCATATTCGATAATCCTTTGGAAAGAAGCTTTTTTGTAATTTCAGAAAATTACTATGCAACCAGATTCTTTGCAACAAAGATTATGAATCATACGAGTTTGGAGTTTGATAATTCTCCATTGAATAATGAAAACAAAACTGTGCTGTACATTGTTTGGAGAAATGAAAATTTAACTCCTCTCGAAAATACCATTGTAATCGATTATTGGTACAGACTTGAATATGATGATTATAGGGAGACTACAAGTTTCACATTTGCCATGATTTCATTTGGTGCTTTTGTTCTTGCAGCTAGTTGTGTCTTGTTAAATACTCCAACAGTTTCTGGAATTTTCTCAATAGTTTACAATTTCTTGAGAAATTTACTATCATTCAAAAAACCTCTACCTGAAAATGGAGAGTGGAGTATTGATAATACTTTAGCACGAGGAGCTGACATTATTTTCCAAGATTTGTCATTTGTCTCATTCACAGATAAGGTAATTTTATATCCAACAACTGGAATTTTGAAAGCTGGCAAGTTAACAGCAGTTATGGGTCAATCTGGTTCTTCAAAATCAACTTTTTGTAATGTTCTTTGTGGAAGAGCTTCCCATGGTATTCAGAAAGGAAAAGTCCTAATCAATGGAAATTCATTCTCTGGAAATACTAACAATTTAGTTGGATTTGTTACACAAGATGACATTATGTCTCCTCATTTAACTGTCAAGGAAACTTTGGAGTTTTCATGTAAGATTAGAAAGAATAAGAAGAATTCTGAAAAGGTCGAAGGTGTAATGCAAAAGTTAGGAATTACAAAAGTTCAAAATTCACAAACTTCAGTAATCAGTGGAGGTGAAAAAAGAAGAACATCAATTGGTATTGAAATGGTTGCAGACACACCAATTTATATTCTAGATGAACCTAGTTCTGGACTCGATTCAGAATCTGCTCTCTCCCTTTGTAAAACCCTTAGAGAAATAGCAGAAGAAAACAACTCGAATATTATTTGTGTTATCCATCAACCTTCATATGAAATATTGGAACAATTTCATGATATAATGCTGTTCAGGGAAGGTAGATTACTATTCCACAGTCCTGTACCAACTGTAATCCAATCACTCAAAGAGCATATCCCTTCTCATATTATTCGTAGCAATCCTGCTGATGAGATTTTGAGAACTCTTTCAACAGATTCTGTTGAAATTGTTAATTCCATTATCAAAAATACTGATCCAGCCATTCATTCCATTTCGAGAAAGCTCGAATTAGATTGGAAAGATATGAAAACTTCACCATTTTACATTCATTTCTATGCATGTTTTGTGAGAGCTGTCAAACAATTCTACAGAGATTGGAGAAATTTGATATTTGAAATTCTCATTTCCTTTGTTGTTGGTTTGCTTATTGGAGTATTATTTAATGGTCTTGAATTTATTGGAAGTGTTTCAAGTTCAAAATATAGCAAATGTCCAATAGAAATCAGAGCTGGTTGCATGCTTCCTCAATCGGATACGATTGCTCCATACTCATCTTTCCTCGTTTTGGCCATTGCATTGATATCTATAATGAGAGGTTTGAGAGTTTTTGGATTTGAAATTGAGAATTTCAAAAGAGAATCTCATGTAGGTCTCAATTCTTGGATGTACTTTTTATCGAAGGATTTGATTTCAATTTTTGTGATTGCTGTCATTTCTTTCAGTACTACATTTGGCATGTTATCTGCATTACCACATACTAACTTTTTCATTCTCTATGCCATTGTATTTCTAACAATTATGGCTGGTTTTCCAATTGGTTATACATTGTCATTCTTCTTTGATCCACAAATAGCTCAATTGGCAGCTGCCTTAGTAGTTGTAGTATTTTACAGTTTTGGAGGAAATAATCCAACCATTCCTGAAATTGAAAAGCTTTCTCCAGTTCTTGCCTACAGTCACGTTATCACCTATTTTAGATATATTAGAGGTTTAATTTATATGGAAGAACTTATTACAAGAAGAGAAGATAACGACATTGCATCAGCTCTTAAGGTGAATGGATATGAAATTGAAGCAATTTCATTCTACTTTTATGCTCTCTTCTTTTGGATTGTAGTTTTCAGGTATATGGCAGTATATTGTATGTGGGCTTGGAAACCTCGTTCTCTGTTCAGTAAGATTAATTTCCTATCAAGGAGATTGACTGGACGATTCTCTACCTGGTTTTCAAATAAGATTGTTCAACCATTGAGAATGAAAATGAAAAGAAATAAGTATAAGGAAGTTGATAACTCTGAAGTAAATCCTTTCAAGCAATAAATCTCAAATTACTTATTAATGGTTCAACTTGATTAGTAAATTTAAACCTTATCATTTATTGTTGAAAAATTTAAAGAAATTCCAAGATTTGTTGTCTTTACAGTTTTTGTTAATGTATGTAATTAAATGTTGTTTACCCTTTTCCGTTGCATACTTTTGAACGAATTCTATGGATGCCCCTTTTTTAATGAGATTTTGAGCCCACTCGGCACTGCCATTAATATCAGCCACAGTCACCAATGCACTGCTCAACACATTACTTGATAAATTGCAATTATTGAATATCCACTCAAAAATAATAGTATTTCTATTCTCAATCGCAATCTCTAAAGGATAACCACAATCAATGCCTTGTTCTTCGTGAAAATGTGGATAGTTATTCGAATACCATTGAATTGCTGGAAGATATTCAAGGACACAAGCTCTATGAAGAGGACCATCAATATAGTACATGTCTTTTGTTAAGGATATTTTCTGGCCATCTATGTTAATAGTTTCTAATTTTGGAGTTGACTTCAAGGCATCAATTATTTTTCCATTTTCCTCAATAATAGCAATAAAATACAAGTATTTTAAATTATTTGATAATACTGAATTAGTATTTTTCACATTAATATCTTCAAAATATTCCAATAAATTTGAATAATCAACATTGTCCAGTACGTCCAATAACTCTAAAACAGAAAATGATTTTACAGAAAATTCTTTAGCAATTCTGGTTAAATGTTCTGGTTCTTCTGATTTTTGTTGGTTGTAAGTAGTTGTGGCAATTTCAAACATTTGGTTATCATCCAATAGAGATGCAAAAGTCACTTGTCTGATATAATTCTGTTGATATTGTTTTCTACACCAATTGATTCCAATTAGTGTTGTAGTAGAAGGAGCATTTTCAATCTTCAACTGATTCCTTATTGAATCCAAGTCTATTGAAGGTCCATCACTAAAGGCAATAAATATAGTCTTTAAATGAGAGGGGAAATAGTTATTTGCTACCTGCAAACATGAATCTAGTAATGCTGGTTTCGAACAATCAATCAATAATATCATTGCTTTTGCATTTCTCATGTATGTTTCAAAAATAATTTTAAATCTTTCTTGTTCTGCTAAAAACCAGCATATAAACTTATGATCAAAGCAACTAACTAACCTAAAATCAACACCAATCAGTGAGTGAGAATTCCTATAAATATTTAACGATTTTGTAATGTTTGTATGTGCCGGTGATCCATAGAATGTTGCCAAACATAAATGGTACACAGGTAATTCAATTGGCTTTTCGATAATGGTCTGATTTGCTTGTTGAATTAATTGTTCAATAGAGGGACGATCATTTGGTTGCAAGCTCATCATTTTCAATATTAGCTCAATGAGATGATCAGAATATTTCATACGTTGATATTTTACAAAATAATCCTTCAATAACTTTGGATGTTTACACATTGAATTACATAGAGTTGATAAATCACGTGTCATTAAGTAATATAACGTGACACCTAATGCAAAAATGTCAGATTGAGTAGAATATGGTTGTTTGATATCCAATATTTCATAATCAATAATTTCAGGTGCTAAATATTTAAATGTCCCACTCAATTGTGAAATTTCTGTTGAACTATTGGTGTTAGTTTTTGCAAATCCAAAATCACTCAAACAAACTTGAATATTATCTTGTTTGGTATTAATGGATTTGATTAAAATGTTTGCAGGTTTAATATCTTTGTGTATGATATTAAATTTTTGAATATGTTTTAATGCATTTCCCATTTGTTCTATAATTAGTAATATCATTTTTTCAGATGGAATGTTATTTGGATTTTTAATGAAATAATCGAATAAGTTTCCAAATTCTAAACAATCCATTTCAATACATAAAAAAGATTGATTGTTGCTAATGAAAGCAGTATGCACACGAATAATATTCTCATGTGATACCTTAACTGTTTGTATAGCCTCATGTAATGCTTGATTCATGTCAAATTCCAAAGATGGATATATTACTTTGACAGCTGCAATACTTTGATTTTTTCTTTTCACTTGATAAACAATTCCGAATGCTCCACTTCCTAACTCGTTTATAATTGTTGAGTATCTATTTAATAATTCTTCTTTTACATTTTTGCTATTATTATTCAAACTATTAATATTATTATTCAAACTATTAATATTATTATTCAAAGTATTATTATTATTAATATTAATATTATTTGAAGTATTAGTAGTAGTTGTTGTATTTTCAAATTTCTTTATATTCTTGATCAAATTACAAATAGAATGAGCATGAATTGGTTTAATACCTAATTGAATAAGAGCCTGTTCATCGGAATAGAGAAGTGTAAAGCCTGTACATTCTTGTTCAATTAGTACTTATTGAAGTTATTAACTTGGATGAATAATTGTGAAAAACATACTGTCAACTACACTCTTGGGGCAACCATTCCGAAGTAGCCAATTACCCACCCGTTCTGTTGACCAAGAGGTAAAGTCATTGTCGTCCATTAACGTTATTTTTTTTTTGTAAAGCCAACAAAAAGTTAATTTTCATTCTATTCGAATCCTTAAAAGAAAAGTTAAAGTTTGATCACTCTTAATCATTGTGTTGTTGAAATTATTACAATTTTTAGGTAAAGAAGAATCAAGAAATGTTATTACTATTTGTTACAAATCAACTCCAGAATAGAATAAAAACTTGTTCAACAATCTCATGTACCAATGATCTATCAGAATGTGTTTCTCATTATTAGATGAGAATAATTGCTCACAAATTACTGAAGAAACTTTTTGAGGAGATTGAGCATTGTCCATCATCTTTTTAGCCACTTGATAGAGTTCCATATAAGGTTTGTAAAATTGTGAGCTTTCACTGAATGGTTTCATATTCAAAATTTGGGTTTTTGCAAATCCTGGCTCAATACCTATTTCAATAATTTATAAATCATTGTAAAATTGAATGAAAACTTACAAGTAACTCTCAATCCTTGAATAGATTTGAATTCTCTTCTCAAACCGTCTGAAAATCCATAAAGTGCAAACTTGGTGGTACTGTAAAATCCAGTAAATTTAACAGCACTGTAACTTGCAGCAGATGCAACATTAATTACAATTCCTTGATTAGATTTTGAATCGTTCTCTTGGTTGTTTGAAATCATCATTGGGTAAATACATCTCAACATTCTAATAGGTCCTAAAATATTCACTCCAAATACATCCAACATTTCAGTTTCGGATAATTCAGCTAATCCTGCTGTGTTTTTTGTTTTTGGTGATGAAGTAATTCCTTAATTAGACCAAATACTTGAGTGATATTCCATTCCAACAATTGATTTTGAATTAATTTTGCAGTGTTTTCAACCTGTTCATTATTCGTTATATCACATGCAAATAATTTCAACTTTTCACAATTATCCGAAAGTTCTTGCTCGAAAACTTGTTGCATTTGTGAGAGAGAATAATCAATTACAATAACCTTTGCATTCCATCTCGAACCCAATAATTCTTTAGCAACCAAAGATCCTTAATTAATTAAATATTTAATTAATATCATTATCATAAATACTTGAAATATATTTAAAAACCTACCAATCCCACCCGAGCCCCCAGTAATTACAATTACTCTATCCCGAGATGAAATATCACATTTTGGTGAATTCCTTCTCAACATCCAATACAACACTGAGGTTGCAATTGTTGTTCTCCACGGATTTTCCCTCATGACATTCCAAATATCTGCTAAATAATGATAAACACCACTATTTAAAAGCCCAGAAATTATTTGTCCACCACCAATATTAAATTTCTCCATTCGATTTTTCTTAAATTTTTTTATAATTTTTAATTTCTTTTTAATTTCCAAAAGATAATAATATTTAGGCGCGGTGATGAAAAACCGTAGTGATGAAGAATTATTATCATTGTAAATACAATTATCTACGTATTTCCTACAGTAATATCCATTTTTTACCTTTCAATACTTTTTCATTACTCTGCTAACTTTGAACTTGAAAAGGGAGTTGAAATTTCCAAGCAAATGATCCATAATTTCCAGAATCAGAGAATGCACTAGGGTGTGACCTAAATTGTGAATTCCATAGGTGAGATTCAATTACCTTTGGGCATTTTTCATGATTTTTTCACACTTGCAAAATTTGTTTGAAGGTGGTGGTTTCGAATAAAACGCAGGACTTCTTTGAATTCATTGAATAACAAATAAAACTGAATTCTATTCACTACATTAAGCCATTAATAAGAAAAATAAACATAAGGAATAAAAAGACAATCACTAATTTCGGCCCAACACTAAAAAGGCTTTTTGCAAACCAAATCAGTTTTGTAAACATTGGTTCAGTGAGAAGATACAGTTTTCCTTTACTGCAAAGTTTGCCGCCAATCAAATTTAAAAAATCCGCCAAGGCTTGTGGTAATATCGACGACGAGTTTATTTTTAAATCTTTGACTGAAAAAAATATCATCACAACTGCTTCTCTGCTACACCAAAATATCCTACGAATTTGAAAAATCTTTAATATTCATTTTCGAAGGTGCAGAAGATACTTCTAATCATCAACATCACTCTGATTTTTCACATTGAATTATTGTGTGAATTCAAATTTTGACTAGCCTAGTCCACCACCTACTAGTAATAACGATCTACCTAGTAGCAAGTGTATACTTTCGGTTATAACCTCAAGACTACCAACCTCCTCTTGCAGAAACACAACAGTATATTGTTGACTCCATCTTCTGTCTAGACTTTTTTGCACATCCCTAACTATTTATTCAATATTTAAACAACAACAACAACATGATGACTATGACTACAACTTCTCCACTGATGGTCTCATCAACAACTGCTAGTAATTCAACAACGACGCCAACGTCTGTATCACGTGCAAAAGACATTTCTACAATACCAACAACAACAAACGATGATGATAGCCTGCTGTCCAAAAGTCTGGGACACTACAATCCTGCACAAGGAACAAATATGCCTCGTGGATCTTACCATGATATTAAATCTAGATATTTCATGTCATTGAATCTGTCCTCACCACATAACACCACTCCCAAAACTCCTCCACAACAAACATCTCCATCCCTCCCAAATTCATCTGGTGTCATGAATACATCTGGTTCCCTCCTCACTAACAATATCAATAGAACCCAAAGAACGAGTAGCTTATCCTCCCAAATTACCAGACAAACTTCTCCTGGACAAAAACCTGAATCCAGAGAAAGAAGACAAACTTCCTATGATTTCAACAGACACTCAGAGGCTATTCCAATTCCTAGCAAAATGGCTGTACCAGTAGCTGCTGAAAGTCTAATGTATAATAATAATGGAACCTATGACCCATCAGTAGTTCCTAGTTTAATGACTGATGATTCAATGCCAATGATGTTCGATGGTGATTTTAGTTTTACTGATAGTAGCGAGAGTGGTAGTATTGATTTGTCACCTTTTTTCACTTCAAACACTCAATCCAATACTTCGTCCGTTGCTTCTTCCAAACAAATTGCTAAACCAGGCAAATCCAATATGAAAGGAAGTGCCTTGAATCCAAATACTACCAAGAAGAGCGTCTCTATTAAGATAGAGACAACAACTTCTGCAGTTAAGGATTCATCAGTTTCTTCAACGGATTCTTCAGAATCCTCAGAAGAAAGATCCCCTCTCACGCCAAATAGAACTATCATTCCACCTCACTTAATGAACAACCGTTCAGATTTCTCATTGTACAGACAACAACAAAAATATAATACTAAAGTTTATAAAATATAAATAAACAGAGAAAAAGATAAATAATGATTCTAACCATTGAGCAGTATTAATTCAAACCTAATCTTTCAATAATGATAAAGTGCATTTGTAGATTTAATATTGAATAGTATTACCAAATAAAAAAAGACTACAGCACCACAGGTTCCCAAGTTGTCTCCAACCTCAGTACTGATGTGGCTCGACGATGCTTAACTTCTCAAATCGGACGGGATGAGGTGCATTCATCGTGATATGGCCGTAGCCATTCACTTTCTTAAAATATGAAACAAAAAGGACAACGGGCCTACTTTCCAAAGGTTACAGGAGATAGAATTCATCTTAGCAACAAACTTCTTGAGATTTGCTTTTATTAAGAAAGAACGAAATGAGCAAACTTAAAGTTCGGTTGTCAAAACAATTAGATAATTTCCAGAAAAAACAAATCTAGCCAACATATTTGATTTTTGGTTGAAACGAACAAGACTGGCGCCAAAAATCCAAACGTTAAGCGTTATTTTATTTTTTCAAACTACGAAAAATGTCTCGAAAAGCCGTTGAGGATGTCATGAGAATTGAGGTAGAGATTATGGACGCCACCAGAGGCGTTTCAAATGCTCGACCTTCATCCTCTCATCACTCTACTAAAAACACCAACAACAATACGAACAACAACAATAATCAACCTACAACAACAAGCTCTTCAAATCAACAAGCACAACAACAAACCGTTAATAATATTAATAATAATACTAACAAACCTAAGGTTGTTCCTCCAAGGCTTGATCTGCAGCAACCTAGTATTACAAATCATCCGATTAATAGCAAATTTAATCAGAAATCACCTGTTCGTTCCTCACGATCCTACACAAACTCTAATGAAATATATCCACCAATTGCTTCTAATGTAGATATTGTAACAAAAAAGTATACATATAATAGAAATACTAGTTCTACATCACTTTTTGATAAAACACAAGCTCAATCAGCTCGTTTAAAAACTAAGGACACATTCAAGTCACCAAGATCAACGTATCAACAACAATCATCAAGACAACAAACAACCCAAAAAACTTCTCCTTTGAAATCTAGGTCCCCTCCAAAGGAAAGAAAACAATCATCTAGTATTGTATACTCACCACCAAAATCCAGAGATTCTTCAAGATCTCGGCCTCATTCAAGTCCTCCAGGAAGAAGATCAACAACTCCTAAACCAGTTAGAGATCATCCAAGCCATATAATCAATACAAATGTTCCTCTTTTCACACCTGGACCAGGAGCATATGAGGTTGATAAATCAAGCAAATACCTAAGACCATCCACTGCTATCTCAATGTCCAGAAATTCAAGATTCAAGGAAACCAAATTTGAAACACCTAGTCCTCATACCTATAATCCAGAAAAACCTTTGAAGAGGATGCCTTCTCCAAGATTTGGGTCGAGTAAGCGACCTGATTCTGCCAAGTCTGTCTCACCAGGCCCAATTTATGATGTTAATGATAATGCTCTCTCTAAAGTCAAAAACACACCTAGGTTCTCATTCCCATTATCTCCAAGAGATTTGGATGTAGAAAATAGAACACCATCTCCAGGGACTTACTCACCGAATTATTCGGCAACAATGAGAAAGTCTGTAACTGTTGTCTTTCCAAAATCTCCAAAACAAGAAAGGACAAAATCAACAACACCTGGACCTGGAATTTATGATGTGCCAAGTGGGAACAAACAAAAGAAAGAACCAGCTTTTTCATTTGCAAAATCTGAAAGACATTCTGACAAAAAGTCGGTGGTTGATAACCAATATGATGTTGCTTGGTCGTCGTTTTCACCCAAAGGCGTTTCAAAGTTTGGATCAACAAAACGTTTTTCATCACAGAAAAAGAATGATGTTCCTTTCCACCAAAGTCAGACAGAATGGAAAAAGACTCAGGCGGGTAAGTTTGGTAAGGACAGAAGGGCATTAAATGATATTAACTCATCAAAATTAACTCCTGGGCCAGGATATTATCAACCTAATTATACAGTAACTCTTCCTTCATCCTCTAAACCAGTGCTGTATCTGACAGGATAAATGTAATACTAAATAGCTCAATAAATTATTCAAGAATCTAGATTTTTAAAATGTTTGAAATAATTTAAATTGTCAATAGTTTATTAGTTTTGTTGCTTATAGATATCAGATGTGTCTCTCAACCAAAAAACATCATGAGTATCTACAGAGGTTTTGTAGAGTATTGCGTCTTGTCCTTGTGTAAGATTTGGTTTATAAACTCCTCTAAAGGCAACTGACATGTTATCACAAATTATGATATCTCCTTGCCTCCATTTATGTCTGAAAATTGGACCATTATCTAAATGATTAATAAGACATTGATTGAATTGTTTACAACATGAACAACCCATTGTCTTAATCTTTGTTTCAGGCAAATTAATAGTATTGTTAATATCTGAAGGTGGTAATTCACAAGTTTGACCAGAATTACACTCATCTGAGGATACCAAAAACCCTGAAAGAAGGCCAGTGTGCAAATACAAACTTTTCTTGGTTGTTACAGGGTGTTTTCTAACCAAAGGTTGAATAGCCGTACTTGTTGGTCCTTTGACAATACTGAAAACTTTGCCAGTCTTTTCCTTGACCTTGTCTTCCATTCTTTCATATGCCAGTTGTAGGTCAGTAAACAAAATTTCCTCTTCCTTATTACAGAAAGCTGCATTCCAAACTGTAATAGGAGTAGGATGAACCTCATGACGATATGACCCATCACAATTCCAATAAAAGAAATTGCCTGCAGCAAATGTTGGTTTGTCAATGTTATAAGTTGTCACATTTGGTGGGTTATTAACAAAGGAAGAAGGAGACATTGGCATTGGAGAAAAGGCAGAATCTGATTTCATTGGAGAGTATGGTGTTTGATATTGCATTTGATTTTGATTTGGCATTTGATTTTGGTAAGGTTGAACGCTTTGGGAAGATGGTGAGTAACTTTGATAATTAGAAGTGAATGAGGATTGGAATGAAGAACCATAGTTTTGATTTTGGTAAGAAGGAGGCGAGTTAAACTTTTGAGGAGAATTGTACATATTTTGTTGTGGAAGTTGTTGTGGGAGTTGTTGTGGTATTTGATATGGTGAATATTGTTGCATTTGAGTGTTACTATTTGGAGGTTGAGGAGAAATATTAGAAGGTTGAGGAGAAACAGGGCAAGCTGACATTAATGCACATTTCGATAACACTCTTTGATTTGCAAGAGAATATGATGATGAAACTACTTTCCAAATATCAGGATGTCCAGGAATAATAGTGTCCAGCTCATCATTCCAAATTTTCTCATACTGATTCACAGGATATGGATATCTACAAGTTTCTCCAAAAAGTTTTTCACAAAATTGTGTCTGTTCTTTTGGTGAAAGTGGTTTCTGACATCTGAAAAGCAGTAAATGGTGTTCAACCAAAGCTCTTCTAATTTCAATTATTTCATTATCATTCAAATTAGCACCGCCACAAGTAATATCAACATTCAAAATCTCTCTTCCGAATGGTAATGCTTGTGGATAATTTGAAGATATTATACTACTAGGATTTGAATTACAGCAACCAGAACCACTAGGAGTAGTACCAGGTGAGCCGTATAATTTTCTATATTGAATTCTACTCTTACCATCTTGTTTGTTAAAGATGGATGAAAGTGAACAAAAGCACTGTCCAAGGCAAGGCATTTTCCAACTTGTTATATGTTGTTAATTGTTAATCTAGAGCAAGCCTTTAAAGTCAAATAAAGGCTACAATGATAATAATAATACTATAGTTTGGTGATGAATAAAGTTAAAATGTGATAATTCCAACTGAAAAAACAACACGTAGTTTGATGATGAGCACTATTCGATGATTCAACTTCAAGAAGAAACACTTGTGAGTTGAGAGAAGATTTAAAGGCGTTTTGTATCTTTTTTTTAATGATAAAATAGCATAGAGCCATCGCTCAAACGGTCCGCACGAAGTTTGTACAAATGCGCAAGAAAGCACAAACTTTACACGCGTACCAACAGCACAGGCAGAGAGAGAAATGGCGCAATCCTAATATTGTGCTGCCTTTGAAAGGCATTAAAATCAAGAATTTCATAACAACAGGGTATTGAATGTAGGAAGAAAAGAGGAGGAATAATGTGTAGTGACAAGTGTGATTTTCTCATTAATAGTCTCAAGTGGAGGAGGAAATGGAGTTGAGGAGTATACATTTCTCGCAGTGCAAAATCAAGGAGAGAAAATATTGAGATTGTACAACCTGTGGAAAATTCATGAACCTTTTACTGGATAATTGATGTATTAAATTGAGAGCGCGAGTATTAATTCAATTCTAGAACAAATGTTTACAACAGGATATTGGAACCAAATAGAGGATAGTACTATAAAAGAATCTTCTATTACAAACTATTGAGATCGAGTATTATTGATTTCATTATTGAAATAGTATACATGTTTATTCTTCTCTAATAATTAAATCTTCTCCATCATCATCTTCATCATCACCCAAGTCAATAACAATTCCAGAATTTTCAGAATTTGAGGCAGTTTCATTAACGGCAGGAGCCTTTGTGGTATTGGTGGAAAACATTTGATTGGTAATGTAGGATTGAGAGGTATCCTTCATATCAACTTTAAGTGATGGTAAGAAGTAAATAGCCAACATTATACAGTAAAAATTCAATAATGGGAAAACACCTAAATATTGAACTGCATTATCACTAGTGTTCAAAATTAAGAATGAGAACATGTTAGCACCCAAAACAACTAAAACTAAGAATGTTAAAATAAAGAAATATTTGAATCTAACGGAGGATTGGTTAGTGTTAGAATAAGAGATAATATTCATAGCCAATTTGTCCTTCAATTCTTGATTCAATGGTTGAGTATTGTTCAAATTCTCAGCTAATTGAATAAAATCATTACCACCCAAAGTCTTGAAAATTTGATAAAAGATGTAAAGCAACATTAATCCACCCAAACCAATTACACCAATTCTAATAATACCAAATAATGGGGCATCAATCAAGTAACTATACATTAATCTATCACTAAATGTTTCATATCTTTCAAATAATAAACTAACAGTCAAACAACACCAGAATAATAATGTAAAGATTGACTTCCAAATATAAAAGTTTACAGTACGAAGCTTTGGATGGGTGTTTGCTGATGCTGTAATTACCATCAAAAATAATAAAAAGAAACTAATAAATGTAGATTGGAAGATAATATTTAAAAATGGTAAAATCCAATCATTTGCTAACCATTCACCAATAAATAAAGGATTATTGAATAAAATTAATGAAATTAATAAAAATAAAATCCATTTTTGTTCAGTCTTGGCATATCTGAATGTTTGATATTTAAGAAGAATGAAAGAATAGAAAATGAAAATGATAATACTAATAGCTGCATATAAATATCTCATAACAGATTCAAATGTAGTAAAATCAGACCTTATAGTTTCCAATCTATAGAATAATGTATCACTTCTTAATAATGAAGAAACATCCAAATTTTCAATTTGAACTTTGATTCTATATGTTGGATATGAAATATATCTTTCACGATAGACAATCACTGGAGCACAGAAATAACTTTTTCCATTATAATCAGCACTTGTACCACATTGTAATGCTCTTTGAATTGTAAATTTTTCAGAAACAATAGGATGGAAAGTAGTATCATCATTACTACCTTCAATAGATAAAATATTTAACTTGAGATCCTTCTTGTTCAATCCACTCACAAAATTTTCGTTTTCTCTAAAAAGTAATGAAATTGTCACTTCTTGATTTGATTTAACTAATCTTGATGTTTGAATAGTAAATTGATCTTGGCCTTTTAAAATTTTAGAATAATCATCGGCAGTTGTTATTACTTTGTGTTCAATATGTTGTTTAACTGTTGGAGCAAAGAATAAAATACCAACACTTCCGAACACTGACAAGAAGAAGAAGATGAATGTTAAAACGATAGACCAACTAGGTAATGTATCAATCAGTACACTATAATTTGGAGGTGGTGCTTTTTCGTTTGCCATTTTTTTTAATTTTAAAAATAATTATTTGATGATGCAATAATCAAAAATCCTCCAATTAGATTCTTATTGTCATGTTGGATTTTTTATTGAGTGATCAGTAATTACGGAAATATCAGTTTTAGAAATATTTTTTTTTATTTATTTTTTACATTTTTTACTTTTCCTTGAATTCAGCATCGTTTGGTGATTGAGTGTTTGGTTGTTGTTGAGTTTGTCTAGAATTGGCTTGTTCCTTGTAGTGTTGTTCAGCCAACTTAGCTTGAGTTTGCTTCAAAGCATCCAAAGAAGTCTTGAGTTGATCCAAGTTATCAGCTTGCATAGCTTCACGAACAGCTCTAACTTCATTTTCAGCCTTAGTCTTCAAATCAGCAGCGAGCTTTGAACCCAAATCCTTGATGTGTTGTTCAGCCAAGTGAACAGTAGTATCAGCTTCATTCTTAGCATCAATCAAACTCTTTCTCTTAGCATCTTCTTCAGCGAACTTTTCAGCTTCATCTTGCATTCTCTTGATGTCAGCATCAGTCAAACCACCAGATGATTGAATAGTAATTTGTTGTTCCTTTCCTGAAGCCTTATCAACAGCACTGACGTTCAAAATACCGTTAGCATCAATATCGAAAGTAACTTCAATTTGTGGAACACCTCTTGGAGCTGGTGGAACACCAACCAAATCGAATTGACCTAACAATTTGTTATAAGCAGCAATTTCTCTTTCACCTTGGAAGATCTTAATACCAACTTGAGTTTGGTTATCAGCAGCAGTGGAGAAGATTTGAGACTTCTTGGTTGGAATAGTAGTATTACGATTAATCATTCTACTGAAAACACCACCCAAAGTTTCAATACCCAAAGACAATGGAGTAACATCGAGCAAGACAATACCATCAACATCACCTCTCAAAACACCACCTTGAATAGCAGCACCAAGAGCAACAACTTCATCAGGGTTAACATTCTTTGATGGCTTTCTTCCGAAGAATTCAGAAACCAAAGTTTGAACACGAGGCATACGAGTCATACCACCGACAAGAACGACTTCATTGATATCCTTCAAAGTAATACCAGCATCCTTCAAACACTTCTTACATGGTTCAATAGTACGATTAATCAAATCAGCACACATTTGTTCGAATTTAGATCTAGTCAAATCCATGAGCAAGTTCTTTGGTCCGGAAGCATCAGCACAGATGAAAGGCAAGTTAATTTCAGATGATTGAGCAGATGACAATTCAATCTTAGCCTTTTCAGCAGCTTCTCTGACACGTTGGAGAGACATTGGATCCTTTGACAAATCAACACCTTCCTTTGCCTTGAAATCAGCAATAATCCATTCAACAATCTTGTGATCGAAATCTTCACCACCCAAGAAAGTATCACCATTGGTAGCCTTAACTTCAAAGACACCATCTTGAATTTCAAGAATAGAAACGTCGAAAGTACCACCACCCAAATCGTAGACAGCAATGATACCGTGCTTTGATGAATCCAAACCATAAGCAAGAGCAGCAGCAGTTGGTTCGTTGATAATTCTTTCAACAGTAAGTCCGGAAATTTGACCAGCATCCTTGGTAGCTTGTCTTTGAGAATCGTTAAAGTAAGCTGGAACAGTAATGATGGCTTGAGTAATCTTTTCACCTAAATATTGTTCAGCAGTTTCCTTCATCTTTTGCAAAATAAAAGCACCAACTTGGGATGGTGACAAATCCTTTCCACCAGCTCTAACCCAAGCATCTCCATTTGGTCCACGAATAATATCGTATGGGACAATTTCCATATCACGTTTAGTCATTGGATCATCGAAACGACGACCAATCAATCTCTTAATAGCAGTGAGTGTATTCTTTGGGTTTGTAACAGCTTGTCTCTTAGCCAAAGCACCTACAAGCAAGTTACCATCTTTATCGAAAGCAACAACTGATGGAGTGGTTCTAGCACCAATATCGTTTTCAATAACACGAGCAGACTTGTTAGATTCCATAACAGCAACACAACTGTTAGTAGTACCCAAGTCAATACCAATGATCTTGTTTCTTTGTTGTTGTTGAGTAAGACCCATCATTTGGGATTTCTTGATGTTTCGCAGTAATTTGTTTCCTCTGAACATTTTGTATATGTTATGGTGTTAGTAGTGTTTATATTTTTTTTCACGACAATATTGAACAAGCTCCTTTTTAAAGCCTCGCTTGCTCGCTGTGTTTTCTTCAATTAAAAGCACAACCCAATCAACTTGTACACCGCAAAGATTGGTAATTTTGCTTGCCGTCTCACACAAATTGATAGAGTAATGGATTAAATCCGTTACAGCTTAAAAGTGATTTGCTTTGAAAACTTCCCGTTAGCTACCCAATAAGAACCAGTTGAAACAAATATTTGAATTGGACCGACTTGAAGTTTTTCCGACTATTGTTTTCCGAGCTCGGAATGTTTAGCTTTACAATAATATCTTTCCGAATCAGCTACAATCAATTTATTTCAATGGGAAAATGACTAAACTTGTTTAATGTTTGTTATCAAGGATGTCTTTATGTTGCATAAAGATTTGTACTTCTCTTCAATGATTTGTTTACAGCAAGATTTATCAATATTGTGAAACAAAATATTGCTTTTGAAGAAAATTGTCATACAGCTTGTCAACAATTGCAATGCTATTCTCCTCAAAGCGAACAAAAGGAATTCCAAGTAACAGAATTATTAGAAAGTTAGCTGGTGTGATAGAGAACATGTTCCAACCATCTCTAACATATAAATAATTTTAAAAAATTAAATTAATTTGCAAAAAAATTTTGAAAGCTCTCATCATCACATTTATTTGTTTTCATAAAAAATGTTAGGACAAACAATAACGTTGGATGAAATCGAAAGAGTAGATCGTGAATCGATAGGATTTACTAATTTAATTGAAGATAGATATATTTCCTACTCTGATTGTAATAATGAATACTTAAATAGTGACCATATTATGAATCACCAACTTTATACAATTTCAAATACTCTTGGTCTTATTGCTTTTATTAATAGTGAAGATTGCATTAAAATATCATCAACTTTTGATATTCACGAATACATACAAAAGAGACTTGAGAGTTTACCAAAAACTATTTATGAATACAAATTAGACTCTACACCTAATTTTATAAAATTTTCAGAGAATGGAATGAACTTAGTATTTTCCGTAAAAGATGAAATTATTATCTTTAATTTTACAAAGGATTTAAAATTTAAACAATTGAGACATAAATTCGATTCGGAAATTGTGGAATTTGATTGCAAGCTTGACAATAAGATATTTGTTTTATTAAGTACAAATAATATCCATTACTTAAACTATGAACAGGATATAGTAGTTAAAAAGTTAGAATGTGTAACTGATTGTTCAACAATTTGTTCAAACAACAAAATATTGAACAGCTATTTACTTGTTGGTACAAACACAAGTGATCTAATTCTTGTGAACTTTGATAAGGATTTAGTTTTATTTAAGTGTAAAATTGACGATATTCAGAGAGTTCATTGTTTAAATTGGTTTGACAACTTTTATTGTACATTTTCTACTTTTGTACCTTATAATGATGCAGTGGATTTTAAAATTGTAATTTTACAATTGAATCATGAATGCTTTAAAGGTCAACCATCTAGTGATGTGGAATTAGTAGTAAACGGCGGATCTTGCATGGAATTTTTCCCAGATTATCAAAAACCAGTAACAATTGATAATACATGCAGATATCATACAGTTTATTTGGATCATTGGAAGATGCTGTTGTGCTCCACCAGTACTGATAGTAGACTTGTTGTCTTCCAACAAATCGATGACAAGTTTAACTTATTAGCACTTAATAACAAGTGGTCTATTGATACTTTCCCACTTTATGAGGATAATCCAACTTTCTCTTTGGGACTAGTTGCCGATTTTGGTTATGACTACCAAATAGACAATATCAAAAGTAAGACTGATGCAGCAAAGCATGAAGCCTCACCTCTCATTCATATATATCTGTCCAGTGGGTTTATTGTTACTTATGCATTAACTAATTGTGATGAATTGAAGAAATATCCAGTAGTACACGCATCACAAAGCTTAACTAATTTAAAGATTGAGGAACTAGCCGAAGAGAAAAAAGAACCAATTGTAGAAAAAGTGGAAATAACTCCAACTATTGAAGAAAAGCCAAAAGATTCACCTGTTCCTGAACAAAAAAATATTACAGAGGTTATATCTCCTGTAAAGGAGGAAAAACCTGTAGAAACAATCATTCCAGAGGTGAAGAAGTCTCCAGAAGTTACAAAGCAACCATCATTCGAACAACCAAAGATACAATTTAATCCAGTTACCAATAATACTAGTAATTTAGGAGGATTTAGTTTTGGAAATACCAATACATCCAATACTTTCAATTTTAATGCTGTAACCAAACCAACTCAACCAAACATTACATTTCCAACAGTTGCAGCTCAACCAAAGCCAATTATTCCTCCAACCACACAACCAACATTACCTGAACCTAATATCCAAAAACAACCTTTGGCTCAACCTAGGAGTAATGTTATGGAAAAGATAACACCGAATGTTACAACAGGAATTGTTGACAAGAATATGATCCAATCACTTAATAATTTTTCTTCCAATTTAACATCAGTTAATGCTGAAAGTGGTGTTTTCAAAAATGATATCAAGCCAATCATTGGTAAACCACTAAAACATGAGCCAATTAACCAAATACCACTCATTCCTAAAACCAAACCTTCCCAGAATCCTTCAAAGCCATCATCTTCCATTTCGAGTTTTAAAAATGATTTAGCTGTTATTCAGTCAAAGTCTTCAAAGTCTAAGTCCGACGAAAAAATTCAACAATTATCCAAGGATACAGCCAAGAAAGTTCAAGATGCCAGAGTTAAATTTAGCTTGTTGAAGAATGTTATAGAGAACATCAATAATAACCAGGAAAATGATTTGAAATTTATCAAACAAGATATTTCAACAATTAGATCAAATATTGATAAATTGAATGATGAATTAATTAAGAGTGACGAGTCATTAAAACAAAGAGTAGAGAGACTGAACGAATACCTAAATAGAGAATGCTCAATTGTAGAGTTATTAGGTATGAAAATCCAACAAAATAGAAAAGAGTCAGTGAAAGAAACAGGATTGGATGAGACTGCTCAATATTTCAAAGATATTATTTCTCACAAGTTTAATAACATAATAACTAATATTGAAGGGTTGGAAAATCAAGTTAAGCGTAAATTAAACTTGATTCCACAGAAAACTCCAACATTGATTTGCTTACAAAATACTTTAAGTTTGCAAAGAAACAGAGCTGTTGAATACAGAAAGTATGTCTTGAGTATTTCTCAAGCATTGCACTCTAAGGAACATACCTCAGCTACAGATTTATTTATTCAAAATTTAGCAATGAAAAAGGCTAACCATGAATCAAACCAAAATGGTAGTGCATTGAAAAATATTGAAATGACCAGGATCAAACCAATAGTTAATAATTCTTCAATTTTGAAGAAGAAAATAAGTCTTATTCATGAAGATGATACAACTATTTTCCAAGATTATGAAAATATTGATGAAATTTCGGATATTTCTTATGAGGATGATGAATCCAAGAACCCACTCAATCAATCTTTTATTCAATCTGAAAATTCATCACTTGATCTCTTAGATGAAGAAGATGAAGAAGAAGAAGAAGAGGAAGAAGAGGAAGAAGAAACAGTGACAAATTCTCCAATCAATTTCAATTCAAACAAACAACAAAATTTTGCAGCAGCCACTACATCGTTCCCAAATACATTTGTTCCACCAAAACAAACAAATGGAGGCTTCAACTTTGGAGAAACAAAGACAGTACCAGCTACTACAAATACTCCTTTCAATGCATCACTTTCTAGTAAGACAACTGCTCCAAACACTCAATTTAATTTAGCCTCTGTCATGGAGCCAAAGAAAGAAGCCACTTCTTCATTGCCAAATTCAGTATCGACTCCAACTTTAAATTCTGGTTTCAATTTTGGACCTAAAGTCGATGCAACCACTAAGCCTTCTACTGTAAACATACCACCAATTGCTTTTGGGACCACTCCTGGATTCGATTTTGGAAAGAAGGAGGAATCCACAACAGCTCTTCCTAAACCAGCTACAACTACTGGATTTACATTTACTTCAAAGGAAGAACCAAAACATGCTATCACAACTCCAACAGTAATGCCAATTGCAACTAAAACAGAAACGACACCATTAGTGAGTGTTAATCCATCTGCTGGATTTAGTTTTGGAGCAGATACCAAAAAGGAAGTAAATCCAATACCAATGGCTGGTGGATCTTCTGGTTTTAATTTTGGATCAACTAAAATTGATTCACAGAAAGAAGAACCAAAGTCTGAAACAGCTAAAACAGAGCCAAAATTGGATACAAAGAAAGAAAATTCCTTAGACAGTGAGTCCACAAGTTCTAAGGTTGAAACAAAACCTTTGTCTAATTCATTTAACACCGCACCTTTCCCGTTAGGAATTAAGAAAGAGGAACCTAAAGTTGAAAATAAGACAGAAGAGCCAAAGAAGGAAACTCCAACCTTAATAGAAAAGAAAGAAACCAAAGAAGAAACCAAGACAGCAACTACAACAGGATTTAATTTTGGAACAGATACCAAAAAGGAATCAATCCCAACAACTGGCTTCTCTTTTGGAAAAACAGAATCAACACTAGGTAAAACTGAACAAAAGGAAGAATCCAAGAAATCTGAAGTATCAGAAAAACCAAAAGAAGAACCTAAACCTGTAGCTTTCGACTTTGGTAAGAAGGAAGAATCAAATATTTCTGATATTTTCCCATCCAAAAAGATTGCAACTTCACCAGTAAGCTCAGAAAGGAGCAGTTTCTTTGAGTCACCACCACCTGTTACTGATTCAAAAGTTTTACTCACAGGTTTTGCTAATACTATTCCATCAAATGACAAACTTTCATTTAATTTCCCTTCAACCTCATCTACCTCTTCCACTGAAGCTAAGAATATTCAAGTAGAAGCAAACAAAGAAGAAACAAATAAGGAAGAACCAAAACAAGAAACCAAGAAAGAAGAGCCAAAGAAGGAAACACCAGTCTTGGTAGAAAAGAAAGAAGAAACAAAGCCTGCAACCACAACTCCAACCACAAGTGGTTTTTCTTTTGCCACTACTTCAGGTAACAGTGGATTCAGTTTTGCTAACACAAAACTTCCAGAATCCAAACCTGCAGAAGTGACAACACCAAAGGCCGAAGAAACAAAACCTATTGAAACAAAATCTAATGCTTTTGGAACTAACCCATTCAACACATTACCAGCTGTCACAAAACCTGCCGAGACCACATCCTTCACCTCATCAAATACTGTATCAAACACTCCAACCACTACCCCTACTACTAACACTATGGGATTTAACTCTATTCCAACCTCACAACCAATCTCAACACCAAAGGATGAAAATGGTATGGAGGATAATGATGATGTTATTATTGGAGCTAGTGGAATGGGATCTCTTTCTTTGGGAGCACCAAATAATAATAATGCAACTCCATCTGGATTCACTTCATTCTTGAATAATAATACTGGGTCATCATCAAATATTTCATCTGCTTTCCCATCAAGTAATACTATTACTACTTTTGGTACAGGCAATAATAGTGGAGGCTCTTTCTTTGAGCCTGTGAATAGCTCTGTAGGAGATTCTCCATTCTCGAATCCATCCTCTAATTCCTCATTACCATTCTCATTCCAAGGTAATTCTTCATTTGGAGCTCAGGGATCATTTAGCTTTGATTCTGGTAGAAATTCTGGTATTGGAACATCAACAACTCAACCAAATGGTGGCTTTGGTACTAGTAGTTTTGGAAATACTAATAATAATCAAAATTCTGTATTGACAAGTGGTTTTGGTTCAAACACACTCAATACTGATACAACAAAAACATTTGGAACATCATTTGGATCATCTGGATTTGCAACTAAATCAAATACTCAACCAGCAACAAGTGGTGGCTTTGGTAGTGGTGGATTTGGCAGTGGAGGCTTTGGATCAGGAGGTTTTGCAAGTAATTCAACCAATAATGCACAACCAGTTTCAACCAGTGGTGGATTTGGATCAAGTGGATTTGCAGCTACATCAAACTCTTCTGGATTTGGATCACTTGCAAGTGGTTCTAGCCCATTCAGTACTTTGGGTAGTCAAGGAACACCTTCATTCTTACAAGGAAATACTCAACCATCCTTTGGATCAAATAATAATAATAATAATGGTAATTCGTTTGGTTCATTTGGCTCATTTGGGGCTTTTGGAAGAACTAATTAATTCTTCTAATTTTAATAAAGAGACTATTAAAGTTCAATTTCTTAGTCAGAGCCCTCTGAACAATGTTGTATTTTTGGCGCTCAAATTTCACACAAATTCACCTCAAAGAATCTGTCATACAACACTGAAGATTTTAATGACCCATATCAAATAAAGAATAATTTAACATTCAACAATTACAATAACTCTTTAATAATTAGAAAGTGTAGTTGTATTAAACGAAATTGTGACAATAATTTAGCCACCCACCACCATTATTCAATCAAATCTATTTTTCATTTCGACGCAAATTTACCTTTGTATAGTCAGACAAATTCTACTGTTTAATCCAGAGTAGTAGTATTAATAATATCTGCTGAATCTATGAGCACGTTAATAACAAAGCAGAGACATTCTCAATTTAAATCAGATTAAAAAAAAATGCACTCCCCATCTATAACGGCACAACCCTCACCAATCGTGTCTGCAACCCATCATACAACTTCAAACAATTCTGAAGGATTTAGTTTACTCTCCCGCCAAAGTGAACTCCATACAACACAACATCAACCAACATCAACACACACACCAATAATGAGAATGACAACAACCACATCATTTCCAACCTCAAATAGCATGATATTTGGTTCAACAACGACGACGAGTAACTCATCTATCTTTTTACAAACTAGTTCAAATGTACCATACAACAACAATCAACAACAGCAACAACCAATGATTACATTCAATAATAGACAGGATATGATGGCTATATCTTCATCTCCTTTATCCAATCCTCCAACAAATCCTTTCGCATCACCTTCTTCCAATAATCAATCTTCCTCCACAGCATCTTCATCCTCCATACAACCTTTGACAAATGTTCAACAAGTCAACCAAAACATGTACAATAATGATCAAACACCTTCATTCATAACAAGTACAGTTCCAATGTCAACTGTCATGCAACCAAGCAATAATACAACATCGAGTTCAACATCCTTAACCCCTGCAAATAATGATCCTAACAATACAAATAGCTCACTAAGATTCGTTACTGTTACAAATGCTGCAGGACGATATGAAGGTGAGGTTAATGTTAAAAACGAGCGTCATGGTAAAGGAACAATGTATTTTGCTGGAGGAGGATTTTATAAAGGATATTGGGTGAATGATAAAATGGAAGGAAAAGGTGAATATTCTTGGGGAGATGGTAATCATTATTTAGGCATGTTCAGAGATGGCAAACAAGTAAGTATTTTTGAAAATTTTGTATTCTAAAATTGTTTAGAATGGTGTTGGTGTCTATGAATGGCCTTCTGGAGGAAAATATATTGGTCATTGGAAAGATGACAAAATGCATGGATTCGGTACATACAAAAGAGATGATGGAATTGTATATTTTGGTTTGTGGGAAGATGACCATCAGAGTGGAATGGGACTTAAAGTTGTTCCAGCTCGTTTTTGTCATGGAGAATCACAGAAGAGTTTTGCAAGAAGAAAATTTAGAGAAATTTGGAAAGATAAAACTTTAATCTATCAGAAAGAAATAATTGAAATGCCAAACGTTTTAGCATTACAGGAGAAAAATCGTCTTACAGATATTTCAATAGTCTGTCAATCTGACGACGACCAAGAACCTTGCTATCAGGATCCAATAGCCTTACAAAGATTTTTAAGATCAAGCAGTTCTAATTTAACCTTAGATTTTGCAAAGTATTTTACTATCTCTCAAAATTCAGATGAAGAAAGTGAACCAAACAGAAGGAAACACTATCTTGAACATGATGATCAATCACCATCTGATTCCAAATTAACTAAATACACTCATGATAGGGAGTAAAACCCATTGCGTTAAAACACGAGATGGATTGGATTGTTGTTAGTTATGAATCAGGGCGGTGCATCATTTTTAATAAATTAAGATAGTTTATTTCTTTTTCTTTGAGCTAGTGGATGCATCAGCAGCTTTTCTCTTTTTATCAGTTGCACTTTTTTTATCATCTTTCTTTGCAGGTGCTTTCTTTTTTGTGGTTGAGGATGAAGCAACTGGAGTAAAGAAACCATCAAGACGGGTTTGAGTTGGTTTACCTCTTGATGATTTGATTCTCTTAATATAACCTCTCACTCTTTCTTCATCAAATTGTTTTTCTTTCACTAAAAATTCTATTAATCCTTCTTCATCTGGTTCAGTCCATTTCATTGTGTCTACAAGTTCACTACTTGGAGTAACATCAGGATTCTTGAAAATGTTTCTAACTTCTTCGTATGGGAATTCACTTGGAGCTTGGTAATGTTTTCCTTCAATATTCTTCAATAAATTTTCAATATTTCCATATTTCTTAATCATGGCAAGAGCTTTCTTTGGTCCAATACCCTTAATTGAGTCAGTATAATCACATCCACATAAAATACAAATATCAATAAATTGATCAACTGTCACACCTAATCCTTCTATCACTTGTTTAAAGGTAAATTCTTGAATTGGTTGTTTTCTTGCTTCAGAGAAAGTTAAATGTCTTGCCAAGACAGGAGTGGCATAAGTCAAAGCATCCATATCTTCAGTTGCAGTGGCATATACAAGACCACCTTTACAAAGTTCAGCACATTGAGCTTCAGCTTCACCTGGTGCTTCAACAACTGGAACACCCATCAATCTGAGCAATTTCTTTCCGTCATTACTTTGTTCCTTAGTCATTCTAGTTGTTCTCTTATTCCACATGACCATCTTTTCTTCATCTCCTTCTTCTTGAGCAAGTGCAAATTGTTCCATAGCTTCTTTTTGTCTTTCTTTTCTCTTTTCCAATTCTCCTGATTTCAATTGTGGTGGTTTACCATCAAAAACATAACATGGTTTAATTCCGTATTCCAACATTTTGGTGGTTCTGGCAAGTAAACCTTGCAAGTGATTTGTAACTTCTCCATCTTTGTCTGTCAAATCCATACCAGTATTTTTCAAAGCAATCAAGAATTGATACATGGCCATAGAAGCATCAATAGCAACTTTTCTACCAAAATAATTTTTCAATTGATCCTCTTTTACCGAATCTTTAGCTTCATCCAAGATGAGTTGCGATAATCCTTTAATACCCATTTCTATATTATTTACAAAATAACCTAGCACTACTATTTAGATTTCTATATAATTTTAATTTTAACAACTTCTGATGATTTCTATGCACGATTAGGTGATAGAATGATGTTGATTTTTTTTTTAAAGTAATTTTTTAAAATAACGTTCCTCATAAAAGTGGACGGCGGGAAAGTTCTCTTCCAGCCTCTTTGTTTTAGCTTGCAAGTTTCACTACAGAGGTTGAAGTTTCGAACATAAATGATCACAGTTTAATATTTTGTTATTGATTGAATAATAATATCATGACCATTATATTACATTATAAATTAATATAATTATTTAAAATAAAAAAATGAACAACCTAATCAAATCATCGACATCAGTAAAACAATTTTTGAAAAGGGCAACAAACTTGCATAGTAAGAGAAAACAATGTATAAGCTCATTGGTAAATAATCAAACAAGATCATTCGGACGTAAAAAGGAAATTGATGATAGTGAAGTTATTTTAATCGTTCCGAACCAAGGAACACACATCATGGGATGGGGAAGTAATGATGAAGGACAATTAGGATTAAATTCATTTTCAGTTAAAGTATCTACACCAATGTTTATTAATTCCTATTGGTTTAACGATAAGGATATTAAAAAGATCAGTGTAGCTTCATCAGGACAACATGTTTTAGCTTTAACAGAAGATGGATATGTTTACACTTGGGGAAGAGGAGCAGAACATCAACTTGGAGTTGAAAATAATTTCAGTCAAGCTGCTCCACAACTTGTTGATCCAAAATATTTCAATAATAGAAAAGTTGTTGATATACAATGTGGTACTTACCATAGTTGTGTTATTGATGATGAAGGTAGATTATATACTTGGGGTTTCAATGGAAGTATTTTCAATCAATCAGCTTTAGGTCATGGAAAGAATTCTTGGTTAACAGATTTGTCAAAACCAAAACAAGTTGAAGCTCTTAAAGGTGAATTTGTGAAACAAGTAGCAGCTGGTCAATATCACACTGGTGTTATTTGTGGTGAACAAGGTAATTCTGAATCAAATCAAGTTTTCGTTTGGGGTAAAGGAGATTGGGGACGTCTTGGACTCGGCAATTCAAATTCAAAACCTTTACCAACTCCATTGGAAATGTATGAAGAAGATGAAAATGGTACAAGAAAGACTCGTTTTGAAACTATTAGAATGGGTACAAACTATTCCGCATTGATCGATTCACATGGTAAATTATACATGTTTGGTAGAAATGATGGCCAACAATTGGGTATTGAAACGCCAGGTAACTATGTCAGTGGTGGTCAATTCGATGGTGAATCAACTCCAAAATTACTTTCACAATTTTCTGATAGAGATATTAAGGTTAAAGATGTTGCTTTGGGTGAATCAATTACTGCTTGTGTTACTGTTGATGGTCGTGGTTTCGTTTGGGGTAAGAATATTCACCTTCCTCATGAAGTCAATTTCGGTAAGGGTGCCAGAGTTATTGAATGTGCTGCTGGTAAGAATCATGTTTCATTCGTACCAAGAAATAGACAAGCTATTTTCATGATGGGTGGTAATTGGAGTCATCAATTGGGTGTTAAAGGTAATTTCGGTCACCAAGAAGTGATTAAATTGACTCGTCATTTAGTTCCTGGCAAGAAATTACAAATGGCTTGTGGTAGCAATTTCACTTTGGCATTATCTAATTTGGAATATCAATTCGATGGTGAAGATGATGACTTTACTGATGCTGCCTTGATAGACAATGCTGGTAACAGTGTTGAATTGTAAACAAATAAATAATTTACTATAAATAGTTATCGATTGGTATAGTTGTGAAAGGAATTTGAATTTGAACATTATTGGCCTTGTTGGGGGATAGTCTAGTTTTTTCAGCCAACAATGAAGAGTTATTACTGGAAATTGTTGAGAAAGTTTGACTCCTAGGACTGTAAGGTATAAAATTGGTGGCCACTTTGAAGTTTTGGGGAGAAAATGTTCCTGCAGACATTCTAGCTGAAAGTGAAGATCTAGCAGAATCAAGAGGATCATATGGGTCAATGTTATTCGAGTTCAAGTGACTCAAATCAATGTTGATATTTCCTAAGGTTCCCTTAGGTACTGAAGTAGACTTGGCAACTACTACAACTGGTTGATCATCGTTTTCTGAATCAGTGTAATCATCAACATCAAAATAGGAATACTCTGATGCTCTACTAAGAATTTCCTCTCTCACATAGGTTCTTCCAGATCTTATGTCTGTAAAAACAGGTCTAGAAGGTTGGGCAGTTCCATATTTTGTTTGGGATCTTTGAAGCTTTTCTAATTCTCTCAGCTTTTGACGAGCAATCCTTCTATGCTCTCTAGCGACTCTTTCTTCCTCTTCTCTCTTTTGTTTCTCCAAGTCACCCATGTATTTGTCAACCTTAACCTTCAAAACCTTTGTTTGAGCCTTTTCGTATTCAGCTTGTTTTACGTTCTCCAATTGTCTCTGAGTAATTTCTTTCTTCTTTCTATTGATGTGTCTCATTTCATCAATTTCGTACAGAGTAAGTGCTCCAGTTTGTATCTTGGCACTTATTTCTCTATTTCTCTTCTCGGTTACCTTGTTATATTTATCCTGTACAATTTTGTCTTGTTGTTTTTGTTTGTATTTTGTTAATAATTGCTTTGCTAACATGTTATTATAGGTCACAAACTCCTTAGATTGTTCTTCCACTATCTTGGTTTTTTCTTTCGATTCACTGTTCTCTTTTCTTCTCTTACTGACTTTAGCAGCGTTAATAAGATCTTGTTCTTCATTTCTGATTTTTATCAATTCTTTTGATTGCATTACTTCTTTTCTAATGTTATCATTTTGCAGCTCTTTCTTCTCTTTCCATTTTAAAACTCTTAATTGAGAAGAAGCAAGTTCTTTTCGAAGTTTTTCAGCTGCAAGTTTGTTTTTCTCTTCAATTTCTTTTTCTGTGACAAATTTGAGCAAGCTTAATCTTGCTTTTTCTCTACTGTACAATTCTCTTACTGGTATGTTTGGGTTATATAAATAAGTATTCGTATTTACAGAAACATTATTGCTTGATTTTGTGGTTGTGAATTCTGAGACTTTGGAATCCGATCTAATGAGCTTGTTGAGTGTTTTAGTGACAACATCAGGAGTTTTTGTTGCTAGTGATGATCTGCTATCTTTGTTAATTTCATCAATTGCATCCACAAGTGAGTGTGTAAGCTCACTTACTTCAGGTAGTAGAAGAGGTCCATCAGTGGTTCCAATTGAAGATGAATTCTGGTCAGAAATCACACTTTCTTCCTCATAATAGTCCTCATCCTCTCCAAAACGAACTCTATTTGGTGATAATCTGGCAAATTTACTGGATAGTGACGGAATTTCAAAACTTTTGGTTGGTGTTGGAGTAAAAACAGGTGTTTGAGCTAGTGGAGTGCCTGACCTAGATGAGCCTCCTCCACTTTCCAAGTCCGAAAATAAATTATTGATATTAAGAGAGGCTGTTTGTCTTGGAGGAATTTTGGCCAAGTATTGTTGCTCAACTTGAAAACGTTGCACTGTTGGCCTTACATTCCTTTGTTCTGTTGGAAAAGATGTTGTATCAAAGTTGATGAGGGAGAGAGGAGAAATTGTTTGCGTGGTTGTTGGTTTTTTAATGACGTGGTGTAACCTAGGGGAGCTTTCGGATCTTTGTGGTTTGGTTCTTTGTGGTTGGGAAGGTGTTTTTGAGGGAATGGATTGTGATCTTGTTTGTGATCGGGTACTTCTTGATTCAGTCCTAGAAAATGTTGTTCTTGTTGTTGGAACTGTAGGAACATCGTTTGATGCTGCTGTTATTGATGCGATAGAAGCTTTCTGTTCTGATAAACGTTTCAGAACAAGTCTATCCTCGAAGGGTAAAGGACTTGAGTGATTTATTCGAAGAAAAGACATGTTGTTGATGTTTGCATTTTTTTTAATTTGAAATTTACAGTTCCAAACAGATCCAACAACTTGTATTAAGGAAATGTCACTCCTTGTCATTATTAGTATTGATACAGAGTTTATTTAAAAGTATGAAATCAAAAAGATTAAACCAGCAGCAGCACACACCACAATAATGATGGCAATGCAAATTATACACATAATCTTGTTGGATCCACCAACCTTGTCGAGAGCGTTATCAACTCTTTCATTAAGATTCTTCAATCTTTCAATTTCCTTATCGACCTTATCTTCAATATTCTTCAAAAGCATATTTTGTTCGGTGAGTTCAGATCCTATGTTAATAGACATTTGGTGCAAGTCATCGAGTTTCTTGCTGAATACATCCAAGCCTTGATCAATTTGTTTTTGAATATCTTGGACTTTCAACATGGCTGTTGAAATATCAATTTGTGGTAAATTTGAACGAGTGGCATCATCAGGAAGGTCTTGTTCCAAAACTACTCCAGCTAACCCACCATTTTCCTTATTTTCATTATCTAACTCATCAGCTCCTTCAAGTAAATGCGATGTTGTAGAGTCATCCTTTTTGTTCTTTGCGTCTCTTTCATATTTTCTCTTTGATAACATTTCAAGTTCAAGAATGTGTTTTTTAACCAATTCAATATCATTCTTTTGAGCACTAATCAAAACTGGATCCACTTTTTTGAACATCTTCTTCTTTGCGTTCTTATCATGAATTTTAACAAGCTTATTAAGATCATCATTCTTGATAGCAGAAATCATCTTTCTAACGTCATTACTTAATCTTGATTTCACGGTAACACCTCCTTTAGAACTGTCTCTTTGTTTAATTTTCTTGATGGATAGAGTTTCATCCCGTTTAATAAATTCTAACTGCTTACCTCTCTTGTGGCCATAATCTTCTTGGCAATTAAATATTTACAAGCATCAAATGCAGAAAGACCCTCCGTATCATTCTCTCCACCATCAATTTTTTGTCCTGATGTTTCTTCATATACTCTTACCAATCGATGGATGCAATCTTGCATCACTCCACGTGAGACCATCATCTTGATATATTTTTAAGGTTTTTTTTGAGGGAATATTTTTTATCTGTTGAGGTAAGGATACGGCAAAGAGGTACAATTAGAAGGCTTTATCGTTTCTAATAGCTCTCGCCTAGGCTTCATATGGTGTTTTTTCTTCATTTTCTTTACAGCTAATTAATAAATTGACATCATTCTAACACATAATCAGATTGAATATTAAATTTAATTATTAAAATTAATTCATCATAAAAAATGTTCAAACAAATCATCAGCACAAAACATCAACATTTTTCATCTTTATCATTAACTAGTAATTTATTCCGATGCTATGCGACACAAACCAAGAGTTCGGGACGATGGCTAGATAGACAGAGGAGAGACACTTTTGTTAAACAAGCAAAAGCACAAGGATATAGATCCCGAGCTGGTATGTTTTCCATGTAATATTTTGATGATGGAATAAATTAAAGCCTTTAAATTATTGGAAATTGATGAGAAATGGGGAAAATTCTTGGAAAAATCAAAAGTAATAATTGACCTTGGAGCTGCACCTGGAAGTTGGTCACAAGTGGCTGCCGAAAAGATGAAATCTGGAGGAAAATTAATAACAATTGATATTCTCGATATGGAACCTTTAAAGAGTCCACCCAATAAGAATTTACAAATTATTCAATTGAAAGGAAAATTTGAGGACAGTATTCCTCAATTGAGGAGTTATTTAAACGAGGGTGAATTTGCCGATTGTTTACTTTCTGATATGGCTCCAAATACGAGTGGAGTTAAATCTCTAGATCACAATAGAATTATATTTTTGTGTAATACTTCGATAGATTTTGCTTTTGAGGTGTTAAAACCAGGTGGTTGTATGTTAATGAAAGTATGTATTGAATTGATTTTGATTACAAATTTTCAAATAGATTTTTAGTGGACCAGAGGATGCTACATTAAAAAATGATTTAAAACAATATTTTGAGAATGTCAATTTTGTGAAACCTGCATCATCCAGATCTGAATCAAGTGAAGTTTATGTATTAGCAGAGGGTTTTAAATTATAACGTTACGTATCATTTTTTAAATAAACTAATTTCAGAACTATTCCCAACTATGATCTTTTTTTGATACTATATTTTTAAATTTTGTAATATCGTCGTTATTTTTACGCATTCCTGGATTGTTTTGGAGGAACGCAGTTTTGATTTTAGAATTTCCAATTAATTTTACACCATCATAGCTAATTCCACAATTTCTTGCATTAAGCTCTTCTAAGGTCATTCTACTTAATATTTCGGCTCCTTTGTCTCCTATTGGATTGCCAACAATATTCAGGTTGATCAAATGGGGAGATTTTTGGAGAGATTCGATATCTCCAGAGCAATTACACCTCGAAACATTGAGAATTTCAATGCTATTCAGTTTACCGATAAATTCTATTCCTTTATCACATATTGGTTTACCACTAAAATCTAAATGTCTCAAGTTGTGTAAATTAGTTAAATGCGCTATTCCTTGGTGATTAATTTCCATACCTTGATTGGCAATATCGACCTGTCTTTCGTTAAATCTTCTACCGGTTCCTCTCTCCACAGAAAGATAGGTCAAATTTCTTAGGGAAGATATTAAGAACAATCCCTCATTTCCAATATAATTATCACCCACATTGAGATGTACTAGTTTTGTTAATGAAGTTAGATGGGTTATACAATCATTTGTGATATTGCAATCTTGGAGATTAAGATATTTCAAATTTGTAAGCAATGCAATAACTTTCATTCCATCTCCTCCAATATTATTTTTACTCAAATCCAGTTTAGTCAATTTGAATAATTGCAAAAATTTTAAATTTACACTACTAATGTTGCATTGACTTGCATTGAGATATGTTAAATTACTCAATGATCCCACAGATGTAATTATCATATTAATATTTTTAGAACATTGAATATTTAACTTGGTTAATTGGGAAAATGTAGAAATTGACTTTGCTTTTTCCCAATCATTGGATGAATCTGTTGAAATTTCCAATTCTGTTAACTTGGATAATACACTCAACTTTTCAAAGTATTCAGGGGGAAGTCTTGGATTTGGAAATCTTACTACAAAACTTTCCAAGTTTTTCAATTTACAAATAGTACCCACACGGATATCAGTAAATTGTGATTTTTCGTTAGGATTTTCTAATATCTCTAAATGCTTCAAATGATTCATTCGAGGGATCAATACAACTGTATTGAATCTAACTTTAAGACTCGTAATATTGTTCAAATAATAAATACTACCATAAGAGAGTGGCAACTCTCTAAGTAATGTCAACTCTTTCAATGCGGAGAGGTGACGCAATGCTTTTAATTCATCCACTGTTGGACATTGACTTAATTGAATGCCGAATGGCGCAATAATAAATGTACTTTGTTGACGAGCAGTCAATTGATCACGTTTTTTCATTCTTTTAATAAAAGTAGGTAACATTCCCCTTCTAATTCTGAGTTTAACTTGGGCAGTTGTAAACCATTGTTTTGATACATAGATACAATTTTTAAAAACGATCATCAATAAAAACGACTTTGTCACTCCTGGGTTGACTTGGTGTTTTTTTAAATAGTGAACGTAGTTGTCTTAACATTTTTTTGATTGTGATTTAATGAATATTAAACGATATAATCGGTAGCCTAATACCTAATTGATTAAAATCAATCTTCGTAGTAGTATCGATGTAAATTGTAAAAAACATAATGATGAAATATAAAAATTATTTGATAAACACTTTTAATAAAAAATGTTACCATCACAAACACATCTCAGGAGGAAAAGATTTCATGCGTGGGAATATTTAGAACATGATTTTCCATCGGATATTCTTGATTTTACAAATGAACAATTACCTAGTGGATTTGAATATTTAAAACAAGATAATTATTTCTTTTCGGAATTTGATATGGCTTTTCCGAGTGGAATTAGTGATGAAAGTTTACCTAATGATATACCAGACCAACTATTTGATGGAATTAATTTATGTGAGGAATTGTGGGAAAACACTCTTCTTTGTCAACTAAAGAAAAAGTATGATAAATTTTGTCAAAAGGATATTGCTGCCTTTTTGAAATGTAAATTAAAGAGAGACCATCAGATTAGAATTAGAGCGATTGAATTTGAAACATTCAAAATGACACAAGAAAGTCAAAGTGAAATTTCTAAACGAAAGGAGCTAGTAGATAAAAAGATTACTCAAGTTGAAAATCAATTGGCAAATTCAATCAAGCCACCTTATAGAGATGTCTGCCAAGAACAATTACATTTAAATGATTTACAATTTTTAGAATTGAGAAAATATTACATTGAAAAGTCTCTGAAATCAGATTAGATTCACCTTGTTTCCTCAATCAACATTTTGATTAAGCTTGGTAAAATAGGAATGTGGTATCGCGCAAGTAATGATGAGATATTTAAATAATAAGAGATAATCGAGACTATAATAAAAATGATCTTTAGAACCATGTCACAATAGATAGCTAACCTCACAATAGATAAACTCTTCCAATTGGTCGTCTTGATGTGAGATCAGAAAGTCTTTGAAAAATGTTGTTAACATTACAAGAGCTTTACAAATATTTAAGGTGCAATAATGAAAAAGACCAAGAATTAAAAAAAATGATCAAACTAAACAGTCAAAATTTTGAAAATCACCAATTCATTAATTCGGAGGAAATATTCAATAATAATATTAATAATATGGAAGAGAAAGCAATAAAGCTTGTGAAACTCGAACAAGAAATATTTTCAGATGATATTTGTTTTGAAATAATTTCAATGCTGGATGATTCGTGGTTTATTTTGAATAATTGTTCCTTGATTTCAAAACAATTCTTTAACGTGATCAAGGAACGTTCAAAACTTTTTATTATATTTAAAAAGAAATTTACAGAGAAACGAGTTGAATTATTCATGAAAAGTCGATTTTTAAACAGTATTGTTAATGTTAAATTTGCAGCAAAGTTGTCTGAAGCCAAAGAAAAACTCAAATTCATTGATATAACTTGTGAAATGAAACAATTAACATCACTTAATATTTCTCACCATCTAATTGGTATAGAAGGAGCTAAATTCATAAGTAAAATGAAACAATTAACATCACTTGATATTGATTACAATCATATTGGTGTTGAAGGAGCAATATTTATAAGTGAAATGAAACAATTAATATTACTTGATATTCGTAGCAATCTAATTGGTATGGAAGGAGCCAAATTCATAAGTAAAATGAAACAATTAACATCACTTAATATTGATTACAATCATATTGGTGATGAAGGAGCAAATGAAACAATTGACATCGCTTGATATGTATGACAATCAAATTGGTGATGAAGGAGCCAAATACATTAGTGAAATGAAACAATTAACATCACTCAATATTTGTTTCAATCATATTGGTATAGAAGGATCCAAATTGATAAGTGAAATGAAACAATTAATATTACTTGATATTAGTGGCAATCTAATTGGTGATGAAGGAGCAAAATATATCAGTGAAATGAAACAATTGACATCACTTGATATTAGTGGCAATCAAATTGGTGATGAAGGAGCCAACTACATTAGTGAAATGAAACAATTGACATCACTAAGAAAATAAGCTCATGTGGTATTGAAATAAAACACCACCATTGATAACCAAATGGGTACATATTCTTCATCCAAAAGGATGAGATATGTTGCATAGAATCAAAACTTTATTCAACATTGTCAGAACTCAATAGTTGAAGAAACATCAACCTTTCTTGTTGAAAATTTACCTGAAATTGGAGCAATTTCTGAGCTATGGAGTGAGGCTACTAGACATTTTTTAAGGCTTTTTGGAAACTGTCCTTAGTAACTGATGATAATTACTGCCATTTCGACTTCCGAGAATGAAGGTGAAAATTAAGTTTGTAAACTGAGTGAGCCTGGTTTGACTCTCTATTATTTTCCAAACATTTATCCTCAGTATCAAATTATTCAATAGATTATTCTTTCAAGACCTCTCAAAGAACAGCCAAATATACAATGCAGTCCCATCAATCTTTTAAAAAATGAGTGTCCCTAACAACCCTGTTGGAGAAATCAACAATAAGGACTCTCTAATAAGTCAGTGTATAGAATACATAACCAATGTTGGTGTGCTACTCATCGATTGTGATAGGAATGACTTGAAAATACAATTTAGAAGTTTGGAGAAGAGAGAAATAATTTCTACATTCTTGTTTGAACCTTCTCAGTCTGCCTTATTTCTTCAAAAGGCTCCGAAGAGTGAATCAACACCAACTGACTTGGAAATCAAGTCCAATAGTAATGGTTAGTATTTAGATCAATGTAAATATCTAAATCAAATAATAGAAGTAAAATATGATTATTATTGTATGCTGGAGATGAATTACAGGGATAAATCGGATGGAATTTGCTTCATCAAAGGAGATAAGAAGGTTTTTACGGAACAATTATTGGAAGGAAAGAAATTGTCATCATTATTACAAGTGGTGGAAATCAAAAACGATCTAAATCCTTTTGAATTATTGAACACTTATATTTGTAGTGGATTTGAACCTTATTTTTCATCTTTCGAAAAAACTAAAAGAAATCAAAGAGACTTCAAGACATCAGTAATTTCCGATATTACGGAAAGTTTAAAATCTTTAAAACTTGCATTAAATCAAGTACAACAAGCCTATCAAATTCCCGAGGTGGACGTATTAAGTTTTGTTCATCAAGATGTAAAGGATATGGTTAAACAAGGAGCAACTTTGGATTCATTGAGTGACAAAATTACCAAGTTGAAGAATGAAACCAAATTAATTGAAGAAATTAGCAAAATGTCATTGAATTGTGCACACGAAATTAGAGGATTGACACAAAAAGCAGAGTAAGTTGAATATTAGAATTTAATTGTTTAATTTATAATATTTAAAAAGAGAAATGAACATTCAGAGTGTTGCCCAAGAAATTAATTATTGGCACTCTTTGGAAAGAACTTTGTCAAATGTTGATCAACAATTGAAGAGCCAGGAAATAGTATTTACCTTGAATATTTTGAAAAATACAAGAAGAATGCAAGCTTTTACAGCTTTAAACACAACAGGAATAGAAGATGTACTGCAAAGAGCTAAAGAGTGTAACTCTCTTTTAGCAGATCTACCAATCAATGAATTACTCTCTGCTAAGGATATTGAGAAAATGACAGCAACAATTGCCCAAATGTTCACTCAGCTCAACAAATCAAAAATATATCACAATAAGGATTCATACCCTATGGAGCGTGCTGTTAAATTAGTAGAGGCTCTGTCAAGGGACGTGTCAGAAAAATTATTGGAAATTCTAAAATCATCACAAATAATGTTTCTCAATTTTGAAGATTTTGATAGAATAACGAAAAACTGTATTGATTTGTTTGCTACACTGGATTCGGATATTAAAACATTTACCAAGATTGCAAGTGATGTTGCTAGAAAGAAGCAAAAGACTGCTGTGGAAATGAGTAAATTAGAACATCTTCATTTACAAAAAAGAATCGAGGAAATTAGAAATTTCAGAGTGCAACATGAGGAACTTAGAGTAGTTATTGAAAAAGTACTACCAACATCAAATTTCGATGTTAGAGAAACAAGTGCTTTGGATCAAGTTAATAAGGCTTTTGAAGAATTTAGAACTCTGGAAAATAAGGTATTTGACACTTCATTTGAAGGCCAACAAACTTGGAAGAGTGCAATTAAATCTTACAATGAAAAAATAGACAAAGCAGAGACTCAAATTACAAGAAAACTCACAGATCAATTAGGTATTGCAAAGAGTGCCAGTGAAATGTTTAGAATTTTCTCCAAATTCAATCCTCTTTTCTACAAGCCAAGGATTAGAAGTGCAATTCAACAATATCAAGAGCAATTAGTAGAAAGAGTAAAGGTCGATATAACCAAACTAGAAGAAAAGTTCAAACAACACTACCCATACTCTGAAACCGAAAAGATGAGTAAGCTTAGAGATTTACCATCTGTATCAGGTTTCATTATTTGGGCAAGGCAGATTGAAAAGCAATTAATTGCATACATGAAAAGAGTAGATGACGTTTTTGGAAATGGCTGGGATAGAATGAAAATTTTAAGAAAAAAGGATTGTCTTTGGACATTGAATGAATCTCTAGCAGAATTTATGGGAGTTCCTTTCTCTAAAATACAATCTAAAATAAGCAGCCATCCAGTTCTCTCGTTACTAACCAAACCAGAAACTACTGGTACCGCATTAGCTTTAGCTTTCCTTGAACTTGTATATACAGACTCAGAAACCCAATGGAAAGTTATGGCATCAGAAAGCAGAGAAATACTAAAGAGAGAAGTCGAAAAAACAAGACTTTCTGGTGATATTATTCAACATTGCAGTGAAATTTTGAAAGAAGAAAAGATTGGTGGTAGACATATCGAAGAAAACAATTTAAGGAAGGAAGGAGAGAAATTTAAGAACAAACTTCAAGGAAATATTTTCACTGTTCTAGAAAGATGGAATAATGAAGTCTTTGAGAAAATGTTTAAATGGAAAATATTCCACCTCTCAAATGATAGTCAGGTGTCTGTAAAGGGATTTATATTCGAAATTGTAAAAAATAAGGAAGAAAAATCCGATCTAAGAGTTAATTTTGATAAGGAAATAAGTACTTTAATCAAGGAAGTAAGAAATCTGTCTTCCCTTGATATGATTTCTAGAGTCAAATCAGAAATTAAGATTGTAGCTATGGAGGCTTCTCACATACATCCTATAGCTGTATCTCTGTCAGAAAGTATTAAGATATTCAAGAAAGTCATGAAGGAAGTTGAGGATAGACCTTACGTTAAACCTTTAGCCTCAAAGTATTTGAACAGTATTTATGAAAAGCTTTCAGAAGGATTCAAACTATCTTGGAAGAGCACAAAACTTGACAAATACGCCAAAGAACTGTACGAGGACGTCACAAAGTTTTCAAATCATATTCATGATTTACTTTTGGATGTGGATAAAATCTTCAAATTCTTGGATACTCTCAAAACATGTAAATTACACAAGACTAGCTTTGAAGCTATTCTTTCAGATATTCAAAAAGTTATAGACTCTCTCGCTCTTACCGACGAATGTAGCAATCTCAAATCATGGGTAAATAGCATTAATACTCATATTGAGGAGATTTTATTGGCTAGATTAAACGAATTGTTGAAATTATGGCTTGCTGAATACAATTCGATGACTGTTTCAACAGACTTGGGTAAACAGGAGGAAGAATTCGAGGAAGGTTATGAAAAACGTACTCCTCAATCAAAGGAATCTCCAGAAACAGAGGAAATCAAATCGATATTTGGACAACTTAGTATTTCCAAGTTTAAAGTTGATATCAAGCTTGTGAATCGATCGATGAAAGTTATACCCTCAGTTCATAGAGCTAAGTCATACTGGGCCTCAAGATTTAGTTTATGTTTGTCATGGATATGTGACTTGCATATTATTCAAAGTGACAGATATGATCAAGCTTTTACTTTAGAGAAGAGAAAAACTTACAAATATCTTCTTGAAAAAGTACCTCAAGCACTATTACAAACAGTATTCAATCTAATCTCTGCATCAACAAGGAGAGCTGACAAATACGTACAACAATGGTTACAATATCAAGCAATGTGGGAAATGGACATTAACTATGTAATGTCAGAAATCAGTTCCTTGGATTCTTGGGTTCAAATACTCAGAGATTTGTCTAAGTCTAAATTCATATCAGATAGTGATTCTTATTCCAAAGATTTTGGATCTATTGTTATTAATTACAGAGATGTTTATGAGAAGATTAACATGAAATATGATGATACGTTAAGACAAATGCTCTCCAAATTCTGCACAGAGCTTAAGGAATCTATGAAATCAACATTTGTTATTCTTTCCCAAGAGAGAAATGAAGTAGAAACTTCCCGAGTTGAAAGAAGCACACAAGATGCTATCAAATTCCTAACTAAAATAAGATCTCTCAAAAAACAATTCCACACTTGGGAGTCAAATATCAATCTCTTTAAGGAAGGAGAAAAATTGATTCAAGAGTACAATTGTAAATTCCCAGAGGGATGGATTTTTGCCGATAACGTTGAAGGTGAATGGAATGCACTCAACCAGATAGTCAAACAAAAGAATGAATCTGTCAAATCCCTAAAGGATCAAATCACAAAGAACTTACTTAGTGACGAAAAGAAGTTATTTACATATATTGGTCAATTTGTAGAGGAGTGGAAAACAAAGAGACCTTTGGAAGGAACTATTGAACCTTCTGAAGCTCTTAAGCAATTAGGAGCTCTAGAAGGAAAGCTCTCGCAACTAAAACAAGAATATAAGAGAATTAGAAAGAGTAGGGAAGCTTTAGATATGGAAGTTATCAAAATGGAGAAATTAGATTCATACGAAGAGGAGTTGAAGAATCTCAAAGACGTATGGGTCTCTATACAAAGTATTTGGGCAGAGCTCAGCGATCTACGAGAAATTCCGTTCAATAGTGTTATTTGCAAGACTGTTCAAAATAGACTTACAGAATTGGTAGATAAAATCAAGAAGTTCAATCCTTGGATGCTCACCTATGCATCAGTTGAAAATATTTTATCACAAGTTGAATTGCATTTGAAAGAAATGGCTATATTGAGATGCCTTAAGGAAGAAGGAATGAAAGAACGACACTGGATTGACCTAAGAAAACAAATTGGTACCAACTGGGTACTAACAGAACTCACATTAGGAGATATTTGGAACAGCAAAATACTTGAACATGAACGAGTTATTAGATCAGTCCTAGAAAAAGCAAGAGGAGAACTTGGTCTGGAAGTGTACTTGAATCAAGTTAGAGAATTATGGGCAGCGATGAAGTTCGAAGTTGCTAGCCACAATAACAAGGGTTATCTGATAAAATCCTGGGAAGATATAACTGGGCATATTTTGGATCACCTAAAGACGTTGTCTTCAATGCGGGCTTCTCCATTCTTTAAAACCTTTGAAGATGAATGTGTGTCTTTGGAAAGCAAGATTAACAGAATGAGAATAATGTGCGATCTATTCATGGATGTGCAAAGAGTTTGGGTTTACTTGGAAGGAGTATTCTCGAGTAACGTAGACATTAGATATCAACTCCCAAAAGAAACTCAAAGATTCCAATCTGTTGAGCATGAATTTGTAACCCTTATGAGAAAAGTTCACTCTAATCCACTCTGTCTTGAAGTTGTAAATATTCCAAATATCACAAGCTCATTAGAAAGATTAACTGAACAACTTTCTAAAATTCAAAAGTCATTGGGTGAATATTTGGAAAAGCAAAGAGCAGCTTTCCCAAGATTTTACTTTGTTGGTGATGAAGATTTATTGGAAATTATTGGCAATTCAAATGACATTGAAAAATTACAAAAACATTTGAAGAAGATGTTTGCGGGTATTTCTACTCTAGAGTTTACAAACTCGACGGTAACTTCTATGGTATCTAAAGAAGGTGAGATTGTTAAATTCCAAAATTCCTTAGAGTTAGATCCAAAAGAATCAATCCAGACATTTTTAGTAAATCTGGAGAAAGAAATGAGATGCACTCTTTCCTATCTCTTGGGAGAGGCATTCCAAAAATTCCACACCATCGTTGAAAACGAAAGCGGCTTGAATAATACAGACTTAGAAGAATGGATAAAGACATACCCAGCCCAGATAATTACAACTTCTATTCAAATTTGGTGGACCAAAGTTACAGAAGACCAGCTTTCTAATGAGTTCGATTTACAATCTGTACTGTTCAATGTGATGAGCCTTTTGGAAAAACTTGCAGAAATGTCCTTATCCGCAAAGGATAATGTATTAACTCGAAAGAAATTTGAACACCTAATCACAGAACTAGTACACCAACGGGACGTACTCAAACAACTAATCTCTCAACAAGTTAGAGGAGCCAAGGATTTTTCTTGGCTTTATAACATGAGATTCTACTGGAATGCAAATTGCACAGACCCAGCAGAAAGACTTAATATTTCGGTGGCAAATGCTAACTTTATTTACGGATTTGAATACTTGGGTGTTATTGAAAAACTAGTCCAAACACCTCTCACAGACAAGTGTTACTTAGCTTTAACGCAGGCTTTACATTCTAGATTTGGTGGTTCTCCATTCGGTCCTGCAGGTACAGGTAAAACCGAAACTGTTAAAGCTTTGGGAGCACAACTTGGAAGATTTGTTTTAGTTTTCAATTGTGATGAAACTTTTGATTTCAAGGCCATGGGAAGAATATTCCTTGGTCTTTGTCAATGTGGATCTTGGGGATGTTTTGATGAGTTCAACAGATTGAACGAAAAGATGATGTCTGCTGTATCTCAACAAATCCAAACAATTCAAATTGCCCTCAGAGATAGAAAAACTAGCATTGAGCTCATTGGAAGACAATGCTCTGTTCATGACAACACTGGTATTTTCATAACAATGAATCCGGGTTATGCTGGAAGATCTAACCTTCCTGATAACTTGAAGCAATTATTTAGAAATATTGCTATGGTTAAACCTGACAAGGAGTTGATTGCTCAAGTAATTCTATACTCACAAGGTTTCAAACTAGCAGAAGAACTTTCAAAGAAGGTAGTGCTTTTCTTTGATCTATGTAGAGACAAATTATCACACCAATCCCATTATGATTTTGGTTTGAGAGCTTTGAAGAGTGTACTTGTCAATGCTGGTTATTTGAAAAGAAACTTTTCATCTACAAACATTGAGTCAAAGCATCTTATCCAGAGTATTCAAGATACTATAATTCCAAAACTTGTTGGTGATGACGTTTCACAACTCAAGTTCTTAATTTCCAATCTCTTCCCCGGTCTTGAAACTGTCAGCAATCCTCTCACTGAACTGAGACAATACATTTTCGAAATATGCAATTTGTATTCATATTTAGCAGACGAAAGATGGGTAGAGAAGATTGTTCAACTTTACAATATTCAAAACTTGCATCATGGTTTTATTTGTGTGGGTCCTGCAGCCAGTGGAAAAAGTTCTTGTTGGAAGATTTTGCTAAAGGCTTTAGAGAAACTAGATGGTATTAAAGGTAGATCTTATATAATAGATCCAAAGGCTATAACCAAAGATGAATTATATGGTAGATTAGACTCTACTACAAGAGAATGGAGTGACGGTGTATTTACACAAATATTGAGAAAGATTGTCGACAACTCCCGAGGAGAAAGCACTCAAAGACACTGGATAATATTTGATGGTGATGTAGATCCAGAGTGGGTTGAAAACCTCAACAGTGTTCTTGATGACAATAAGCTTTTCACTCTTCCAAATGGTGAAAGATTAGCCTTACCAGAGAATGTGAGAATTATGTTTGAAACTCAAGATTTAAAGTATGCAACCTTGGCCACAGTAAGTCGTTGTGGTATGGTATTCTTCAACGATTCTATTTTATCCCACAAAATGATAATTCACCACTATTTGGATAAGTTATCAAGGGAAGGCTCAGATAATCCAAAATTATTGTTACAAAGAAAAATTGCCTCCATTCTCAGACCTTTCTTACTTGAAAGTGACTTGATTCAACAAATTGCAGACTTTGCACAAAAACAAGAACATATCATGGACTTTTCAATTATGAGGTCTCTTGATACAACATTTGCCCTCATAAATAAGGGAATCCAAACTGTATTTGAATACAATTGCAATCACTTGGACTTCCCTATCAGTGATGAATCACTAAAGAGATTTATAACCAACAAAATGGTTTTCTCCTTGTTATGGGGTTTCACTAGCTCATCCAACAATGCTAATAGAAAGAAATTTTCTCAATTCTTGACATCTACTATTAGAAATGTGGATTTACCTAGGGATGTCAGTTTAACTGAATTTGAAGTCAGTATCCATGATGGAGAATTTTCTCCTTGGATAAGAAGAGTTCCAGAAGTAACTGTTGATTCAAATAAGATATTTGGAAACTCAATCATTCCAACTTTGGATACTCTTAGACATGATGATTTATTAGAGTCATGGATTCAAGATCACAAGTCAGCAATTTTATGTGGTCCTCCTGGAAGTGGTAAAAGTATGATCATGACATCTGTCCTCAAATCCTTGACAAATTATGAGTGTTGTTACTTGAACTTTTCTAGTGCATCAACTCCATCATTAATTCTCAAAACATTTGAACAATATGGTACTGTAAAGAATACATCAGAAGGTCTAGTACTTCAACCAAATCAAAATGGAAAGTGGCTAGTTGTCTTTTGTGACGAAATTAACTTGCCTTCCAATGACAATTATGGAACTCAGAGAGTTATTTCATTTATAAGGCAATTAGTAGAACACGGAGGATATTGGAGACCATCAGATCTATCATGGATAAAGTTGGAGAGAATAATGTTTGTTGGGTCTTGCAATCCACCAACTGATTCAGGAAGAACACCAATGAGCCCTCGATTCTTAAGACATTGTCCATTGTTATTGGTTGATTTCCCAGAGGAAGAATCATTGAAACAAATCTATGGAACCTTTTCGAAGGCTCTTGTTAAAAACCATCCAAACTTAGCAAATATTCCAGAAGCCATCACTAACACCATGGTTGAATTTTATTCCAAATCTCAACAACATTTTACTGTTGAAAAGCAACCACATTATATTTACAGTCCAAGAGAACTTAGTAGATGGATAAGAGCTCTCCAAGAAGGTATAAAAGGTATTGCATACTTAACCTCAGAGGAATTGGTAAGATTATTAGTGCATGAAGGATTGAGAATTTTCAGTGATAGACTTGTTCTTGATGAAGAAAAGGAATGGACTGATCAAACTCTGGATCAAACAATTAGAAAATATTTTATTAATGTAAATGATTCATGCCTACACAGACCTATTCTATTCAGTAACTGGATTAATAAGTCTTACGTATCTGTTGATAGGGAAGATTTGAGAAAATTTGTTGAATATAAGCTCAAAGCATTCTCAGATGAAGAATTGGATGTAAATCTTGTTATATTTGACTCTGTATTGGAACATATTTTAAGAATTGATAGAGTTCTAAAGCAACCTCTTGGACATTTATTATTATGTGGTGAAAGTGGCAGTGGTAAAACTACTCTTTCAAGATTCGTTGCTTGGATGAATGATTTCAGTGTATTCCAAATCAAGGCACACAGAAATTATAGTATCAAAGACTTTGAAGAAGATTTACGTAAGGTAATGAGAAGAGCAGGTTGTAAAGATGAAAAAATTTGCTTTATATTTGATGAATCAAATGTGCTCAAACCAAGCTTCTTGGAATACATGAACTCATTGTTGGCAAGTGGTGAAATACCAGGTTTATTTGAAGGAGATGAATATTCCAATTTGATAAGCATTTGTAAAGACTCAGCATCAACCAATAATGTACTCAATCTGGATACAGATGACGAAGTTTATCAATGGTTCATATCTCAAGTCCAAAAGAATCTACATATCGTTTTCACAATCAATCCAGCAAACGCAGACTTTAAGTCAAGGGCATCAACCTCCCCTGCTCTTTTCAATAGATGTGTTATTGATTGGTTTGGAGGTTGGCCTTACCAAGGATTGTTCCAAGTTGCCACCGAATATACAATTCCTATTGTTAGAGAACTTACAAAAGATTCTAAAATGCAAATACCTGAATCACTTGTTGAAATTCATAACGTTGTTTGTAGACTTAGTTCAAATACTGATAAGAAGATTGGCAAAAAGGGTTTCATCTCTCCTAGACACTATCTAGACTTTATCAAACATCTCGTTCATGTACAAAAAGAAAAGCAACAAGAAATCAAAGAACAACAAAATCACATTGAACGCGGTTTGAAAAAGTTGAAAGAAACAGAAGGATATGTTTTCACTCTCCAACAACAACTCAAAGTTCAAGAACAGAAACTCTCAGAAAAGAATATTCAATCAAAGGAAAAGTTGGATCAAATCGTTGAAAACCAAAAGGTAGCCGAAAACAGAAAGCAAGAATTACTTATTCTTTCTAAGCAACTCGAAGAAAAGAGCGTAGGTATCAATAGAAGAAAAGAAGAAAGTAGAACACAATTATCCCTTGTTCAACCTCTTCTCAAGAAGGCACAAGATGAAGTTAAAAAGATTGAACCAAAACATATACAAGAATTAAGAATATTGAATAATCCACCCATCACAGTTAAGAAAACTTTAGAAGCTGTTACTATTCTTCTTAGTCCAAATGAATGGGAAAAGTCTGCACCTTCTTGGGCTGATATCAGAAAAATAATAAGCTCTTTAGATTTCATTACTAATATCCGTACATTCGACCCAGAAACAGTAGTTATACCAAAGAAGTTAAGAATGAGAATACAACAAACCTATCTAGATGACCCAAGTTTGGAAGAATCTAAAGTCTTCAATGCCAGTAAGGCTTGTGGTCCAATGATTTTATGGGTAACCTCATGTGTTAAGTTTGCTGATATTGTCGAAAAAATAGAACCACTAAAAGCAGAAGTTAATGCTCTAGAGAAGGAAAGCTTAACATTAATCGATCAAGAAAAAGAGTTGAACAAGATTGTTTATTACCTCAAACAAAAAATTGACAGCTTTACTGATGAATATACTTCCCTTATGAAAGAAACAAAATCCATAGAAATGGAAATGAACTCAGTTAAGAATAAGGTTAACAGATCAATGTCTTTAATTGAGAGTTTATCAAACGAAGCCTCCAGATGGTCTTCTCAAATAGATACTTTCAGAACCCAAATGGAAACAATTATTGGAGATTCTATTATTTCAGCTGCTTTCTTGTCATATTGTGGTTTCTTTGATGAACAAAATAGAAGAAATTTGTTGTTCATTTGGACCTCTGTACTTTCAAAGTACAATATTTACACTAGAGATAATCTTTCTCTTGTAGATTTCTTATCTACTCCACAAAAGAGATTGCAGTGGGAGACTTGTAAACTTCCTACAGATGATATTTGTCTCGAGAATGCTGTTATTTTAGAAAGATTTAATAGATTCCCTCTGATAATAGACCCAACAGGACAGGCCATAGAATTTATATCCAACTTTTACAGAACAAAGAATCTTGTAAAGACCAGTTTTACAGATGAAAATTTCTTAAAGAGTCTTGAGAACTCCCTTAGATTTGGTACACCAATTATGGTATCAGATGCTGAGAATGTAGATCCTATTTTAAATCCAATACTCAATCGTGAAGTTAAAAAGATAGCAGGAAGAAATATTGTTACACTAGGAAATCAAGATATCGATCTTTCTCCAACATTCCAGTTAATTTTAGTAACAAGAGACTCAACTCACCAATTTGAACCTGACTTATCAAGCAGAGTTACATTTGTAAACTTTTCTGTTACTCCTTCCAGTTTGAGAGGACAATGTCTTTCAGCTATCCTTCAACATGAGAAACCAGAAATTGATATCCAGAGATCAGAGCAAATCAAGTTGCAAGGAGAATACAAGGTTAAACTCAGATCTCTTGAAGAATCACTTCTAGCATCATTAAGCGAAGCTAAAGGCTCTATTTTAGAAAATGAGTCTTTAATATCAACTTTAGAGAGTCTCAAAGAAAAATCAAAAGAAATTGAAACCAAAAAGAAAGAGTCTGAGAAGGTTATGGAAACACTAAGCACTATTAGTGAACTTTATGCACCATTAGCCTCCTTTTGTTCAAGCATTTACTTTACATTAACACAATTATCTGAACTTCATTACCTTTATATTTTCTCACTCTCTCTATTTATGAGAACTCTCCATGAAGTCCTAATTATGCGGGAGAAAGAAAACTCAAATCGTGTTGAATTTCTAGTTAAGGCTTTATTTTATGAAATTTATAAGAGAATCTCTAGGAGTTTATTATATATGGATAGACTTGCTTTTGCCATTAAATTAGCTCACATCAAAATCGGCGACAACTTGATAGATCCAGAAGAAAAAAGGTTATTCCTTGAAGACTTAGTTGGTTCCTCAGGAATTACCATAGAAGAAAATGGGTTCAAATTTCCTTCTCTACAAAAGCATATGATAGAAAAAATGTCATTAATTCCTGGCTTCCAAAATCTTGAAAAGCATGTTGAAGACAATTTTGAAGAATGGAAAGTCTTCTTTGAAGATGGAAATCATATTCCAACATGTTATCCTAAATCTGAAAATGAAATTCAAAACTCGTTTAGAGAAATGATGTTATTCAAGATATTCAAACCTGATCATTTAGTTAACCAAATGGAGAGATTTATTGGATCTGTTTTTGGAAATGATTTCTTACATGGAAGGGAAACAAGTATCGATACTATTGTTGATAAGGAAGTTGATTGTTTTACTCCTTTAATATTGGCATCAGTACCTGGTCATGATGCATCAGTGTACATTGATGATTTGGTTAAAACAAATCAAAAGACTTGCTCTTCTGTTGCCATGGGTTCATCTGAATCATATGACCAGGCCGACAAAGCCATCAATATTGCTATCAAATCAGGATCATGGGTATTATTGAAGAATGTACATCTTTCACCTAAATATCTCTACAAACTTGAAAAAAAGCTACATTCTTTGAAATGCGATAATAGTATTAACAAGTCATTCAGATTGTTCTTGAGCAATGAGATTCATCCAAATATCAATCTTAATCTTCTCAGAATGTCATATACACTTGTATTTGAACCAGCCACTGGTATTAAGAGCTGTCTTACACAAACATTCTGCAACCTTTCCAAGGTACGTGTTGAAAAGCCACCAGTTGAAAGAACCAGACTCTATTTATTGGTGTCATGGCTTCATGCAGTTCTTCAGGAACGTTTACGTTATCCTCCTATTGGTTGGAGTAAGAAGTATGAATTTAATCACACAGATTTGAAATCAGCATACGACACCATAGACAAGTGGGTTGATTTGTACTCTGAAGGTCAAACAAACACCAAACCAGAGGCATTACCATGGAAAGCCCTTCATTCTTTACTTGGAGAATCAATTTATGGTGGAAAGATAGACAATGAATTTGATATGGTTATTTTGAAGTCACTATTGGATGAATTAATGACTCCTGAAAGCTATAATCTTACATTTACATTACCAGGTATTGATTCAACATTCACAGGAAACAAGTTTGAGAACTTCCAATCATGGATCGAATCACTTCCAAATCAACAACCACAATGGCTCGGCTTGCCAACAAATATTAATGAGTTAGTTAATATTAACAAGGCAAACTTGACAATCAGCCAAACTAACAAAATTAAGGATTTATCACATGATAATACAATTGAAGATCTTAAATCCATGCTGGCTAACACAACCCATGAAAAGATTAGTAATATTGAAGGAATGGAATCTACTATCAACGAATGGACAGACATGCTTCCAACTAATTTCGAGTTCGAAATGAAGGAATCAAGTCAACTTGTTCAAGAAAACATTCCTGTATTCAAATTCTTCCAAAGAGAATTGAAGACCATTGCATCAGTGCTTGCATTAGTTAAAACAGATTTATTGAATTTGACCAATATCAACAATGGAGAAGCCAAATATACCAACTACTATAGACACCTGATAGATAAATTGTCAAAAGGAAATGTTCCAAAGTCTTGGGGCCATAGCTATCCTTTCCTTGAAAATATTACTGTAAATATGTGGATTTTGGACCTTGTTAAGAGATTAGACCACCTTTTAGAAGTCAAGACCAATATTGAAAAGTTTGGACGCTTTTCCAATAACAATGAATCGATTTGGTTTGGAGGATTACTGTCACCTGAGGCATTCTTAACTGCAACCCGTGAAGAAACATCTAACATGCAAAAGATTCCACTTGAGAAGCTACAACTTTGCTTTGTTGATAGAAATCACCAAAACTCATTCACATTAGAAGGTTTATCAATTCAAAGTGCCAAGTTTATTGATGGTAGAGTATGCATTGGAAAAGAATTGAATTCAATCATTACTCCAATTTCTCTTGCATGGGTTAGCTCTGAAATGTTAACTGAAGACATTTCTTCTATCAAAATACCTGTATATCAAAACTCTGCAAGAAAAAAGATCATTTGCTCTCTTTCTGTCAAGTATGATGAAGAAAATATCTCCAAGAATATAATCTATCAACGTGGTGTAGCTATTTTGGCAAAGGAATAAAGTTTAATCCTTACAATGTATCCTTGTATTGCCCAGTTGTTGTCTACTCCAATTCACTTTCAAAATTAATCTTTTTCCTGTTTGCTATTGGCACTTTGATGAAGTTTAAAGAACCATGCCATTGTTTTGTAAATTGTTGTACTCTTTCTTCCATAGTTTTTTTCTTTTTCAATCTCAAGTTTTTTGATAATATTGAGGATAATTTAGTTAGAAATTTAAATTCAGATTCATTAAACTCGCTTCTATATCGTTTAAGATGCTTTTCAGTTATTTCATCTTCAGATTCCATAACTTTCTCAACAAGCTTTCTCAAAACTTGTCCAATAAAATCAAAATCCATAAACTCTATTTGTTTTTTTACAATTGGTTTGTTTGAATGATATTCCAATGTATTTACATTCCTTGTATTTTTACACATTCTATGATAATAATTTACAATAAATCTCATATAATTTACAGCTGGTTCTATTTCCATTTTGTAAGAAACAGATCCAAATAATTTAATTAAATTCTCTTCAAATCTACACCAAAATTCCTCAATAAATGGAAAGTGAAATAACAAATCAAATAATAATAAGCTATTCTCTGAATATTTGTATTTAATTGTAAAGCAAATATCCACGTTCGTGATCCTATATCTCTTCAAATAAGGTTCAATTACCAATTTATAAATAGTGATTTCATCCTTTTTTTCACTATTTACGTACTCCCTAATAAAATCAAAAGTTTCATGTAGGATTTTTAATAAATTTTTCTTTATCAATTCCAATCTCCAACTCTCCATCTTTCTATCAGCAATCAATGATGTACTTTTTCCCTCATCATCACAACCATCATCATTCCGATTCATCATTTTTGCATTTTCTTTTTAAATTTTTATTAATTAATCCAACAAGAATAATATAAACATCTTCTAATATTTCTAAACTGATAATATCACAGCAATATTCCCTTGTTGCTTCTTTTTAACTAAACGCACTCCTTATTGTTGATGAAGAATAAATTCAATCAAAAAAATGAAGAAAATTCTCAACAGTAGCAGCAGAACATTATCCTCTACACAATTGTTAACAACATTGAGAGTTGGTTCAAATCTCCTTCAAAAATCATCATCACATTGCTATTATTCAACATCTTCTACTACTATTGATACAAAGTATGCTGATAAAAAATGGTTGAATGGACCTGGATTGGAACATTTCATATCATCATCATCATCAACTGATGTTAATAACAATAATTGTGAATCATCATCACCAGAATCTAATAATAATATTACTATTGAAAATGTTACTACTAGTAATAATAATGAAAATAAGAAGGGTGTTTTTATAGAAACCTATGGATGTCAAATGAATGTTTCCGATACACAAATTATTTTAAGTATTTTGGATAAGAATGGATATAAATTAGTTGATAGTGATAAAGAAGCATCTGTTATTTTATTAAATACTTGTGCTGTACGTGAAAATGCAGAAAACAAAATTTGGATTCGTCTCAATGAATTAAAAAAGAAGAGACATGAAAATAAGCATTTACATAATTTCAATCCTGAAGAATATCCTGTTAGTGGAGTTCAAATTGGTGTTTTAGGATGTATGGCAGAAAGATTAAAGACTAAATTGATTGAAACTAATATGGTTGATGTAGTTGTTGGACCAGATCAATATAGAGATTTACCAAATTTATTGAAAAAGAATGAAGAATCTGAAATGTTACAAAGATCATTGGATGATAATGTTGAAGGTAGACAAGCTCAATTAAATGTCATGTTATCAATGGATGAAACTTATGCTGATATTGAACCTGTACGTGTTGGTGATACTGGTAAATCTGCATTTGTTTCAATTATGAGAGGTTGTGATAATATGTGTTCATATTGTATTGTTCCATTTACAAGAGGAAGAGAAAGATCGAGAGATATTACAAGTATTTTGAATGAAATTAGACAATTATCAAAGAATGGTATTAAGGAAGTTACCTTGTTAGGTCAAAATGTAAATTCATACAGAGATACATCTGATAGTATATATCAAGAAAAATATAAGAATGAAGGAAAGGAAATTGAAACAACTGATGGTTTTAAAACAATTTACAAACCAAAAATTGGTGGTCTCACATTTACTGAACTTTTATATGAAGTTTCACAAATTGATAAGGAAATGAGAATTCGTTACACTTCTCCTCATCCAAAAGATTATCCAGATTCACTTATTGAACTTATTAGAGAAACTCCAAATATTTGTAATCAAATTCACTTACCTGCTCAAAGTGGTTCAACAAATATGTTAGACAGAATGAGAAGAGGATACACTGCCGAATCATATATTGCTCTGGTTGATAGAATTAAGAATAGAATTCCAAATGTTGCATTGAGTTCAGATTTTATTGCTGGATTCTGTTCTGAAACTGAACAAGATCATCAAGATACTCTCAAATTATTGAATCATGTGAAATATGATCAAGCTTATTTATTTGCCTATTCACTTCGTGAAAAGACTCATGCTCATAGAAATTATGAAGATGATGTTCCAGCTGATGTGAAGAATCGTCGTTTGAATGAATTAGTTCAAACCTATCGTGAAAATTTAGCCATTCAATATGAAAAGGAAGTTGGTACTTTACAATGTGTTTTAATTGATTCAGATTCAAAGAGAGATCCACAAAATTATTGGGTTGGAAGAACTGATAATAATAAGAGAGTTGTCATTCCAAAGAGTAAGGGTAATTTCAATGTTGGAGATTATATTGCTTGTACTATTCAATCATGGAGTGGTCAAACTCTTTTCTGTAATCTTGATGCTCCAATTGAAAAGGTTACTTTACAAGATTTTTACAAAAATGTTCAATTTTAAATTATTAAAACTCAGATAATTATTATTATAACCTTTTTTTAAAAGATTGAATCCACTTTACACATGTAATATTCCTTCCTCCTAAAAAGACCAAAAATTAATTTACAGTAAACCAACATACAAAACATACAAAAGAAAAGGTTCAATCTAGCATATAACTTTGTAATCCACAATTAATCTTTTCGTTATCCTCCTCAATTTAATTGCCAACACGTTCTCAAACCCGTTGTCATCATTTCCCAATATTCAATTTGAATCTTTTTAGCGCATGAAGAAGCGGAAGAAGATCAAAATGTTTTTTGTCTACTACAACAAGCTTGTTGATGCGAGGCTTTAAAAATTTTAAATAATAATTTTTTTATTAACTGAAAAAAATACACAAACAATAATACAAAGATGCCAAGAGAAGACGAACAATACTCTGACGAAGAAAGAGATCAACAAGAACAAATCCAAGAAGAAGACAATGGATTGAAGAGAAAGAGAGAAGACGATAACCAAGAAGATGCTAAGAAACAAAAGTATGATTATGATGCTAGAGCTGCTTACACTGTTATGCTCAGAAATCTTTCATACAATACTAGTGATGATAGCATTAAAGAAAAGCTCTCCAAGTATGGTTCTATTGTCAGAGTTAACATCCCAACCGATGAACGTGGTAGATCGAGAGGTTACGGTTTCGTTGAATTCGACGAAGTTGAAGCTGCTCAAAAGGTTGTTGATTTGAAGGCTATGGAAATGGACGGTAGAGAAGTTCAATTGCAACAATCCAAGGCTAGAGATGAATTCTCTGGTAGAACCACTCAAGTCTTTGTTGGTAACTTGCCTGAATCCGCTGAAGAACAAGATATTCGTGAATTGTTCGAAACCTGTGGTGAAATTGAAGAAGTCAGAATGCCAAAGGATAAGGATACTGGTATGTTTTTTATTAGTAATTTTATAATCTTATACAATGATAACAATAGAAAAGAAGAAGGGTTTCGCTTTTGTTCAATTCAGAGATTCATCATCTGTTAAAGCAGCCTTGGAAAAGGACGGTAGTGAATTCAAGGGAGTTAGCATTAGAGTTAATGAAGAAAAGTCCACTAGAAACAAGCAAAGAAGAGATAGATTCGATGATAGACGTGGTGGCCGTGGTGGTGGTGGTGATAGACGTGGTGGAAGAGGTGGTAACAGAAGATATGATGATAGAAGAGGTGGTGGTGATAGATATGAAAGAAGAGATGATAGAAGATCTTATGATGACAGAAGAGGTGGTGATGATAGACGTGGTGGTGGTGGTAGATATGAAGACAGAAGAGGTGGAAGAGGTGATAGATATGAAAGAAGATAATTCTTTAAATTTGTTTCCAAATTAACACGTGTCCGTGTATTCTCCTAAAGTTTCATGTTCCTTATGTTTCCTTTACTCTCTCTTATAGTGTCGTTCCTGAGCTGCTCTCGCTGCTTCCAAATAAATCGTGCAAGAGAGACATCCACTCCCAACACTCCTGGTTGTGAATTGTCCCCCAACAAACACATTGGCTTGCAACTATCTCTGCACATACACTGATAGTACTCACTCCAACAACACACTGAAAAACATAATGCACTCCTCCACTCAACGATGGATAAGCTGCAATGATGCCATCCGATACTCAACAATACACACTCAAAATTTGATAGTTCACCAATGATGATCCTATCAATAAAATAGAGTTGTAAACAAAACAAATTGTTGAATTGAGGAAAGTACAATGTTGGCTTAATGAGCAATCTATTTACAAGTTGAATAGATCTATTTCTGGAAGGTTCCTTAACAAGTTCTTCCAAGCAATAGTATTAATTCAGAAATGATCAAAAAAATCGATTTTATCCATTTGCTTCCAACTTCTATTTAAGGTGATATAGTTGATAAGTATTATGTTATCAATTTAAAAACAATTTCATATTCAGTACCAATACCGATCAAGTAACAAAAAAATGAAAGTCAACCAATCTCTACTGGTGAAAGCAAGTATTTTACTTGTCTTGTCACTCTCATTCATTCATGCACAGTGGGGAATTCCATTTGGAAGTGGTTTTGGAGGTTTTCCTGGTGGTCAACAACCATATGGAGGTTTTGGAGGTAATCCATTTTCAACTGGTGGTCAACAACCATATGGTGGTTTAGGTGGTTTAGGTGGATTAGGTTCAACAGGTAGTCCATTCTCTTTCGATCAACCTTATTCATCACCTTTTGGAAGTAATATTGGTCAAAATTATCCAAACTATGGTGGTTATGGTCAAAATCCTTATCAAAACCAAAATTATCCAAATTATGGTGGTTATGGTCAAAATCAACCAAATAACAACAATAATAATCAAAATAATATGAAATTGAGATTTGCTGGTCAAGTTTATGGTTACAACCCATTCTATTATGTTGCAAATTTGGTTGCTGTTGATTTAGAATACATTTCACACTTTGCTACTGCTTTAACTAATACTGGTTATCAAGGATATAATCCATTCTATGATCCAATTAATGGAATGAACATGATTGGTAATCAAAATCAACAACAACAACAACAACAACAAAAACAAAATCAACCAGCAACAGCCACAACAACTAATCCTTCCTCAACAACAACAACAACAGGTGGTGGTTCTTCTAATACAGGTGGTTCAAGTCAAGCTGATACTCAAAAAGCCAATCAAGAAGCTCTTGCTTTGGTCTTTGCTAAGGAAGCTCAAATTCACGTTTCACACTTGGTTAAACAACAAGATTCATATGGTCCTAAGGGTGTTGGTTCTGTCACAACTCAATTGGTTGATTCTGCTGATAAATTGGTTACTGCTGCCAATGCTAAGAAATGGAATGATTACCAACAAGAATATAACAATTTGAATAGTGGTTTGAATAAGATTTCATACTATGGAATGCAACAAAATGTTCCTTCATATAATCAAATTCCATCTTCATTCCAACCACCAAATTGGCCAAATCAAAACCAACAACAAGGTGCTGCTGGTTCAGATGCAAACTCTGGTAATGTAAAGGGATCATCATTCTTCCCATTTTTAGGTAACAATGGTCAATTCACAATGCCACAAGCTCCTCAAGCTCCAACAGTTCCAGAAATTCCACAACAATTCGCCAACATGCAACAACAAGTTCCAAAACAATTTTCATTCCCTGACATGCCTCAAATGCCTCAAATTCCTCAAATGCAACAAATTCCACAAGTTGTTAATCAACAACAACAAAAGACATACTAAGTAGAAGGCATATAGTGTTTTATTTTGTAAATAAATTATTGTTTTAATTTTTCATTCAAGAATTCCTTAATTTCATCAACTTTCCAATGACTCACCAAGTGAGATTCTTCACTTCCATCCTTTCTCTTCATAGTTAAAGTTGGCATAATAGCTTGTCTTTGAGCAGTATTTAAATGATTGAATTTCTTAACATCATTATTGATAAAGCCTTCAATTTCTGGGAATGATCTTATATTACAATAACAGAAATACAAAGTTCCACTAACAAATTCCTTTTCATCACTAGATTGAGAATTTAGAGAATTATCTGTAGAAATTGATTCTTGACAACATTGATTGCAATTTTCAATAATTGATTTTTCGCTCATAAATAAAGAAAATTCCTTGCAAGTAGAACAAGCTAATTCCGATGATTTATATCCTAGATTTTCACATTCTTGAGCACTTAATTTTTGTTGATGAGATAAAGTAATACAGAATGCCATCATTACGACCATCATCATCATCATGACGATCATTGAAAGAAGGCTTGTTTGCTTCCGATAGGAATTTAAAATCATTTTTTTTTTAAAATTTTAAACAAACCCTACATTTTTTTTTAAAATTTAATAAAAATTACAAAAATTCTGCCTTTAATTTCGTAATTACTTCTCTAATCCCTCCCATTAAATTTCATAATTATTGTAACATCAATTATGGTTGTAATGGATTTTGTACACTTTCACATTAAGTTACAACAGAGAAGAATAATCCAATTGGTCAATTGGAATTGACGTGTTTATGGATCACAAACAAATCAAAAAAAAAATGTTAGAATACGATTATTCATCAGCAGTAGAAAATGGTGTTTTGAGATATCTTGAAATCAAATACCGTGATCATAAAGTAGCTCTATTGAACAGCAAGGGATCATATGGTAAAATATATAAAATTACTAACACGAATGATCAAACAAAGATAAAGGCTTTAAAAGTAATGAGAGATGTTGACAATTTTGATATTCATCATTCTCTAGAAGAAGGTACTAGAATGTTAAAATATTCACATTTAAATTGTAATATTGCAAAAGTATTTGATGTTTTTATTTTGTATCCTCAAGAGGCAGAACGTATTATGGGTTTAGATGAAAGTGGTCAGCCACCATTTCAACACAAGCATCTATGTATTGAAATGGAATATTATGAGAATGGTTCTCTTGATTCTGTATTCAAGAGTAATCAAGATCCAAGTAGGGATTCTAAACCCAAACTAACAAGTTCAATTTTGAAACAAATATTGAAACAAATTACTTTGGCTTTGAAGCACGTTCAAGAGTACGATCACATCATTCACAATGATATTAAACCTGATAATATTCTAGTTGGTAATATAGAACAACAGGTTGATAATGATCAAATCATTGATATTCAAGTATATTTGAGTGATTTTGGTTTAGCTATAACACCTAGTGAATCACCTGCATCAAACTACAATCTCAAAAAGCCATTCTATCCATATGAAGAAATACCATCTAAAAGTGCTGATATTTTTGCTTTATCAGTTAGTTTATATGACTTGACAACTAAACAATTAACAGCACAACAAGATAGAAGTCTCAGAAATGTACAATGTGATGATGAAACAATTAGAATGAATTATCATAATGCTGGTATATCAGATGATCAATTAATTAATGTTTTAATATCAATGATGAATAAGGATGCATCGAAACGACCAACATGTGATCAAATATTAGATGGCATTGGAGTTACCTATGAAAAAACATTGTTTGTAAAGAGATTTGAAGCTAAAACCAATTCAAAGAAAACCTCATGGCTCATTTATTGTTTGATAGCTCTCTTGTTTTGCTTGGCAGCTTACTTCTGTTATCCATATTTGGAGGCAGGACTATTAAAACAGAAATCTAAAAACATGGATTTGGGTAAGGAGCTTATCCTAAATTCCATTGAAAGTCCAAAAGAAGATGTGTGAGAAAGGCACAGTTTTAAGAATAGAGAATGGAAATAATTTAGAACCAATTGTTACCGAAAGTGGAGAACAACTTACAGGAATAGATAAAGAAATAGTTGACAAAGTTGCAATTGTGGTGGACAAAGGTAAAGATATAGTTGATGCTATTAATAATGGTAAAAAAGAGGTTGAGAAAGCGGTGGACAAAGGTAAAGAAATAGTTGATGCTATTAAGAATGGTAAAAAAGAGGTTGAGAAAGTGGTGAATAAGGGTAAAAAAATAATTGAGGATTTATTTAAAAAACTTTGAATCATCATTTGGAATCATCTTACCACTTCTTTAAAACTAGCAATCATCATCCCTGGATGGTGGGTGTTAGCTTGGTAAAAAATTGATTTATAATCTTAAATTTACAATATTAGATAATATTGATAGAGTATCAAAAATAGCAATATTGACTTGTTAATTTATTTTCCATCTTGTAATTTTACCATTACTCTGTAAAACAAATAAATATTTTGAATCTCTTGAAAATATACACTCTCTCACTAACTCTGATGAATGATGTAGAATAGCACATGGTCTTGAATAGAATGATAATCCAACATGTTCAAATGAAAATAATTCAACACGTCCATCATGTAATGGTCTAGCTAAATATTTATCACTAATTGCCATTTTTAACCACCAAAAATATGATTGACTTCCTTTAAATCTGTGAATAATTGAAATTTCATCCTCCTCTGAATTTACATTAAATCCACTTTGTTCAGTAACACTATCAGGTTTCCAAACAATAACTGAATCACCTGGATCATTAGTAGATGATTCAGCACTATTTGTTTTTGATAAAACTACATCTCCCAAAAATAGACATGAATCCACATATCCTCTATGATATAAATAAACACTTCCAGATTTAATAATTGGTAATTTAAGTGTTTGAATATCTGTATTACATGTACAATTTTTAGTAAATATTTCAATCTTTTCATTATTTAAATTTAAATTATTAATATTCAAATTATTATTATTATTTAAATTATTATTATTATTAATATTTAAATTATTATTATTTAAATTATTATTATTTAAATTATTATTATTATTTAAATTATTTAAATTATTATTTTTATAATTTTCTAATTGATAATATCTTTTTTGAAAATTAATATAATTATAAACATGATAATCAATTTCAAATATTCTACAAGTATTATCCATAGCACCACTAACAAAATAATTTCCATTTTGATGAAATGATAAACTAATAATTCCAGCTAAATGACTTTGAAAAATTGCAACAGTTTCAAAATTTAAATTTAAATCCCATAAACGAATTGAATGATCATTACTTCCAGTTAATACTAAACCATTCATTTTAGGATGAAAACAAATACAATTAACACTATTTCCATGTCCATTTAAATTTCCAATTAAATTAGTTTTAACTAAATTTTCATTTGAAATTTCAATTTCATATAAAGAAACAAATTGTGCAGATCCACACACTGCTAAAATATATTTATCATTCCATTTAGACCATCTAATACAATAATATTCAATTTGTTTTTGTTCATTTTCAATAATATGAATAATTTTACTCTTTTCATTTTCAAATTTCCAAATATAAATTGAACTTCCTTGAACATTGGCATAAATATTTAAATATTTAATATGCATATCAATTGAATAGGCTTCTAATGGTGAATATTTACCATATCTAACACATTCATCAAATTTAAATTTATTTTCAAATCCTAAACTTGTTTCAATAGTAGTAGTAGTATTATGGAAATTATTATTATTAGATGATGATGAATTATTTGATGAATTATTTGATGAATTATTAGAATACCATTCTTGTTGATAATCTTCAATTTTATCATAATGTTTAATAGTAGTAGTAGTAGTAGTAGTAATTATTGATGATGATGAATTATTTGCATTCCGATGATTAATTTCATCATCAATATCACTACCACTACTACTATTACTATCATTGTCATTTTGTTGTTGTTGTGATTGTTTACGACGTTGTCGAGTGGTGGAACGATTTAATGGCGTTCTTGTTGGTTTTTTCATTTTTTTGTAAAATGTTCTTTTTTAAATAATTTAAACTTTTTTACATAAATGGAAGGAATTTGATGTTAAATATTATGAATTTATTTAATACAGAAAGATATTATTTAATAATAATTATTTACAATAATTTTATCATTTTGAAAAATTGAATTGTTTATATGCTATTTTTTTACAATTTTTAATAATTTTTCATTATTAATTCTTTCAAAAAAGGCAACTGGTAATATTTTAGATTTTTATACTTATTATAGTCTTGTTGAAACGTTATTGGTTTTTGTAAAATTACTCTCGTTTCTAATTTGGTGCAATAAACTAGGCCTTTAGACCCAGAATAATTTTTTATTAATTTAAATAAATATAAATATGAACACAATTCAATCATTAATGTTTTGTAAAGTATAGTTATTATTTTAACTACATTACAAAACATTAATGATTGAATCGGCTCACATTAGTCTCAACTATCAGCTGAAATTTAATCAGCTGATGGTATAAAATTGAGACAAATTGCATTAGGAATAGTTTTAGATGTTTTTTCAATGAGTGATTGTTTGTTATTGTAAACTTTCCATGAATTTGACCTTGTGTCTAGTAATACATTATTTTCAGTAGCACAAATTTGAGTAAACTTTTCAGTGTGATGAGTTAGTTTTCTTAATTCTTGATTAAATCCAATATAGAAAGTATCATCATTTAGAAATGAATGAACATTAGTATTGTAAATCTGTGGAGGTATCATATCAGTTACTATGAGTTTGTTTAAACCAGTTTCGAATAGAATTACCAAGTGACCAATCCCTTCAGTCTTGTTATAATCACAATGTTTAAAGAGTGGGAATAAACTGACTGTTCTCTGTGATGTATTGAAGAAGAATTCCATTGGAAATGTATCATTACCAACAACAAGATTCGAATCTAATTTCTTCTCAAAATATTCGAAATCCTCCAAATTACTTAAAGGAATTTCAATAGGATTAGAAATATCATTACAAACCAACAACCTTCTTTGATCAATTTCTACTGAACAATAAGATTTAAAATGTTCACATGCGAAACCTTTTGGAATGGTTATTTGTGGTTGAGTAGTTTGACCTTGTCCAGTCTCTGACCAATAAAATTCGAGATCAAATTCATAACTGTCATTAGAAGACATTCGCTGATAATTTTAGATATTGGTTGTTGGGATTTGTGTTGGTTTGAGGAAGAATTCTTCACCGTATTTTTTTTTCTTCTTGAAAATCGGTCACGTTCCGTTTAATTACCGATTCTATTATTGATTATTACCCAAAAGAACAACTTGCGTGTCTCGAAATTCTGTTTGCTTTAGATTTTCATAAAAGTCTAAAGTTAAATTTCAGATAAGCTAATCAACATGGAAAAGCTCAAATTATCAACTCTATCATAAAATCAAAATTTCACACGCAGACTGCAGGATTCGAACCTACGAAGGTTTCCCCAACAGATTTCAAGTCTGTCGCCTTAACCACTCGGCCAAGTCTGCTAC